GGTTTGCTAAATTTAAGATAACTCACACAATTTTTTCTTACTTTTGCTGAGAGGTGAATCTTTCTTTAAATTTAAATTTCGGTTGTGCTTTAATCATATTCTTATGATTAGAACAGCCACTTGGTCGTTATTGCACCTTATCTTTCCGTTGTAATAAGACCATGGGCGGTTTTCCTATATTGTGCATTTCTAAAAAAAAAAACCCACTTTCCCCTTGTGACAATACGTGATATTAAGGTCTCGTTGTTCTAGTATCACTGGTGGAAAGTTGATATTATACTACTTATCTCCTGGAGCAAACAGTTCTTTAAATTAATATGTAACAGTTCGTACAACTCCACGGTAGTAGCTAAGATTTAGAACAGCAGGGACAAAGTAACTGGATTTTCAGACAAAATTCTTTTAGTCCTTTGTAACTTAATGAATATAGTAATGGTGGATGTTGTGAACATAGCAGATTATCGAAATTATAATTTTTCAAGAAATGTTCCCAAACATCCCGAGAATCATTAAATGCTGCTCAGAATCTTTAATACAGAATTTCTCACTCCAATAGTAAATTGATATCGCATCCCGCTTATCAACATAATAATATGTTTAATAATTAATTGATATCGCCATCCCGCTTATCGACATAATAATATGTTTAATAATTTTAGAAGTATAACTAGTAATTTCATCCGGGCCAAATACCTGCATATAAAATGTACAGACAATCTTACTTCTGCATTGCTAAGATAAATGAGTTGTCATTCGATATTTCAACTAAACTAAGTTATTAAAATAATTAAAGTAATCGATCATTAAACACATAATAAAGATAATTCATTACTAATTGTAGCGCAAGAGACAATCCTGCGATCATAATGATATTTTTTTTATGCAATATACCTTTTAATGGGTCATAATTGTTGTATTTGTCAAGTTGATAACAATTTCAAATTTTGTTATACAAATGACCGTATATTATATAAAGGAAAGCAGTTTATCACGTTAATGTAGACCTCCTAATCGTATGTTAAGTGAATGAAATATGGAGTGACATCCTGACGTCCCCTCATTAGGTGAAATGCATAAAAACGAATAAAAAAGATACATATTCACAATCATATATTTAAATGGTTATAGCAAAAATAATCTCACCTTTAACTTGGAAAATTCTGATATGAAGTGCGTTTATTGCAGACTCAAACACGAAACCCTTAAGAATATAAAATCAGTGACCCGTAACATAGACAATACCTATACTGTCATACCTCACCGCCTTCCAAATATGACTAAACTCTCCACTACGCATGCGATCTATTCGAAGCTTGAACCATATTTGGATTAGACAATTTGTTTTTTTTTACATAATATTTGCGGAAAATAATTAATTATCACGTTTCGTTTCTACGACTTAAAACAAACACTTATACAGAAGGGTTATGTTATGATTTTAAAATAAACACCATTTTTAACCCTACATTTATTCATTCAAGTAAGGTTTAATACAAGGCGTATCTTTTAAGCCATGCCTTTATTAGAAATGTGCAAATAAATTTCAAACAACAATAAAAGAAATACGTTAACGTTCCACCTAATAAAACAAAGTCTGTTCGATTTTAATCGAGGATGTATTATATAGTGCATGCATGTCTGAAGATGGACATATGCTGAACAATACTCCTATAATTAGTTTTTGCGAAGTCAAAAGTTTATACTTTATAGGTGATCAAGACATGAATTGTAAACCATTTTCACAGCACGGCCATTCAACGATTTAATTTAAGAGATTAAAACATTTGTTTTCTTATCTAACGGATAATCTTTATGATATTTTATAATTCTGCTTTCAGAATATCCGACATAAATAACTATATCATCTCATAAATACTAAATATTCACCTGAGAATGGAGGTTGTAATGTATATGCACTATCGTGGCCCATTTAGTCGTGACCATTCACAACACAAGTACATGTGTATAGCTTGTCTTTACTATATTATACATAGGTCCTGAATCGTGACCTGTCAAAACAATTATATGGTCATAAAAGACTATTTGTATCCCTGGGGCTATCCAATTTTATTCTTAGTGTATATAAAACACCTTTTATTAGTTGAGACACAGTTGCTATATATTGGAATGCGGAAACAAGCCGGATTTGCTGGTTCGTTCCTTCTTGTGGTTCTTTCATTGGTTTAACAGAATTTATTATTTTTATCTGAAACTGTTCATTGTGGCGATAAAACGAATACCCCTGCGTAGATGTAGAAAATTTTGACGCGTCCAGATTCACGCGTACGGTTTCAATTTTAGCTAAGGTAGAGAGGAAGCGCTAAATTTTAGCTGGGAGATATTTATTTATTTAGCAACGCAGTTATACCATGAGCCATTGTCTGTTAATTGATATATTTTCGATTTTTAGAACCGATCACATTTTAATTATAAAGCACCAAGCATCACAAATGACAAAGAAGGGGACCCAGTCTACCTTCTATACTCTTAAAAAAAGTAGGGAATATTCAGAAACTATACAAAACTGCTGAAATGCACTGCTGTTTTTATTAGAGGTAACCAGTGTATGTTAATAACAGGTCAATTGCCTACACATGATCATAAACGGTTCATATGGGCGGCTTATCTGACGGTCCCATTTCACTCGCAAAGAGATACACCGTCAAAAGTGAAAATGGACGTTTTTGATTTTTGTCTTAGTAATGAGTAATTGCTCCACCATTCCTCAGACATTCTGCAATTCGTCGTGGCATGCTCCTGATCAACCGTCCAATCACGATTTGGGGCAATCTGACCCACTCCTCTTGCAGTGCCACGGCCAATTCTTGCAGTGTTGTCGGCTGACGTTGACGTCGACGAACACGTCTCCCGACCAAATTAAACGTAACACACTAAAGCAAAGATACGCTAAACAGTAAATCTTATGCAAGAACCGATAGGAAAGCAAACATGGATAGATAAACCAGCACGCGGCAGTTTTCATCAACCCTTCCTTGAAGTGTCAAATTTGACAATGAACCCCTTCCACCTGTATGGCGCTATTGTATGTCGCATGTGCAGCTCAGTGGTTCTGTTGGGGCGATAAGTTCTTCATCTGTGAACATACTCTCAAAGCATGTCAAATGTCCATGACTATTTATCATATCACAATCTGCATAGGTATTTGCATTTCAATATCCCCTTCGTTTTTTGAAGAGTATATTTGCTACAGGATTACCCTAGATTACCATTCCACCGCCCATAAAACCGTATAGTCCATGCCCGAACCACTTTCTGTGCATGCACATCCACAGCTTTCTCGGGATTTCCTTGTATGTTTGTTTGTGATTTCTGCGTATTGTGTCTTGTCCGTAAATTTGTATTGTGTAATTGTTTGTGGGTGGTGCAGTCCGCCTGCACTTACTATGAAAGATAACAACCAACAATTAGTATACACACCGCCTCCAGCTAAAAAACCCTGTAAAACATCTTTAGACCATCAAGGTCAATGATTATGCCCACGACTGTGCTCATCGTACGATTAACAATGGATAAAGGGGGTTGCACCGTTGATCATAGTTGGGTTGTGTATTCAGTCGTGCGTAGGTATATATCCACATGATGAGAGGTCTCTGCCTAGGCATAGGGCAACATGTTGACCTGACGGAAATTCCCCGCTTTTCTCAATTGCTTATGAACTATGTAAGCAGGCATTTTAATGAAGAAGACTAAAATGACCTAGTGCCGAAATTTTCTCCTCCTTGTGGAATTATTATAAATGATTCCTTTTGGCGAACCAAGAAGAATCACGGTGAAAAATAGACGGTAAGGATTCCAAAATAGCCGTAGAACAGAAGTGCGGGTAAAACGGTATTTTCATATTGTAGCTTAATAGGGACGGTTAGGGGACATCGTCCGATCAGACATCGTTCTTAAAAGAACTATCTGAATATAAGCACATACTACCTACGGCATTCGGGGAAGAATTTATTATGTTCTATCATGGACCTTGTATTATAAGGTCCATGGTTCTATAAGTGTATTGACATTGATTTACAAATTCACATACTACACAGAGGTTTGCATCCATGTCTGTTGACTTTTTGGTCTGGAATCTAAGCATATAGTTTGCATCTACATTTTCTGTCATCAGAAACACCAAGTCCAGGTCAATATTTTTTATCACAACAATAATTGTGATAGGTTAGGACTTTGTGTTTTAAAGATTAGTGTTACAGGAAGAGACATCCTATTGTCTGGGAAACATCCACAGAGTTAACTCCCATTTACTACTTCGAAAAAAATTATTAGAAAATTACCGGTATATCTGAACGCAAACTGAATAAAACATTATCCGCATTGTTCGGATTTCTAGCTGAATTATTGGGTTCCTTACAGTGGCGTATGTAGGCATCTCAGAAGATGCGTGTGTGTGTGTGTGTGAGGGGGGGGGGGAACATGGGTTCTGGGGAGTACCCGAGAATGTGATAAAATCCGAGAAAATTTGAAACAATATCTCTGCCCATTTAGAAGCATACATATGGGTATAGGGGAGTGAGACCAAGGCTTCGCACATTTGTTTATTGGATGTTATTTCGATGAAAGTACGAGTAAAAATGTGCCACGGACAACCCCACCCCACCTCTCCTTTGGACACGCGCCTGCATTGGGATTATTGATAATCCCCGGTGTTTCTATTCCCATTTTTTTAAAAACAAGTACGAACATCCTATAGGCCAGGAACCGAGTAGTCAATCGATGTGCAATTCTCCATTGAACAAACGTGCGAAGTTTCATACATTTGCGGAGTCTTGGGCTTTTTCGAAGAACGTCATCCCAATGAGGAAGAAGGGAAACAACTATACAACATGACGTGCAGCGTTTGTGGCCCTGTTTCTGATCCAAAATGTCCATACCTCTAATCGCTTTTAAGGCCACTAGCAGTTCATTTTACAAAAACAAACTTACTAAACATTCTTATTTTTTTTATATGAATATACTTTTATTTACAAAATAAAAATAAAAATCAGTTTTTCCAAAGTTCTGTCTGGCGCAATATAGCCCGGTTGGTGGTGAAGTGCCATAAAAACACGTTATGTCATTACAATTAGAAAAGGGCAGATAATTAAATAAGCGCCCATAATAATCTGTTTTATTCAGCGTCACAAATTGGATTTTGCAATAATTGAAGCAGATGCATACAGAGGTTTGATGTCAAAAGAGATAAAATAAATTAATTAAGTATAGCTCAGTTTGTAGAACAAAGTTAACACCAGCGATAATTTCAAATTATATAAAAGTTAATATAATTTCATGCACTTTCTGATCAGATGCGCCTTGGAATGGATGCAGAGACCGTCGCCTCATCTGCTCCACCCCTTCTATCTCTCTGCGCGCCAGTGAGTTGACCAAAACCACAACTTGCAGTTATGGGTACTTAAAATTATGTGAAAAAAGAAGTGAAGTTAAATATAAGCTGTTCCAGAAACCATGCCATTATGTCCTAGAATATGACGTTTTGATAATCTGCGAATTTGACAGATATTGACAGACATTAACACGCATTAGTTATTTACAGAGATTCCTAAAAATACAGTTAAACAGGCGAATTTATAGAGATATACACACAGATAGCTTAACATAAACGAATCAAGAAGAGCGCTACTGGAATTAAAAGGCTTGTCGTCACGATGGCAATGCCAGTACCAGTTAAGCCTTTGTCTGTCAACTTCTCTCCATGCTTTGCATCACCAGGAACGGCTTCTGATCCCTTTGGTTTTCTTGCACCATCGCCTTTTGACTCCATTATTTTTGTTCCATCTCTAGCTTCTGACCCTTTTCCAATTTCTACATAAAATCAAACAAAAACAGGACTAAATAAAAAAACTATTTTGTATTTGATCGCTCAATTATAGATTGTGGGATCTGCATTACAGATAACTATATTATGTTTTGTGGTGATGCTTAATATCAGAAAAATAACATTCTATTTTAATTAAAACTAGTAGTCAGTTTCTGGACGTTTATGGTACCAATTAATTTTGGCTGCTCAAAGAGGAAAATGTAATTATAGGGATTGCAGTGTTGGAGGTAGCATGGCAAGTATGCCATTGACTAGACAGGCTTAATATAACTTTAAATATGTATCACAAATTTAAAAATGTGATTTGTTTTTAAAAAATCAATTCGGCAACTCCGCACGTATATAAACCCTAATTAATAGATCCATATCTTCTTAACTCTTGATAAACACAAAACAAATCCTATAACTTCAAATCTATTCTTTCGTATATAATTATTTAACACATAATCTTCACGTGATTATAATAAGATAGCAATTACGGCATGGTGGTGACGTAGACACCACCATAGTTAAGTTTATCAATATGTGTTATCACTAATAATATGATCATGCTTTGGTGAATCTTTTCAGAAAATAAATCAGATAAAATAAATACAACTCTACGTATGTGTATTATCTACCAGTAAGTTTGTAATTATGCATATACCTAATATTTATTCCGGCAATAATTATAGGTAAACTATACACGTATAGGTATATACAGTAATTGCATACTATCTACTGTAATATGTACACGGTCCGAGAGTCGTGTATGAAAAACAATAACTCCCAAAACCAGCTTTGAATACCCCTTTCTTTAAAACATACCAAAGGAGAGAACGGCCTTTGGTGTATGCTTTTATATAATTGTTTTATATTTAATCTGTCCAGTGAACAGTTTAACCCCAAATATCCATGAACCAAAGCAAAATATCATTAATTAAATATATAATCTATATAGTAGAAAATATACGCACGTGCTTTGTTTGCCTTGTGCTCTTTAACACCTGAAAGAGTAAACAAGAAATATACTGATTAACACCAAATTGAGTCCACAATTCTAGAATGTGTTAGTTTTGTGTAATTGTCAAAACTCAAATGCCTAGGATTTGTATGATCAGTTCTGGAAAGATAATGTATAGGAGGCATATTATCACAAACTGTACTAAAATAAAAAAACCTTTCTGAATCATTAGTCAATGAAACAATCTTATGCTCATAGCCATAAGCATAGTCATAACCTGGGAAATGTGGTTTGTCGTAGCTACGAAAGGATGCCGTGAATTATGATGTTGTCCGGAGATGTATCCCGGTACTTACATTGATCAATGAGAGTAAGTTGTTTTATCAACTTGTCGGTGGTATACCCTTCACCAGTGATGTTAAGTTTCTCCATAATTGCCGCTGTGTGATTAGAAAGAACGCTTTCAATGGCGGCTTTAAGATCCCGTGTCAAAGGGTGAGTCGGATCGAACGATTTCAAATGATCAGACAAAGGAATGGGGTATTTTATGTCGCCTACTTCAGGTTGTTCCCTCTTCTTCAATTGGTTGTAACTATCGTCATCAAGGCTGGAACCTACAAAATCATACAGATTTTAATATTACATGCTACAACTTTTCAACCCATTACTGGTGAGTCGCGGTGGCTCGGGTTCGCTGCTAGCGTTGATTCTGTTTCAAAGTTAGATCATAGGTATTTTTTTATAATTGTATCTAAGTACACTGGCTTAATCCACAGATGTCAAAACTTTAAAACAGCCATAGTGGCTCATTGAGTACGACGTTGGCACACATTGGAGGTTCCGTGTTCCTGTGCGCTTCACCTTGGTGCAAGATGGAGGTACAGACAGACAAGGGCAGTGTCTAGTCTTTGTGATGGAACGAAAAAACGAGCGCCCGTGTACACATTGGCGTTCACGTAAAAGACCCCTTGACAGTTGGAATTCAAAATAAGAGTAGATCGTCGAGCCGATGTCCGAGCAAAATGTTCCTCATAGCACCCTCTATGGCGTATGTCCGTCTGCATTAGCTCATTTGGTTAAAGAAAATGCGACGTTTCATTTCATTTCATTTTAACCCTTTACTGAATTGTTTTCAACTGAACAGTGATATACTATAACACATACTTACATAATGCAACATACAGTATAAATTACTCTAAATAATATTGAAATATTATGATTATATGATATAAACAACATATAAATGTAATCAATTCTTTAGGTGGACAATAGCGGGAGACGAGGTATCTCTTCTAATACACAATTAACGTATTAACCGGGGAAATGAATGCAAGGGTTTTTACGGGAACATTTTACAGTACATATTTTCTGCGAGAACATTTATTTTCTTAAAGTGTAAATATGCAAGCCAAATCTTTCCCATATCCCATAAGTAAAAACAATGTACTATATATTTTAATGTAAATAATGTTATTACCCTATCCATGTATCAATGAGCTCATCAGTGTATGTGTCTATGACGAATACAGTGGACGTTGTCGGATTAGAAACTAATTTAATCTTTAAACTGCTGTAATTTAAGTTTTTACTGCACACCGTCATCTTTATTCTTGAAAGTAGGGCTTTTAAATAGATTAGAGAAAATTCAGCTGACTCTTGAATTCAGAGCCGTTTCAAGTAGTATTAAATGCTCAGTAATGGACAATATCAATATCACCTGATCACATACCAAAAATAAACCAAGAGAAAGGTCTCTTACCCAATAGTGGTTTGTTTAAGGTTGTGGACTCATCTTTATTCTGTTGATTTCTCGGCCCAACACCTAAACCTTTACCACGCACAGGTGCTAAATGAGCACATACCATCACATTGTCAACATAGGCTGTCCAGACCTTGCGAGTTCTCGGCTTATCGTAGTCTGTTATAGAATTCATGACATCATTAAACATTTTAACCATGCTATCAGCGTAATCGTAAGAGCCAAACAAATTCCTGTAAGCGAATCTGGAACACATCGCCAATGCCGGGCATCTAAAATTGGAAAGAAATATTGTGTGTTAGATCGTGTAGAACTAGCAGAAGTATAGCAGAGATGTTAAAGAGTAAGAAAGTTATAATCTGTATATCTTTGAGACTTATTAAACATTTACTGCGTTTCCTTATACGGTAACTATTTCGATATAGCGTATTTTGTGAGGTTACTTACTTGGCATCGACTGTAGTTTGGGCGGGTTTGGGCATAGAATATGCAACACCACATACGAGTAACACCAGCCATAAACTGGATCCTGTAATAGCATATATTATGAGATCATACTAAATACCACGAACCCTATGTCCTATTTTTGGTCTTCAGGTCGTAATATATGTTTAAACCCAAGAAAATAGTATGTTAAACCGAAATGTAAAATAATTAATATAGCTCAAGTGTGTGACGTGAAAGACGTTTTGGAACATTAAAGGAGAACTTTCTACATCTCGGATAGTCAATACATATACTTACCACATTTATCTGTGTTCTTGAAGTGGTTTAAAGCCAGTTGGCTTAAATGCCCTTAAAAGGCAAGAAATGGGATATTATAGCATGGAGGATTCACGCAGTTTCCACCCACTTCCTTCCATTTCGGTGATTTAACCATTTAAATTCTCAATGAAAACAAATTCGTATATAAACTCTAAGGCGGATCAAGCTCTGATGGACCACAGGCAGTTTGACCAGCTGGGCCGCTTTCGAAACTGTGTCGTTCAGAATTACCATAATGGGTGGCAGTTTTCTAGTTTTGTCGCTCAAAAAGATGTCTTTCGATTTGCTTCGTAAAACCATCATACTGAGATAAACCTTGAGATCTACCTCTATACTAAAATATGCGACAGTCCACATGTTCTGTGAATCAGTGTTTCGTGAACACTTCCTGCACATATAACCCTTGTAGAAAATATAATTAGTGGCCTTAACGTAAAGAAAAAAAGACACTTTTCGACGAAAAAATCGGCCAAACTTTGATAGGGTAATCGGTTTCTGGGGTAACTTAACAAATACTTCATGTTGGGGGATACACTAAGCAACATTCTGGATAGGTACAAATAAATAATAATTACCTTGCTGTAGATTCATTTTACTTAGTTTGTTCAGAATGTTTCTGTAAAATAATTAACAGACTCAATTTTCAATTTATTAAAGTGATACAGCCGTCTAACTAAACCACTATAATTTCTGAAAAGATTTCTTACCATGCGTCGACAAATCAGGACAAATTATGCGCACTGATAGCTGTTAGGGTAGTTATTGTACTACAAGACAGTCATGTGATAAATAAAACCATGTGACATAATAACCATATTAATTTACACCAGCCTTTACCAGAAACCTCTACAGCAATCGCTCAAAATACAGGTTACTCTTCTAAACATATCTGATGATTGTCGGTTATCACATTGCTTCAACACATGCATACAATTCATGTACACCCCCCCATCCCAAGATATTTTTTTATTTAGCAAAATGTACATAATATTAAGTAAGAATAATCATATGGTGTCACACATATCTATTTAGCACCTAATTATCAGCCTGAAGATGTTGTTACAGTGCAGACAATTTGCTGTTTGATTTTAAGAGCTCGAAAGCCCAAATGAAGAAAATGCATGTTGTAAGTTTATTGTGTCACATTTTAATGACAGTCTCATATATATATAATGAAAATATATTTGCCCGTTGGATTACGTTATTATTTTCTCCAGCATTCAAGTTGTAAACTGAAATTAATGATCCGGAAAAAGTTAGCATTATTACGTCGATTTATTGGAAGAAACTGGCATCAGATTAACTGTAGATTTATCAAAATATAAAAACATAAACATAGTATCTGATATTCCTAAAACCATAATTATAACATGGCATTAATTGTTTTACGGTTGTTGTTGTTAGAAAATCTGTGTCAAGTCCTGTAACTCTAACTTGTGGTGTACCCCAGGGATCAGTTCTTGGACCAATCCTATTTCGTCTTTACAGCAAACCACTGGCACTTGTTAAATCGACTTGATCACACATCACTGCTATGCTGATGATACTCAACTGTTTAACAGACTCCTTCCATCACATACAAGTCAAGTTGCTGCCTGTCAACAATTCGAAAAATGTATAAATGATGTCCAGAAATGGATGGGCGATAATATGTTAAAACTTAATTCTGATAAAACTGAAGCAATTCTTATTGTTCCTCAACCTCGACTTAAAAAAATGTAAAGTACAATCCCTAAACATAAATGAATTTATCATTCCGTTCGCTTCATCTGTTAAGAATCTTGGAATTCACTTAGATACCTCATTAACAATGGAAATACTTGTGCAAAATATTTCATTATCACCTGCCTAATATTGGATCCTTTAGACATCTTACCACAAGGGATGTAGCTGTCACGCTTGTTCGGTGTATGTTGATTTCTAGACTGGACTGCGGCAACAGTCTTTTTATCGGAACCTCCAGGCAACAAATTCAAAGACTTCAACAAATCCAGAATAAATGCGCCAGAATCGTAACGAGAACTAAACAAAGATGATTCCCTCCACTGGCTTAGGATTTCAGAAAGAATCGTATTCAAAATCTTGAGTCTAACCTACCAATCAGTGTCCAAAATGGCTCCAACATATCTACAAGAACTTGTGCGCCCATATGTTTCCCCGCGATGTTTGCGCTCTTCAAAAATGATCACGAATTCTTAATCATAAAATGTTTTGGAGATGTCGAAAAAAGTATGAATCTTTTTAAAATTTGGGGACAAGAGTGCTATGGATCATTTGCGTGCATCTATATATAAGACGGAGTGTAATGGGTGCGGTACCTTCAAAGACATCGCCATAATTACATGTCTTAGATATTAATAACCATCGAGGTCACTGCACGCGAGGCGAAGCCGCTGTGTAGAATTTGGTTCTTTCTGTTACCGAAATAAAACAGAATATGTTTTCTTCAAGTCTATAAGTTCTATTTTATTCCATTCTTTTATGTTGACACGATAAAGGGTTTTGAAAAACTTGATGTGTTACAGAAATATTCGTTAATTTTAATGCCACATCGAAGATTACTTAAATCAGAAAGGTAAGTAGGTGGTCATGTTATTTATAATTTTGTACATTAAAATATGTTAAAATATGTTAATACGTGGAATAAGACCAGTTTCTTCATATAATAGTTTATGGCTTGTCCCCTTTACTGCTTCACATATAGTTGTAAGATTTCTAACTTAGACTTTAGTTCTTCAGTGCATACACCCAAGGCATACATATTTTTCAAAGAATTCCGAGACGAATTCCACTACTTGCAATTGCCAACTATTAGATCAATTGCACTTCTTTTGTCAACCCATAGACCTCGACTATTGTACTAGGGTAGGGTTGCTGTACTCTGTCGGAAGCTTGGGGCGGCTGATACCAGGGGTGACTTACTCGAATGGTTTGAAAATTACTTACTTAATCGAAAGAAAAGTGTTACCCTAGGCATTCTCTCTTCTGGTGCCAAAACCATTCAAGCTGGTGTTTCACAGGGCTCTGTCCCCGCACCAGTTTTCTTTTTAATATACATTAATAACATTGTTAAGAATATAAATTCTAAAGCACATGAACTTTCTAATAAAGGAGATCCTCCATTATATACACTACACAAAAATAAAGGACTGCCATTTCAGATTTTAACAGGGATCGTTTAAAGGGTATTTTATTTAAGTCTGAATTTTCAAAGGAGAAATTGAAGACATGTTTGTAGATACATTTTCAATATTTTTAGCGATAATGCTGCAATGAGTAGGATATCCTCTGTTCAAAACTGCTTTGACGTTTGTCGTATAGAATTGATGCGTTAAGTAAAGAGTGATAGGCTAAATGACTTACATAAGGGACTTGATATTCATTTAGACATACATATTAGTAGTTTACCATTAATTTGATAAGGACCGGAAAAGAAGCTTTTAGATCTTCTTGGGACCGGCTGCTTTTGATGGATCTAGTGTCTTTATGTTACCTGCAACTTCTTTCGGAGTTAGTATAATGTGGTTAGATCCTTTTGAGCTTTGTTCGAGATGAGTAAGATGTGCGTTTGCTTTGTCTAGTTGTGATTGGTTGATGAAAAATTCATTTAAGCAATTGGGGTGAAATCTAGCATTTAATGAAAATCACAACATATGGTCGAAACCATATTATAGATGATATTTATTGCTAAAATGGCCTTTCATTTATAATTTAAACTTTTGGAAGAGCTATTTTCCCGGTTAAATCTACACCAATATTTCTTGGCTTTCAAAAAGAAGAAAATCAACAGAAATAAAACCACTTGAAGGCACAAATTGATTGGAAACGGAAAACTTTACAGTAAGTCTAATTTGTTTAAAATAACACAATTATATTATAGGACAAAAATCACTGTTGATAATGATAAGAGGTTACTCATCGAAACGGCTTGCCTGTGTATAATAAACCAGATGTTGTCCCATATAACATTGTTAGTTTTGTTACGTTCCCAATCGCTAAATGCCACTAAGGGATTATCTAATTTGGTTGTTATCTCCCTGTAACAGTGGTTCACAATAGTGTATAGAGTTATTTTGTTACTGAACCTTGTTTACAAACTTCGGACTGGAATTTAAAGATGATTGTCTACCTGTTTTTGTTTATATAACTCTTAAAGATAAATAATGGTACCATTTCTATGTTCCGCCGCTTTTGATTGTGTTTAACAAAGATTGGACTGGAATGAAATTTTAGAAAGAAACCATCAAATTCACACATCTTTTGCTTGAAGATAACAATTAATTGTTTATTAGTATTTTCAGTGGACAGTTACTAGTTATGTTGATACTAAATTGGTCCAGAAAGCATTACTTCAATGGTTAAGCATGGACAGATACATTTTGCAAGTTCGAGTTACTTTCACCATTAGCTATCTAACCATCTTTTTAATTTGTTAAAACGAAGGAGAAGTTTTATCTGAATGCATTTTATTATTTATTTCTTTTTTTAAAAAAATATTTGATTTTAGTGAACTGTGATAAAAGTATCTCGTAAGTCAACTATTTCTGATTTCGATTGTCCTTTTATATTGCAAATTATAGTATATGAAATTCAATAATCTAATCAAATTTAAAACGATTTTTACTCGAGTGGTTTTACTATTCAAGGCTTAGTACTTTGATTAGTCTATCTTGATATTTATATATGTATGTCATATCTTGACGTGTTGAGAAGAATAAAAAGGATATTAATCAAAGGTGATTTAATATTTGATGTACGGGGATTATATTTTTGCTTGAATAAAATTACATACTATGTGTAATGCTTGTTCATGCGACATATATAAATGTATTGTGATTAAATATCTGGAGAAAAAATTAAAACCACTAACAGATTTCACTGTATCATCAACGCCAACTCGTCGATGGCACCCTCTATACAACTACAACCAACACGTCGAGCATGGCATTCATTCCAGGATCACAATGAAATTATCATTGGCATTCAATGCAGCAGCAACCGACATATCGGTAGCATCCTGTCAAATGTAACCATTAGCAGAAGCCAGTACTACAATATGGTAAACATTTATTCAATAATAAACCGGGAAATACGGAGACAACCCAGTAAGCTAATCCGGCGGCCCTGCTTCTTGGCACGTATAAATATCGGATTAAAAGCACAGCAGTTGACCCATTGATAGACCTATGATCTAATGCACACGTAAGACCACACTAATCACCAAAATTTTCAATTTTATGTTTTTGACCTTACAATAAACCCTTAAAAGTTTGGCCAAATTCAGCCAAAAGACTTGCAGTTTGTTTGCCGGCAGAAAACTTGGAATTTTTTTTTTATGAGGCAAGGGGCAGGGGTAATAATTCCATTAACAATCTTCGAAATGGGACATACCTCATGTCATAATAATAAGTGTCATCCAACAATAATTTTGAACCGAAGGCTAATTACGACAAGTTTCATCCAAATAGGCCAATAACATTATGCAGCTTGCTTGTGACTTGATGGGCCGGGGATCATAATTTCAGGTGGGGGATGCCATTGCGCAAGGAGGAGTCTCGGTTTATTATCATTTTATACTACCTAGGATCCACTGTTCGTTTATAGCAACAAGAAATAACAACTGTAAATATAAATTAATTAAAACACCAAGCAATTAAAACTCGATAGTCATTTTTTTATGTTGGCTTTACACCTTATTCTTTTTGAAAGGGTTTTATAGAATGTCCTTTCATTTCTATTCGCATAAAGTTAAGGCTTGTCTCCAATTCGGTAATGAGCCATTAATAATCCACGTGAAATTATACGGATTAAATAGAAATATAAAAGGATCGACACCATGCATAAAAGATTTGAAAGACAATTTATGCCAAATATAATCCTTTAAATTGTATTTATAACGGTCTAACCCCTGTTCAGATAAACCATAATGAAGGGATTAACGGCACGCCTGACTATAAGCTATGAAATACAAAATCACTAAGGCGCATACGCCATTACATACTTAAGCAAAGATACCACATAATTATACCTTAGATACACAGAGTTTACTTTTTATAGTTGAATAAAAATACAAGCCGAATCACCTGTCTTTGAAATGCTAACAATGTTACTATTATGCATATAATTTTATTTATTACCCGTGTATTCTTTTGAATAGAATTATAGAAATCATTCATATCTAGTGTATAAACTTATGAGCTGATCTGTAAGTATTTTAGTATATCATACAAGGCGTACTTATCGCCCCAATAAAATATATCGTACCGAATTACACGAACCTGGAGAATTTAAAACATCAAACAGACCTTTCAGTGCATTTAGGGTTCGAAAAGGACGGATTAAATATTGTTCATTTACCTAAATTACAAACACTTTATAATGACCATTTATTTTTCTCTCTCTAAAATGAGTGATCAAATTCTAATGCCCCACCACCACCATTCTTAATATAAAGGGACATTAACTCTCTAGTTCAACCACAGAAATGGAAATTAAATGTACTTTTGAAAACCAGGATTAATTTGCTATAAAAATATTCAATAATATCATCTTCGATACATGTACTACATCAATATGGAATAACTGGACGAATAAGTTTTCAGTACAAAAACATACGTTTATTGTCATAACATTTGGCACTATGTATTTTAAATGACTACAATTTAAATATAACATGAGCATTTTCATATATAGTAAATAAATTACAAAAATCATTTTTTAAACCGCCCTTCGACTCGGCCCAACCCCTCATATGTTTAGAGAATACATTTCGTTAATCAGGCCAATATCTACTCGAATCCGTAAAATATTTAAATAAAAATTTATCAACAGAGTCCGGGTCTTAATATCAATATTCTTCGTAGTATTCGCTATCTATCGACTGTTATTTCATCTCATGAATGTAGAATATAGAAAATTATAATAATACATATGTTATTAACAAACAATAAGAATATAAGAACGGCTACAGTACAACACCTTGCTTGACCTTTCCCAGAATAACATTAAAACACATGCGGTGAAAGAAATAACAAATATAGACATTTCCTTTACCGCAGAAAATAATATATCGTGTCGAAAACAACTTCATATCAATATATGTATAGCATTTATGGTCATATTTACATTTTTGTGACCAGATTGATTTCATTGTCCTATAATCCGCGTAAACAAAATACATACAGGTGTAATGACCCCAAATCATGAATTAGCCCTTTCTTATTAGGTATAATACTATGTACAATGTATAAGTAAATTAAGAAATCACATACATATTTCTGACCTGTCTCCGTTTTTGATAGTCAATTTAATGGATATTCCATTTTTAGATTTGCATTTTAAATAAATCATTTTACACAGAATAAATAAAATCTGATTTATCAAAAAACTCAACATATCATCTTCAAATGAGGAGAAAAGGATAGTTTTTATCGCACAGTTTATCCTTAATATTGAAAGTGACTTATTTTCTCTCGAAGTTCTAAAACAATTAATATAGTTATAATATAAATATACTTCCCCAAAACTGAAAATTACGAAGTAAATATCAGTTATATCGCCCATTGTTGGGTTAATCCAAAATTATTATTAGAATACATTATCTTAACATATTGAAATTGACACAAGGGTATGGATTCAGATTTACACATTTACATATGTACACCATCGAACTCCGAATTGTTATTGTCAGGCGATACAATCTGAATTGAACGATTCATATTAAGGTTTGGTCGAAAATCAGTTTTTGCTTCTGTTACTACAGTAAGCATGGGCGTGGCCTTTTTCTTTCCCTTAGCCACACCTGTGCCTTTGCCAAAATTGTGACCTTTGTCTTCCCATAAAGTACTGCCTGTTCTAGTGTTATATGCATAACGCTGATGTTTTTCTGCAAAATCAAACAATTAATAACAATAATACACATAAGAAAATACATATACATAAGAAAATATAAATCATCATTGTAAATAAAATGAACATAAACTTTTGGCTTATATATAACGATGGCATTATATTTAGTCAAGAACCAACGCCATATCGATAATGGTTTCGCAAAACCATAATATTTAAATAATGACACAATAAAAAGAACAGTATAAAAATAAAATAAAAATAGCTTAAGCGCATAAACACTACAAAACTATAAACTTACCAAATCAAGCGAACGGTTAATAATGAAAATATTTTTAATTAATTGAAGCAGTAAAAAAAGGAATGAGCAAATATTGAAAAAAAATGTAACAAGTAATAAATTTAAGGTCTCATTAGTCTAAGGCAATGTTTATTGTTTATCCCAGTATATAATATATATATTTCAATGCTAACCGACACAGGGTTCATTTATTTAAATTCCGAAATATATTAGCAATAATGTGAATCTTGTAAATGAAACACTACATCTCCCGAAATATTCATCAAAAAATTCGATTCAAGGTGACTCTTTATTTCATGAGCGAGAACATAATCTTTTCCATTACTTTCCTCAGGCAATTGGCGGTTAACAATAAATAAAGAAAAATATTTATTTGTATTAGTAAGAAAAAAACATTTTTTAGGAATTATATTTATAATAGAAATTGAGAGAAACCACACGAGACAACCTGTTACGACGTGAAGCGATCACGTAACTCGTTAATTAGTGTGCAGTCCTATTTAATACTGAGGTAGGATATGAGATTTGTGTTTCGATTCAAAGGTGACTCTTTATTTCATGAGCGAGAACATAATCTTTTCCATTACTTTCCCCAGGCGGTTAACAATAAATAAAGAAAAATATTTATTTGTATTAGTAAGAAAAAAAAAAGAAATTTAGGAATTACATTTATAATAGAAATTGAGAGAAACCACACGAGACAACCTGTTACGACGTGAAGCGATCCCGTAACTCGTTAATTAGTGTGCAGTCCTATTTAATACTGAAGTAGGATATGAGATTTGTGTTTTTGTTTTAAATGTGTGTGCATAAAAGTGGAAATGTGACCATCAAATCGATGATAAATATTCATTAATAAATTATATTTTTAATACTTCTTTAATTTTGATCCGACGACTCCGACTTATTTAAACGGTATTGAGCAAGGTGAGGAGGTATCTTTGCTGAGATGTTGGATGAATATTTGGCTATAGAATTTAACTGGTCATTAAGTCGTTTTTCTGCATTGGTTTCACCATCACCATCTTCGACTTCTTGAAATTGCTGCCTGAACTTGCTGAATGGATCTTGTGGCTTTCTGGTAACACTTTTCACCCAATCACTATAAAATGGATCCTTTGAAATGGGATCTCTCCGGTATGGATGGTGGCTAGGAGGATGTTTAGAAGAATCTAAAAGCGCTAATGGTGCACTGGTTTTGGTCTCGACAACACTGATATAAGTAGTTTTATCGATGCCTCCCTTAAGTGAGGATTTATTTTCCTGGGAGTCAAGTGGTAAAGGCCTTCTTCTAGTGAAAAATGGCTTATCTCCACCATAAATCCTTTCTTGGGGAATTTGTAAGAATGACTTATTTGAACCGAAATATCCACTTGATTTGGAATTGTTTTCCGTTCTCACAGAATTTGTTTCACTATTCGAGAGTCCGCTAAATTCATCAAAGTCAAAATTTTGTCGATTTTCACCTTTTGACCCGGAATTTGTTCGCATGTCAGATATGCTTGAGCCAGTTGCATTGTACGTTGAGTACTTAGATACGGGTTCTTCAGTCTCTGAATCAGACCATCCAAATAAATCCGAATCCGCAGAAGATAAATGGGACCTGTCTTTTGTTTTACTGTTTTTTGAAACTGAAATTCGTTAACATTAAAATGAACAAAACGTTTAAATAAATATTACAAATAAAAAAGCGAACTAAATATAACATTTAAAGTAACTGTGCGGATTTCTCAAGGTTTAATCCATGCTAATATGTACTCAGATTGATTATTTAACATTTAATCAAGAACACATATCCAAATAACAATGCTAGATAATCTCTCAGCTTGAATTCAATCGAATTAAAAACAGGCCTATCAATTAGACTACGCGAAACATAAAGATGGCGGTTTATCATTTACAGAGGGACCTGAATAGATCGATGGAATTACAGTTCATCATATCTTTGTAAATACTGAACGGAATTAAAACATTTTTTTTTGACTGATATTCATAGAGATTCAATTTTTACAATATTGCAGTAGTAAGGGATAACTTTAAATCACGCCCAGAGACTTCAAATGGGTTAGTTACTAATAAAATTAATAAATAAATTTAATTAAAATATAAATAAAAATTAAATATCTGAATCTAATTAATTATGATACGTCAAAATTAAAAAAAATAATTACACTAATGGATCGGATAAGGTTGGATCAATTATTCTTAAGGGTTAAACGCGAATCATTATGAACCATTATGAACACACGATTTAATTAAAATATAAATAAAAATTAAATATCTGAATCTAATTAATTATGATACGTCAAAATTAAAAAAAATAATTACACTAATGGATCGGATAAGGTTGGATCAATTATTCTTAAGGGTTAAACGCGAATCATTATGAACCATTATGAACACACGATTTTCTTTTCCAGATGTCGGATCATTAAAAACCCAAAAGCCCGAAAATAACTTCCATACCGTGTATCCTGAAGTAGCCCTGATCCAAATTAATTGTAAGAAAATATTAAAATAAAGCTTTACTAACTATGTTAAAATTAATCAACAACAAAATCGTACCTGCATCAAAACCAACTCCATCATATTCTTTACCACGATGTATAACAGGACCATCTGCTCTTCTACTAATAATATGTGTTTCACCGCCGGGTTGACCATCATCATCAACACCTAGCTTACTTAAATCTATCGTACTAGCTTTCCTTTCATCTACTGGTTGGGGTACAGAAAGTACCCTCTTCTCAATCGGCTTCAGTTTTGGTCGCTTGTGTGATTGTTCAAGAGGTTCTGCGAGGCCGTCTGGTTGTCGTTGTGGATTCTGCACTGGTGTCATCATAGGTGATAACTGAGCAGCCAGAACCGTAGCACTTGTAGATCCTTTAAACGTATTTAACAAAGATAAATTTGATTCATTATAAACAAATATAGCAAGAAACCACAACGGGTGTTAAGTCCATAGATTACAGATTACAGACTATGTATACCCATTGTTCTATTCTTTATTTCTCAATAAACCAAAATGGCAGTAATTCGAAAAGGGGTTATATACACTAACACCACTTTTTCTTGAGAGAATCAAACCAACTTATTTCTATACTTTTATGAAACTATGAGTTACATACATATCATATGGAAGTCGCTATTAAAGCCCTTGAAAAAGGGTTAAATCATCGGAACTGTCATTGCATGGTATCAAAATGTAATATTAAGATGTATGCAAGGTATATATTTATTTCGATCAACTAACCTCTATTGTTTCCACTAATGCTTGGTAAGTAGGTGCTTGATGGAGCTTGAGAAGTTCTCCTCGTGGTTTTGTTTGTTGGGATATCATCTCCGAATTCTGCTGCCGAAAATCCACTAAACTTAGCTTTACCAGATTTTTCCTGAAAAACATTATTACAATTATCTGTATGAAATGTATTTGTCTCATTATGTTATCCTGAGGCGAGAATTTTAACAATTCACGGTATCAGTTATTAAATAAAGAAATGGCCCTGCGCGTGCACTTCTTTTGAATAACATTTTATTATATTCACGAGTAAAAAATGAACAAATATCATTTCAAATGCTTACCGGTTTTTTAACTTCTACATGCTTCTGCCTTGTGTCTAAAAAGAAATAACAATCACTAATATTTAATAATTAAACAGATAAAAAAAATAAATGTTTCTTTGTTAGAATTTAAATTTCTTCGAAAGCACATAAAATAATATGTAGACATTCGTGTATTTTATGAAAACTTTAGAAAACTGTTGTAAATAAGAATTATTTAAAGTATGTTTTACCTTGTGAAACCAAGCTTTCAACAGAATCACCAATCCTAAAAAGAGCACAAACATAAAGAAATTACACAATATAACACGATGTCTTTTATTTACAGAAATAACTTTAGGAATTTTGAAACAAGTTTGTGTTTAAAAAATTTAATTGATTTTACCTTCTCTGTTCTCTTTTCTTCTTTTTATAGCAACAGAACACGAGCAATAGGATGAGAATCACAAGTAGTAGTAAAATTAGAAGAGCGAAGACTATATAACCATCTGTCGAGGATGTAAATGTTTGAGATGACCCAGAGGACTCAGGTGGTGTTGGTATTGAATATACGTTTACAGATTGAATAGGATAATTACTTGTTGGGAGGCCTGGGGTCGGTTCATGTTGATCTGGAACCATTCTTAAAAGCTGTAAACCAAACAAGGATATACTTTAGACACTATTGAACCAATGAAGTCATCAGATTGAACAACAATTATGTAAATCGAGGCTGTTAAGCAAATAAGGAAAAATAAATTAGAGTAACAATAAATAATAAATAAATATTAAACTAAATGAACTCTTTTAATATGTCCTACTGTTTGTGGATTTATGGACATACCAATATTGCAATGTTTGAATTATCTATAGGTGTGTTTTGTCCATATTAGTTATGGAGTACTTACTGTAGCTAGTTCATCGGAATCTACAAAATTCTTTTTGATTTTGAATTGTCCAATATCATTGGGTATTGGTGCTTTAATACCGTACACTAAAGTTTCAGATCTGAAAGAAAAATTAAAATGATAAGGAAGCAAATTATTTTTTACAAGTACTGTGTATCATTAATGTTTTGGTGAAGATTCTCAGCTGCCAACGAGTGATAAATAAACAAGCTCTCCTCAATATCTTTAAGATCGTCTTTTACGCCTGTAAATTATTTTGTTTTCAAGAAGGTTTGCCAGCTAATATATAGCACTAACAATATTGACATACGGCATAACCTTAACTATCAAAGCGGTGATTTGAGTAGTAGGATAACATAGTGAGTACCTTAAGTCTGCTAATAATCGACGCCTAGAAGTTGTTCCATACTCCTGAATTTTCCATGCTTTAGCCACATTCGGCAATGGGTAAATATTTCCTAGGCTATTAGCTAATTCATCTCTGAAAATAATTAAAATAGAAGAATTAGCCACACCAAATACATTTAAAAGATGATATCGACAAAAATGAATCATAACAAAAAACATTGTGAAATCAAACTAATATATTTTTGAAGCAAAGCAAATTGAATATTACTTACTTGAAGGGTTCCAGCTCCTGGACTGTAGATGGTGATTCTAGAGACACAAGGTGACGGTTTGGATTAAATGTATCTATCCTTAATAAACTCAGAACATTAGTTACATTAACGCCATTGTCATAGGAAGCCACAAACCAGAAGAAATATATTTCTTCTGGCTGTAATAGGTCTGGTTTCGTAACTGTAACGCTACCAAATGAATTGATGCTGAAGATTCCCTGACTATTGACGCTTGCAAAAGTTAACGTCCCCGATGTTTGGTCGAGATTTAGATCCGTCGACGTCAGTGTTATGACGGATTCTCCAAGAACTGAACTAGACGATGTTTCTGTTGTAATGTAAACCAAGGGAGCTTCACCTTGTGATTCAATAATGGTATTATCTGACACATCAATCACGGTTACGAATATTTGGATAGAACTGGTCTTCATTGGGTTACCACCGTCTACAGCCTCAATGTCTATGGGCACAAATTTCGTGACTTCATAATCTAGAGGTTCTTTTATTTTCAGAAACATGCCACTGATTTCGAAATATTTCTTAGCAGCGGCATTAGCAGTATCTGCTATCTTCAAATCTACCTCACCATTATTTCCAATATCGTCATCCGTGACAGTGAATCTGGTTACAATTTGGCCAGCAGGAGTATTCTCAACTACAGTAATATCGGTATCTAAAGTTGTTATTTTAGGTGTGTTATCATTTTCATCTAGAACATCTATTGTTACTTGCTTAGTGTACGAGATATTATTATTATCAGATATATCAATCTTCAAGTTATATTTAGGATATTTTTCTCTGTCTAAATCTACAAGAGTGGATATCCTCCCCGTCTTTTTGTCAATTTCGAAACTATTCCCAAAATTACCTCCGTTGATTTTGAACTGCACTGCGTCGGTTGGCGCATGTCCATCACGAGGAGTAACCATATCAACAACACCAGGGGGAAGATTTTCTTGAAATGACATGTTCTGTGCACTAGAACCAGTTATAATGGGTGGATTAATTTGAACGGTTAAAGCCATCGTTGTCGATAGTGGGGGAATGCCCTTGTCTATGGCAGTGATTCTCAATGTGTATTCATTATTTGCTGCCGAAAGACTCGACGAAGTTATAATTTCTCCCGTTGTAACTCCAACTAGGAAAAGGTCGTCAGTATTACCATCTGTGATTTCATATTCGATAGCGGCATTTTCTCCAATATCATCATCAGTTGCTGTAACAGTCAGGACAGTAGTACCTGGAGCATCACCACGATTTACTATCACTTCTGATGTTGGGTTGGGAAATAAGGGGAATTGGTCGTTGACATCGGTAACATTAACAGTCATCGATAATGTCCCTGTCATGGCACTGGTTGTAGCATTATCTACAGCTATTATAACAAGACTGTAACTATCTTTAGTCTCTCTATCTAATTCTGTATTGACGATCAGAGATCCTGTAATTGAATCTAGAATAAATTCAGATGTGGTCGGCTGTAACATGTACATTATTTGTCCATTGATCCCCGTATCTAAGTCAATTGCCTTTACTGTATAAAATGTTTGGCCTTGGGGCATGGTCTCTGCCACACCCACGGTAATAGTACCTGTAAAAGATGGAAACAAGGAGAAATGGTTAGTATTATCGACTGTAGTTATAAATACTCGCTAGAAAAAGAACATTAGAATAAATCCTCCCATTTGATTAAAAAACTAGGTATGAATTTTGATTTTGGATTTCTGTTATTTGATTGATTGCCGAGATTAGAATGTAGCTAACGACAGCTTTGACTTACCTGGGGTAAACTTAGGTGCATTATCATTGACATCTTCAACAAAAATAACAACCAGTGCTTTCCCTTCAAGAACGATGTCTTTAGCAATAACCGGGATATTGTATACACTCTGCCTTCTGTAATCCAATTTCTTGTCCACTATCAACATTCCATCTCTGTTTATTTTGAAATCAGACGAACCAGTTGTAACGCCTAAACTATAGCTCATAATTCCAAATGGCTCTCCATCCAAATCAGTAGCGTTAAATTTAATTAGTTCAAAGGGAGTCACCACACTTTCACTAACACTGAGACTATAAAACGCTTTTGAAAACGTTGGTGCGTGTTCATTGACATTAACTATGTTAACTGTTACTGTTGTGCTAGCGGATAGAGCTGGGTTTTCTTTACTTCGTGCATCAATAATCATAATATATTGGTTAGTGGTTTCAAAGTCCAGATCAGCCCCTATACCAATAGTACCATCGGAGTCCGATATATAGAACTTATTTTCCGTATTGCCACTGCGTATACTGTATTTCAGAGTACCAAAGTTTCCTTCCTTAGCACCAGCTGCTGTAGCACTAACATCGAAGGCAGTGGTACCTGCGACAGTCGTTTCAACAACAGAAACTGTATAGTCAGTTTCATTTGTAGGGAATTGTGGTGGTTTAAATTTGGGACGAACCTCTATAATCACTCGGGTAAAACCAGATCTTGACTGATTTCCACCATCAGTAGCAGCCAGGGTCAGTGAATAAATTCTTCTGACGAAGTAATCAACCTGTTTATTAGTTTCTACTGTATTATTTACAATTTTAAAATAGTTTTCAGGATCTCCATCGGTGATTTGTATCGTGGAAATATCCCCGTTTCTCCCAATATCGGCATCAGTAATCACAAAGGATAACACAGATTTGTTAGCTTCATCGTCGTGGGTTACCTCACTTTTATATGCTTCCTTGTCGAATTTGGGATCATTATCATTTACATCTAAAATATCCACAATCACAACAGCGGAAACACTTTCATTTTGTGCTTCTACGTTTACCGTTAGGTTGTATTGGTCAATATTTTCTCTGTCCAAAAGTTTAGCTAGATATATATCACCACTACTACCATCCATTACAAATGTCTGTTCCTCATTTCCCTGTGTTATGGTATAAGTGAACACTGTGTCAATATCTTTATCTTCTGCTAGAAGTTTGAATACGGGAGCCCCTAAGGCTTTATCCTCTGGAACATTTGATAGAACAAAGCCATCTGTGACGTTCACGATTTCTGGCATAAATTCATTCACATTTCTTACTCCAATAATAACTGTGGTACTTCCTGTTAGCGAAGTTGCCCCCTTGTCCGCAGCTAGTATCTCCAAGGTATACAGAGATGTTGTTTCGGCATCAAGAGCTTTATTGAGAGCAAGGTTTCCGACCTGATCTATAACGAAGTGACTTCCTAAATTCGAACTATCTGTGATGCTGTACACAAGTTCTCCGTTTTCTGCTAAGTCACCATCCACAGCCGGCAGAGATATTATAAAAGTACTATTGGCCAGATTTTCTACAACTTCTATGTAAAGAAAACTTGTTGAAAATGTCGGAACAATATCATTAAAATCTTCTACTAGGATTGTCAGTGACGCATTTGTTACTGAATTTGTATCAGAAGAAGTCGCCCGGATATTATACACAAAGCTTGACTTAGCTTCACGATCAAAACTGTTCACTAAGATTATTTTTCCAGATGACGGATCAAGTAACACATGATTATTATCATTACCGGAGATAAGTTGGTAGTCTATGAAGCCAAACACACAGCAAGCCTTTGCGTTATACAGTTGAACCGCCAAGGCTGTGTTTTCTGATATATTCACTGTTGCTGGAAGATTTGTAAAATTGAATTGAAGTTCAGCAATAATGTTGAACACAATCTTCACTACACGCTTCGGATCTCCTTTATCTTGAATTTCGAGAGTTAGTGTGTATTCAGTTTTAGTAGGTGGACCGATAAGCGTAATGTCCCCTTTGTTCTGATCTACTTTGAAGGTACTTGTAGGGTCACCAGAAAGGGCAATGTATTCAAATTCTGAATTGATGCCTTCATCGGCATCCGTACAATCAATTGTAGCAAGTTTTGCACCAATTTCATGGGGTAATTTTACGACGACGTTTGAAAGAGGTTCACAGATTGGGTTGTTATCATTAACATCCTCTAGAATAACGGTTACAGTTGTCGTCACACTCTTTTGAAATAAAAGGTTTTCTGGGTTATCTCTAGCAATCACAATTATTTCCCATCTTGGTTTATCTTCTCTATCCAAGGAACTTCCGATTCGAAACACCCCTGTTATTGGTTCAATTGTAAACGGTTGAAGTGGATCGACTATGGAGAACGTGACTTCACCATCAAACCCAGCATCTCCATCAGTTGCAGTGAAATTAAAGAGAATGGTACCTGTAAAAGAGAAGGCCGTATTATTAGAATTATTAGACAAAATTACATTCAAATTTATGATTCTGCCCTAATTTATGCATTTGCATTTTCGGTTTAAAATAATGGTCAGACCACAGCAAAGAGCTGACAGTTTAAAAGTCCAGATTTGCATTTTCGGTTCTAATATGATGGTCAGACCACAGCAAAGAGCCGGCAGTTTAAAAGTCCAGATTTGCGATGTCCAAGACTTGCTCAAAATTCCCCCAACGTGTACCAGTTTACGTGCCTGAATTTGAATCCAGTTGCATTAATCGCAATATTAATTCATACCATAACTTATATTATCGGAGTTATTACTATAGCTCTCTCACAAAAATGCTCGATTTTACCTTTTATATACAATTTTATATATTATTCTAAAATACATACTTATGCGAGAACAGTTTCTAATTTATAAGTCGACATAAACACAATTACCATAATGCACAACATACACCTATGTAACACTTGTGCACGGGTATGGCAATGATACATAATTATTCTAGATACATAAAAGTATACATATGTATATCATACTAAAAGCATACCTGGTTCAGTGTCTTCTTTTATGCTTATGCCATCATCAGGCACATTAATAACTGGCGTAAATTCATTTACAGGTATCACATTAATAAGAAGAAAGGCATAACCAGATTGTGTTGGTTCTCCCTTGTCGCTTGCTTTAATGTTTAAAGAAAAAACTGTATTCTGTTCGAAATCCACTTTTTGTTTGACCGAAACTACTCCAGTATCTGCATTGACTTTGAAATATGGGGCTGAAATAATCAAACAATGTTAATCTTATTAGATTGTCTTCTCCTTAAAAAGAAATCACATTGGCTCACTTTAATCATGTTCAATTTCTTTAAATGCCAAATCTCCAAATGTTTCGTTTATACGATACTTCAAGTATTACTTGAAATATTCTGTATACCAATACAGTTTGTAAAATTAGAGTGAGCTAACATCGCCAAAATATAACAGATGCTATTTGGCTTTGTAAATCGGGCATAAAAAAATGATTTACTAACCACCAATTTCTTGCTAAACATTGTGTATATAAAAATGATTTAGAAATTGTCTGAATCGACATCTTGACCATCGACATTTTATTATTTTCTCTTAACCTATATAGATGTATTTACTGACAAGTTTTGAACCCCCCAGCAACGGTGAATAAATTGGCCGAGTAGCAAAGCGTATCCAGATGTTTGGTACTTACAATCTATACTGTATGTAACTTCCCCATTTAATCCGTTTTCGGGATCTGTGGCACTGACCGTTAAAATAACCGTATCAATCTCAGAATCCTCGGAAACATTTCCCTGATAAAACACCTGAAATAAATAAATAGATAAATAAATAAATAAATGAATGAATAAATAAATAAATAAATGAATGAGTAAATAAATAAGTAAATGAATGAGTAAATAAATAAGTAAATGATTGAGTAAATAAATAAATAAATAAATAAATGAATAAGGATACTGCGAGCAACTTTACCTGGTCAAAGGTTGGCGCTACATTATTCTTATCAATAAGTGTAATATTAACTCTTGCAGTATTTGTAGCGGTAATTTTATCAGATGAATATGCATAAACTTCAAATGACACTGAAGGTGCGACTAGCCAGTTCATAATACTCGTCACAAAGATAGCACCTGAAAAACAAAAGTGTGTAACTTTTATCAGAATTTTAATATAGTGTCTCATTCCCCCCCCCCCACAATAGTCTTGTGTACCCATTGTCCCCACTCCGAACCACAAATATTTTCGTTAGACATGTACATGATAGTTTATACTATCTTCTCTTTAAATCATGCAGTATGACAAAATTCCTTTTTTCAACAAATTCATCATTTTGATTACCTGTTTCAGGATCGATATCAAACCAGTCTGGATCAGCTTTTGTCACAAGTCCATACTTTATAGTGGATGCTGGAGTGTTAGGTTCATCGCGATCTGTGGCCGTCAAAGCAAACAATACGTTACCAAGTGGTTCCGTTTCTTGTACAGCTATATAAAAAAAATGGCGATTGCTGTGTATTAAAATGTGTGTTAAGTACCTTCTCAAACAGAAAAAGGTTAGATTCTTTAAGAAGAGATGTTTCATGCAATTCCAAACATGCTGATATAAGGTAAAATGTAACATCGGAATCAAATCCCAGACTTCACACAGAAAACTAACATGCATATATTACGATTAGCTAATCAATTAATAGTAGTTACTAAATTGTTCATGCATAATAATATGAAATAAATTCTGTATGTAGTAACTGTCCATGTATAGAAATAAATTATCAGAACTGTAAGTTACGCTGTAATAATTTCTCATTCAAAAGCCACACAAAACGGTGTATTACAATGCGATGATATGTAGTCTTATAAAATAATACGAAGGCGGCATTTCTCACAATGAAAATAATAATTGTAGTTAAAACCATCTCGAATCCACCACAACCTACACATGTTACTTTATCAAAAAGTTATCCAACACCAAAAATAAAATATTCTACAACCAATACACCAAAGATCATAGATATACATATATAGATAGACATGTGTGACAATTGTATTAAAATAATTTATTATGCGGAATCATAACATGATCATAAATGAATAAATAATGATATTAGTATCTTCCACCAATGTTATGAAATAAGTACCATCCGAAAGACAAAATAAAATGAAATGAAATGAGGTTTAACGTCCTACTGTTCTGCTCCGACTGGGTTAATGAAGACGGACATACCCCATACAGTGTGGGATGATTAAACTTTTGTATGGACAGCGCCGCCATGTCCTTCTCTTGTATCGAATTTCAACTGTCAAGGGTTATTTTACGTGCACGCCAATGTGTACACGGGACCTCGGCGTTTCGTCCCATACGAACGACTATATGTTGTTCCTTGCCAGGTCCTACATCCTGCACTACTGACAAGGGGGAACCACGCCGGAAAAACCCGATGAAATCTCTCGGCCAACGCAGTGATCGAACATGGGGTCCCTAGGATGGCAAGCCAACGGCCTACCAACTGAGCCACCATGGCTCCCCCGAATGACAACCTGCCATTATGAGATTGCAATGATTTAACTGTTTTAAAAGAACGCAGCAATGGAATGATAATATAAATTAAGAAAGGCACCTTCCACCATTGCTATATTCCATGAAATATAAAATGCCATTTATCACAATGGTACATGCCATTTTTTATTGTCCATAATTACTAGATACCCTATATAGTCATTGGTTAGTTTTCAAATCATGTGAAACCTTTAGAATCTGTTATACGTTCATTACTATACTCGTGGGCCGTTATAAGATAATATATATAATATACCCTTAAATAAAATATAATTATATCTTCTGAAAATGAACAGTACATTGATATAAGTAGTTAATGTAAGCAATAAATAAAACTAAAATTAAAAATGTTAAAATTTCTTACCGAAACGATAACCTAAGATTTAAACATTTGTTATGAATATTGATTTTCAAACAAGCAAACGCATAGACTATATCCTTGATATTTGTTGTTTATTTCTTGCAATATTTATGTAGTTTGACTCATCCGCCGGTTTGTCTGTTTTGTTTTGCGCGTAGTGCGGTTTTTACGCAGTTACTATTAATATTTAAATACTGAGATAGAGCAGCATTCGAAATCTCCATAGTTTCAAAGAATTTCAAAGTTAAGCTTAAATTTAACCAAACTACTGATAAACATTGTTGATAAGGACTTCTACAAACTCACTTAACTTTGTCTCATCATATATTTATTACTATTGAATTTTAACAGACAAGAAGCACAAACATCGATGGGGATAAATTAAAAATCCAATGAACGAGATCTAGCAACAGCAAGTTAACTGTGGTATCCGCCTGTGCTTTGTCTTAAACGGTACCTTTTCATGCATATGTATAATATATATATGTATTCGTTTATATTCAAACCAATGTAAAAATGAAAAAAAGACAAAACAAAACAAAAAACAAACAAAACAAAACAACACCCACGGTGTATTGAATTAAACCTGATATAACAGAATACAGATTACGTACTTCCTTGGATTGGGTCAACAGGCCATTCTGGTATATTATCATCAACATCAGTAACAACAACACCAATAATAACAGTAGTAGTAAGAGAGGGTTTTCCGCCATCATAAACATCTATATTTACTTCATAAAATGGTGCCGTTTCGTAATCCACTTGCTTGATTAGTCGAAGTTGTCCAGCATTTATTGTAACCTCGAAAATTTCTTTTATAGCTTGAGTGTTTCCATCTGTAAATTAAGAATTAATTTTATATAAGTTGCATATGATTAAATAGTGCAATTGTTGCACGCCGTTGTTTTTATTAATCAACTGTCTTCGCGGGATCAAGTTATGCTTAATGGGAAAATACGCCAAAATAAAGTCCAATATGGAGCACAAGCCTATACATAATCAAAGGTACTTTTATCGTAAAAAGCCATAAAATAATTCAAATTGATCAACCAAACTTATTATGTCCACTAGTTTGTATTGATTTCATGACATTTTTATGACTTTGTAATTGTTCGAATTAGCTATTTGATTTTTATTCGTTAATATCGAGGTTGAGGCATTATGTAACTTGCATTTTTTTTTTTTATATCTTCTAAATCACTATCCGAATAACACCCCTGATCCTTATTTGAGTTTTTATTCAAAATTTAGCATCTTTAAAGGTCTTAATAAAGGAAGCTAAATAACCGCACAAAAACCAAAATTATACAGTACGTTATTTGATCCTTATTAATGTTTAATTTAGCATCTGGGGGACTTCTTAATAAAAGACCCTGGATAACAGCACATGAATCACAGTAATACAACAGGGCAATCGAAAGCACGGAGAAACGGCACTTACCTGATAATTTAAAGAATATAAGCTTATTTTGACCAGAATCAAGATCAGTGCAAGATAAGGTTGATATATCTTTATTTGTCGGAAGGTCTTCTTGAATCGATTCCAATTTATAATGATTGATACAATCCTGTTGACAAATGAAAGCAATTATAATACCACATACAACTATTTAAAATAAAGAAGCCGCAATACAACTACCAAAATGAGCTGATGACATAGACCTGGTTATTCGTTAATAATTGTAGTTTATATCAATATAAATTATCCAGTCAACTGCAGATACAATTGTTATTTCAGACACTATTCATGGTATATGCTATTATTTAACTTACTGGAAAATTGTCATTGACAATTTATATTATCCAGTCAACTGCAGATAAAATTGTTATTTCAGACATTATTCATGGTATATGCAATTATTATAATAAACTCACTGGAAAATTGTCATTGACATCCAAAACATTAATTGTCATACTTTGTGTTACTGTCCTCGGTGCCTTGGGGTCTAAATCATAGGCTATAATACCAATTGCATACATCTTGTGCTTTTCATAGTCAAGTAATGTGTTGACATAAATATCACAAGTTTCTGAATCAATAACCCATCTTCTGGCACCCGCTGAGTCTGAAAAACAAAATCACGCTATAGCTTATATCTGTCCAGAGAAATCTGAATTTATTCAATTTTATCCAAAGAGTATATATAGAACCATACTTTACCATAGGACCAAAACAGAAATAATAATTTGTCCACTACAGTGAATGAATGATACAATGGTGTGTCGATAAAGCCCAGATACTTTCTCCCTCAAAAAGACAGAGGGGACTCTAACAACCTACACAGACAGGTGATTGGAATGGAGAATACTAGTATGTAACTGAAGACTTGGCAGTACCTCGTCCACCAGTAGTTTACTTATAAGAAAACACACACCATTGATGCCATAGTTGTTCGGGAATAATTGAAATAAGACTACTACGGGGAGTCACGACAGGGCTAAAGCTCCCTGGTAGTATGAAACTGTGTCATTTGACTGTAGGATGATCTTGTCACGATGAGCAGTAACCTGTCCAGACAAAAGAATCCTATTATAGTATGCTTTGGATATGATAAGGTGTAGCGCTCGCAATAATAAAAATAATAATGATATATGTACATACATGGTTTGATAATACCAACACGAGTTTGTCCAGGAAGGGCACCATTTTTGGAGTCTTTATCTTTAACTGAACATTTTGCGATTTTTGTCCCGATGGGTTGATCTTCATATAAATTAATAGAAGTAGGCAGATCCTTGATAACTGGGCTATTGTCATTTACATTAGACACAAAAATTCCAATAAGAACTTTTGTACTAAATGCACTGGCACTATCATCTGTTACAGTGACATGGAGCTAAATTAAACAAAAATTAAATGTTTATATAATTATCATATGAACCAGGTGCCATGGTAGCTCGGTAAGTATGGTTTTCCGTTTTCAGTGGCGCAGGGCGGCTGAGGAGAGACTGGCAAGGAAAAACGTCTAGTCATTTAGGCAGAAAACCGATTACACCATTGACACCACATTAAAGACCCGGCTCTCAAAGCAAAAGTCCCTTCAATGCGCATTGTATGGCATAAACCCAATTAATACTAGATATGCGTACAATCTACGCCCGCTTCCGATTTGGTTCTATTTCAGACCTTGCCATACATCGATACAGCCAAAAAAGGGTTATGAGCTCAGAAACTAATCTTACGGAACAACTGGGCTGCATTCACAAAAGAACAAGCGAAACGAACTCAAGCGTTCTAAAAATATTTAGGATACCCTGCATTGGTCACGATACACAACGTACCAGACCATTTCCACATCTCATTCATTCGATTACTAAAAAGAAAATGTGAAAAGTGGATTTTTTCCCATTGATGGCATTTTGAAAGAAGTCCAATCAATAAAAAGATTAATTATAAAAAAAAACCCATCCCTATCAGTGACTGGTAGTGTTATCGACCTGGCTATTTTGCTGCACTTACGATTAATACTATATAATTATTTTACAAATACAATTGATAATATAAGCCATTATCTAATTAAAAACAAACCAACAAATAACCATGCCACACAAGATACACATTTCTACATTAATAAAAAAGAAGCCAACTCACATTGTATTTAAATGTAAAATCAGCATTGAGAGTCTTAGCCAGCCTAATTTCACCAGTTTGTGTTATTTTAAATTTTTTATAAGTATTTCCCTTGGATTCTAGGAAATACGTTAATTTATCTCCATCGGGGTCAGTGCATCCTAGGTCATACACCATGTGATCCAACGGTTCGGCTTCACTAACATTCAACGTCACACCATTCGATTTACATATTGGAAAATTTTGTGCCGAAACTGAAATTTAAAAAAAAAGATAAATACAAATGTACAAAATGTTCATTTTGTTTATGAATAATTTAAGAATTTGATTGTGTAGACATCTGTAATAGCTAATGTTGATTTTGTTCCCGATTAATTTAAGAATTTGATTACATAAACATCTGTATTTTGATTATATAAACATCTTTATATAATCTCAAGTTTAGATACAATTACCCTTTATGTATGATAGATGTGTAATGTATTCACTTGGTTTACGTTAGTGTTGGATAACAGAAGTTTTACTGCGGTGTTTTCAATTACAAAACATGCTGTTGAGTTCGTGTAAGCGTAAGCGTTCGTGTAAGCGTTGGATATAACACCAAGGGACCACCTTGGACACATTTGCTTGTTATCGTCGAAACTTACGCTTTTGTTATTTAAAATTAAAAATATCAAAATCTACACAAATGGATAATTCCAAAAACGTTTATGTTAAAGCAACACTAAGACTATGCAATCCATAATAATTTGTCTTCATTAATCAGCTTGTAATCAAACGAATTGTTGAATATTCTTGAATAATGTCCATGTGTTGTCACTCTATAACTCACCTACTGTAAAAACAAATGTTATTTTTCCAGCGAACTTAAGAATTTTCAAACGTTGTATCTGAGAAAAGTGGAGGCTTGTAAAATACCAAAAAACGTGACCAGAAGGGCGATTACACGATTTCGAGAATCCACAAAATACAGTCTCGATCTCTTAAAGGAGCATCGGTCTAGCAATAGTTGGGAACGTTGAATTGAAAATTTGTCAACGTTCGACATCCTCGGCAATCGATATAAATAATTTATAGTCAAATCTTAGAGATAGATAGAAATGGTTCTTAACGTCCAACATTTCGATTGCGATTAGGAACTTTAGTGCTCAGTGAGTGTGTGTGTGTGGGGGGGGGGGGACCCCAGAGATAACAATTGAGGTTGGACCCGATGTCAGGTCATTTAATGTATACGTACACGCTAGACCACCGACCTTAAGCCCACTCACTTGGTCGAAACAAGGTAGCGGCACTTATAATCTTCGCTAAAATCTTTTGATGGGCCTCTTTTTAATCTTAGCCAGGATATTATCTTATAGCTTTGATATTTAGATTTCGTTTTCTTGGTTCAATGTTAAATAATAAATCATAGCGTGGAGTAAGCCGTGACAAATTAGATAATGTCAGGAAATGCAAATGGCGATCAGCGACTTTAATATGTGACTCCGAATATTAATGATGTTCATCATTATTACCGGCTTGTACGTGACAAAGAGTTAAGTCGCCGGATCGAACCCCGTGACTATTGAACTCCGGTTCCCCTTAATTCTACGAACTTCTGTGAGTAAGCGAATTATTGAAATAAATATATGATTAATATAGATTAACCCAAAGCCACTTTGTATCATATCTTAATTTGACCACAATATCTAGTCCAAAACCAGCTGGTATATCAACAACAGGTATGATTTGCATATTTAAAATTAAACATTTATATTATATTTCTTTTGTTTGATGATCAATATAATTAGTCAATAATAAATGACATTATTTACCGACTTAGATTTTAAAATGGCTTTCATCTGAATAAAACCAAAAAGGGCAATTCAAAATAATAATAATGAAATACTGAACAATTACTAATTGTCCTTTGCAAAGTATTTTGCATTGAAATTTCTATTTCGAGAGCAATAATTTTTAACGGTTCGAAGCCTCATATACTTGAATATGATGTAATTGTTAATATATATATAGAACTACTTTCAATGACAACAAAGCACCAACACCTGTCATAATGGGAAAATTTCGTTTTACCTTGTTACCAACTAACTAAAGGGTACTGGGTGGTCCAACGCAAAGATCATAAGGTCTGTCATTGAGTCATGTGGCACGGTTTTGATCCTATTCTAGTGTGTGACAAGGAGTATAGTCGCCTGTCTAACACCGTGGGTATTCTCCGGGTCCTCTGGTTTTCTCGCACACTCAAGCGAATTATTGAAATAGAATTGTATCATATCTTAATCTTGAAATGATTGGACATTACTCTCTCTCTCTCTCTCTCTCTCCCTCTGTTATCAACAGTACTCATAATACAATGACGATAGGTCTACTACAACCTAATCATTGATTAAGAAATCAATAATTTTCATTCGGGCTATGATTGATTTTATAATCGTACACGACGCTAATAGAAATTATTTAGATTCTTAATTCACTGGAAATAAAATGAAATCTATATAAATATTTGTAGCGCAAAATAGAAAAAGAACCCGAATGGTGACGATTCATGGTGACGAACCCGAAAAAGTACGCCGTCTTATGTTGTATGAGAAATCCATTGCAATTCTCAAATATAATAATTATTAGATTCACTTATTATTTTGATTTTGTGAATACTCCCCCAATTGGTGGTTTTATGCCTAAAATACTTTTTTTTATAATTTTAGTTGAAAAATCGCATTTTGCGCTTACCATTATAATCATAATAATATTGTTCGGGTTGATAATATATTTCAGATAATCACGGTGAAAATGTGTAATGTTTAAAGAAAACAAATACAAGGGGTCAGATGCATAAAATACACTGGATTCAATACATTACAATTGTATTTAATTACATACACATTATTGTATTTTAATATGTAATAACATATGAAATATAAAAACATAATGTAGTATGTGTACTAACCTTGTGAAACTGTTAATATGACTAGAATAATATCAAAAATAATGTTTTTCTTCATTTTTGTAAATCAGTAATCGAAGCACTTGAATATCATATATCCAATAAACAATAATAATTAGGCACTAAATACGTAAAATATACCGAAACATGGCCGCTAGTACAATGTTAACTCTTACAACTCCTCGTTATATTTAACCATAAACAGATCCAAGCCTGTGATCATTTTTTTCTGCATATATATCAATACAGTGTAAACGACATTCATGGTTACAATATGTTTGAATGCGGCCATTGTGACTTTTGTTGGTAATGAGAAAATAACCTGGATACTATGAAACATCAATACGCAATTCAAACTATATGGGAAGAATACCCGAGAATACACTTATTATTTAAGAACATGACATATGAGATTGTCAAAAAAAGAAAAAAAAAGAAAGCAAAATCACGATAGAAAGCGATATGGATAGAAATATTTCTAAACAAGACAGACAACGTCTATTTGATTTGTTTTTGCTTTAGAAATATTCGTTTGTCTTAAAAAAAAAAGGATATTACATAAATGAATATCAAAAGATTAAAAATATGTGTGGGTGAAGTTTGGTTGGGTTAATGACGACTATATTGACGCCTTTATTAGACCTTCTGTCCGAGGTAGTCAATGAAGAGGAATAAGGGATTAGCCTTGAGTTCATTATTACACATTCCTAGGGATTGAAATCATCATATTTTGTATTTAGTAGTTATAAAAGGTGGAAATCAAAATTATTTCTTGAATTTGAATAAAAAGCAGGTTACCGGTCCTAGTAAACAACCTTCACTTAATAGGGTGGTCCAATGATCTGTCATTGAGTCACCTGTGCCGTCCCATATATCCATCCTCGTGGGATTATCAGTGCCTCGCTGCTTGCTACCACAGCTACGACTATTGTTATCAGTGCCCCGATGCTTCCTACCACAGCGACGACTATTGTTATACAACCATATGTTTTCCCGAAATGAGCTAGTTATTGTCGACTGGACGTTAAATATCTCCCCCCCCCCCGAAGGACCGGAGGAGGCCTTTGAAATCTCCAATCTGTTTCTGCTTTTAAAATTGTGAATATGTAACTTCTATGTGAACTTCAGTTCTTAGTTATAGTTCTAAAGCAGCTTATATATGTATAATTATTTAAATTTATTTGCGAGGACCCACGTTCCTTTAATCCGTTTCTGATTCTATGTTTATAAAATAAAAAAAAAACATATACGAGAGCATACTTGTAAGGTTTCTACACTATTAAATAGTCTTTATCTTTCCTTCGTGTTTTATAATTCACGACTGTGTTGTTTTTTTGGTAAAATCATCCCTGGTTTGATGGAACGCGACAAGTGATTGTGATTCAAGTGTTATTTACGACGATAACAGTGAAGGATTGTATCATAATGCAAAATATCATTAGGAGACTAAATCCAAGATAACTTTTTTCCTCGGGTCAGTTCGTTTGTTACCACAAAAAACAAAACACTACAAAGTGTGGAACCATGTAGCAATCCCCCTTTAAGTTTCCAACTCAGTCAATATAAGTAATCAAACAACAGACATTTAAAACTCTCCGTTACGCTTATACTATTAGTGTGGTTATTAGATTAAATTTGTGAATGATTTAAGAATTTTTGGTGTTCTTACCTGGAGTACCAATTCGCATCAAAACCACCGCCAGAAATATTCTGTTCATTTTCGCTTAAACCACTGATGAAAATCAATTCATATTTGACATCATCGCCGGTAAATAACATGTATCAATCACCAAAAGAAAACAACATTATTGTTATCCATTATTATTTGTTTTCGACAACTGGTGGATTTGGTTTTATATCAGTGAGTTCTACTTCATTGCTTCTGATTGAATTGACCGATAGTCACGGCCATATAGCCTTCACCAAATCTATATATTTATGTTGTATTGTTGCTAGTTTGTAGTGTAAAGTCAATAAAAGGAAAAATATATCTACAAGGGTATTCTTCATAAAGTTCGGGAGGATAAGAAAACTTGAGTAAACCGTTCAGCGGATGAATTACATTCAGATTTTCGTCTCTGCGTTTGATCATTTGAATTGAATCTTTAATATGAGTATTAGTCCATGAATGGTTCCATTCCGTTCAGTATTTATAAAAAATATTCTATTTATCCATGCTGCCACATATGCAAACAAGCCTCCCACCATCTTTTTCTTTCGGGAAATGTAATTAATGGGTCTGTTTATAATCGACTAATCGATTGAATCCAAGTTGATGTTTTCATTTTCTTCTTAATTAAATGATAACCAATCTGACACACTTTAAGTTACTTTGATACGTTCTTTCCGAATAAGAAGAACATCGGAGAGGTAAATTGGCGAGGAGTGCGGGGAGAATTATTACAAGACATAGGCCATAATGTCATTTCGACATAATTATAAGCCAATCAATAATTTCCAAACTAGAGATTAAAATATATGTTTATTGTCATACTTGAAAAATCTTACATTATCAATTTAATAAATATAGTACAAGCGAAATTGTCCCACAACCTATAAACCAATAAATCATTAATAAAAAAGAATATTGCGTGTCTATAACAATGCTACATTTGATGTATGTGTTTTTCTTGTGCATTATTCAGATTATTTGAATCAAAATTCAATAATTGTTTATAAAAAAATGATTACCCACTAACGCAGAGGGTATTATCATATATATCATATATATATATATTGTTTATATTGGATTCCCAACTTATTACTTATATAAACAATGTGTGACCTTTCAATGTTTTAAAGCAATAATCTTGAAACACAATGACCAGAAAAGAAAGAGATAACAATCATTGTTTCTTAATAATGACAGCATACTATATGAACCCGAGAAAACAATGAAATATAGTCATATATACTTCATATACTATAATGTCTGTTATTTATACTAATATTTCATATGAACTGCAAAATAACAGTATAACAATTAGCGAGATATATAAAAGAGTGGTAACACGAACGCATGGACATCTGTAAAATAAATATATACAAAAATGTGTAGCTCAATAAAAATAACAGTAACACATCTTAAGAGATAATCAAAGACAAAGGACTAATACATTATTGAATGAAATAAAAGGCAAATTCAACTTAATAAAGAGTGGACGTTGTAAATGGGAAAGAGAACCCGCCAACTTTAAAATCGTAAAATAAATAGTCCTAGTAAAAAACCAGAAAAGTGTCATTAAAAAAGGTCTGCGATAATAGTAGTCACGGACAAATTATATATATCTCAATAAACTTTCCTGAATGGATATTTAAGTTTAACTGGTATAGAGCCTTGTGTCAGTGCTTTAGGTGTTCACATTTTGTCAAGAAGTTACACAGTCATGTTTAATCGCCAAGAAATATATTCAAACGAAATTACGGAAAGTATCAAAAAAACAAACAAAAAAAACCCCAAAACATTCTTTAATTTTATTTGCTGTTATTCAATTTTGCCTATGAATATTACTGTATGTATCCTGCCTAGGCTGAATAAATTGAATTTGTGGTATTTCTGAAAATCATTGCCCAACTATAAATGTCTAATTGTTAGTTTCAGAAGAAACGATTTTAATTGACCGATTCATATTCAGGTTGGGAAAGAATTCACTTTTCGCTTCACTGACAACCAGTTTGGGTGTGGCCTTTTTCTTCTTCTTTCCACCAAGTACAGATCGGTCAGATTCCGGGTTATTGCTTCTCTCCACCCATAATGTACTGCCTGTTCGTGTATTGTAAGCATAGCGCTGATGTGTATCTGTAAAATAAAAATGTTATTATCAAATTAAAGTTGTATGATGTCGTCAATCTGATTTTATTTATACTGGCCTTCACTACCTGGTGTAGGGAATATACAAGTAAAATGAAATTTTGAAGTATAAAAAAAACAAAACGAAATAGGACTTGTGATTTAATCGGAGTGTTATTGTTATGTCGTATTTATTTGATCAGTTTTGATCTTTTTGACTAAAGAGCAGAACTCAGATCAACGACATGGGATAACAACGTGGGCTACTTATACAAAATCCACGAACGGTATATATAGTTTTCGACCCCACCACTAGGCAATGGATACAATAATTACCACGGTATGATAAAGTAGGAACCAAAAGAAAACGAAGTATTATTAAATATACGTCTGTGGACAGTTTATTACTTACAGTCTGTAGAAGAACAAAGATACGACACAAGCGATCCCAACAACAAACAAAATAGGAAGTTCAATGCAAAAATAAGGAAAACATGATCAGCAGAATCTGAACTCGTTAGGGGATAAAATGTCATCAACAGTGACTTGTGACAAATGGCATGAACGCATAACCGTATCCTTCCTTGAGTGGGACAATAGTCAATGTATAACATAAGGTCAGATCAAATGTATTTACCTGTATCGTAACCAAAAGCATCATATTTATGACCACGTTGTATTTGTGGAACATCTAATCTCCTAGCAATGACAGGTGAGTTGCTACTACTCATACCAGTACCAGTACCATTGTCTATTTCATTATGATCTATGGTGCTTGCTTGCCTCTCCGGTATCGGTTGGGATACCAAAATAGCCCTTTTGTCTATTGGCTTCAGTCTTTGCTGGTTGTGTGATTCCATATTTGATTCTAATGATGGTTCCTGAACTGGAGGCATCATTGGTGAAAACCGAGATTGTAGATTTTTCCCACTTGTAGATGCTAAATATGCCAATAATACATTTCATAACAAACGTATGGAATAAGATAAAACTTTAAGAAAATATGTATAGTTATTGGTCAAATATATATCTGTTAAATCAACAGAAATTGTTCTTAAATTTTGACGATAAAATTTAAAAATATTTCGCAGTTTGCTTCTGCACAGTTTAGTTATAAAAGAAGTGTTCTTAGCCTTGGATTTTTGCATGTAAAATGGTAGGCATCTTTATCACCCAATAACACATTCTACGGAAGATATCGCTTGTGTGATAACTTTCATAATACTGGGCTATATCGCTTTACATGAATTTGATTGGTCAATTAAAAAGGGACTACTTTTTTTTTATTCAAATGGAACTACTTTTTGGATCCAGTAAAATTGTCGAAGAAAAGTTCTCAATTACCATAAACAATTATAATGCTCCCTATAACCTTAAATGAAACACCGGGTCAATACATGTATAGGGGGGGGGGGGTGAGAATGGGTGCGCTTGCGCGCTGTATCACAAGGTCTGTCATTGAGTGAACTGGCGTGGTTTCGATTTCCCGGTTGTACGTGACAAGGAGTAGGGTCGCCTGTTCAACCTCGTGGGTTTTCTCCGGGTCCTCAGGTTTCCCCCCCACTGCTAAGGACCCCTACGCGCAAGCGAATTATTAAAATGAATTTGAACCATATGTTAGTCCAAAACCCCCGCCTCTATAGCAAAGAATTATATTTACTTATTTATGCGCGTAAGAAAGTGTTGGGTGATAAATAAAATCTCCTAGTCGTCTTTTTTGATATCAAAAAAATATCCACACTCGTCGATAAAGTAATAAAAACAAATCGGTAAAGCCTCTTTTTTTATTTTATGGACTTGTTTTGATATCTTTTGATATGAAAAAAGACGAGTAGGAAATTCTCTATGTAACATACAATGCAATATTTAATAGAGCTCATTAGACATAAAAATAAAATGTTTGCGGTCACACACGAACTCCCATCAAGAAGAGAGAACAGAACGCGAGGAGCGACTGGACCCCAGGTGGTGCCAGTACAACGGCGCAAAAACATGTAAACAACAAAGACAAACTACAAATCAACGAGTGCTATCAATAGTGAACAGTCGAACTGTATAAATCTCTTCATTAGCATCCGTATTCCTAAAAAAAGTGAAGCAAAGTGATAAATTAATGACTGTTGTAAAATAGGTTCTATGAAAACGGGAAACCAGATGCATAACTGACGTCTGGGAATTCAACTTACCACCACCCGTGTCTCCATCGAAATCGGGCATCAACAGATTATCTTGAAATTGAGATTGTCGTCTGGTCGTTTTATTAGTTGGTGGTACAGAGGCAAGATCAACATCTGTTGCGCCAGTGAATTTCTTTTTACTAGACCTCTTCTGAAATTCACAGTAAGTCGAATATATTCAAGTTTCATATTACCCAATCTTATCACTAATAATGGAGATTAGATGTCCTGGATAAATGTTTTTGTTTGGAAATCTACAATCTTAATTTCTTTTGAAAACTGTTGCTATGTAAATATATTATACGTTTTCTAATTAGTTATTTGGAAGTTAACATCGTTATGATACGTGTAGATTGTAAAATGATCACAAATCGATAAGAATAAGAGAAACTGCAGAAATATCCAATGTCTTACCGGGAATTTGGTAGCATCTATCTTGCTCGGCCTTTCCGTTTCTTCTGAAATCAAATGAAGGAAACAAGCAAATTATCACCATCTTTATAAAATAAAAATACTCATTAGCTTTTTATTCGGATACACCCAGGACTTAGGGAAATTTGATGTATTATGCAGCCTTCAGAAAATTATGATTTAAGTAACACAATCAAAATGCATATAAACTACAGTATTTTGGGAAAGTTTATCGCCTATGGCCCTTTCCTTCCATCGACAGTGTTAAGAACACAAAATAATTTAATCTTACCTTGAGATACTAAGCTCTGTGTAGATTCGTTTAATCTGTTACGTAAAACAAAAAAGTGATTTCATCTTTATTGATATATCGAGAGTAAAATAACTGAAGAACTAATATGTAGTCATACTAAATTATTATAATTTTCAAAAATATCGATTAAAATGGTTTCTTTACACATATCTCTTATACACTGTTTTTTTTTATATCTGAATAGGTATTGGGGAACAGACATAGCCTATATTAAACCCCTCTCCGATGGATGTTGAGTGGATCAGGTATTAATCAAAACTATGCGAGTGCTCAATTTTCTTGTCCGACACAAACAAATAACAAAAAATATATGGATCATTTACCGATTTACCAACTGAAATCACTTCGCAAACTGTCCAAATATCAAGCCACTATATCGTAGATGTTTAAATACTAGAAAGAAGCATTATCTTATCTTGTAAGCAAATTAAGTTACCTTTTCTGTTGTCGTTTTTTCTTTTTGTAGATACAAAAAATTAGCAAAATAATAAGGAGGATTATTAATAATAGTGCCAGAAGGGCAAAAAACACGTAACCCTCTAAAGATGATGTAAAAGCCTCTGTGGAGTCAGATGATTCCGGTTTTTTGTAGGCATTTACAGACTGAATTAGATAATTAGTGGTGGCTAGTTTTGGATCAGGTATATCTTGGTCAGGATTCTCTCGTAATGTCTGAAAAGATGATAAATGTAGAATTAGATATTGGCGTTACTCATGAACAATTAGAAATAGAGGCGAAAATTGATTACTTACGATTTCTAAATCTCTAGAGGTTTTGAATACTTTCTTTATTTTGAAGTCCGCTATATCATTCGGCACAGGAGCTTCAATTACATAGACCAATGTCTGAGATCTGTAAAACGTGAATGTTTTGAAATGTTTACAGTGTCCATAAGTATTTTTTAATAAATTCTGTAGATTAGTTTTTTTACTTGATTTTATTGTATCTTAAAAAAAATCATACCTTAAAACGTCTAATAATCTGCGCCTTGATGATGTTCCATACTCCTGGATTTTCCATATTTTTACCACATCTGGTAGTGGGTAGAACTTTTGTAAGCTGTTTAGGAATTCTTCCCTAAAATATGTCCAAGTACATAATATCAGCTATGATTTATAGATGTATATACTTACATGCAACGCGGTATTAGATTCAAAGGAAAGCATAACGTAAGGCGCATACTAGAGATGAGATGAAAATATGACTTACTTATATGGTTTTAACTCTGAGTATTCAGATGCAGATTCCAGGGATACTAGATGAAGATCTGGATTGAAAGTGTCAATTCGGAGTAAACCAAGCATATCAGTGGCGTTGTCAGCAGAAGCCAAAAACCAGAAAAAATAGACCTCTTCGGGTTTTAACAGTTCCGCAGTTTTAACTGTAACGGTCCCAGTTGTATCTATGGTGAAAATGTCTTCCTCATTCACACTCAGAAAGGTTAATGGCCCAGAGGTCACGTCCAGCTTCAGATTCTGTGCAGTCAACGTTATGACGAATTCACCGACAGAGGCACTAGATGAAGTCTCGGTTGTCAGATACACAGATGGCGCTTCCCCTTGCGAAGGTATAGTAGACCCACCACTGTCTTGAACATCTATAATAGTAACTGTTACTTGGATAGAACTAGTTTTACTTACATTCCCACGATCTACAGCCTCTATGTTTATAGGTACGAATTTTGTGGCTTCGTAATCTAGAGGTTCCTTTATTTTCAGAAAGACCCCACTGATTTCAAAATGTTTTTTAGCAATGGCATTAGCAGTATCTGCTATCTTCAAATCTACTTCACCATTATTTCCAATATCGTCATCCGTGACAGTGAATCTGGTTACAATTTGGCCAGCAGGAGTATTCTCAACTACAGTAATATCGGTATCTAAAGTTGTTATTTTAGGAGTGTTATCATTTTCATCTAGAACATCTATTGTTACTTGCTTAGTGTACGAGATATTATTATTATCAGATATATCAATCTTCAAGTTATATTTAGGATATTTTTCTCTGTCTAAAATTTCCAGATTGGAAATCATTCCACTCTTTTCATCTACTTGGAAGGTATTACCAATGTTACCCCCACTGATGCTGAACGTTATAAAAGACGTGGGAGAATGACCCGTTTTTAGTTTAACTATACCAACTTCTGAATTAGTGCGGCGATTTTCTAAGATTGTCATGGTCTGTTCACCGGAACCAGTTATAATAGGTGGCTCAATCTGAACACTTAAAGTCATCGTTACCGATAGCGAAGGAATACCTTTGTCTTTGGCAGTTATTACCAATGTGTATTCATTATTTGCTGCAGAAAGACTCGACGAAGTTATAATCTCCCCAGTTGAAACTCCAACTAGGAACAAGTCGTCGGTATTACCATCTGTGATTTCATATTCGATAGCGGCATTTTCTCCAATATCATTATCAGTTGCTGTAACAGTCAGGACAGTAGTACCTGGAGCATCACCACGATTTACTATCACTTCTGATAATTGGTTGGAAAGACTTGGAGTTTGGTCATTAACATCGATGACATTAACGGTCAAAGATAAAGTCCCTGTCAATGCAGAGGTTGTAGCATTATCCACAGCTATGATAACAAGGTCGTAGCTGTCCTCGACCTCACGATCAAGTGCTGTATTGAACGCTAAGGCCCCAGAAACATTTAAATTGAATTTTGCGTCTGATGATAAGAGTCTGTACTCTATTTGCCCGTTAATTCCTGGATCCAAATCTGTTGCCTTTGCCGTATAAAATACAAGTTCTTTAGGCATGCTCTCCAAAACTCTAACAGTGACATTACCTGTAACAACAAACAAATTGTTACATATTGTTAGCATTCATTACTTAATAACAGTCCACCAAAAATCAATAGGAATAATGGCAGATGCCGAGCTTTCTTTTTTAATCAGCTTACCATAATAAAGTTGTAGAAATTTAATGCCCGACCAAAACAAACTCAAACTTTTATATCTTAGTTATGCCGGAATGTCAAGGGAAATGTTATTAGCAATCGCTAATAGCTAAAATTTCTCATTTTGTCATGCTGCTCCGTTATTTGTTTTCATAAGCAGCATAAAAAATGGTTATAAAGAATACAAGAAAGAATAGAATGATATATATTAATTATTATTTTTTTTTAATAGAATACAATATGTGAATTTATGCAGTCGTATACTTACTTGGGTTGAAGGTGGGTGCGTTATTATTTACATCATCAACAGAGATAACAGCAAGTGCTTCACCTTGGAGAATTCCATCATCAGCAATGATGGGTATGTTGTAAACACTTTGCCTCAGATAATCCAATCGTTCACGGACTGTTATTATACCGTCAGTATCAATTGTAAAGTCAGTAGCACCGATTGCATTTCCTAATCTATAGGTGATACTTCCAAATGGTTCTCCATCCAAATCAGTTGCATTCACTCTGCCTACTTCTGAGGAAATCGTCAAATTTTCAGTTGCATGGAAACTATAGAACACCTTACTGAAACTTGGTATATGTTCATTAAAATTTACTATATCAATAGTAAGTGTTGTACTTGCTGAAAGAACTGGGTTTTCTCTACTCTGTGCATCAATTAGAATTATATACTGGTTTTGGCTTTCAAAATCCAGTTCTGCCGCTAAATAGATGGTGCCGTTAAACTCTGAAATGTAAAACTTGTTGCCAGTATTACCATTACGTATACTATATTCCAAATTACCAACATCCCCTTCGATTCCACCATTCGAAGTCGCATCCACGTCAAATATGGCTTTTGCTGGGGACGTGTCCTCTCTTATAGATACTGAGTAGGCAGAATAGTTGAATTTGGGTGGCTTGAATTTAGGAAGAACATTAATAACAACTTGAGTGAAACCAGACCTTGAAGGGTTTCCACCATCGGTTGCTTTCAATTTCAGTGAATACAGCTTAGTGTTGTAGTAGTTGATAAGTGTATTAGTTTGTATCCCAGTAGTACCCACAGTCATAAAATGGTTATTATTATCCCCAGAAATGATTTCTAGTGAGACTATTTCTTTATTTGTACCAATATCGGCATCCGAAATGGAAAAATTTGTAATAAACGTTCCAACGGGATCTTCGTGACTTACTTCCAACGGATACAAATCAAGGTAAAACTTTGGGTCTTGGTCATTTACGTCCAAAACATCAATAACCACCACAGCCGAAACGTTGTCACCCTCCTTTGTTGAAACGCCTATTGTTAAATTGTATTGGTCAACCATTTCCCTATCCAATAATTTTACTAGATATATATCTCCACTGCTACCATCTATCACAAAGCGTTCGTCTTCATTTCCGTCGTAGATTGTGTACTTAAAAATGGTATCAACATCTTCATCTACAGCTCGGATGGTAAATATAGAAGCATTCAATGCTTCATCCTCTGATACATTAGCAAATACAAGACCATCCTTGATATTGAGTATCTGGGGTTTAAATTCATTAACATCTATTACCCGAATAACAATAGTTGTACTCCCACTTCGTGCCGTGGATCCTTTATCCGTTGCAATAATTTCCAATGAATAGTGGGTTGTTTTTTCGGCATTAAGAGATGAATTCAGTGTTAGAGTCCCAGATTCGTCTATTTTAAAGACAGATCCTATGTTCGAACTCGGATTGATACTGTACACAATTTGCCCGTTTTCGTCAAGATCTTCGTCTATAGCGGTGGCGTTTAATATTTCTCCACCGACATTAAACGTTTCCGACAGAGATATATATTGGAAGCCTGTGTTAAATTTGGGGGTAATATCATTCGAATCGATCACATGTATCGTGAGGAAGCCCACTGTTGATGAATTGGTGTCAATCGAAACGGCTTTAATTTCATAAATGAAAATGTCCTCTTTTTCGCGATCATAGCTGTTCATTAAAATTAGCTTTCCAGATGACGAATCTAGGAATACATGGTTCTTCTCGTTGCCTGAAACTAATGTGTATTCTGTGAAGCCAAAAACACAGCAAGCATCAGCATCATACAGTTCATATGCTAAAACAGTATTTTCAGTGATATTTACGGTTGCTGGAAGATTTGTAAAATTGAATTGAAGTTCTGCAATAATGTTATACATAATCATCACGTCACGCGTCCGATTTCCCATATCCTCGATTTTGAGGGTTAATGTGTATTCAGTTTCTGTAGGGTAATCAATAAGCCTGATAATCCCGGACGTTTCGTGGACTTCAAAGGCATTTCGTGGATCCCCTGATTCTTTCAGGTACCTTAGTTGTGCATTTAATCCTTCATCCGCATCTGTACAATTTATGGTAGCAAGCTCTGTACCTAATACGTGAGGTAAAGTTATAACGGTGTGTGAAAGAGGTTCACAGATAGGACTGTTGTCATTGGCATCTTCTATGACAATGGTTACCGGAAATGATGCATCTTTTGGTAAAGATTCGGAGTTGTCTCGCACATTCACGACAATATCCCAGCGGGACATAGTTTCACGATCCAATTTGCTACCTACACGAAGTAATCCAGTCTTTGGTTCAATAGTAAATGGTTCCAATGGATCAACTATAGAAAACGTGACTTCTCCATCAAATCCAGCATCGTCATCAGTTGCGGTAAAATTGAAGAGTACAATACCTGTTAGAAATGATAAGTATACAGAAAATTATAAAAATCAAGAAGCTTGAAAACATACGAAAATTACTAAAAGAAAAGACTTATTTTAAGATATCATAACAATTATAGTTACAGTATGATTGTTCATTGAATAAAAATCAATCAGTGCGGATGGAACATTGGCTACTAACATAATCAGTATACCTGGATGTGTATCTTCTCTAACTATTAAATTACCGGGAGGGCCAGTTATGTTAGGCGTGAATTCATTGACTGGTAACACACTTATAAGTACAAACGCATAACCGGAGAGTGATCCTGGATTTGTACCCATGTCTCTTGCTTCTATACTCAATGAATAAACTGTTTTATTCTCAAAGTCGACCTTTGTCTTAAGAGAAACGATTCCAGATTCTTCGTGAACTTTGAATACTTCAGCTGTAATATATTACATTATTGGATGTTGATATACTTCATTACTAGTCTCATTAAAATTGTTCGTTTATTATTTGTTAATTATGTTAAAATTCACGATATAATACAGTCTACGGTATAGTCTAATTGAACTTCCTGTGATTGTCATGCTACTCATCCAGAACTCAAAGAGAACAGATAAGTTATCAATAAGTGATTAAAAGTGTCGTGTTAACCAAAGAAGTAATAAAATTAGACAGAATTACGGTATATTAAAAACAAAGTCTTTACGACTTTGGTTTATTTTCAAAAAATGAATTTAAAATAATCAAATACCACTTACAGTTTATGAAATATTTTACTCTTCCATTCAGTCCATTTTCGGGGTCAGCTGCATTTACTTCTAATATTGTAGTATCAACTTGTGCATTCTCAGAGACGTTTCCTCTGTAAACGGACTAGATAAAGGAATCGTAAAGAACATAATATAATACGTCTTGAACGATATTTACAGGAATCAAGAGCTGTCAAAATGGGAAATCAACATTAAGTCATTAAATTTACAGGTGCACATTGGTCGGTTTACTCATAGATACAGGTAAAGCTAAGTTGTTTTACACACAGTCATTTAAAAAAAAAAATTAAAAAGTGGAAAAACGCTACTGAGAAAAATATTTACCTCAAAACGCTACTGAGAAAAATATTTACCTCAACGAACCGGGGCTTAACATTGTTTATGTCAATAATGGAAATGTTAACTGTTGTAACGTTTTTATGATCAATGTCAGAAGAATAAGCATATAACTCCAACAACACCCACGGGGCTTCTAACCAGTTCATAGCGCTTATAACAACGATTTTTCCTGTAATTAGACATGCATTAGATGTTAAAACCTTCATAACAAAAATTACAAAAAAATAATTATATGGCCATTTATATAGCTTTAAACCCCACAAAATGTACCCATGCCGCATAATACACCAGTGTATTACACAAAAATTCAATTAAACAAATAGGTTTTCAAGTGTAATTTGAACTAACTGAGTATTGGACTTCTGTGGAAAGACAGGCCACAAAAAAAGAATGTAACTTCCGCTGAGAAACACATTTTTTTCTGATTAATTGATCGTAACTGTCTAGATAGTGCATAATAGATCGCACAGATACTTCGGAGTATTCATTTACTCGCATCCAGACATGTAACCAATGTAGTATTTTCAGTGCTGGAGTGATGATTATGCCTGGTTTTTTTTTGGGGGGGGGATACCTTAATGTGCCAGCAAGTGGGATATTGCAATAGTCAAGTCAAGTTTGGGGTGAAAATAACTTTTTTTTTGCACAGATCATTAATAAAGTTTTAAGGGTTAAACTGAGAGCCAATTAACACCCCAAATACCATGCTGTGAGCCATAGTGACCCACTAGCTCACTATAACAAAGAGCTACCGTCATTGGCTGAGAACGTTCTGGATTTTCCAGCCTGATTTCTTAAGCTAATACTCTTGACAGTTGAAATTGAATAAAGATTAAGGCGCGGTCAAGGGCTAAATTCCCCGCAAAATACATTGCATGGTATATGGTATTTGTCCGTCTTCATTAGCATGGTTGATGCAAAAAAGTAGGACGTTAAACCCCATATCATTTCTACAGCACCATTTGTAATCAATGATTCTATACAAGTTATTTTTAAATGTAATGGTTTATTCTATAAAGAACTCTTTTTCAATATATAATTTCTAACCTGTTTTCGGGTCTATATCGAACCAGTTTGGAACAGGTTCCCTGACAAGCCCATATGTTATAGAATTATTCCCATCACGATCTGTTGCTGTCACGGTAAAAACGGGCGTATCAAGTTTTGTTGTTTCGTTAACAGCTATATAAATAAAATGAAATTTTGTAATTGAGTCGCGTGTGTGGTTTAATGGTCGAGAGGGATACATTAAGTAATATTGATATGGTATATCTATATAATACGCAATGTCTTTCCCGAGACCGTTAAACATCTTAAAATATAGATGCACTTTTCAATGTACTCCAATAATGGTACGCCAACATCAAAGGATGACGCCCGATCTGCATTTAAGGCTGTATAATAAAATATAACTGGAAAAGAAAGATTGGTATTACCATTTCACCTTTTCTTACCAACCTAGGATTGAAAATCAGAAGTATAATTTAGTTACGTGCATTAAGAAAATATATTTGGAACGTGCATACATCCTAGAACATGCAAATTATATATAGCTAATAATATACAGTATCGTGATTTTACAAGCTCATTAGCGCTTATTATTACATATTACTATACGTGATTATAAAGAAATATTATTACTTATACGTGATTACAAAGACATATTATTTTATACGTGATATATAAAGAATATATATATTTTCAGATAAACTATATATGGTAATATAATATAATCATGCTTAAATCACACTGATCAAAATATGCTTACCAACAAAAACACCTAAGATTGGATTATTACTATAAAATATTTGTATTATTCACATTTATAAAATCAAACAATTAATAAACAATTAAACGATAACGGCTCTTATCGTACCAACACACAATTCATTATAACTGTTAGTTAAACAAATTATTTATGAATTATGTTCTATTGGGTTAAAATGGAACAGCCGGGGCCTGCACATACCAATAATTATGTACGTGCCATTTTCCAACACTGGAAGAGGGAGGGAAATGAGGTTTAACGTCCAATCGACACAAAACCGGTCATTTCGAGATTAAATTGTGGTTCAATTTTATCTCAATAATTCGCTTTACAGACTGACAAATTATCCACGATTTCTAAATTTACTATGGATGCCACAACTCGTTGAATTGAACGAGAGATGGCTAAAATAAGCATCGGCATAAGCATGGCGGCTTATAATGCATTCTGGTACACGACAAAACGTCTGTGGTGCGAAATTGGCACGCGCTGCGGTGACAAATAATCGTTTGTGTGTGCAGGCTGTTAGACGACAAATTCAAGTCTCAAGGATACATACATCTTTTCATATTCGGTTCAGGCCATTCTGGTATATTATCATCAATATCAGTAACAACAACACCAATAATAACAGTAGTTGTAAGAGAAGGTATCCCACCATCATAAACATCTATCTTGACTTCATAAAAAGATGTCGTTTCATAATCCACTTTTTTGTCGAGTCGTATTTCCCCAAAATTTAGATTTATAGTGAAATGGCCTGTGGTATTTTCAAAATTATTATCTGTAAATTGGGAAAAGAGGAATAAACCAAATAATCAACCGTGAATCGAAAAAAAGAGGAACATACAGAAGAAAGAGAAAAAAAGAATATTTATATAAAAATTGACCTATGATACTATTAGTTTACCCACATAATGAAACATGGCCCATCTTAACCAGTAGTCACAAAATAAATCCCGTAAACAAATCTTTATTAGTTTCTGGTAACTAATCAATGGCATAGTAGTATCATATTATTTATTACATTAACTATACAAAATACTAGGTGGAATATATTTACCCGAGAATTTATAAAATAAGCGTTTATTTTCCCCTGAATCTTTATCCGAGCACGATAATGTGGTAATCAGGGAATTTACTGCTAGATCCTCACTTATAGCTTCCAGTTTGTAATATTCTATACATTCCTGAAATGAATTGGTTTTATTTATTGGGTCCGTGGGCAAGAAAATTTAGGGAAATTGGCAAGACAGCTGTCATTAGTGGATACTTGTGATATATAATTGGTTCTGTTGTGAGGCTATATCGATATTTCACCTCACTCAATAACATAAAGCATCTTAAGAAAATTGAATAGATTTTAAAAGTAGAGATCCTCGGACTTACCGGATAGTTATCATTTACGTCGGAAATCGCAAAGCTCACGGTATGTGTTATTGTCCTTGGTGCATATGGATCCAGATCATATGCAATGATACCAACTTTATAAGATTGTAAATTTTCATAATCGAACAAAGTGTTCGCAAATATTTCACAGGTGTTTGAATCAATTACCCATCTTTTGGAATCTCGTCTGCCTGCGAAATAAAGGAACGAGATTACATTCAACAGATTGAAAAGCTGAAATAAGTTCAAACTAGCGAAAATCGTACACTATAGCCTATTTGAACCTCTACAATATAACCAGTTTGCTGTACTGGATCGACAAAGCTCTATCCCCCGTACTCCCTACATCGCCACCTCGCCGAAAAAAAGAAAAACAAAAGAAGCGGAAAGTGAAGTGATTAGGCTTGATATGAAGAGTTCCGATCGTGTCCACATGGAATCGATGAATCCACATTACATTTTTCTCTTGTACCGGACTATCGAATGTCGGGGGCCCGCAACGCCCCAATTAGGCACGACACCAGTGACCAGCATAAGGCCTTAAAACAAGAGTTGGAATGATCTTGTACTAGCTCCGTAGCACTTATGAAATCATATACCACACCACCGTCCCATTTAGAGCTATAGGTAGGGTGCACGATATGAATCCCTATTTTGCGAGGAATTCAACAATGTACTTTTACATTTTAATTGATATTGAGAACCGGTTCATACTCACTTATAGACTGGAAGTAAACTCGAGTTTCACCGGCTAATGTCCCATTTACGGAATCTCCGTCTGTAAGAGTACAGTTACCAACGCTTGTACCAAATATTGTATCTTCACTAATTCGTATAACGTTATCAAATCCGGTTATAACGGGAGCATACGAATTATTGTAAGTATACAGCATATTGACCTCTACTGTTACGCCTGGTTCTCCAGGACTATTTGATATAACTGCAACACTCAGCTGAAATAGAGTAGAAGTAGGTTGAAAGAAAATGGAAAATACACCCACGCCCACGACCACAATAATTTTCAGTTTTATCGGCGTTTCTTATAATTTTGAAGTCAATCAGATAATAACTTTAGCCGCCAAAGTGTAGACAAGAATTACCAAACTGTCGCATGGACATGCATAATGTATATAAATGTCAAGTCAGTCGAATGATAACAAGGAATTGTGGACGACGGACGGGTACAAGTGAAATGGTGTTGGGCAAGAGAGACTACAATGTACGACGACACAGAAGTAGATGCTTATCGGTTCCCTCAAAGTCAGGAACGAGATTTGCCACCACAGTAGATTTACATATTTATCATTACAAAATAATTGACAGGTGTCAGCTAAGGTTAGGGTTAAGGTTATGGTTATGGAAAAGGGTTAGTATTCATATCCCGGGGGTATATAATATTTTACCATTTTAAATAAAGAATATGTCAAACTTACATTGAATCGATATGTAAGATCTGAATTGAGTTTCTTGTCTAGCGAAATTTTACCCGCTTGAGATATTGTGAATTTGCTATCTGCGCTATTTGGAATTCCATTATCAGTCAGATTATATTGTAATGTGCCCAATCCATTGCATTTTAAGTCATATATTTCGTCACCGACCATCTTTTCTCCAGTAATATTCATTTGGACATTATTTTGTTGACAGCCAATAGTACCCGAAACTGAAAAAAAATATACAGATGTGGATATTACTACATCATTATTCTTATCATTGTAAGTTTTCAGGTAAAACAAACAATTCTGCCTCTCACAAATCCAGCGACGTGAAGTTAGATTGTGGTTTGTTGTACATTGTTCGATATTCAGAAAATAACGAACAACGAGCTAGTTTGTTGTTCATTATTTACCAGATATTTTGGAATTAGTAATAATGTATAATAAAGGCACTTTTATAGGGAATACGTCGGGAGTGGTTTGGTTTTGGTTTTCTTTTTTTTTGGGGGGGGGGGCTAATTGGTTAATAACTCATCAAAGTCTTCGGAAATAGGTTCTGACAAGCTGTCTTTCTACCCGAACAACGACGAATAACGAATAACGAGTCAGTTTGTTGTTCGGTATTCGCGAATAACGTACAGCGAACTAGTTTGTTGTTAGTTATTCACTAGATATAGAATTGGTACTTTTAGGGGGAATAAGGCGGGAGTGGGTTTTTATTAGTCTAATTGGTTTATAAAACTTCAAAGTCTTGCGAAATAGATACTAACACCATGTCTTTCTACCGGAATAACGAACTGGTTTAAACAATGAGCTGTGTTTAATGTGTATTTGTTGCCTTAAAAAAACCCAAAAAATAACGGGTCCTCCGGTATCCTCCCACTGCTAAAGACCCCTACACGCAATAGAATTATTGAAATAAAATTGGTGTTGAACCATGTGTTACTCTCTCTCTCTCTCTCTCTCTCTCTCTCTCTTAAAAAAGAAAGATAATTATGAATGTCGTTACATTTATATACATATATTTAGGCAATAGAAATAAATATTACGTCCTTATTTAATATTTTCTTTGATTACAAATCAATACTTTCTTATTGTGTAATAATCGATTTTCTGATTACTAGAATTAGTTGTTTTGCTTGATCCAGGTAATATGAAATGTGAAAATTATAACAAACATGTACTCACCCTGTGCAATTGCAATGGTTATTAGTATAACTAGAAAAAGATACTGGAAGATTATCTTGTTCATTTTAAAGTATCACAGAATCCCTATCTAACACCGTATAGTCAACTCGCTGTATTTAGCAAGAACATGTACCAGAAACCTAATTAAAACCTAGTTATTTATTGCTTCACACCATAGTAATTGATTTTCTGTCTCATATAGAAGTCTGTCCTGTATGTTGGTTATACAATGTCCTGTATGTTGGTTATACAATGACGAATATATGAATTGAAATGACACATTCAAGGTGCATTTCAACGTGCCGATTGTGAATTAGTGAACTGACAAGAGCATAAAAGAATATTGTACATATCGAAAATGGAAATACACTGTACAATGTAGGTATAAAAAATAAATAATGATATTGGTGATACGACAGTGTGGAACAATTATTTAAAAAGTTGAAAATACAATATAACTCAAAATGGAAGTCAAAAATATACTATAACGATAAAGATAAAAGCAAGACTATATTATATTTTTACACTAAACTAATAACTCGAAATACTTGAATCCAAGTAAATAATAAAGTATTTGGAGGTCAATACTATAAATAACGCTAGACGAAGTAACGGTCTCAGCAGCAATATTTTTTTCCATAGCATGAAGAAAGTAATTTTCACATTTTTATTCTTAAACACGCATTATGCAGAGTTAAAGCTGCCTATTGCGGGTCTTTCTTTAGGCATGAAATTATTAATTGGACATTAATGAACTTATCCAGACCATAATCAACCCTCGATGCCATCGTTAGCCTGCGATATTTAGTGGATATGAACACATTTTGTGATGGATCAGTTAACGTAAAAATGGATAATCGAGACTGTTTATTATCGTACTAACGTTAGCAAAGACGATCGAGGCTAGCCTAAAATTGAATTTTTAATAGCTCGGTTCAGAGTGAAGCAATCTATAAAACGAGAACTGTGAGCTCTTTATCTAAATCTTACCTAATACCCCTTTAATTATCCCAATTATATCTCTTACGCTAAAGTGTATACCCCAGTGTTCATTTTAAAAAGATATTAAAGAAGATGGTCACTAAATTATGCATTCACTCTTCCCTCAAAGTTGAACTGGAAACATGCCAGAGTGACTTGCGTTAATAAGGGTTCATGATGAAGCATATTCTGCCACTTTTGTAAGATAAAGTTCCATAAACATCATTTCGAAATAAATTAACATAAAATACGTGTTAACAGCAGATACTTGCATGTTATATTAATAATTTTAAAAAATTAGGTAACAATAACAAAATCCCGAGAAACACGTTATTTTGCGTAAATTTCAGAAATATAACCAATGATTTCCTGCATATTTTTTTTATGAAGGATTAGCCGTATTTCAGGTTTATCTGACATGTTTGATAAACGCAAGAGTAATTCAAGCAATTATGGCAATATTTACTGCACCCTTTTAATAATATTTCACATGTCTTTAGTGTTTTACCTTTTTAAACTGTATAGTTCATTTTCAATCCCTATTTTAGAACAGTCTTTTCATAGCAAGACGCCCCAATCATATATGAATATATTAGTATACCTTTTGTGAATTTGAGTTATTGTATGACCTGGCCCAGTTAGTATGTGATGACATAAAGATTTCCATAGTGGGTCTATTCGAATAGATAAAGTTGATGGGTTTTTTTTTTACATGGGTTGAACTGCTTTGTTTCATAAACAAAGGTGTCAAATTCACATTAATGTTCCCGATATATATCTTAACCTTATGGGTGTGCACGTGAAATCATAAGGCCTGTCATTGAGTGAAGTGGCGTGGTTTAGATTCCCCGCATGTATGTGACAAGGAGTAGGGTCGTCTATCCAGCCTCCCACTGCTAAAGACCTCTACGCACAAGCAAGTGGACGTTAACCCCATTTCTCACTTTCTCTATCTTAACGTTTTACAGTGTAGTGCGGTGTTCTATCTTTGTCAACAGTGGGGCGTTAAACGCCATTTCATTTCATTTTATTTCTATCTTTGTCATTGGACAGATTACGCACGTACCGCTATGGAATAATTAAATCAGTATTAATTGTTCAATTTAATTTCTAATATAGGTATGACAAGGCGTGGAGTAATGCCAGTATTTGCTTTAACTGACTCTGTAATAATCATTACCGTATCGGTGACGACTTTCATTCACAAGAATAAACAAATATAAACACGCTTTAGATTTATTTTCTAAAATATAAAACTCATGTCTCCTTTATACACTTCAGTCTAAAGTAGTTTTTATTTAAATTTATTCTCTAGGTATTTACGTATACTTCTATTTTGTAAAGGTCATAAAGCCAGAGTGATAAAATACGATCCCCTTTTCATTATTTTTAATGTTACTTTCTTTTTATTGTCAGTCGTTATGTGGTATTAGAGCGACTTATATCCATGCGTTTAACATACGCCCAGATTATCATATCAATCATGTTGACCTTAGGTATGGCTTTTCAAAAGAGAGTATAATCGACTACTTATCGTATAAATAGATATATAGTCTTCATTGTGCTTCCATACAAAAAAGAATTGGCTTAATCCGGCGGATCCAACATTCTAAGAACATAAGACCTACGAATAGTTTAAAACGGTTTAATGATAACAATATTGATATTTTATCATATGAAATAAGTATAGTTAGGAATGCACCCTAGGTACCACAATTCCGAGTGCAGCTACGTTTAAGAACATTTGCAAAACTGAAGTAAATGCAATGGTTAAAGATAATGACCAACTATCCGATGTCAAGTTGTGCCTGCTCTGTAATCCGCCCTAATCATAATGGCGTAATTATTTGACAAACCCATAACTGCATTGAATTATATTGAACGGTTATTTTCGGTTATGGTTTGATTATATGATAGTGTACGTAGAACCAAAGAACGTTTATTGTCATAAAGGATATACATGTTTCTGTACAGCACACGGAATATATTTATTAAACATAGAAATGATTATTAGTGAAACGATATGATTTTAACCATGAAAAGAACTTCGTTTATGTTTCAAATTATTTTTTGTTTCGTCATTTTAATCTGTAATGGTAAGTATATATTTTTTTTAGTTATTTAAAACAATAATAATATCAGTAAGTTAAATATGGCGCGATGGGTCGGAAGCAAATATTATTATCCACATATGAAACATACATTAAATACATCTAAATCACAACTATAAGACAAAACCGAACAAGCACATTGTAATAGACTTAACAAAAAAGCAATTAATTTTATTAAAACGTTCGTTTATTCGATTATAGACTGTTCTAATACGTTTTGTTTAAAATCTCGGGATGAAATTTGTGATGACGACCAAATGTTCACGATATCGATACCAATGACAATAATTTATCATTGGGGCTTACGGTTTTGACTAATTTAGAAAGTAAATACATTTGTAAACACTTTCTGTTTACAGTCTAATTACTAGTTTTGTTATCAGTTTAAATTTAAAAAAAACCAGAAATCATGGCGATGACCATATTGATGGTACATGAGGTTGGAGGTTTAAACTAATTTCGCCACTTACTGGATAGGCTGGCGGTTCTAGTTTTGTTAGTACACCAATTTCTGTAAAAAAAAAAATTAATTTTCGACTAGTTTTGCAGTAATTCTAGGTTAAAATATCCATGATGTCGATTATCATATTGACAATCCGAAGGGGTTATCATTTTGGCTAATTTCTACAATATAAATAAAAAAGGGTATAAATATAAATGGAAGATAATTGTGTAACCTAATACTAACAATATCGATGGCAATGATGATGATAATATAGGGATGATACTGATGATCGTATTGACTAATTTTGTAATAATTTCTAAATATATAGGGATAATAATGATGATCATATTGAATATTTCTTTAATGATTTCGAAATAGGGATGATACTGGCTATTTTTGTAAAATATTGATAATGATTATCCACACAGTTGAACGTTTACACTTATTTAAAATCTTATTACAAAAACGATTCAGATTAATAATCTAATTTGGCGATGATGTATGTGTAATATTTTTAGTTTAAATAAAACTGTAAAATTGTGACGATGACCTAATATATTCAAACTAGGGATGCTGATTATTATATCGATGATCCAATGAGCTATATGGTCTTTTCTTAATTAACTAAATTATTAAAATAATATTCTTTGATTGGCATTTAGTAATTGAACATATTAACACAAGGTATAGTTTTATGGATACACTTAATACTAAGCGACGCTTCGACGAGGATTCTCTCGTCTTTATCAGAAAATGATACAGGTATAGGCAAATATATACAGAATATGCAACTTAAATAACAATCAAATACAATTAATACATACATTTGATTAGGGAGCCATTTACAGCTAAACTCATACAGAGATTAAAAAGGGGAGATCTTTATCAATAATAGGACCCCCCCCCCTTTTTTAGGTTTAGTTGTAAATGGCCCCCTAATCAAAGGTGTTACGTTTTAATTGTATTTAATTGTTATTTATGTTGCATATTCTGTATATATTTGCCTACTATTCACACACCTGTATCATTTGCTTGAAAAAGACGAGAGTATCCTCGTCGAAACGTCGCTTAGTATTAAACTCAGTAATTGTGTATCCATAAATTTGTACCTTGTGTTATTAAAATAATGGTTGACTGTAGGAACAAGGTTGTGGACATAACGACAATAAACCAAAACAGTCAAACCTTTTCATCATAACGGCCAATACATTTTGTAAAATATATAGTTTTTGCAATATGTAAGCTAATAGTTTTTGCAAATCTATCTTCTATATATATATTTGTGACTGTCGTTTGTCTGTCTGTCTGTCTGTTCGGGGTTGGCGGCTACACTAGGTCTGCCCCGAGTCTGAAATTTGGGGTATAGGGTTAGCTCGGACCGGGGAGTAACATAGGCCAGGTGGCGTTAGTCTACCACTTCCGGTTTCGGAGTTATGACTCCTGAGCGAAGCCGGTCTGTTCGGGGTTGGCGGCTACACTAGGTCTGCCCCGAGTCTGAAATTTGGGGTATAGGGTTAGCTCGGACCGGGGAGTAACATAGGCCAGGTGGAATTAGTCTACCACTTCCGGTTTCGGAGTTATGACTCCCGAGCGAAGCCGGTCTGTTCGGGGTTGGCGGCTACACTAGGTCTGCCCCGAGTCTGAAATTTGGGGTATAGGGGTAGCTCGGACCGGGGAGTAGTATAGGCCAGGTGGCGTTAGTCTACCACTTCCGGTTTCGGAGTTATGACCCCCGAGCGAAGCCGGGTATCCTGATAGTATATTAATATTATGACCGTTCTGACTACATGTTGGCCTTATGACCAAATTATGATTGTTTTGGCGGTACCACGCCCTTTGACTAAATAACTGACCCCCTGATTCAACGCGTTAACCATTCGAATCCCCCAACCACACACACACTTTCTAACGGGAGGCTCCGTCAGATTATATGAAGAAAAGGCAAAGGTGATAATTATATGAACTGATATATATTGGTTGTTTAGCTCCTTAATATTCTGTCTATCAATATGTTTCAGGTTGTTACAGTTTTCTGGTTTGTGAGAGATATGGTCATAATATTGAAATAAGTGAGGCGTCACCCATCGGTTCTGTGGTTTATGACTTAAACTGTACTGACACATCTGGTTCAGGCCTCGAGTATACTATTAAATCTGGAAACAAGTATGGCCATTTCGGCATTACAGATGGCATTATGTCACTTAATAAAATGTTAAATGCAGATGGTCTAACACGGAAAAATCACGTAAGTCAAAAATTTCAATGCTATTTAAATTCGAATTTAACTTGCCTTTTTTAATTACGGTGGGTGATCAGCTAGTTTACAAGTTCTTATGTAAATCAATGCAGAATCATTGCTAATCATTGCTAATAATTATTCCAATTTCCAAATCCTATGCACAGTTACGGTTCTTTTACTGGTTCGGGTTGGTTGGGGGCCGGGGGTAGAAGACCGAGTGCTCTTAGGCGTGCTTTGTAGATCATATGGTCTGCCGTTGTTCCGGGGGTCCCGATCCTGCACGGAGTAGGGTCGCTTACCTAATCCCACTAATTCTATTCGTAGTTTGCCCTCTCTGATAAAGATAATTTAAATATAGGATAGCAGATGTTAGTGTAAAACACACCTAGTTTATGTTTTGTGAACTTCCAATTTAAACATATAAATCATTTTCCTATATATCCCAGCATTTACGTTCGTAACCACTCTATCTGTTAAAAGTTTGATTTTAAAGTTCAATACAATCTCTGTGGCATGATGTTGCAACAGAGGAAAAGTTGAACCATGTCTAAATTCAGGGTAAAACCACCACAGAATGGTGGCGATGGGGGAGGGGGGGGTCGATGTAAACAAATGTTGCAACAGAGGAAAAGTTGAACCATGTCTAAATTCAGGGTAAAACCACCACAGAATGGTGGCGATGGGGGAGGGGGGGGGGTCGATGTAAACAAATCGAGCATGAATTACCTGATGAAATGATTCTTCGTTTTCCTTTGATGCATCAAACTTTAAAGGTAGGCAATAAGTTAAACAAAACGTTGTTCAATGCTTTGACACATAATGTCTCAGTACCGATATTCTTCTCTCGTTGGATAGCGGAGAATGTTTTTTTTTCATTATCTTTCATCTTCCAATTGCGTTTGACACTGTATACTATAAGATTCCACTAAATTAATTTTCTATTGAATTTTGGCATCGTTAGTCGATTCTGCCATAAAACTACTGCAATCACACCCTGAAAGTTGAATTCTGAGAAAACAGAATATATGTGTATTGGCCCTAAACAACAGCTATAAAAAATTGACCTATAATAAATAGATTTCTGTTGTTAATAGTAACATTACGGCATCTTTATCAGGCAGGACCATGGGTGTTTTTTTCAATGAACATATGCGAATAGAAGGTCAGATAAAAAACAGTGTGTTACTGTTATAGTGCAATTATTTAAATTATGCAGCCAACACTTTAATTAATTCATACATCACATCAAGGCTAGATAATTTCAATTCTTTGTTCTCTGATCCTCCTCGTTTATTCAACTATAAACTGAAAAAAGTCGAAAATTCTACAACTAACTTAATTAACTGAAACCAAACTATCTACATTAGTTACATATTTTCTTTATAGTAGTCAAGTCAATTTATGAAAAATGGGTTAACTCCTAAAAAATTGTAAGACAAGATTTTTTGACGGTTGTTTGTAGTGTTGGGTGTACTGAATGACTTAATAAAAGTTTACCAAAATGGGACTACTGGAAAGTCCCGATGTTTGAGATGAATTTTCTTGTCTTCTAATGCATTAGTTAATTTAGAAAAGTTTTTTTGTTGGTTTCTGATAGAGTTGGGCGAATTACTAAAATCAGAGTACCGGAAAGTCCCAAATTTTGAGGGCAAATGCTAAGTTTGTAAAGGTAAAACTTCAGACAAGAATAAAGTAGTCAAATTTTAAACGAAACAAATGAAACCGAGAATTGACCTTAGGTTGTCAGGACCAGTCTTTCATATAGAATGATTTTCATGGATGTCTGATTCTCCCTTGAGCTATTGTCGGGGATAGCATGATCCAGAACCCACATATACGAATAAGCATGACTCTGCACTGTGTCGTTTTAAAATTTGGTTATTCACTCGTTTGAGGATTCAACCAGTAATGTTAACTGGTCCCATACACCATTTTCAGACACTCCCCTACGCCAAAACCTGCGACCGAAAACCCAAATTTACGAATATGCATAACCCATTATCAGTGGTGTTAACTTGTCCCTTATACCATTTTCTGTGTACTTCATCGCGTACTGACATATTTGGTATGCATATGTTTTCAGGCGATAGCCGTTAAAATGGGTAAAGCATGTAGATGTGTAAGGAAGCATTAATGTTTCCAAGTTTTGTTTCTCCACGTGTTCAGTGGGTGTGATATTACATCCAGGATCCATGGCATTGGCAAAAAACTGTTGTCAAAAAGCTTATTAAAGGAGATCCTGTAATAATAACAGAATGTGTATCATAGACCGTTTATGGCGTACTATTACGTCATGTATTTCTGTGGTCGTCATCTTATAGTTGGGATTGATAATGCTGCGCTACAAGCATCGTCCCCAAAGGAACTATGTTCATGAACTATCATGATACTGTTGCTGGGGCAGTTTACAATAACTATAAGACGACAACTACAGAAAGTACAACATAATAATACAACATAAACTGTCAATATGTCGTAATTGTAAGGCCAGGTGTAATTTTTATATTCTACAGACACTTCAGTGTTATGTTCAGATAACCTCAAAATAAATTTATAGGGAATAAAGCCAAAAGTTTAAATATTTTAGTACGTAGATGTGCCGGTCGTCATAGTATGTCATTATAGGGCTATATGACGTCATACTACATTTTGATATCGTATTCATAATATAATAATAGTACATATAGGGACTTAAACCAACCATTTAGGATTTACTTGAACATTTATTGGGTTAATGTCGGCCATCTTGGATTTTACCAAGTTTTGAGATGCTATAAACCACCACACTGATCCGCAGTGAATATTTGCTTGGCCGCGACAATCACTGATAAGGATGACATTGATGCGGCTTAATGAGCTAGAAATATTAACTTTTTTCCTGCCACAAATTAAATTCTAAAACATTTTTTGTATATATTGGAAAAATAAATAAATGCGTTTGACGTATCTGTAGGTAAAAATTATTTCCGATTTAGTGTAAATGGGTATTAAAATTACTAAAATGCAGCATTCTCTCCGAAGCAGTTATGTCTTATGTAAACAATGCACGCGCCATTCAGCCAATGAGTCACACCGCGTGCTGTGACAGCACGTGTTAAGGCAGTCATCTATGACTCGTAATTCTCTGTGAAACAGATTGATAAACCACACCTAAATAAACGTAAAAATACATTAAAACCCTTTCTTGCAAATTTTTGGGTAAAATCATAACTGCCTAAACAAGTTATGACCTTCATACTTATAATGAGCTTAATCAACTGAAACCAAACTATTATCTCATACGTTAAAGTATCATATAATTAATTCCTTGTCGATTAGTGATGTTCGTTTATGCATTGGTGAAATTTACAAGATTTTAAATTGTCTTATATGTATTTTAATTTTTTCTTCTGTGTTTATTTAATGTTTTGTAAAGCGCACGCGGATTTTAAGTTGTCTTATATGTATTTTAGTTTTTCTTTTGTGTGTATTTATGTGCCTTAATAACATAGGCGTATGAGCTTGGGGTGGGGGGGAGCTGGGGGCGGCCACTCCCCCATTTTGGGCACCAAATGCTGGGAAAATTTGGGCACACAATTGTACTTTGTAAAAGTTGTATAAAAAAATATTGTGTTCTTGAATGTGTCCAATTTAACAGCGAATTTATTATTATTATGTAACATACTAAGAACCTAACTACATTTTTTGGGCACCATCCACCCCCCCCCCCAGTCAAAAATTTTCCCGTACGCCTATGCTTAATAATAATATCACATACATTGCTGGGTTGAGTGAATTCCGCCCCATAAAAGATAACTTATTACTTTCATATTGTTGCATAATGATTATACTTATCATTTTAGCTAAAAATCATAGTTCAATCTACTGGTCCAAGTGTGTTCTCAACCACACTCACCATCGCAGTACTAGCTATTAACAGTAATGGTCATCCACCTAGATTTGAATCCATTACTCCTGCGGTCACGCTACCAGAAAATACTGAAGTTGGTACTAAATTGCCCATCAACTGCGTCGTGAAAGACAAAGATTTCACGCCTGTTAATACAGGCATCGTAGCGGCACCCGGATTAACTGAAGTTAGAATTAAGAATTCAGGTAAATGCTAGATATTGCTTTGAAAAAAGAATCCCGCAACATTATTAATTGTTTAGCTATATAGTTCACCTACCCGTTTGCTTAAAGGGCAATTCCCGATTATATTTTGGTGAATAAAACTGTTTAATTCTGTGTTTTCAAACACCTTAAACCCGCCAGTCCGGATAAGCAGTTTTGACGTTCACCTCCAAACGACTCAATATTTTGATCTGAAATTTGGATTGCGCTTAAATTTCATATGTACACGGACTTTTATTTTTGAGACTCTGTTCAAATCTGGGTAGTCCCTTTAAATTACAACCTTATGACTGATGCTCAAGGAAATTTGTGTTAGTCCTAAATTCCAGGTACAAATACCCGTTAGTTGTGGCACATCATAAACAACACAATACTGAATGAATTAAATTCTGCAAAACAATTTATCATTATTAGTAATTGGCCAGGATGCGTTTTATTGCCACATATCCAATAGTTTATTATTCTAAAAGCGAACTTATAAGTTGTCTATAGAAGTTAAGAAAGAAATCAAACTTTTAGAATAGAAAGAAGCCGGTAAAATAATTGGGGCGTATTAATAAACGTAGAGCGGCATGGTCGGGAATTTTTCCTTGATTTAACTTGAAAACAAGAATAGATTAGCATGGCATTAAATTTACTTTCCTGTATTATATATGATGTTTTACAATTAGTGAATACCAATATTATTTTCGTTTGGAATAAGACACTATATTGTAACATTTCCTTTGCTTTATTTCAGAGGCCCTTGAGCATTTCCTTTTGGATAAAATAAAATGTGAATTATACTTGAATGCTGAATTAGATTTTGAAACGCAGGCTACTCATGTAATTATAATTGAAGCTTATGATTTGGATCCAACATTTCCCAAAACAGTGTCAGAAACAGTTACGATTAGTGTTACAGACGTCAATGATAATTCACCGGTAGGTTTTATTACACGTTTAGTTTTTAGTTGATTTCATACTGAGGACAGGCCTATTCGTTCGGATGGGACGAAAAACTGAGGGCCGTGACACATTGGCGTAGAAGTAAAAAACCCTCATTGACAGTTGGAATTCGATGTAAGAGTAGACCGTAGTGCCACTGTCGGTCTTCATTAGCCCAGTTAGGAGCAGAACAATGGGACGTTAAACCCCATTTCGTTTCATTTCATACTGAGAAAGAATAGATATCTTTTCACGGATATATCATTCGACACAAATGGAGGTTGTCCTGTAGTTTGACTTTGGTGATGAAGAGCATTCTGTGAGAAAAAAAAACCACATCAATGTTATAATTTTATAAATTGCAGAAATGCGCAGATTCTACTAGATTAGTTCAAATTCCAGAAGATCAACCTATCGATACCACCATTGCTGTTCTAAATTGTAGTGATATTGATTCCGCATCAAACGGTGTAGTTAATTATAAATTATCTAGTAAGTTGGTCTCTACAATACAAATCTAAAATTAAATGTACCGAACACTTTAACGGTTATTATTATTTGAGGGCAGAAATGCTGACTGGTGTCACAAAACTTTTAACTTAATACTTTTAGCTTTTGTAACCTCTCTAAATGATAATCATCCCTTTTTTTTCAGAATTAACATTATTGGGATACTGTCGAGTAAGAATAATCAAAAACGCTTTTGTGAATTTTAAATAAGCTCGTTTATATTTATTCTGCAGGTAACAATTCAGCTAATGTATTTCAAAGTTTTAAATTAGATGTTCCAGAAATGTCTCATTTGCAACTTCTGAAGCCTTTGGATTATGAAAGCTCCTCCTCCTATAAAGTAAAGGTTGAGATTTATGATTCTGGAAATCCGAGTCTTACCACAACCGTGGAATATAATATAATTGTAACTGATGTGGATGACAATAAACCAACATGGCCTGTTAGTCCAATCCATGCTGGAAGTAAGTTTGCTTTATCATCTCAACAATTTTAGACAAGGAATCCTTTGTCACCTAATGTTTCATTTGTATTGAATGTAGGCCATAGAAATTATACGAATGTTAAAAATAGTTGTGAAAGTTCATGATGTATTGTACAAGAAGTATCTTTAATTGTAAAAAATAACACTCTTTTGTATCTAAATTACTAGGTATTACCGAACTGCAACCATTGGGCTATCTGGTTTATACGGTGAAAGCGGAGGATGCTGATTTACAAAATACTCCTGCATCTTCAATTACATATGGAATGTACCCTAGTGTCCCAAACTGGTTTTCTATCCAATCTGAAACAGGTGATTCTTTTACTTCTTTATTTATTTAATTAATGTTAAAATGGGGAGGAACAAAACCATCATGGAGACTAAAACACTCATACCTCCAAGTGAATACAAAACATGTGGATACTATATTTCCCATTAAAGCGGCATTAGGTAAGATTAGATAAAGAGCTGACAATTCTCGCTATAATAGTTAAAGAAATAGATAATTAGAGATACAATTATAGTCTAATCCCGATTGTCATTACTACATATACCGTTGTTACAATAATAAACAAAGTCTCGTTTATCCATTTTTACAGTAACCGCATCTGCTACAAAACGTATTTTAATCTATTATATATCGCAGGCATCCGATAGCATCGAGAGTGGATAATGGTCTTGGTAAGTTATACATTAAGCAAGAGCTAAATCTGCCTATTGCAGGTCTATCATTAGGCCTGAAATGTTATCTAAATTATTAATTAGACATTAATTAACTTATCCAGACCATAATCAACTCTCGATGTCATCGTTAGCCTGAGATATTTACTGGATTATGATCCAATTTGCTCCTTAACTTTCATTCATGATTAAATTATGAAATGGATAATAGAGACAATGTTTTATCGTACCGACTATAGTAATGATGATCGAGGTTAGACCGAAAATTTAATCGCTAAATTCTCGGTTCAGAGTGGATCAATTTGAATGACGGAAATTTTTAGCAAATTCCATTTACATTATCTAGATTTTAACTATTATAGTGAGAACTGCCAGCTCTTTATGTAATCTCCCATAATGTATCTTTAATTAATGTCTAAGTAATAATTTATATAACATTTCAGTCCCGATAAAAGACCTGCAATAAGCAGATTTAGCTCTTGCATAATGGATTTTTAAGCTAGTTGTGAATATTTCAATTTTTCAGGAGCCATTTATGTAAATTCTGCTATGGATTGGTTGGTTGCCAAATCGGTTAACTTGACTGTATATGCTTATTCATCAGACAAAACTACTGAAACAAGTGATGTTGACGTGACTATAACAATAACTGATGTCAATAATATAGCACCTGCATTCGAAGAGGTAAGTCTTGATCAATAAAGCCGATCTCACAGTTTACAGGTGTACACAATACAGAAATCCTGAGGCATGTTTAGTATGATTATTCGGCAATGACTAAATACTTATATTTGATTATTTTGAAAGATTATTAAAATTGGCATTTGATCATAAAATTGATCATATTTGTTTTCTCCTTTGTGGACTACTTTGACAGCGTTAAAATGTAATATATCGTTAATGATTGAATATCGTTTATGTGCGTTACAAAATCCGACGGGTGCAATAATAAGCTTTCAACCAAGACCCTTGTTACACGTCTATATCCATGGAGTTTTATACTTTGGCAAAACAGTTGAGATAAACAGTTATTATTTCTGTGGCTACTTTTGCAATAGGGACCTTTCGCGCCGGTACGAAAACGAATACGAAAACGAAAACGTCATCAATTCGTGTGTACTTGTGACGTCAATCCGTAATGAGCGTTCGGCCAGTGAAAAACGTTACACGTATGGAGCTGGATTTACGTTGGTATGCAAACGAATATGTTTCTTGTCTCATATATTGAATTTTTCACCATTTTTGGAGCCTTTGTGTATATTGTTGATTGTGTAGCGTTCGTAGAATGTGCTCACAAGGAATATTCTGCTTGATTTGTTGTATATCTGCCGAAAAATCGATTGAAAACTTTGCCTTGACCGAGAAGTTCATGGAGTGGAAATTAACGCCATCTAGTTATTATCGTACGTCGGATTGCGAAACCGCGTGTTAGAGGATACAAAAATGAAAACGTAAACGAACATATGTTCGTTTTGGTGTTCGTTTTCGTACCGATGCGAAAGGTCCCTAATGTTTGTTTACGTATACACAAATAATGTACATGACCAGACATCGGTTTTTCTCCCAACACAATAACCAGACACATTTTTCATGACGATCGCTCATTTAGAATATAGCACGGCACTTCAAATTATAATGTTTGTCTTCGATTATATTATATTGTATCATTATATAAGCATTTTAGAAGTAACAATATATATTAAAGTAGATAAAGTACAAGTATTTCTTTGTTTACGGTAGATAAATGAATAAATAAATTTTTAAAAAAAAAACGTCCAGTTAAAAAATTCTCCATTTTATAAACAGGTTTATTACTATGCGAATCTGACAGAAAATTCTAGTCCAGGAACCACACTGTTTACTGTAAAAGCAACTGACCCAGAAAGCGGAGTAAATGGTGAATTTGAATATTACATTGACTGTAAGTTCACTGATCATGATCATGTTTTTTTTTCTTGTAATGTTGATGATCAATGTATTGCCAATGATTATACCCATTGTTATTTTAATTGAAATGTAAACGTACTAAGGGGAATAACCGGAATAAAAAGAAAAGAGACCATCGCCTACATTTCATAGGTTTTGCGTGAGGAATAAAGCGTAAATGTGAAGACACATGAAATAAAAAGGGGTATAAAGTCCGACTGGGCTAATGAAGACGGACATACAGTGTGCTATGAGGGAAATTTTGCCCGGGCAGCGGCACTATGGTCTACTCTTATATCGAATTCCAACTGCCAAGGGATCTTTTACGTGCATGCCAATGTATACACGGGACCTCGGATTTTCGTCCAATCCGAACGACTAGACAGCTGTCCTTGTCAGACCCTCCGTCCCGCACCACTGACAAGGGGAAACCACGTCAGAAAATCCCTTTGAACTTTTCTCGGCCAATGCAGGGATCGAACACCCGACCTCCAGACTAGCGAGCCAGCGTCTTACCCACTTAGCCACTGTGGTTCCAAATAGGAGTCGTGAAGACAAAAAGTAAGATATAAACAACCGCAGCCTTATTGAACTTTAAGCTTGTTTCAATAGGCAAAGTAAATATACTTAACTAATTTGGAGACATATATTATGTTTTATCGGATTCCTTAAATATATAAATAAAACGTGTTAATTCTTTTCAGCAACGGTATTCGAAGTAAATGCAGTCGGTGTTGTTTCGGTCGCCAGTTCTGTAGACTATGAAGCAGCCCCGTCATATTCCTTTAGCATCGAAGCTAAGGATAAAGGGACGCCGTCACTTTCTGGCCATTCTTTTCTTCTAATTAATATATTGCCTGTAAATGAGCACAGTCCGGTGATCATTGAACCACCTGGTCCAATAGATGTACCAGAAGACATAGCCCCAGGTAAGTAAACATTGAAAAGCAGTTAGTGAAAGTTGAGGTGATTTATACTTTCTGCCCATGCCACTAATACTGTTAATACCGATTTAGTTTGAACAAAAGAGTGTCAAAGCGGATTTGAAAATAAAAAACACTTTCTTGTTAAAGGGGCAAAGAAAAGTCTAGAATATTTGATAAACAGTAATTAATAACTTTACAGCTGTACCCCATAGCTAAGACTTAAAGATACATTATGGGAGATAAGATAAAGAGATGGCAGTTCTCGCTATAATAGTTAAAAACTAGATAGTGTAAAGGTAATTTGCTGAAAATTTCAGTCAAATTGATCCACTATTAGCCGAGAAAGAAGCGGGTGAAATTTTTGCATAGTCTCGGTCATCATTACTAAAATCATTAATATAAACAGCATAGTCTCGATTATCCACTTCTATTGATTTAATTATCACTGGCCGTTAGCGGCATATAGGAATCTAATCCAGTTAACATCGAAGGCTAGCCTTGACATCTAGAGTTTATTACGGTCTGGATAAGTTAATTAATGTCTAATTGATAATTTAGATAACATTTCAGGCCTAAAGAAAGACTTATAATAAGCAGATTTTGCTCTTGCATAATGCATGTTTAATATGGATTTTTCCTTTTTAAAATGTAGAATATACTTTGCTTTTAGGGGTTGCCATATTCAACTTTACCGTGACAGATGGAGACGCAGGTCCAGATGGCGAAGTGACTCTTGCTGTACTAGATCCTTTTGGGCCCTTCATTATTGAACCAAAAACTGGTGTATTAAGTCTAAGAAATTCACTGGACAGAGAAACCAAACCTCAGTGGGAAGTAATTGTAATCGCCAGAGACAAATCTGTAAGTGATTCAAAATCTTCATCAGTGGCAGTTACAATTAACCTTTCGGACGTAAATGATAACAATCCGATCTGTGAACCATTGACCAGCACGTCAGTTATATTTACGGATGCTATTGGCAAAGAGCTGGCAACGATCAGTTGCACGGATGCTGATGAAGGGGGTAGTGCTAATTTTGAATATATTAAAGAATCCGGAGATGACAAGGACGCTTTTGTTGTAGATAAAAGAAGTGGTAAAATCACACTTGACAAACCACCAACACAGACTGATTATACATTAACCATTCGAGTAAATGATGTAAAGCCTCCTTCGCGCCATGTGGATATATTTTTCAGCATAGCTGCGAACTTTCAGTTTAATTTTACAAACCTCCCCATGAGTATCAATATATCGGAAAATACCGAAACGACAAATGACATATATGAGATTGATTCTTGTTGCGTGTCAGGTTTCACCAGATATGAAATTATTTCTGGAAATGATGATAAAAATGTGATCCTTGATCCGTCATCCGGAAAGTTAATCTTGCTCAAAGAATTTGACTATGAAGCCGAAATACAATACACGTTTACTATACAAGCAGAGTCTGCTAGTACAGGTATGAAAATAGACGACACTCTGACCATAAACATTTTAGATGTCAATGATGTTAAACCAAAATTTACCAACAATTTCATATATCAACCTGTATCTGAAAGCCTGGCTACTAGTACAGTTATACTTCAAGTTACAGCGATTGATAAAGAAAAGGGTGCGAATGGTGAAATAACGTATACCATAGAAAGTGGAAATGATGGACCAAAGTTTGACATTGATGGAGATGGTAGTCTAATTCTGGTATCAGCACTTGATGCAGAAACAGTATCCCAATATGTCCTTAAAATCTTAGCTACCGACAACGGGGACGTACCATTGACGGGAACTACTACAGTAGTAATTGAGGTAAAGAACGTAGATGAGTTTCCTCCAGAGTTTTTAAACGTAGATAATGGCATCGCTGTAGCTAATATATCTGAACAAGCAATTTTGGGGGCTGCTGTCTTTACTCTTCGTGCCGAAGACAAGGATGTCAACTCAGTTCTCAAGTATTCCATCTTGCAGGGCAATGAAGACGAGAATTTTGTTATAGATGGAGATAGTGGCGATATATATCTCTCTAAAATATTGGACAGGGAAATGGTAGATCAATACAATCTGACAGTGGAAGTCAAGACTGGTAACGGAGAAAATACTTCAGCTGTAATAGTGGTTAATGTTTTAGACGCAAACGACATAAGCCCAACTTTTTCGCAGCCTTTTTACCAGCTCGAAGTGACCCATGGTACTCCTGCAGATACGGTGATATATACATTTAACATAACCGATGCTGATATAGGGGTTAATGGAATACTGGACTCTCTTACAATTGAAGTTGGGAATAATAATAACGATTTCAAGATAGTTGGAAAAGAAATTCGGACAAATAAAGAAGTAGACTATTACACCACGAAATTACATTCATTAACACTAAAGGCAACGGATGGTGGAGTATTGGCACGGTCTAGCTTCGTACCAGTTGTCATAAAAGTGCTCCGAATAGTTGAGCCCCCTAAGTTTGTCGTCACTGAACATAAAGTAAACGTCAGGGAGGACGAATCTATCAACAGTGCTGTTTATGATCTGCATGCTACACCAGATGGAGGAATAAAGTACAGCATAAAGAGTGGTAATGTAAATAGTGCGTTTTACATATCTGAATCAGATGGTACCATTCACGTAGGTTCAAATCTGGATTTTGAAAAGACAGAACAGTATGTGTTAGATATTGAAGCCGAGAGTAGAGAAAATGTGTCTTTACTAGCGAGTGCTACAGTCACCATCAATATAGTTAATGTTAACGATAATGTTCCAGCCTTTACAAGTACCATATATAAGTTTAATGTTGACGAAGACGCAGTACCGAACGAAAGTATTGGAACAGTGATGGCCACAGATTTAGATAAACCTCCGTATGGGAGCATAACTTTTGGATTCGCAGCTACTTCAGGATCCTCAGATTTTACTATTGGAAACGATGGTGAAATAAAAGTTAACAAAGCATTAGACTATAGAAGACAAAATGCGTATAACATTCCAGTGATTGCTGATGATGGAGTTCGTAAAGGCGAGGCTTTGCTGGTTATATCTGTAAACGATATCAATGATAATACACCAACATTCACACCAGGTTAGTTGTGTTTATTTTGTCTTTAGCTCTAGGATATAAAACATGATAGCATTATTGTTGAAACGGTTTTTTTTAATTGACGACCTATTATGTTTTTCGCTAATCAGTCGACTTCACATTCTAATGCCAACCTTGATTTCTTTTTTCCAGACAATGTGAGCATTGCTGTCGCAGAATCCATGCCAACAGGCCAAGTCTTCTATACAGCAAAGGCTCAAGATTTGGACAGTGGAACCAATGGAGAAATGGAATATAGGCTAGAATTAAGTTCCACCGAGTTCTCTTTAAACCCTATGTCTGGAGCTCTTACCTTCAATACTCCTGTAGATAGAGAGACCAGGGATATCTACAATCTTGTTATAGTAGCTGCAGATAAAGACGTTACTAGTCCCAAGACAGGGACCTTACATTTGAAAGTAGTGGTTACTGATATCAACGACCATGAACCAGTATTTTCTAAGACATCTCAAACGGTTACGATAAACCGCACAGTATCTCCTGGGACTATATTGTATACTGTCACTGCTACCGATAAAGATATTGGGGAGAATGCGGCAATAGACTTTCAGATTAGTAACGGTAATACTGATGATTACTTTTTAATTGATACTTCGTCTGGAGAAATCAAAACCGCATTAAATCTGACAGCAGCAGAAAATGAATACAAGCTGGAGATAACTGTTAAAGACAAAGGTATTCCAATTCGCTCGTCAACTATGATTGTAAATGTGCTGATTATTCCTGTAAATAGTGGGGTAGCCAGTGAACAAAATATGGCAATATATGAAGCAGTAGACATAAATACCAAAGTTGATGACGTAAAACTTAAAAGCGGCCATACTGGAGCAGCTGACTTGAAATACAGTATTATCGGTGGAAACTATAAATCATCTTTTCAAATAGACCCGACTTCTGGAGCTTTATTTACATCAGCCGAACTAGACCGAGAAGAGTACGAGTTGTTCTTTTTGACGATTGATATAACAGATACAAACGAACAATATACTAAGTCAGTCAGCATTACAATTTTAGATGTTAATGACAATAGTCCAAAGATAAAAGCTTTAGATACTAATATTGCTGTAGTTGAGAATACTCCCGCTAACCAAATTATAACCAAATTTCAAATAACTGACGAAGACATTGGTACTAATGGAGAGGCCGATTTAATTTTAGCAGAAACGCCAGCTAAGGCTAAAAAGCATTTTAAAATTGATGGAGATTCCCTTGTTATAAAGGAACCTCTAGATTATGAAACCACAAAATCGATAACTTTCGAAATATTTGCAGTCGATCGTGGAATCCCAAAAGCCACAGGTACGATCCAGGTTACGGTAAATATCATTGATGTTCCAGATGATGTTGTCTTTTTAAATGGCGAAAAAGAGGCTCCCTCGGCGTATATTACCAGAGAAATGTCTTCTAATGTTGAAATAGGCGATGCTGTAACAACGATCACACCAGAAGAGTTTAACATCAGCCTCACAACTGGATCCATCACGTATACCAGCATAAACAATGAAGGAATTTTTGACATTGATAATAATAGCGGAAAAGTCACTGTTCAAAAACCGGATTTGATAGAATCAAATAGAAAATATTTTATTTGGTTGGCTGTTTCTACAGAAAACAACGGCATTGATACAAATAGGCTGGGTTTAATTCGAATTGACACATTTGATCCGAATGAACATATCGTGTCAATGGAGTCGCCTGAGACTGTAGATTCATTAAAAGCCAAAAGGTATCTACAAACATTATTTTATATCTCTCTTCCGAATGATTATTTTTAAAAATGACTCCAACAACCAAAATAAAAGATAAAAAAGCCCATAATTATATCATAACGAGTGTAAATTCTAATTGATTTCAAATTTCAGAGATATTTTGCTGGCGAAATTATTGACTTTCTTCACGGTTAATGATGTTATCTCTCTTTCGAATGATTATTTTTAAAAAAAATGACCCCAACAACCAAAATAAAGGATAAAAAAGCCTATTCCTCATAACGAGTGTAAATTCATTTAACTTGATTTCAAATTTCAGTGATACTTTGCTGGCGAAATTATCTACTTTCTTCACGGTTGATGATGTTCCCAAGATATGGAAGACAGAATCAACATCCTCGGGGTAAGTTCGCCTATCTTTAATTATGGCATGATTTTGCAGCCTTTACCAGAAGCGTTACAAATTGATAATTAGCACATACATTTTTACTATAAACAAGGGAACAAACATGGCGTCTTGTTATTTGGGAGTTAGAGATCTCTCAAAATCTGCTGGTTTAAATCCTCTTGTCAATTTTCTAGAAAGTCGTATGCATATTATTATAGTGAACAATTATTATGTTGGACGTTGGGATGGTAGATAAACGTAATCATATTTATAACTTATAGCTTAACTCGCAAATTTCCGTTTGTGTAATATAATGTAAGAGAAGTTTGTTAGATCATAAACTACCTGTTGTTTCAGTTCACGAATATTGCTGTATGTCATGAAACGTCCAGCATCAACCAAATTAGCGGATACTACTACACCCAGCAGGGTTTTCACAGATATGGATACTATGTTAAGTGTAAGTTTGTATTATTCATATTTGTTTGACAGTATATTTTCATTAAAATGTTTGTTTTAAAGTGTAAAATAGATGACATTTTATCTGTTTCAAAGAACATTTCAAAAGATATGATATTTTGGAATATCAATAACATGTATGTTAGAAGGTAATTCTTGGTGTATATTAAAGAGTTTGTCTATTTAAGGAATACCGCTTAAACCCAAACGAAGATATTCCTAAAGCAGTTCTGGAGCCACCGATAACTGCGGTTGGGCGCTATTCTGAACCCTTGAAGAATGGTGAAGCCGCTGCTTCAAAACAAGAAGAATTTGTCTCCTCTGAAAATGGATTTATAACTTTTGGAATGCTTAGTGTTTTATTGATTATGCTAGCAATTCTGTTAATTGGTTTTCTAATCTACAAGAAAAAGAAGGCACAACAAAAAAGGTACATAACTATACTCTAACATAGTCAAAACGGGATATATATAAAACTTGTATTTATAGCAAAGAAAATATTATCATAATTGAGTAAAAAACAATAAATTTTAATTCTGGGTCATCGTTAAAATTTCAATTTCCCAAAGTGTTTCATTAAAACATCAACATTTTGTTTGAATTTCTCCTTTTTCATAAGCAGAAGTGATTCATCTGAAAATCTCATGCCACCAGGTAAGTACATTATCATTACCCTCACCGGTAAAAAAATTCAATATGGCGTTATGATCCGAAACGTATGGGGTAGAACATAATATACATCTCTTTGCTTTGAGTAAAGAAAATGGTCGATTTCAGTGAATTTTAAATGTTGAATTTGTTTTGTGGGGTTAATGTGATGCCCTCTTTGAAAATGGAACATGTACAGTGTTGAGATGGATACAACGGTTTTGTGATCCATTTATCGGCACAGCAAGCGCTAAACTTAAAATAAACAAGCCCTTCTACTATTTCCAAACAAATAGTTAAACATAGCTAAATCTGCCTATTGCATGTCTTTCTTTCGGCATGAAAGGTTATCAAAATTATTAATTAGACATTAATTAACTTATCCAGTCTATAATCAACTCTCGGTGTCATCGCTAGCCTACGATATTTACTGGATTAGGATCCAGTTTGCTGCTCAACTTTCATTCATGATTTAATCATGAACTGGATAATCGAGACTATGTTTTTTTTATATCGTACTGACTTTAGTAATGATGATCGAGGCTATTACGAAATTTCAATCGCTAAATTCTCGGTTCAGAGTGGATCAATTTGACTGAATTTTCAGTTACATTATCTAGTTTTTAACTATTATAGTGAGAACTGCCAGCTCTTTATCTAATCTCCCATAATGTATCGTTAATGGTAAAAAGCTTGTCCTGACATTAATCGATATGACACACCAGATCAACAAAATTCAATACTTTATTTCAACTTAATTCACAGAGATTTACCTTCCTCAAATCTGAAGGTAGCACTTAAATGTCTGCGTACCATTGTTTGATTTAATCGATTGCTCCTGCAAACATTGAACTATCATTCCAGTAAATACTTTTATATTGGATGCGTATGTTTACTAAACGTATGTATTTGGAAACTAGCTTATATTTTGTGACATATTTTCTTGGTAGGCCTATTATACAGACTAATTTTAAAACAAATTATGTTCATATTTACTTCATATTGTGAAATTTCATGTATTATTTGTGATTCTTCAGAACCAGCTAAGGCCATCAGAAAAATTGAAATCGTCAAACCACCACCTGTAAGTTATTTTGTCGTTAAAACTTTCGAGTAATTCAATTATTATTGTCGGGTTACAATACTAATAATAAGGACGGTAACAGTCATTTTTTTATATTTTAAAAATATGAATTTCTTGATTTTCAGAAATCAAATAAGAAAAAGAAACCATCAAGTGACAACGAAGAATCTCCTGCGAACCGAACAACTAGAAAAACATCTATAGGTCCTGCTGCCACAGCAATGCCGACAACTCATAAAAACAGAAAAAGTAGGTTTGAATATAGAATAGATAGTTTCACCTGGTTGCTTTATAAAAGATGTCAGAGACACAATTAATAGCGTATTATTTACCAGAAACTCCATGGTTTGTGTCAAATTATGAATCACGGGGTCATAAACAGCATTGGTTTTTGCTGGATCAGGATAAAATAAGACTTTATCCTTTTTTCCGCGGACATTCTCCATTCCTTAAGCCTGACTCAGCCACTGCTAAAAAATATCGGGTATTCATCTCGTCGTGTTCTGAAAATAAACATGACTCATCTAAAAATCATGTATTTAAAACTTATGTAATAAATTCGATTTATTATTCGACTATTTTAGCCTCATCACTCCAGGCACCACCTGAAAACGAGCTACCACCAGTACAGACTCCTAAATTAGACAGACCACCACCAGTTATTGCTGAAAAGAAACCTGGCGAAAAAACATCTGTTGTAACGAAAAGAAAGAACGGACCAGTTGTCCATCGAGGCAAAGAGTACGACGGTGTGGCGTATGATGCGGGTATGCATGGTTTTAAAAATAAAATGAAATGGTTAAAGGGGAAATTAGTTCGATTTCCATGTATATAATGAAATAATTACGTCAGTTATGTTTAGGAATCAGTTTTGACTCGTACTGATGTTTTGCAAGCTTATAGTTTCATTTTCAAATCCAGAAATAGTACCTTCAAATCCTGATACCGTCCATGGTGTCTTTAATGTAGGAGTCATATCTGTATATTGTTCCAAGTTCTGCAGCTTTAGAGAAAAAAGCACGATAGTCATATAGATTTGTGCCCCTTTTCAATAAAAATAAAAGCTACCCTCATTTGATGAAGCAGTATTAGTTTAAAAAGAAAATTGTTTTATTTCTTTTCTTAATGTTTTTGTTATATTTTAGATAAACAGCAAAGGTATGCATATAATACTCGAACAGGAAGTACATTATGGATGGAAAAAGAAAATAATTTAGGAAGTGGTAAAGATGTCCATGCAAGTAAAAAGAAACCAACACCTGTACTCACTGTTGTTAGTGAAGCGAGGAATGAGAGTCCTAATTTCGGATTAAATCGGTCCGTAAAAATGACATCCAACAAAAATTAATAGCTAAATATGCCCATCATATATATATGTAGTTCTGGGTCCTGTTTCACTGAATGGTGTAAGTATTATACTCCGGAAGATACCATAAAATGAAATGGGATTTAACATCCCCATCTTCTGCTCCACCCGGGCACGGGTATCGGCATACCATGAGTTGCTACAGTTTCATACTTACGCCGTTTAGTGAAACGCAGATATTTTGTATGTTATCAATAGGCGAAACGTGCCTTTGGTATCTATCGTATTTGTCGCGCATATCAATATCATCGTCTATATTATTAGCTAAAATATTGTCATTGATAAGTAGGGGGGGGGGGGGGTATCCAGAAGAGATAAACTACTATATTTTATTAAAAAAAAATTAGACCATTCGTTAAATCTTCACACACTTTTAGGAAATGTGAGACATTACATAATCGGTCTGTTTTGAAAGTTCGATATTGAACATCAGCACCCCCAAGTTCAAATTTTTCCCTGTAGAAGTAGATTCTGCAAAATCGTTCATTAACTGATGCTTCATAGAATCACAAAACTCTTAAAATATAGTATGATCTATTCCATCGTCCATAGCTTAAGTTATTTGGTGCACTTTATTCTCGCTTACTAGTATGTATATTATTTGTTATATTATTTTGTTGTTTTATTTTTACATTGTTTTTGAGACGTGCTTTGATTCGACCAGTTGAATGTGTTTACACTGTCGATGTTTTAACACCAATTTGAAAATCGGATCAAGTTTCCTTTTTTGATCTTGATATAAGTTGATAAAAGATTGTTTTCATTTTATTCTTGCGCGCGGAGACTATCGTTTTTAGTCAAAATCATTCTGTCATAAATCTACAGTGTCTACCTATCATATATAATTACCACAGGGGCGAATCCAGAACCAAACACCTCCTGCTCAGCTACATAAAATCTTTTTTGTAAAACCACACTTTTTATGAGAAAGTTGTCACGGTCGTGTGCTTTATCCTTTATCGTCAAATGGTGTTATCGGATGGACATTCAAAAATGATATAGGCATATGTGATGTCACAATTAATGCTTTGTATAACTGATTCACAATGTCATCGTATTAATTCATAATAAAAATTGACGCCTCTCTTTCAAAAGCTCAGTATGTATGTATATACGCCAAAATGACGATAGAGACCATGTATTTCTCAAAAAATTTCAAAATACATTTTCCCAGGTACCGGGCAAACCCCTTCCTGCAAAAATTCCTGGATCCGCCCCTATACCAATTCTTAATTTGGCGATCCCATTATCTATAGCAATAAAATTAATAATACTCTAAGTTCAAACCAGGCCATTTAATTTTGTTTAATATAATCTTTTAAAGAAGCTATTAAAACGGTATTTACTGTAAATAAGTGTACATTATTTGCTCTTAACACAATTATGGACCATCTTGCAGATTTGTTATGAAGTGACATTAATATTTAAAAAAATACGTGTTGATATTGTTCAAACTGTATTTGTTTACAGAGCACATTCATGGAACAGTGAATGTTATTTTTAAAAATTAATTTGTTCGTCATAATTTATTTCAACCCATTAGTGCCAAACATTTTTCATGATTAAATATTTGCTTATAAACAATTTGTTTGTGTTACTATTCTCTAGCACTACAAGGGGATCACGTGGCTAAGTGGGTAAGGCGCTGGCTCGCTAGCCTGGAGGTCGGGTGTTCGATCCCTGCATTGGCCGAGAAAGTTAATCCAGATTTCCCGGCGTGGTTCTCCCTTGTCAGTGATGCAGGACGGAGGGCATGACAAGGACAGATGTCTAGTCATTCGGATGGGACGAAAAACCGAGGTCCCGTCGTGCCGCTGTCCGGGCAAAAATTTCCCTCATAGCAAACTGTATGCAATGGAGATGTACGCCTCGAACGTTCGAATTGAGAGAAATTCAGCTGATAGGTGATGTGATGTGAAATTAATTTAGAAAAAAAATATTTTAGCTGTCGTGGTTGGTTTCTTCCTCAGTCGTTCCGGTACATGCTTTTTGAATCGACTTTTTCTGGTTCAATGGATTATCATCGTTCGTGGATTGAGCAACCTAAATTCTGAACGTAGTGTCGAGTATCCTGCATATGTTATGGAAATGCCGGGCCTTTTCAAGATTTTCAGCAGACGGTTGTGTCGTATGTGGCTATTTGAATATTTAAATATCTTGAATATAATTCAGTGGAAAAAATAACCGAAGATCGATTCCTGGATGAAGAAAGTCTGATTCTCTAGAGTGCTTTTCCTATTTAACATTCGTTATTCAAATTTAAAGTGAAACGAGGAGGCTGCATTTATGCAACTTTTAACCCTGATTTCCAAGATAGAAATGCCAGCATTGTTAACAAGAAATATTTTGATGGTAAATAAACGGTCTAGATACGGAGATATCAACCTCGCCATGCAAGTCACATTTTGTCTTTCCTAGTGCACAGTAAGCTGTCTAGAAGAAAACTAAGGCATAATATGTGTCCCCGTTGGTGCTTTCCCTTTAATTATAGACCTATAACGGTAAATCTCTTTGATTTTTAGGGTATATTCTATGACCGGAATAACTTGCGGTCTGAAGGTCGTGGGCGGCTTTGGATATATACAGGGGAATTTGGGGGTTTTCTTCTGAAAGTTTTTCTTTAAACCAGTAACGGGTTATTCTTCCAGGGTAGGTTTTTTTCCATAAGAAAACATGATATTTTAAGGTTTTTCTTACTGGAATTCTGGGATATTATCATTTTACGTACATGTAAACATAGACGGTTTATAAGCAAGATAAAGTCCTCGACTTCGGTTATGCTGGTACCCCCCCCCCCCCCCCTGCCCCGCAACAGAAAAACCTCAGCCTATTTTTTTCAGTCTGTCTTCCTCCAGCATAACCCCAGTCTCGTGCTTTATCCTACACATGATTAATATGTTTAACGCAAAGTGTACTTTAGAACAGCCAACATACAAGTACATATATTGCATCTTTTAATGCCAGTTGCTTAAACTTTAGACTAAAATCGTTTTGGACGGTGTGCAGTATAAAACATTTTTTTTATCAACCCGATGAACAAACATTTCCACAATTTTCACACCAATGTCTCATGAAATATAATAGATGCAAATTATTGTCTTTGCAATTTCAAAATTGAAAGGCTCGTCAAGTCTTTATTATCAGCTAACACATACAATTCTGTGGGCGTATAGACTCTTAAGAGGTCCTTCGTGTTCCTGGATCAACGACCGCGAGTTTTACAACATCTAGCCGTTAATAGAATAATCTGACTTCCCTTTACCGCAGACACGTGAACAATAACTTTATCCATCAGAGGTGATACAGATACCCAAAACAAACATGCTGACCTCCGCGGAAAAGGTATTTGGATAAATTTATAGCTGTTGAAAGCTTTTTGTCAGTTGAGAAACTCACAGGAAACCCCCAAAAATCAAACGTACTAACATAATGGAAGAACATATAAAGGTAAATTAAAAGGTTTGGTGTCAGATGTGAAAGGGGTTCATACGTCCACTAGGTCATTTTGGGACTAACATATGGTTTTATTTTATTTCAATAATTCGCTTGCGCGTTGGGGTCTCTAGCACTGGGATGAAACCGGAGAACCCGGAGAAAACCCACGAGGCTGGACAGGGGCCCTATTCTTGTCACGTACCTATTTTCTATACAGTAATCTGAGAGGGCTAGAACCTGGTCATAGACCGAGCGTACATTATTTATGCTAGTTGAAATTTTGGTCCCTCGTGACGTATTTCATTGCAAATTTTGCGAGTGTCTGTATTTTAAGTTGTTTAATGGTCTCGAGCTTAAGACAGTGCTACTTAATGTCTCTCGCTTTCGACCATTAAACCACACTTATTACCTCTTACGACGCTTTACTATCACTTTCTGTATGTATTATTGCATTTTATTAATCTGTCCTTTAATTATTTACATTTTATACACTATCCTGTGGTTTTAACGTTTCTCATAGTAGGCCTAATGATCTACATCTCTGTTCACGGCCCATTTTATGTCCCGAGTTGACAAAAATTTCAGAACTTTAAATAAATTAAGAAAATTGTGGATAATCTACATTAGACGTACTTTTGTCGACCATGATGGACGCATAGATTATTTTTGTCTTTTTAGAAATGGGGTTTGACGTCTATCCGATACTAACTAGTCCATTTCGGGACTAACATATGGTTCAATTTAATTTCTATTATCCGCTTACGCGTAGGGGTCTTTAGCAGTGGAGGAAACCCTATGCTCCTTGCCATGTACAATTGGGGAGTCGAAACCACGTCACTTGACGCAATGACCGACCCTGTGATCTAACGCGCACACGTAAGACCATTCGGCCACCCAGCTCCCCTGACCGGTAGTCTGTACAAATGGTTGACATTTCGACACGGGTCTCTCTAATCGAACAACAAAACCACACACGCGATAAAAATATCACAGACCATGAGCTCCGCGCACTACATGATCAGCGCTAAAAATAAGGGATTCTTCTCTATCCGATTGTGTCTATGTGCTTACTTATTGTTACTCTCTTAAGCATTAAATTAAAACGTAATTACACTCCAGGTTCTTTATACCATTAGATAGGATCATCAAGACCATTAATGATTTAGCATTCACGATTATTAACCATTTAGATAAATACCTTTTTTTGTAAATGAGAGTCTACTCTATTATACCTATATGGGCGTCACTATCAACATTTATATCAGATACAATAGCTTGAATAATTTATAGGTAATCCTTTACGTATAGTGTGTTCAATGCACCATTATCATACACATTACCTTGAACATAAAGACCAGCTATCCGTGTCAACCGTTTTGACCTAAGGATTGACGCCATTCATTTGATATAGATATATAATGGTACTGCCCATTGAAAAACTAAATTTCATACTTTAAAAAGATTACTATAATAATCTAATGCAATTGAACGGTTAAAGAAAGTGTGTCTTGGCGGATCTGTCTTAAGTGCTGGAGTAACAGTTATATTGGTACAAAAGTATAGGGGCATTGCTATTTTAAATCTAGGTGTAATAACTTAACACTGCAAACAGATAATACAAAACACGGGTCTATTTTATGTATATGCCTTTTATTGAGACCACTTCCTACACAATGCCCAATGATAGACGATCAGAGATCAACCCAAGTTCGTCATAAGAGTTTTTAATATGTGAACATGTAATCAGTTATTTTATTTATTCGCCATTTTAGTCGGTGGCTTTGTAAAATCATTTGATTTGGTAACCATAAAAAGACACGAGGATATTACTGTATATTATTACGAGAGAACTAAGATTATAAAAATGAAGAGACAGATATATTTAGAGTTTATGTTATTGTTTTTCCTTCTTCTATTCCAAGGTAAGATTTTAAAATTATGTTGTTTCAAATTTCAAGTTACATCACGGTATGAAATACATTCACTTTATTGAAAAAACAAACCTAAATGTTTAAATAATTGTTAAGTACAAATCTCTTAACACCGATTTTTAACATTCAACCAATACTTACATATAATATAGTCAGATAACATGGTGAAATAATGTGAAACAATCTAAACCAGCAACAATTATAGTATTATAGGAAAATAATGTACCATTGATAATAGTTCTAAAAAACCTCTCATTTTTGACAAGATTTTCTGCATCGATTTGTGGGTTAGGAAGAACTGAAACAGATGGGGAGGGTGTTGTTACTGATACTGACGCCTGTGTTCGGCATTCGAATACATTTCGGATTTCCATATTCAAATGTTAAATATTTGACATTTCCGTTCAATATAATAGGCATCGTTGGTTTTTGCCTCGTCTCTACGCCTCCACTGTCTTCAATAAAGGCAGAGGGGTTCGGGGTTCGGGGTTCCGGGTTCAAATTTCAAACATTCAGGTATTTGATATTTAAATACTCATACTGGAGATACAAATGACATTTGTTAAGTCGGTTGGATTGTATTAGACACACGTATTCATGTTGTACGTGTTTTCTAATTATTAAAATTTTTGAGTATTGACATTTTCCGGAACACTCTGAAAATCAGTGTTTTAATATTCCAGTAGGCATATTTGGGATCAAGTAAAGACACAACCAACAATCTTATGGATAACATAGTAACCCTAATCCTCGGGCTGAGCCATTTGCGGATTCTTGTTCAGAATTCAAATATTAAAGTAATCGGGAGGAAACGACATTTTTGAATAATGTATCGAGGTCATATTCGTCAACTCATTACGGTCATAAGAATTGGAATCCCGACTCCAAAAAACATTATAAAAATTACAATTATTAGGTTAGTTACAAATGTGTTAAAGTTAGTATTTTGGTCTAACATTTTCAAATGTTATAAAATGGTGTGGTAAATCTTTCATCACCTGTACATAATACCTTGGATATTCCTGTTCATTGTAATTAAATTGGTTTACATTAAATTTCTGGCGAATTTTGAAATTAAACTGAATCGCTTCATCAGTTACAGAAAATTCAAACCTATCGATCTACCTCCTATTTTTATTATCCATCGCCAAAGAACGGTGCAAAAAATGTGATAATCACTATTACTGGACATGATATTTGTTATACCATGGTTATGAGGCTGTATTCCTTATTTCTCATATCATTGTTAGGGGTATATGGAAGCGAGCCCATATCGTCAACCACTTATATGGAGCAGAATTCGCGACTTAATTCTAACTGTTAACATGCGAATGCTAATGTGCTTATTTCAATGCATATAACACCTTACTTGAATATAATAGATCGTTACTTACACGTCATGTAAAGTGATAATGTATGATGTCTTTCTTTAATATTGGAGTTTACAGAAGTATTTCCATTGTTATTACTTTCACAAATTTTGCGATGTAAACGCGATATTCTAGACCCCAATTTGTTAACAGATGGTACTGTTTAAAACTATATGACGGCTGATAGAGGCCATGTGAAATCTGGACCTTTTCGCGACCGGATAATGGCACTGTTTAAAACAATATAAGGGCTGAAAGAAGTCATTTAAAACTGGACCTTTTCGCAACCCGATAATACTTCATTCCGGCCAAGCAAAAGCAAACTTTTATTGATATTACTCAGCAATCTAGCCATACAGCACGAGAGAGAGAGAGAGAGAGAGTGAGAGAGAGAGAGAGAGAGTGAGAGAGAGAGAGAGTTTAACGTCCACTCGATACAAACTATGTCATTTCGGTACTAAAATATGGTTCAATTTTATTTCAATAATTCGCTTGCGCATAGGGGTCTTTAGCCGTGGGAGCAAACCGGAGGACACGGGGAAAACCCACAGCACTAGAACAACTAACTAGAACGATAGTTTGGTCGGAGCTCCTAACCAATAAATAATTTCAGGGCGAAGGACGCAAGTAGATACATACAGACAAAATTGCAAGACCAATGATGGCGCGAAATAAGAAGAACGAAACAAACAAGCGCAATGAGCATATTCGGAAGCTTTTGACCCGGTTCTAGACTAAGCCTTGTGCACACCCTGCCTATTACTACATTACTTAAATAGTGTGTTTAAAACATTCCATTATTTTGATATAGAAATATATAGATACTATGCTAAATTGATCAATGATCTAAAGAGTTCATACAATAATTTAGCCGCAATTACCCCTTTCTACAGGTTATTGGACGCGGTCGTATACAACGACGCCTGATTTTAACATAGAAGTCAGACTTCAGTAGACTTTTACAAGAAAACACTGCTTTGCTCTATACTGACCGCCCCCCCCCCCCAGTTGCGAGGGTCACTATTAGTTAACTGAACAGTCGATCTTTACTTCAACCCCACTCACTTCCGTTGTATCTATGACAGATTACTCTTTCTCTGTGTCCCTTATCCATCAATTAATTCAATGTCAGTTATGGCGAGTTGAAACAAGCGGTTGCCATGCAAGATACACCCATATTTTGCAAGAAATGTATGGGGAAGAGGTAAAATTAATAGGACCCATCCTCTCATACAAGATCTTTTGATCCTTAACATATTTGTTAAGTTTCCTCAGAATGGGATAACAATTGTAGGCACTCCAGACTGTGTTTGCATGGTAAGGGATTTAGAAAAGAAATAAAATTTCACGTCAATGCCGAGTAATTTTATTAGCCGGAAATCGCTCAGAAAGCGTCTTTGACGATCTAGACCCAAGGAGCTTCCGGGGCCTAGGCGGCCCCTTGACCCTCGTCTAAACTTCTAGGATGGTAGCCCCCCAACCAAGAATTGCTTCCGCCGGCCCTGTCACTGATGTACGGACAGTATTATAGTTATACAACATGTTGGTGGTCAAGTACACATAAAACTGTTCGTATATCAGGTCCCTGACGAAACATTAAAATCCTATTTGGAGATAATTTGTTGGGTTTTTTTTCAGAGACTAAAACTGCATCGTGTACTAATGCTAACATCAATGTTGATGGTAGGTCTCCCATTGGTACGATTGTTGGCGACTTAGGATGTACAGGCACGAATTTAAATATAGTCAGCGGAGACACGAATAACATGTTTAGTGTCGATAACCAAGGAAAACTCACAACAAAGCGTTTTCTTTATGAGTCTTTGGATTATAAATATGAGGTGAGTAATATATGTATATACAACTTTCTGCTTTGAACCAAGTCGGACCGGTGACTTTTGTAGTAACTAGTTTATCCAGCAGTTCTGGAAGTTTCTGTTAAATTTGGCTTTGTATACTGACGGGTATAGTACATGATAACATTGGATGTGACGTCTTATATTTTGTAATCTTATAAATGTTAGATATTTGAATTTATCCCCTTCACGATTTACCCGTACCCCCACCCCTCAACATAAATAAACCAAACAATATCCACAAAAACAGGGAACATTGTACATTGTATACACCTTTGAACCTCTGTGCGGCAACACACCCCCCCCCCCTAAAACGAAAACAAGCAAACAACGAAAGAAAAAAGCAAAACAACAACAAACAAAAAATAAAACAGAAAACCACAGATTTATTTTCCTTTGAACCTTTCAGCTGACAATAGACGGTGTTGATAATGTTATCCAAGTTGCTGTTACCTATGTTAATACAGCAGCGCCACTTTTTTCAAACTTGCCAGCGTCAATAGAAGTTGATGAGAACACCCCAATTGGTACACAGATTTATACGTTTAGTTTCTCTGATGCTGACAAAGCAACAGGTGGATTAGGCGGAGTGGCCTATGTCGATTTCTTTAAGCCAGGTAAGCTATTGACATATTTTCTTTCTTTTCCCATTAAAATAATATAATTTATCTACATTTATCCACGTAATAATTAGCGATCTAATAACAATTCAAAGATAAATTAACATTAATCATCTTGATATACTAAAAATTAGAAATACATTTATAGAAATGTAGCACAGAATGTTTTAAAATAGGTGAGTGATTTAAATGTATACAAGATTTCATATCAATAAGCTTTAAAACGAGTCTCACTGATGCTAAACATTGATTAACCAAATGCTTTTCTGACTATTCAAGGGTGGATTTATTGGGTGGGGGCGCACGTGGCATTTCTGGGCTTTTAGTTTTGATAAATTTTACGGCGGAAGCCACCTGTACCCCCTGTTGAACAATTTGCGCCTTGGGCACTAGCAACGTGCGACTACTCCTCCGTACCCCCTCCCCATCCGTGGTCTCTGGATCCGCCCTTGCTATTGGCATGGTGTGTACGTGAATGCTTCTTCCGTTTCTCCCAATGTCTTCTATCTCATTATCATATTTTATCTTTAATTTATCTTCTATTCACCTAAAAGGTTTGAGGATAATATTATATCGCATGTTCACGATCGGTTCACGTGCTGATTGGTCAACTCTTAGACCGGGGGCCCAGGGGGTCAACCTAGCTGAAAAGTGTACCAATTTTCTCCTATATGGTATCAATATATGTATATCTGGTATCCTCAGAATGTAAGTCTGCCGGGTTTCTGGTGGTGGGTGTGGTATTCCACGCCCTAAATGCCATGACCCCCAACTAGGCTAGATTAGCTCCAAAGTGTACCAAATGAAAATCGTAAAGCAGTGTACCGTACATCTTCAGGTATTACAAAAACACTCTGACAGACATTTCTAGTGGTGGGGTACCCCTGACAGAGCTATGTAATTGCCAGACATTTGTAGTGGTGGAGTATCCCTGACAAGAGTTATCTAATATTTAGACCAAAGCTAGGCTAGATTAGCTCAAATCTGTACCACCTAAAACAGCTTTGGAGTTGTTCAGTACCACCACAGGAGTCATAAATGACCACTGCCAGACAGTTTGTGCGGTGGGTTACCCCTAACATACACGCCCCAAAATGCCACGCCCCCAACTAGGCTAACTTCGCAAACACTGTTCCCGTGTTTTAAAAAATTAAATTTTTAGCCAGGATACGTAGAATACTAATACCTAGCACGTATGGAAAAGGCGATAAACTGCGGTACAATTTTTAAATTTTTGGACCACGGGAACAGTGCCGGCTAATTTATCCTAGTTTGAGGGCGTGGCATTTTGGGCGTGTCTATTAGGGGTAACCCACCGCACAAACTGTCTGGCAGTGGTCATTCATGATTCCTCTCGTGGTACTGAACAACTCCAAAGCTGTTTTAGGTGGTACAGATTTGAGCTAATCTAGTCTAGCTTTAGTCTAAATATTAGATAACTCTTGTCAGGGATACTCCACCACTACAAATGTCTGGCAATACATAGCTCTCTCACGTGTACCCCACCACTAGAAATGTCTGTCAGAGTGTTTGAGCTAATCTAGCCTAGCTTTGGTCTAAATATTAGATAACTCTTGTCAGGGATACTCCATCACTACAAATGTCTGGCAATTACATAGCTCTGTCAGGGGTACCCCACCACTAGAAATGTCTGTCAGAGTGTTTTTGTAATACCTAAAGCTGTACGGTACCTTGCTGTGCGATTTTCAGGTGGTACACTTTTGAGCTAATCTTGACTAGTTGGGGGCATGGCATTTTGGGCGTGGAATACCACACCCACCACCAGAAACTCAACAGACTTACATTCTGATGATACCAGATATACATACATTGATACCATATAGGAGAAAATTGGTACAATTTTCAGCTAGGTTATAAACCCCCTGGGCTCCCGCTCTATCTGCGCACTTGCTTTCATCATGTATATCTTCGTTAAAAATGTGATAGACAATTGCCGACAGTTGTTGTGTTTGTATCATTACAAATAAACGACAATAATTGTTTTGGGAAAAATAAACAATCAGTTATGCCGCCCGGAAATAAATTTCATGTGATTTGTTTTGTTAAATATGTCTTTATGACGTGTACATTACTATATGCCCTTGACTCGCTGATTAATTTCCGATCATGTTCAGTTCAGTCTCAATTATTTATTTACACGTTTATTAAACATACATTATGCAAGAGGTCTTTCTTTAAGTCTGAAATGTTTTCTAATTATTATTAATTAGACATTAATTAACTGATCCAGGCCATAATCAACTCTTGATGGTGTTGGATTTATCCGATATTAAATTGGAATGAAATTATTCATTTTAAATCATCTTTTTTCGAACTATTATACCAAGAATGGCTAGCTCTTTACCTAAATCTTGTATCTTTATCTTTAAGGGGCTCTATAGTGCCCAATCTGTTTCACAGAGAATTACGAGTCTAGTAATATTGTCGCGGCCTAGCAAATATTCACTGCGGATCAGTGTGTATAGTGCCATAGTGACAAACGCGTTAATTTCATTGTGTTTGAATTGATGAATCTCAAACAGATTAATTTACTGACAGTTGTCAGTAAATAGCTCGTCAACCCATTAATGTCGGGTCAGTACCGGATTTACATCTAAGGTTCTCAGGATCTAGCGGGATTCCGGTAAATGTGTATAATATTTTGTGATACTAACATAAGCCTTTGTTACACGCAATATGGCCTTAAACACCCAGGCATTATCATCGGCTTTGCTCAATTATGTTTAAAACACACATTCAGCTTTCGCTAGTCACGAGGTAAGAGGTAGGAGGGGGTTACAAGTGGAATAGCCTAGGGCCATACTCATCTCAATCCGTTACTGTGTCGAGTCTACCACATCTCAAAATAGAACCAGATAAATACACAATTTCAAAATGTTTATGACGAACAATTTAACCCATCACACCTTGCTTCATTAAATGACTAATAGTGACAGAAACAAATATTATGACGAACATCAAAGAAATTTTAAAAAGTAAGTAGGGTGGCTGGGGCGACTGTGATAGTTGGCTAAATACGTAGTATTCAAATTCAAATTTGGTTAAATATTAAGATCTAAAGAATAGCAGATTTTTTCAGGAGCCAATGCTGCAAAAAAATGGATAATTGAAAGAGCAACTGGAGCTTTCTATGTGAATACGGTATTCGATGTTTCAGTGAAATCAAAATACACACTGGGAATCCAGGCATATGACATGCATCCTACAACACCCAAAAAATCTGGCAAACAAGTGCTAACAATATCTCTGAAAGATGCTAACACTCACTCACCAGTAAGATATAAATTTTCAGTTTTAAAATGCCCATGAATAAATAAGTATCCCGAAAGTTTTTAGCCCGAATAATATAGATTGATATCGTACATGGCATTAAATAAATTAGTTTATCATTTTGGTCAGAGTTATTAAAAATCGTTGCCAAGGTTATGTTTATTGGTCAGAGTTATTAAAAGTCATTCCCAAACTTATGTTTATGTTTATTAAGGACAATTTTAGCATAGATTATTTTAATCGCAGGGATGCAGCAAATATTCGAAACTGATCAGCCTAAAAGAAAATGTTAGTGTGAACACAACAGTTGATGCCCTAAATTGTACAGACAAAGATAAGGGGGCCAATGCTGCTTTATCTTACAGATTAGCAGGTAAGAATTTAAATTTAATTGTAATTTAAGAAATAATAAGTTAAAGGATTTTGGTTATAAACATTCTCAATTTTGTTTCAGAGAGCAATAGTCAAGATGTTAAAGACACTTTTAAGTTTGAATCAAATCAACTGAAATTAAAATCAGAATTAGATTACGAAACAGCGACTATTTATAATATTGTTGCTGAGGTTTATGATGGGGGACCATTAAAAAGAACCACTACCGTTCAAATAACTGTTAACGTTGAAGATTTTGATGACAATATTCCAGAGTGGCCTGAAACCACATTGTATGGTTGTAAGTATACTATTTTAAACACCATTTAACTTGACATAAAACATGTCGTCGGTTGGATTCTAAAACCGCGTAATAGAAAATCATGATTTTTCAGGAGGAATTAAAAATTTAATAAAACCTCACACCATGAGCAGAGATGTCTAGTTTCTTGACAGTGTCCACAATTTAACGTTTTAAAGTATTACATGCGCCAAACAGTGTGCTATGAGGAAAATTTTGCCCAGACAGCGGCGCTACGCCAAATTAATGTGTTAATAGGACCTCGATTTTTTGTCTCACCCGAACGGCAATACGCTGTCCCTTGCATCACGGACAAGGGGAGAGGGACGCTGGAAATCCCGTTGAACTTTCTTGGCCAACACGAGATTCGAACACGGCATATCAAGGTTAGAGAGCCAATGTCCTACTCACTGGGTCACCGTGGCCTCCATATTACATTGGAAATAAGGTAAGTAGTTGAAGTCTTACTCACCGAGCCCCCCCCCCTCCCCGCGCGCCTACATATTACATTGGAATTAAGGTAAGTGGTTGAAGTAAGGCCGGACAGAAGGAAGGTATGAATTGAAGTGAGGGCGCCGGAACGTCCGAGGGGAGGGAATATGAATGGGGTCCGAGGGTCGTACCCCTAGAAAATTTATGAAAATCAGTGGCAGAAACGATGACATCTATAGATTACTAGAAGACTTTTAGTTTCAGCTTCTTTCTCGTTGTTCCCCGAAAAAATATCTGTCAATATATCTTCAAATATAAATTTTGGTAAAACGAAACTTACTCACTTTCACTTTCGGTTCGAAGCATGGAGACCAACCCCACACATCATGCTCAACAAGCTCAGAGATCAAAACTCATGCGGCTCGAACTGTATGTATGACCCCCCCCCCCCCCCGGCTCCACCCACTGGTGAACCAGCGTGGAGACCAACCCCACACATCATGCTCAACAATCTTAGAGATCAAAACTCATACGGCTCGACCTGTATGTATGAACACCCCGGCTCCACCCACTGGCGAACCAGCACTCAAGTCTCCACTCACTAACCGGAGACGAGCACGAGATGGGATCCCCCCTTACCTAAGCAACCATAGAAATCGTTCCACTACTGATGTCTTTCGTATTGCTCCAGCCACCATAGTGGATCGTTCTAAGGAGTTCCTTTGAGCAGGGTTTGTCATGATTTGATGAAATGAGGCAAAACCTTACCGCATAAAATAACTTGACTAAGGCATTTCCACAAGGCAGGAATCTAGTTTACAGGTCTCCAATAAGACACTTGAAGAAAATAAATTCTCCCAAATTTGTTCTCTTGTGGTTAATAATGAAAATTCTATTCTATTAACTACACCCGTTGATTATCATTGTTCTATCTCAATAATATTCTATGTGATCTTTCAATGTTCTTTTTAAAAGCTGTATCGGAGACCGCACCACTTGGTACAATCATATTGAACGCAACGGCTTCCGATGGCGATTCACCGGGTATTCCGTCTACTATCACTTATGGCATTCAAACAAAAGCTGCCCCAGACTGTCTTTCAATTGATCCGGACACAGGTAATGTAAACGATTTTCAATCACAAAGATTATGGTAGACAACCAATAAATCTCCATTTTTTCACAATTCTTTACATTTTTTCTTATAATTCCACTAATTTGGGTGTGGACGATTATTTTGTTTTCAACTATTTATTTTAAAATTATAATTACGATGCGACAAAAAAATTTCATAACATAATCTAACAGTACATTAAATATTTTTTTCAGGTAGCATTACTCTTTCCAAATCAATAAGTGATTTTGTAAACATTGATTGGATAAGTATGGAAATTTTCGCTTATTCATCTAACCAAGTACTAAGCAAGAGTACTATTATCGTTAACATTACTATTATAGATGAAAACAACATTGTACCACAGTTTAGTCAGGTATAATAGTGTTATTTATTTATTAGACTTTAAAATGGAATTATAACTTTTAGTTTTAAAATGAAGACGGTGTTTGAATATGTTAAATTTGAGGGCCCTTATTATTTTAATTGGTGACATTCGGGCAGTACTTTATTATACTCTTATTGCAGTCATCTTATCAAGTTAGTGTAAATGAATCACAACCTATTGGCTCATCGATTTTAACAGTCAGTGCAACAGATCCAGAATTCGGGGATAATGGAGAAATTGAATATTATTTAACATGTAAGTAAAACTAACTATCACTGTACTCAATTATTAAACATGCGTTATGCAAGACCATTGTAGGTCTTTCTTTGGGGAAGGTTTGGGGGTCACGGTGGGTAAGTGAGTAAGACGCTGGCTCACTAGCCTGGAGGTCGGGTGTTCGATCCCTGCATTGGCCGAGAAAGTTCATCCAGATTTTCCGTCGTGGTTCCCCCTTGTCAGTGATGCAGGATGAAGGGCCTGACAAGGACAGCTGTCTAGTCGTTCGAATGGAACGAAAAACTGAGTCCCGTGTACACGTTGACGTGCACGTAAAAGATCCCTTGACACTTGGATTTCGATATAAGAGTAGGCCGTAGTACCTCATAGCACACTGTATGGCGATGTCCGTCTTCATTAGCCCAGTTCGGAGCAGAACAGTAGGGCGTTAACCCCCATTTCATTTCATTTCTTTCCTTAGGCCTGGAATGTTATCTAAATTATGAAATAGATATTAATTAACTTATCTAAATTATAATCAACTCTCGATGCTATCGCTAGCCTGCGATATGTACTGGATTTGAATACATTTTGTGATGGATGATTTAATGTCAAAATGGATAATCGATTTTAGTAATGATGATCGAGGCTAGGCCTAAAATTCCATTTCTAATATCTCCGTTCAGAATGGAGCAATTTGACTGAAATTTCAGCATATTCTGTTTGTTATAGCGAGAACACCCAGCTCTTTATCCAATCTCCTATAATTCCCCTTGAAGTTATTTTCCCAAATACAAGGGTGTTGACGTAAATGGGGGGGGGGGGGGGGTAAACGGTGGCTCGGTGAGTGTTTGATCCCGAAGTTGGTCGAGAAAGTTCATTGAGATTTGCCAGGGTGGTTCCCCTTGCCATTGGAGTAGGGCGGAGGGCCAGACAAGAGACAACGCACGAACGTACACTTTGGCGTGCACGTAGAAATCCCTTGACAATTGTCATTCGATATAAGAGCAGCGGAGACTATATGACGTACACCCGTCTTAAGTAGCTCAGTAGGTTCTTATGAACAGTAGGACGTAAATTCCCACTGTATTCCATTTCGTTGACGTAAATGTATTAAACGTTGAGATCCTGACAACGATAACCCTTATGTCATCGAAATAAGTTACGGTAAAGTCATCTGATTTTTTCATGGGGTTCATGCCCACTCTAAACACCCTATAGCATTATTTTGTAGTTTAATAAATAATCCACTTTTGATCACTTTTTTCAGCAACTCTTTTTGCTGTAGACCTGAATGGTGTTGTCTTAACAACAGCGTTGCTTGATTTCGAAACGAGCAACGTGCATACATTAACTATATTGGCAAAGGATAAAGGTACACCAACACAGACAGGTTCTGCCGTTCTACTTATTCGTATATTACCAGAAAATGAACATGATCCAATTATTGAAGGACCCATAGCTGCAATTAGTATTGCTGAAGACACACCACCAGGTATATATGATTACTAGTATTTATTCTATATATTGGTTTTATTTATTTTGTCAGGTTTGTCTTTTAATTTATTTTTTTCTAAAGGCGTCCGTACTTATTCAATTAAAAATAGTGGTTGATATGATTCATAGTAACGAAACACTGTCAGCAATTAAATTCTATACGGGCCTTTGATTTTGAAATTTACTCATTTTGGGTTAACAGAGATTGATTATTAATATACATATTTAACACGATCAAATTTTTTGTAGGTGCAGTTTTATCTTACATCAATGCCACGGACCAGGATGGGGGACTTGATGGTGACATCACCTTTTCAATTCAGAACCCATTGGACCCATTTACCATTGAACCAAAGACGGGGTTGTTTCGTGTAGGCAGCGCCTTGGACCGAGAATTTAAAGACACATGGGAAGTAGTTGTTATAGCAGTCGATGATTCAGAGACAGCACCACGAACCACGTCAACAACAGTTACGATTAGTATCACAGATATAAATGATAACACTCCGATATGCGAACCATTGCCTGACATTATTGTTACGTTACCTCATCAAATAGGCCGTCAGTTAGCAACCCTTAAATGTACGGATCTAGATGAAGGCGATAATGCCGAATTAACTTTCGAAATAAGTTCAGGAAACACGAATCCCGTTTTTGGAATTAACGAAATGTCCGGCGTTATAACTCTTGAGAAATCCCTTACCGAAGACAGATACACACTAACCATTGATATCCAAGACAAAGGCAGCACGCAACGTAAAACTAACATTATTTTAACCATTTTGGCCGAGATTTCGTTTACGTTTTCTGCCCTTCCTGCCACTATTAACAATATTACAGAGAATACCCAGCAGGCGCTCAGACTATTTCACGTACAAGCCTGTTGTGTGTTTGGTGCGGTTCAATATGAGATTGTTTCTGGAAATGAAGATAACCGTGTGGCCATAGATCCATCAACTGGAACTGTTATTAGCCTGAAAAGTTTTGATCGCGAGTTCCAAAGTACATACATATATAACATAAAAGCAATTAACTCAAATACCAATACCACAGTTGAGAGTGAATTGACAGTAGAAATAAACGATTTAAATGATGTTACACCCACATTTGACACAAGTTTGCACTTTGTAAATGTGTTTGAAAATGTGTCTATCAGTACATCAATATACGCAGTGACTGCGCTGGATAACGATCTAGACAAAAATGGGGAAATCGTATATAGTATACAGGGTGGAAATAACGGGCCTGCCTTTGAAATAGACAACAATTCCGGAAATCTTATCCTCAAATCAAAATTGGATGCAGATATCATCACTCAATATTCCCTCGTGATCGTGGCAACGGATAAGGGAGATACACCCTTAACGGGAACTACAACGGTTGTTATTAAAGTAAAAACGATTAATGACTTCAAACCAAAAGTTTTAAACGCCGCCGAAAATGGTCTTATATTTACCAATGTAACAGAAAACGAAGCTTTGGGTGCGATTGTGTTTGTGTTCCGAGCCCAGGATCAAGACAATAATACCGATTTTACGTACATGATCTCACAAGGTAACGACGATAAGACCTTTATTATTGATGGCGAAAAGGGCGACATATATCTCAGAAAAATATTAGACAGGGAAACGGTTAATAATTATAATCTAACAGTAGATGTTGATACAGCTGATGGTGACAAGGTTTCGGCAGTTGTAGTTATAGATGTTTTGGATGTTAATGATAATGATCCCAAATTTTCAACAGATGTTCATCAGTACGAGGTTATACACGAAGATCCCATGGACAAAGTAATCGCGACGTTCACCATTACTGATCGTGATATTGGTAGCAATGCAGATATTGCCTCACTTTCAATAACGGACGGAGATTCTTCAGGTCGCTTCAAAATAGTCAACAACGATATTCTAACAAATGTGCAAGTGGATTATAATACCGGAATCGCATATTCCTTAACAATTACAGCAACGGACTCTGGGAATCCAGCGAGATCAAGTTCTATTAGAGTCATCATAAAAGTTCTACCAAAATTCAAGCCACCACGTTTCGCTATGACAGAGTATAATGCACCTCCTTTAAGTGAAGATATTTATCCTGGAAGTGAAGTTTTTGATGTTAATGCCACAGTAGATGGTGCAACAGAGGGGTCTGATGGTACAATGCAATACAGCATAGCATCTGGGAATACGGACAATGCCTTTTATATTTCAGATACAGATGGAAAAATATTCACGGCAACCACTATGGATTTCGAAAAGCTAGAAGCCTACGCTTTAAACATTGAAGCACGTAGTAAAGAGGATTCAACAAAATCAGACACTACATTAGTTAAAATAACAATAAAAAACATCAATGACCATACCCCGACATTCACAAAACCGTTATATACATTTAATATAGATGAAAAAACTGCACCACCGGTAGATGTTGGGCAAGTCAGTGCCAACGATCTCGACAAGATACCTTATGGTAACATCACCTATAGTTTGGGAACTTTCATTGGTTCAACTGATTTCACTATTAATACTAATGGTATGCTACAGACAACAGAAGAACTAGATTTTATGACGCAGAATTTATACAGCATTCCAGTAATGGCCAGTGACGGAGGTGTCATTAAAGGAGAAGCACTAGCAGTTATAGTGGTAAATGATATCAATGATAATGCTCCGGCATTTTCACCAGGTAAATAATTTTATAAATTGTTTTGTTGTATGAGTTAATATGTCTCAGTGCAGAAGCAATAAATAGAGGACATTTGTCGTTTTAGAGTGAATAACATATTTTATTTCATCGAGAAGCAAGAAAACTTATATTTTCACGAATGCGTAGCATGAATGAAAATATAAACGTTTTCTTGCTTAGAGATGAAATAAAATATGTTATTCACGACAAAACGACAAATGTTCTATTTATTTTATGTTTTTACAATCATTTTAGGTATAAACAACATGGACTACTTGCTAGCCAGTGGAATAACACTTTTATTTCACTGATAAAACGCGGTATTCCACTACTGATCATAAAATAAATTATGTTAGTTTGTCACTGTCAAATTACCTATACATGGTATTGAAAATGACCCTGTTAATGTAGTCGCAAAAATAATCGTTTTTATATCTCTCTTTCTCTCTTACAGATAATGTGAACATATCGGTCATTGAATCATTTGGAGTAGGACAAACATTTCATACAGTGAAAGCTACAGATTTAGACACCGGGATTAATGGACAAATAACATATCAAATACAGTCCAGTTTTACAGAGTTTGCTTTAGACCCAGTTTCAGGGGCTTTGACAATCGCCTCTTCATTAGATCGAGAAACTAAGGATAACTTCAACCTCATCATAATAGCTGTAGATAACGCTACGACCGATGCCAAGACCGGGACATTGACAATGACTATAACTGTCACCGATGCAAATGACCATGACCCGGCATTTAACGTCGCAAATATGGATGTAACCATAAACCGCTTTGATTCTCCTGGTGTCTTTGTGTACAAGGCAGTAGCAACTGACGGTGACATCGGGGGCAATTCTGCAGTGGAATATGAAATCAGTAGTGGTAACAACGATGATTTGTTTGTAATTGGGGCTTCCAGTGGTGAAATAAAAACAATTTCGTCAGTAAGAAATGCAAACAATCAATATTCACTAACTATTACGGCGAGAGATAAGGGTTTACCAACTCGCAGCTCATCTATGATGCTTAACATAGAAATAATTCCTTTTAACCTAGGCGTTGTGAGTGATCAAACCATATCCATTAAAGAATCCACGGGTATTGCAGTTGAAGTGGCGATGATCACTCGAAAAACTAATCACGCTAATAGTGCTGATTTAAGGTACAACATTGTCAATGGTAACTACAAATCTAGTTTTAACCTGGATCCCTTGACGGGAAAGTTGACCACTGCAGGGTCATTAGACAGAGAAGAATACCCCTTGTTTATATTAACAATTAATATAAGTGACACTGCCATTCCTTCCTACACCAAAATAGTGACTGTCAATGTTACAGATGTTAATGACAATGCTCCAGTTTTTCATAATGTGGATACTTCTGTCGATATTGTTGAGAACATTCCAGCAGGTTTAATTATAACCAGCTTTACAGTAACAGATGCTGATGAAGGTGTTAATGGTGAGTTTGATTTGACGATAGAAAATACAGAACCAAATGTACAAGAACATTTTGAACTCACTGGAAACACCCTGAGATTGAAGAAACCGCTTGATTATGAAGTATTTAATTCCATTACAGTTAAGGTTGTTTCTACCGACAGGGGAGCAAGCCCTCAACAGAATTATGTTGATATTCTAATAAACGTTATCGATGTCGTTGATGCTAACACTGTAAACAATGGATCTACAGAAAAACCACCCATCTATATCACGAAAGAGATATCATCAAATGTTGAAAAAGACTCAGTGGTGACCAAATTAATTTCAAACGACTTTGGAGTAAGTACTCCTGTTGAAACTGAGAACTATTTTTTACTTGGCGATGACGAAATATTTAATATTCAACAGTCGGGAAATGTAGCTGTGACAAGTGTAGATGGTTTAGATCCCAATAAAAAATTCTTCTTATCTGTGAAGACTTCCATCAAAAACAGTGCGGATGATAAAGATTTATTAGGACTTGTAAGAATTGACACGTTTGATCCTAACAAACACGTGGTTTCATTGGAGTCTCCCAATGCTGTTGCAACTTTAGAAAGTTACAAGTAAGTTGTGTTATTGTATTATTAAATTTTATAAAGTCGATGAAGTGATTTTTGTGTGTTCAATATTTCCTAATTGATGTAAATTAATATCAATCATACTACTTACATATCACTGTTTAGGTGACACTTTTATCTCCTGTTATACTATGATATTTTCATTTTATTGAGTGATTCTTAATACAATTTCAGAGACACTATACTAGACAGCTTAAACAACTTTTATCCAGATGATGAACCAAGAATATGGAAAATACAAAACGTCCCAACCACATCACGACGACGACTCTTAGCTGCAAGGTGAGCTATGATACAAACGTTTTATCTAAACCTTCAGCGAACCATATCGCCCTTCCCATCGCTACTAATACAAACATGACTTAAGAAAACTGACGGTTAATTAATGATTAAAACCCCACAAGGATGATGGTTTATTCACCATTCTTTTGTTTTTTATTTTCATTAGTTCAAGTGTTCTTGTATATGTCATGGATGGAAAGCATCCCAATACCCTGGAAGATATTACATCTGAGAGAACCTTTAAAACAAGTGACTCGATGATGGGTGTAAGTACTTTAATTAGATTTAAAAAAAATACCAGTTAAAGATACATTATGGGACATTCGGTAACGCGTTGGCAGTTCTCACTATAATAGTTAAAAACTAGATAATGTAGAGGCAATTTGCTGAAAATTTCATTCAAATTGATCCACTATGAACCGAGAACTAAGCGACTGAAATTCCCCTAGCCTCCGTTATCATTACTAAAGTCAGTACAATAAACAGCATAGACTCGATTATCCATTTAATCGTTAAATCGAGAAGGAAAGTTATGCAGTAAATCGGCCCACAATCCACTAAAGATCGCAGGCTAGCACTGCCATCTAGAGTTGATTATGGCCTGGATTGGTTAATTAATGTCTAATTAATAATTTAGATAACATTTCAGGCCCAAAGAAAGACCTGCAATAGACAGATTCAGCTCATGCATAATGTATGTTTAAGTTTTGCTACATATTTAAATTGTAAACACGTTAGCCTGTTATGATGCATTGTATTTAAATATTACGTTTACTTTTCAGACTTTAAGAAAAGATCCCGCGAATGATGAACCTATGGACGCGTTAAAAGGAAACGCCAATTATGAAATCATATCAGTGAATGGCCATTCTGAACCACTCCGAAAGTCACCTGATTCGGCTGAAAATGATAGTGACTTTATCTCTTCTTTGGAGGGACAAATTACACTAGGAGTAGTGGGACTTATACTTTTACTTTTCCTTATACTTATTATAGTGTTCATAATTTACAAGAAAAAGAAACGAGACCAACGAAGGTGAGAGCTTTATAATTTTAAACAAATATGAAATCCGGGTAAAGTGATTGACTACGTATATACAGATATTTATTCATCGTCAAGAGAAATATTTTAAGCAATAATCATAAATGTTCGGATTTACAGACATTTCCTATGTTGTGTAATGTCAGAAAATGGATTTATAAATGTGACGACATACAGTATACGATTGTATGCTATTTATATTTGTTTTCAAATATTTGAATTTACTAGATCATTTTTCATTACAGGAAGAATGGATCTTCTGAGAATCTTGTAGGAGGTGTGTATTGTATACACTTTTAGTTTTGCTTCTTAATTATATACAGGCCTTAATATATAGTAAATTCATATTGGCCTTTTTGAAAAAAAAAATCAATGATGTATAGTCGTACATATTTACTATTTATTTGCATACTTACAATCAGCGTGTTACTTCTCTTGTAGATATCAACAGAAATGAAAGATCCCAAGGAATTATCATACCAGTGAGTATATGGGCAATATAAGCTATGTAAAATGCATCTTTATTTTATTTATATCAAATAAAATGACATGACTGAAAGGTGTTTAGAAAGTACTGGAACACTTTCCTTGTCATCAACACAAAGTAGGTTCGAATATCTCGAAAATACTTGTTTCGGAGAAATTCTTGTTGTGAATCCCATAATACTAACAATAGTTTGTTGACAATCGATTTCAGAAAGGACTTGGTAAAGCCGGGCTTAAAAAAGAAAAAGTCGAAACAACAGAATCGCCTACGAGCAGACCTTCTAGAAAAACGTCAAGAGGCCCTGTAGATACAGCTTTACCGAATAATGAGAAATCAAGTAGTAAAAAACGTGAGTTTAAACTTATAAGTAAACCGAAAGAGGTTTTGAGTAGTTATGAATGATACATTGCAATAAGCCCATGCTTTAAATTTCATCTTGGGCAAGAACAAAGTTTCTAAATTTATAGCCGTGTTTGATCGCAGACAATGAGATGACAAATCCTCTGTTTCAAACAAATTTTAAATCCAAATCAGGATTTGCTGATTCGTTACTTTCTCATTTGAATCTGGAAGAAGTATATAGATTCAATCATATGTACCAACATCGTCATATTTCGGTGGAAATCAGACAGAGATGAAGTCTGTGGAGATCAATACTATTTTAATATATACCGCGACCTTTTAAATATAATTGTCAATATCTTTCTATATGTTATTTCTAGGTACCGCGAGTGTTTCACCAGCACGCTTTTCACCAATGTCACCAGCGACACCAGCATCGACTCCTTCAAAATCGGACAGCTTAGATGTCACGAGGGATAATTCACCTAAAAGGAGTAGCCCCAAACCTGCAGAGAGAAGGCCGTTGCCGGCTTTAAAACAAGAGAAACAGCCGAGTACAATTGATCCAAACAAAACTGGAAACGGCAAAGATGATCAAGTCACCCCAGGCATTGCCAAGAGAAAGAATGGACCAATCGTTCACCACGGCAAAGAATATGATGGGGTTGGGTTTGATGGAGGTTCGTATTTTCATGTTCACATTATTTTATCTGTTTGGTTTGAAATGTATTGTTTTAACACAACATTAATCTGTCAATGACTATATAATGTATTTACAATAAATAATAACTGATATATAACATTATATACTGCACAGTTCTATGTTGAAAAGTGTTAGTACAATACAAGCATCTTATTAATAATTTTAATTATGCAAATCCTAGCTGTTGGGTGTGGGGTGGGGGTGGTATTGGGGGGCGATATCATAAGTTTAATAGCCTAGAGTGTCTCTGTATCTAAATCCGTCACTGAGTAGATATACTCAAACATGTAAATTGAAAATAAAAATAAAATGAAATGAAATGGGTTTAATGTCCTACTGTTCGGCTCCGGCTGGGCTAATGAAGACGGGCATACGTCATCCAGTGTGCTATGAGATACATATTGCCCAGACAGCGGAGCTACAGCCTACTCTGATATCAAATTCCAACTGCCAGGTAATATTTTACGTGCACGCCAATATATACACACGACCACGGCTTTTCGTCCCATTCGAACGACTATACGTTGTCCCTTTCTCGGCGAACGCAGGGATCGAACACGGGACATCCAGGTTAGCGAGCCAACGTCTTAATCACCGAGCCACTGTGGCTCTCCAACAAGTATGTAAATCACTTTGAAGACTAGAATCAATAAGGTGAGTTTGACACTTGACTTTAATGGTGTGGTATTGCAGAGGGTGATAATTATAAATGGCTTAAATTTTAAATTACAGACAAACAACAGCGGTATGCATATAACACCAGGACGGGCAGTACCCTATGGGTGGATGAAAAGAATGGTGGAAAGACAGGTGGTCAGAAAAAACCTGGCCAGCCAATTACCGTGGTTAGTGCACCAAAAAGTGAATTTAAACCTGACCTAACTACAAATCGTTCAATTGGAATGATTTCTCAAAAATAATTAATTTGTTCATGCTTTAGTAACATTAATTGATCTTCAAACGCCATCCATATAACATCGGGTGGCCCAGAAAATAAAACGAATACACTATTTAAAAGGAAATAATTGAAAAAGCCCTGTACAAATTGTAGGTCCATTACTCAAATAGTGTTTAAGTGGTACGAAGGTCAAATTATGTTTTAACGGACTTAAAAGTCGCATCACACTTGTTACCCTAGACTACAAATGGCCAGTGTGACCCGTCGTGCGCTAAGCGCGTTTTCCAAACAGAAATCGAATTGCGTATTTCTGTTTAGCTTATTTCTACCCTCTTCAGTTCATTTTCCGTAAATTGTTTCCTGCGTCTTGCATAAACCGTTTCTTAGAGGCTGTTCTATCTAAAATAGTGTACACCTTTTTTTCTGGGCCAACCGATATATTGTTTCACTTCTTTCATTTTCATTATAAAATATACGGTTTTTGAGTCGCTTTATGTATTTAAAACATAACTATATATTTGAAAAATTAAATAAATCAAACTGAATCCAGTTCACAGTTTTATTTTTACCCAAACAAAAATCATACTAGCTTTTGAAGCTGCAGGGATTTTTGTCAGTGGTGCAGAAAGAGGGTCTGGCAAAGAACGGCGTCTGGTTGTCGACTGTTAATACGATCAAAATGTACATCGACATCCGTCTTTCCTCGATTATGATATTAAAGAAATTGATTATTTTATTTTCTTAAAAATGCATACTAAAGATTTAAAAAATCATTGCCAGAAAATTAATGTTTTATTTTTGACTTTGCATCGAAAGTTTAGTTTTAAAGGAAACATTCGTTATGTGAAACGAATTCGTTTATTATTTGGCTTGACATTGAAACTTCCGAATAATGTGTAAAATATATTATCATTTTAGAATAAATTCATCTTTGTTGATTTTACCTTTAACTATTTCGTTTGTGTTATAGTCTATAAATGCTATATTTTCTTAAAAGTGTGTACTTAAATTAAAATAAAATTGTTGCAACTCATTTTAAAAATCGTTGCCAGAAATGAATTAATGTGTTTTATTTAAAATATATTTTTGACTTTGCATCCAAACTATTTGAAATTTATATATATGACAAGTATATACATTTTAAAGTAAAAATTCGGTATGTGAATTGAATAATGTATTGTTTTCAAAACACATCTTTTACTTGACATTAAAACTCCCAAAATGTGTTTTATAATTATATACTATTATTTTAGAACAAATTCATTTCTGGTTGATTTTACCCATTTCGTTTGTGTTATAGACTATAAATGCTTTATTTTTTCTTAAAAATGCATACTTAAGTTAAGATAGTTGCTACACAATTGCCAGAAATGAATATAATGTGTTTTATTTATCATATATTTTTGAATTTACATCCGAACTGTTTGAAATTATTATATATTACAGGTATATTTTCTTACATAATTATTTGAAATGAATATTTTACAAGTATAGTTTCTAACATTTTAAAGGAAACATTCGTTATGTGAAACGAATTAATTATTGTTTTCAAAATATATCTTTTACTTGACATTGAAACTCCCGAAATGTGTTATATATTTATTATTTTAGAATAAATTCATTTCTTGTTGATTTTACCGTTAACTGTTTCGTTTGTTGTTATAGACTATGTAGTATAAATGGAGATTTCTACAAGTGTGTCGTTACTTACATTCGAATATACAAGTTTTATCTTATTGAATAGAAAGATTATGGGCCATAAATATGTGAACAATGCGATCATTATACGTCTTCTGAAAGACGTGTTATAGTGTTGCCAAATTTTAGTCATTTTAGGTCAGGTCAAAAAGTAAATAAAAGTATTATATTGATCAAGCAAATTAATAAATAAACCATAGAACGATATTTGTTTTTTTTTTCTTGTCAACAAGAGATATTAAAATGTTACCATTTGTTATAATTACTATAATATTTAACTCTTTGCTATTAAATAATGGGCATTCTGCACCGGTGCAGAAATGCCCAATACGCCCTAGAGATATGTAAACACGGTTAAAGATAAGAAAGAAACAAATGGGATTTGGCGTTACATAACTCTGACGAGGTTATATCGGGAATAACACATGGTATATTTTCAATTCAATACCGACGTACATGGGCCTCTTTGAAGCGGGATGAAACATGTGTAATATATATAACTAAAGAAAACCAGCAGTGATCTAGATACTCCGTTCTTACAATAGGTGTTCGAGCCCATCAGCTTGGACAAACTGGAATTGCCCGATAAAGTATCTGTCGTCAGCGAGCGCCCAAGGTGCGAAGCACAACGTCGGGGGTATGGGTGCCCCCCCCCCCCCCCCCCTCGAAAATTTTGAAAATTAGACTGCCGCAAGCATTTTTTCTACAATTCAGGCCCATGAAACCAAAGCATCATTCTACACACCAAAGAAAATATCAGGCTGGTGCAAATCATTGTTACTAGTTATTAAAATCATTCGATCAATAAGTAGAAAATTAAACCCCTTTTCAATTCTTTTCACCATCCATCATTAGACATAACAATTGGAATGGATGTGTGCTCTTAAACTAAAGAATATTTTACCTATTGGAAATACATTTTTAGCTCACAAAAATACTTATCGTAGTAGAAGGGGTGAAACGGAACGGGTGAATACGATTTCTGTGAAGTGGATATAATATTCTCGGTTTCAAAAGTAATATTTCATTTTGTAGTTTAAGAGAGAGATGGGATTTAACGTCCACTCAACACAGGCTAGGTCATATAATATGGTTCTATATTATTTGGAGAAATCGCTTGCGCGTAGGGGTCTTTAGCTGTTGGGGGAAACCAGAGGAGCAGGAGAAAACCCACGAGGTTGGACAGACAACCCTATTCCTTGTCACGCACAGGCGCGGAATCGAAGCCACGATACTTGACCTTGTGGCAGACCCTATAATCTAACGCGCACGCGTTAAACCATTCCAACCCTCCCAAGTATAAAAACAACAGCGACAGGCAATCCTTTACCAAGACTACTATGCAGATCAAACATGCGATACCTTTCATTTGGAATGTTCACAAAGGAGAGCGAGAGAGAGAGAGAGAGAGGGTTTAACGTCCACTCGACACAAACTAGGTCATTTCGGGACTAACATATGGTTTAATTTTATTTCAATAATTTGCTTGCGCGTAGGGGTCTTTAGCAGTGGGAGGAAACCGGAGGACCCGGAGAAAACCCACGAGGATGGACAGGCGACCCTACTCCTTGTCACGTACAACCGGGGTGTTCACAAAGGAGTGTATTTTTGTTTGTTTTATGAATCTCTCCGCAAGGATTATACTTTATTACAGATTGAAAGATAAGCGGATATAACTAAATGCTACATTAAATTACAAAAATAAAACATATTTAATCATTTAAAATCGAAAAATACATATACATATAAATTCTCATAGATAAAAAATACAAAAAGTATGAACACGGACGTTTTGTCATTTTCATAAAAAAATAATATATTTAAAATAAAATTAAATGTTAAAAATGACCATTATAACTTCAATATGCAACCCCCCCCAAAACATTACTATCTTCCTCGTACTTATGTATCTGAAGATTTTCATGTAATATTATTATCTATGGAATATTTACAAAAATATAACACAGTCATTATATGTGAAAAAATATTGCTTATTTACATATGAAATGTTATCTATATACAAAACTTAGGTCTATATGGATCATACAGTAGATTCGTAAGAAGCTTGAGTGGCTACAGAGGCTCCTGAATAACCAGATATGCCTGACCTAGAGAGGGAGATATCGCTCATTGCCTGCAAAACAAAATCAAACATTCATGGTTGAGGTAAATTATTGATAGAAGATACACTAACACTAATTAAAAAAAAATCAAAAAATCCAAGGTACATGTACGCGATGATGAAGGGCGTTTATTAGTCTTGTTAAGTTTGTTGCTCGGGGATTATTGTTTTGGATTTTGAAATATTAAATAAAATATATGAGGCAGAGATATGAAAAATAACATTTCAGAGCCAAAATTTAAACAAAAACGTAGATCATATTATATTCCAGTCGGAAGGTGAGAAGAATCGTGTAGACGATTCGACATTAAACAATGTGAACGCAGCGGCATATTAAAATCAAATAGGAGTGATATATAGAAATACATATCTCCACACAGTGTCGGGTCCATATTTTACCTTGCTAGAACTCGTAAGTTGATCTGAAAATCCATTGTTATAATATGCCTTTGGTCGCATTGCAGCCCACGGATCGACTTCAAAATTATCTACATAATCTACCAGTTGTCTGTGCTTAGGAAGAGCTGGTCCCCATTCAACAGATGGCATCGTTAAAAGCCGTAATTTCTGCAATTAAATAAATTATCGAGTATGAACATTTTTACGCCGTTAAAAGTTTTGTATGCTATATATGAAAGAACGGTGGTAGTCAATTAATTTCACAGCCTTTTATAGTAAAACAGCGTGTGCTATTTCAATGCAAATAGTGTTGTCTAAAAATACCTGAGTATATAAAAATAATTCTTATGAAGAATGAACTGGTTTATACGAAAACGTATAGTCTAATTTGTTATCTTCTGCGCCTTTGAGATGACATAACCATAATGCGATGTCATGGGTCCTATGGATTTGTTTTGAAAGATTTACGCCTACAGATAAAGCCAGTGAGATATAACCGATTTTGTGTTTCACCGTCGACTAATTAAGCCACAATTTGAACTTAAATTAGTATATAAGCCGAAACAAACATATGTACGTTTTGAGCTTTGCTCCATCGCTAATCGAAATAGCCGATCTACTAAATTCTTCATTTTACGCTAAATCACTTTTAGAATTGTAAAAAAACCGAATTATTTTCTTTTATCTACATTGTGGATTTACTTACCCCAAGTAAGGTATTGGAATCGATTTCGTTATTTATTTTTATGAACATGAATACAGGAATTGCCATAATAGAACCAAAGGCCATTATCCAACCAATGGCATCCGCCCAACCAGGATAAACATAGTCACCATACGTTGATGCTTCATAATCAACCCACGTGAAGAAAAATATAAACTAAAAAAAAGGAATTAATTAAATATCAGAAACATTAATCAATCAAATCGTTTTATGTATTTTTTATTTCAAATATCTTTTGTTTTCGGGCAGGATCCGTCACTTTTGCTGAATGACATACTTTTCTTGTTTTTCAGAATGTAGTCATACTCGTGGTCACTTTCTGTGTAGTTAATTTGCGCTCTTCTTTGGAACCGCCCTGTTTGTACACATGAAAACGAGACCTATTATAAGTAACACGTGAGTTCCCACCTAGGTGAAAACGTTTCCACCGAGGTGAAAAGGTTTTCACCTAGGTGAGAAATAAAAAAACAAACCTAAAACTAAAAAACAAAACCCAAAACTAATAAATATTTAAAAGTCGTATATGGGCCACCGTAGAAACAGGTGGACCAGCTTGGTTTATTTCAGGGAGCTGCGAAAAAGTGGGTAGAGGGCCTTTCATAATTATTCAAATTATCTCGTTCTTCTTTGGATAACGTTTCATCGCCCTTTTTGAGTATCTTTAGACCGCTTAAAGAAAATATTTATCATGAAAACATTTACATAATTTGTATTTTTAGAATGACAATAAAAAGTGAATTAGCAATATCATAGCATATATTATATGAACATCAATAGTTCTTGCCATTCAAATCCGGTTACATGTATTTAAAAATAATACTATGCATCCATGCATGGCTGGTATCATGTATTGCAATGTTAGACTATCTTTCTACTAATGTCAAATGTTCAATTTATGACGATGATGTTTGTTTTAAATTGGTTTAAACATATACCACTTGGAGATCAAACATAGGAAATGTAACTGCATTCCGACAGTTGACAAGGGCTAACGTTTAGTTCTCGGATAGGATCATACACCGAGGTGTCGAGTAGCCGTCAGTAAAAGAACCCTTAATAGTTGGAAAATTGCCCTTATAGTACATTGGATTATCTTGGTTCTAGATGGATTTACCGGAACATTGTAATTAATGAAACGAGGTTTAACGGCATATTCTTCTGCACGCATCAACACAGCCACTGAAGAGGGATTTCCCAGGTGGGCACAAACATCATATCTGTTGGAGTTGGAGACACAAATATGGCTAATATACCTTTGTTTCATGCACGCCACTATCGTTTCCTTCATCGCAAGAAAGTGAACTGATATGGGACGAAACAGCTTAAAAAACAAGCGAATCTCTGTTCTTCTCCACACAATATACAACAAAGGAAGTGCATGCAATGGTGAAACGCGACTTGACATGATTTAATAATAGATTCCAGTTGTAGATTCAAATACACGGAAAGTTGTCATGATAATTAGACGAGGGTTAATGTATACAATACTTACCAAAATTGTAACCGGGCTTAGGCCGTACCAACATATCTTCCAAAATATATTTGGTCTTTTACCCATCATTAACTCCATATCACTATAAAATCTATCTGCACCTAGAGTCAGAGAACATAGAATAATATCAGTAAACGGGTCATAGTTGTCACATCTTTAAAAGGTAAAATGTCTGTCAAACAAATTTCCCTGATCCCCTGTTTTAGATGTTTAACATTGAATATTATACCAGAAGATAATGAGATCATTGCCATAAAATTTATTGCAAGTTTTAAATAGAGATCCAATTTTGATTAATTCATCTTTGCTTTTTGCATTAGTATTCGTTTTGCATGATCTTTATATTACGCTCTCTGGTATTCAGATTGGAGTCCACACTTACCATAAACAAAAACAACAGCTACCAACTCAAAGAAACCAATTACCATGAGGGTCCAACCTCCAACATAACTATCCATCATTTGCAATAAATACATCCCACCCTTAAAGAAAAAATCAACCCAATCAATGTATAATCTTAATGTATAATGCCTTTTAAATAGCCACATTGTGACATGATGAGTGTCAAATTTGAATTATATAAATTCTTATTTATAATTTTCTAGAACAATATTCTCTTTATCTGCAGATAAAATGAACCTCGGCTTTACAAAGAAGCTTCACAACACAACACACATGTGAAATACTAACTTACGGGACAAGTTAAAGGTAATCCTATTAAAAATAAAGCTGCACAAATAGCAGCTATAATATAAGTTTTTTTTGGTCGTAAATGAGGAAACTGGTCCATCAGACCCGTTAATACTGTTTCTAACATGGCGAACTGAAAATATATAAAGTGTAGAAATTAGATGCTTGTAGAAGAAACAAAAAGTGTCGTATTAAATATTCGAAAACTATAAATACACGTTCATATATCATATCTGTTATTTCTTCCAAATATAAATTCATACATTAAGAAAACAAGCATGCGACATAATTTATCTACAGTTCATAGTGTAATTTTATTCTCAATAAATCTTTGTATTCGAAATGAAAAACCTAGGCACGCTGCTCAAATTGTCGCACTCTGGACAGGGACCGATACTCGTGATACGAGCGACAGGATCTGTGGGATTGGGGTTAAACAATAGGAATGACAAGGGAGATAACTCAAGTACTTACCTGACTATCGAGGCCGAGTAAGATTAACATGAAGAAAAATAATATAGACCAAACTGGCGGAGCAGGTAAACTTGAAACTGCTTCTGGATAGACGATGAAGGCTAACCCAGCTCCTGTTGATAGAACAGGAATAACTCCAATAAAAGTACGACAAATAGCTACTTGTATAAGCTAATTTGGGTTGAGTTGATCTGACGTGTTATTGTTATAAAGTGATAGGCCAAACTCTATATAAGATTAAGAGTTAAAATGATGATTTTAAAGACTGATATTGAGAAGACTTCATTCCGATTCGAGAATTCGGCAGCTCTGGGTATTAATGCAATACCCAGTAATTATAGTCTGGGAAAAAGTTAGTAATATAGCAGTCACTGGGTATAAAACTGTCAGGTAGGCCTGTTATAATTTCCCAAGTGATTCACATTTGAAAGTAGCAGATTGTTTATTTATCGAAAGACCTCCGTCACTCCGAAATATAAGGTGCTTCCCGTTGTTTATATCGGACACACAGCTTTAATAAAGACCCTCAATCTGTCAGTCTTTAATGGAATCATATTACACCGTTTCAACCAGTGGTTATCAACAATATACATAACTAACAATACTTGCATATCAATATTGACATGTTTTGTCTGAATGACGATCGTATATCCTGATTTTTATAACAATTGTAAATATTAGTTTAAAATCTGTTATGGCATGTCTTCGGTTAATTACTCTTTAAACAGCACATCATGCGATCTTTGTTTATCAAAATTTTTATTATGTCCCCTTTCTAGCCAGCATAATGAAACATCAAATACCAACAAAAAGCTGCCTCTTTTATAACTATTTTTATAATGATGGAAGGTAGGTCAATTAAGAGCGGACCATGTGTTACTTACCATCTTTTGCAACTTCACTAACAGGAACATTCATTTCTCCTGCCATAAAGCCAAGGAAGGAAAAGATAACAAAACCGGCAAATATACAGGTCAACGTATCTCCCAAAGAAACTATTAATGTATCCCTTTAAATAACAACATATGATAAAATTTATAAAAACTATTTCTAAAACAAAATCCGAACAAACGATTCATTTCGTGTATCCATGTAAACAAAAATCCTACAGTTATCTCCCTTTGCTTGGTACAGATTAAATGAAATATCAAATGAAGTATTGGTAATTCGTGTGCTGCAGTGTTAAGCACTCTGAAAACTTCTAAATGATTAGTACCATTTGTAAATTGGAATATAAGACGTCCATATGTAAACATTCGATTGTCCCGAATGCCACGACACTGACACGTCATAAGGAAACAAAAATTTGACATTTTACCGACTAAAGCACGACAATGAATCTCAAAACAAACATTTAAAAAATATGACCAATCAGTTGTTTACAAAAAGAATAAATAATACTCCAAATCATGAAGAGCCTCCATAGCACAGAACAGTAACTAACATTACCTGAGAATGTTATTGTGGAACCTGTTATAACTGGATAAAGTCATCAAACCGCCACCAGCAATGCCCATTGAAAAGAATATTTGGTTAGCTGCATCTTTCCATACCTTTAAAACAAAACTCACTTATAATCAAATCTCAATATTGCATAACCGTCTGACTACATTGTCAAGAATCAACCCGTGATCTGGGGGTTAGTATATCAAGACATCAGTTTGAATTATCAATGAAAACGGAATAAGGGTTTGAAGGTAGGTATAGGAAATTAATTTCTAATTTTTTAGAAAACCAGCGAGCTTAGGCAAGCGATCGTAAACCAGAATAGTTTCGGTGGGTGAGGCTGTGACTCATTAGCAAAAAAGCCCCGAGATCGATCCTGCTGTTGGCCAACCTTTTATCCCTTATCAATGATGCAGGGCGGAGAGACTTCCAAGGAACAACGTCTAGTCAGTTTGGATGTGTATAAATTGGTGGGCACGTAAAATAACGCCGCTTTCCGGGCAAATTTTCCCTCATAGCACACTGCATGCCGTATGTCCGTCAGTCCGGGTGGTGCAGAACGGTAGAACGTTAAACACATTTCTATTCATTTCAACCACAATAATGATTACAACCCAAGCAAGACGGTCGATTGAGAAAAAGAACACACATCTTACCCTTGCATCTAGTAATTTTGAAAACTCTGGAACGATGAAATATTTAATACCCTCTATGGCATTAGGTAGTGTTACACCACGAAAGAAAAGGATTAGTAGAACAACGTATGGAAAAATAGCCGTAAAATATACAACCTGAAATAGAATATTCATATTCGTAACCTCAATTCTGTTAAACGGGAAGTCCTATATACATGAGTGAATAATCTTTATTCTAGTTCCAATGCTCTGTGATGAGTTTTTAAAGAAATAAAAAATATCAGATTCCATGTGGGGTTGACCATAAGTGTCTGGATAACCATGTCGATAAACATGACACGCTATAGTGGTGAATGATTGTCAAGTAACTCATACAATTGAATTGAGTTTCGTAAAAGAGGTATTAACACTTACTAGGAAAATTAGCGTATTCAATTTTCAACAAAACTATTTTTAAGATATCATTAAACCTACTTCTCGAAAGCCAAACATTAGCCTTGCTACCTAATCTAAGTTGTACCTTTGCAATTTAGAGTAAAGTATTTTGACACAGCATTCTTATACTCTTTCAAATTGATTTGTCCCCATCTCTGTATAATTTGATTACCCCCAGTACAACTGCCCTACAGTCTAATTCCGGCAATTGAAAATTATGTTTTTACCGACCACGGAAGACATTCATAAGCGCTTTTAACGTGTAAATTATTTTTGAGGTTACAAATAATCAAAATTGGAAATAATTTATAATCCTCCTACATTAAATAAAGACTTGCGTCTTTTTTGAACAAAAACAAAACGGGTATAGTTACCTTTCCAGTAGATTTTATGCCCTTTATTAAACAGAAAAAACAAATAATCCATGCCAGCATGAGATTCAAAACAAGATCCCACTTTGGTGCCCCAAAGTCGTCTATTTTATCAGCAATGTTTAATACCTGCGAACTAGAAAAAGGCATGATCTTATAAATATGATAAAACCCTATTTACCCAAATTAATCTTGCAAATATCACCCGCAGATGTTTCTCGGAACCACAGTCCTAGTCAAATATGCATTACTATAGTTCAGTACAGTTGAAACTATTGATGGAAGAGAAATTACTCCTGTTTCTTAAACCTACGTGCTTAGCCACCATTTACTTGAAAACTAGCTGGAATTATTGATGTTTAAATATATATTTTTGTAGTTATTTTTGTTTTCCAAAGAAGTACACAAAAATCGATCTTCTAAAAGAGCAGTTATGCCAGATTTCCTAGCCTTCTTATTGCATAACAATTTCTCAGTTACCACAGGAAATTATTTCTTGTGTTTCTTTGTTTTTAAATCTCTGATGATATATCGCAAATATATAATTACAACACATATAAGAATATGGACAAACGATACCGGAATTCATTGTTACATTAAAATGATATAACTACCGAGTGTCAGCAAATTCTTATAGACAATATTTTCAGAAACTGTCAACTGTCTTTCTCAATTGGAATCGGAACAGGTCTACACGTTGACGCATTCGAAATATTGAATACAATATCGTAAGGATGTAAAGATTTATATTATGTACTGGCCGAATCCACATTCTCGTTAGTTAATATTTATCAACTAGCACAGTCGCCCCTAACCAGTATTAAGAATTATAGATGAATGCATGCGAAGTCACCACATGAGTAAATGCTAATTCAATTATTGACAACAACTAGGAAACCTTTACTCATCCTTTAATCTTTTTCCTTTGTATTTGTAGTGTCGATATATAGCTTACTTCCAATACTCCTCTGAAGAAGAGATGCGCCTTCTTCCTGTAACATTGGTAAATAACGTGTTATTCCAGATACCAACAAACTCTTGTTTATTATAACAAGTACCATTAGGATAAGCAATGCCATCACACGTCTTTACTAGTGGTAATAACATACTGCAATCTATACAAAAAAAGAAAAATCTTTTAAAAAGAGTGGTTCATCCTAAATACATCTTAGGCATAAAACCATTTTCAGCAGTATAATTAATATTAAACTTGGTTTTATTTTCGTTTGGTTTCCAATTTTTATGTATAAAACTGTCGACCAACACAATTTTGCCATTTCACTATCAAAGTTAAAAAATACTCAATTTTGTAATTTTCACCAAATCATAACTATGCAATTATAACAGTTTTGAGCTGGTTTTATGGTGTCCACGGGACTTTTTCAACGATAAACTTTAGAAATAAGTCACTGGAATGTAGGTAGAATTAAAATAGGACAGCACAGTGAACCTAACTACCATAAAGTTCTAAGCATGAATGGAATACAAAAAAAGACAAACACCTCACCCCTGGTACTCCATGGCTGTGTACATGACATCCACGGAAGTTCACTGGTGAATGATGCAAATAAGTAATATTGTGCCCAAGCTAAAATCATGTTATAATATATACTAGTTAAAGCTGACACTATAACCATAGCCACTCCAACTCCTGTAAGTAAAAACAAACTTTATGGGATTTTGTTACAAAATATACAATAATTGGCATTCATGCGCAAAATATTCAATTAACATTCATGTACGTACTAAAGCACCACATAGACAGCTATGGATATCCTGAACTGCAGGTCCGCTAGGAGGAAAAATATCCAGGATATCTATGAACTCCAGCAGTTACGGAATAGCTTACACGACAATATTTACACTTCTGTGCCCCGGATTCAACAAATCCGAACAACTATGCACACTTTCTTTTGAGATTTCTTTTACAAATGAGAAGATATGGACATACCTTTGAACAACGGAGCAAACCTCCAACAGGTCATTGGGCCACTGCTGCAGTACTGTCCAAGGGCTGATTCCAACAAAAACAAAGGTATTCCTATAATTGCCATCATGATAACAAAAGGAAGCAGAAAAGCTCCTCCACCATTCCTGTAGCAAAGATATGGAAATCTCCACACATTTCCAAGGCCAACAGCATAGCCCAACATGGAGAGGAGAAAATCAAATCGTCCTGTCCAATTACCCCTTTCGACATTTTCATCTTCTCCAAATATCTGTTTACGCTCATCGGTGGTAGTAACGGTAAACAAAGAACCCTGTAAAATATTTTAAAGAGATGGAAATTTAAAACCAAGGATTGAATATGGAATGTAAAAGTAAAACGAAAGCTTTATTTACTATAGGGATACAACACAAGCTAGTTATAAAAATCCTACCAATCAGCTCTAATAATTCACATATTACATAGCAATCTTTGATATTGGGTTACATTTTATCAGTAAATATGTTGGGAGAAGAATAAATGAATGGAATGGGGTTCAACATCTCACTTTTCTGTATCAGTCGGGATTATGAAGGCGGGCATACGCTACAGTGTGCTATGGGGGTAAATTTTACCCCGAAAGCAATTAAATTCTGACTGTCAACGGATCTTTTACACCGAGAAATGGATATAGAATTGGACATTACCAAAGATAAAGGTTTATAAAGTTAAAACAATACATCGGTCATTGTAAGATTAACGTATGGTAATTTACATTAACGTTGATACGTGGTGCTTTAAAAGATGATGTCTTGAATTACGTCTGTATGGGATTGTTCAAATTGTAATTTGGAGTTACATTAGTTTTCGACCCCGGTACTGTCCGATGCATGTCCATTGAAAATTTGTTAAAATTGAGACAGTATTTGTTACAAACTATAGTGTTTGTTATGAAAGCTTGTTTAGCTGGATACAGTATTTGTTATCAACTAGTATTTGTTATAAAATCTTGTTTAGATTAGGACAGTATTTATTATAAGGAGTTTCTAGCTTAAGACGGCATTTGTTATATACTTAAACATACATTATGCAAGAGCTAAATCTGCCAATTGCAGTTCTTTCTTTAGGCCTGAAATGTTATCTAAATTATTAATTAGACATTAATTAACTTATCCAGACCATAATCAACTCTCGATGTTATCGCTAGCCTGCGATATTTACTAGAACCCGATCTGCTGCTCAACGCTCATTGATGATTAAATCAAAAAGTGGATAATCGAGACTATGTTTTTTATCGTACCGACTTTGGTAATGATGATCGAGGCTAGGCCCAAAATCCAATCGCTAAATTATCGGTTCAGAGTGGATCAATTTGTCTGACATTTTCAGCAAATCTCCTTTATATTATCTAGTTTTTAACTATTATAGTGGGAACTGTCATTAATCTCCCATAATGTATTTTTAAGTTTAACGGGGTAACTAATACTGAACTGAGTTACCTGTGACGTGTTTGATGCTTCAAATGCGAGGTTGTCTTTGCCATTAAAGACTCCAGGGTCCCGATTTACTGTTTTTATGGACGTTTCATTTTCAACCGGATCTTTAGGCTCTTTCTTCTTCCAGAAAGATAACAACTTCCCCTTGTTGGCAGTGGTCTGTAAAGCAAAATGTTATATTCTATGCATATACATTTAAGAGAATGTTTGGAATGTGCATGGCTCTGTCATGATGGATCGTTCTTTCGTTATTGGGACAGACAAATCTTGATGAAGACCCCTTTATGAGGAAATCTGAAACGTATATTGGAAGAGTTGTCTTAAGAATTTACAAATTGTACCACGTTAGCGCTGAATTAAGAAATATAATAACACCTTTGTATGTGGGTTAGTTATTTTGGGGCGATTCGCCTATCACCTGTAAAGTGAATACATTAAAATTGTCTTTATCTGCTCGCGGCGCATCAGTGACGAAAACATCCCAATGTCATTAATTAGGTCATATATGTTACTATGAGTTATTTACAAGTAGTATTGTTTATAAAATTATTGATTATTTGATATTGTCTATATGAGCTTATCAATATTGTAGATGCTATTGACTGGGTCTCCGAGGCTTTATCCCAAACCCTCTTCAATAACCACACACCTTATGATCAATTGAGTATTATGCAATATTACTGGGCATCAGTATTAAATGTTTATAATATTAATTCGAGTCTTATATGAATATTTGTACTTACACTTGGATGATTAGTTAAGATCGCTTAAACATAAAGATCGATAATCTGTATATAACAGATTGTTTGTTCATAGTACTTATAAACAATATTCTTTTGTTATTTATATATAGATTTCGTTGTTTTGTTTCCAAATTATCAATGTACTCATTTTTATTATTGGAAGAATACTAGCAGATGTATGCTTATTTTAAACTTAAAGGTGCAAGACCTGTCATTTGGGTCAAAATAAAATGTAGAAGTTGATCAGGCGTGTTATTAATTAACAAAGAGATCTGGCCATATGAATAGTCTTAAACATGATTAATAATTTAAACAAAGTTCAGAAAATTATGCAGGTATAAGTATTAAAATCGTATTAAGCCTGTGTCAACTGTTCGTTCTATTGTAAATACCTGTGATATTGAAAAACACAGTATCAACCTTACGACCTGCTCAATTTTCTCAATCATCAGCACCCGTTGACACACTATAAAAATATCTAGCGTGGGAAAAGTGTTAATTAGCACTTATTGAAGGGTAGGACAAAAGCAAAAACATTTCATTTATACATGATCACGCATGGTTGATTTCTATATCTTTGGGATTTCAAACGAAGCTATAGCGATATATAATATCATTTAAATGGAATGTCGTAATTTCTGAATTCGGAGAATAACCTATCTTTTAATCGAAATCTCGACAATCATTTAATCGAGGTAACCTTTTTTTGATACTTCCGTTTTCATTTATAGTGTCCCCATATCAATCAACTAATGTCTGTCCTCTGTACTGCTTTTGATACCTCTCTCAAAATAAATATTTAAAATGATAAATTGAAAAGATAAACATTTGACTTACCTTGCCTTTACCCGCCATTACGGCGATGTAAAAGCTATATTTGTTATCCTATGACGTTTTTCTTATTCAGGTATATATCTCTCGGATCATATCTTATATTACAGAGGTTGTGAAGGTTGTATTCCCTAATCACGTGACCGGTATTTTACCTGGGGCATGGGTTATTCACCATACTTGCCGATCTTTTCTTTGTACCTGTCGCTATTGGTGGATGCCTTTCGTATTACAACTGTCACTGAGAAACACCTCAACCATGTACGTTAAGCTAAGGTGTATACATTCAATGTTATGACTGAGTGAAACATTATACATGCGATATTCGTCATACACTAAGATCATGATCTGACGGATAATATATATTAACTTACGTTACATACGGGTTAGGTTATGTGGTGGATTGTAGAAAGACCTTAATGCAGATTGTAATACCCTTAAACGTTTATTCAAACTAAAGTAGTAAATTAGTAACCGGCAAAGTAAAGGTTATTAATCATGTGTGTAATTTATTCACTGATGAAGAAGTGAGATGAACCGTGGAGATTTGCCAGGATAAGTTCCCGCAAGTGATCATGTAAACTGAAGTGTGTCCATATAGTCACTGAATAGGTATCTTTCGGCCACGTTTCCTACTAGCAGTAGTAGGAGCCCCTCATTCCGTGCCCCACCCTATCAGGTCAAGGTGCGAACCCCATTCTTTATAAATTTAAGAATAAAGACGTTCTATTGAAACATTATACAGAACCCAATACATTACACTAGTGTCACATTAAAATGTCATTTTCTAAAAAGATATGTTGCACAATGCCCTCCTCTGTACATTTAGTACGCCATTTTGAATTTTAAATGGACTTATATTTTCCATCCCAAGCATGGACATGACATTTATTACGCAATTACCCACTGAACTAGTTGCTCTTCAGTACACCGTGATACAATTGAGTGCATAAGCTCATATCTGTGTACGCTGTGCATTAAGGGGCGGTGGGCAATGGTGAGGGGCGGTGGGCGGTGGGCAATGGTGAGGGGTGGTAGGCGGGGGATGGCACCAATCATCCATTTCAGGGAGGAAGCCTATCAAAGAGTGAAATTAATACTAAGTTTTTGTAAATATCGCTGTTAACTTTGGTGTAAAAGCTGGCCTACTTAATTTGAACAAAGAGTTTATTTCATCTTCTTTTATATATAAAACAAAATGTCGTCCTGACTAATTGGCCCTATACTTGAGTCTTGAGGGCATACGATCGAGGAATTGACCCCGTGTATCAGCAAACCTCGACACGTCCCTATGATAAATAATAATACCATGACAATCAGAAACAATCACAGGATCGTTTAAAACATATAGAGAACTTTAAATTCCGATTTCATTATTTAAATCAAAGTACATGGGATTGTTGAAGATATCGCCTCAGTCAGACACATTATAACCACACATAACACACAACGCGTAAAGCTGTCGTATAAAACTCACGTAGAGACAACAGGGTAATCTAGTTTTAATTACATTGATTGGCCCATGGCTGGATTATATATCAAATACAACTGACTTTAGCTAAAACTTTAATACAATCCTTGAGTGGCATTTAAAGATTGAGCACAATAAAAACACAAACATACAGATGGAATACAAATCAATGGTCTGTTATTAAACACAACATATTATATGCATTGTAAATGCTAAGATTAATCCCCCTTCCACCTTTATTTTAAACACTACGGTTTTTTTTGTTAAATTGTAAAAAAAATTTTTTTGAAACTATTGCCCATACAGTATTTCGACTAAATTCAGTAACAAATTGTCACGACTATTTTCATCCCACACAAATCGCAACAGGCTATAGAGTTAGATCAATAGCAACTTTAGCATGAATAAAATGTAAATGTAAAAATTCCTGCTTTACAGGATACTAGTATTTAACGTTCGTTTAGAATGTACAACCTCTCCATGCCATATCACGTAACTTATGATCTCACTGTGACAACCCAACTCATAGATGATATGTTGCCATCTGAAATTAGAAAAAAACACTTGTTATAATATTTTATTACTTTCTATATGGATTTTTGTGACATGAATGTATTTATACGCAACATGAACTCACTTGCATGTAAGATTATTGATGTATAGCCACAAGACGGACGAAAGTACTTTAAAATGTTAAAAAGTTATATGAAATCAGTTTGTGTCGGCATCCCGTTTATCTTTTCATCGTTTACCGTTAAAGTAGTGCAGCTTTACGGTTGCGCTAATATTTTTGGATATATATACTGACGCACAGGTTTAAAAAAAACTGTTAATAGTTGTAGTTATTTGGAAAGTGGGGATAGATGTTACTATCTGGACAAAGATCTCTCGCTATATAACGGAAGAACCGTATTTCTTCCGACCAAGAAGAAATAACGGCATTCTCCGGCCATCCGTTGCCAATAGCCTAGTCTTTCGGATGAAACGAAAAACCCATGTCCAACTGTGTACACATTGGTGTGTATGTCAAAAAACCCTAGACAGTTGTGAATAGAAGAAGAGTCAAGAGAACGCTGGGACTCTTTGTGTTGTACATTAATCATAGAAGTATGCTTGTCTCAGAAATTAAATCTCATTTTATACTCCCCCCCCCACTTCATTTTTTTACTTACTTTGGAGAATCTATTATAACAAGATTTGCCAGTTTGCCCTTTTCTATAGAACCATGTGTGTCTGATCTACCCAATGAAGCTGCAGAATTTATAGTAGCAGCACAAAGAGCTTCAGACATTGACATCTTCAGGTTAACACATGCTAAATGCATAACGGTTGGCTGAAAATATGGATCCAATCAAAACAGTTATTTATATTACATTTTGGAAACCTTAAATGTATAATTTTAGGAATGCTATTAACCTTCATCATTGAAACTGTTGTCAAAAGAGCACACTGAGGTTTGAATAATGAATGCAGGGCGGAGGATCTGGCAAGGAACAGCGTGTAGTCATGGGCGTGGCCCGGGGAAAATTTCCCTCATAGCACACTGGATGGCGCGAGCCTGTCTTCATTAGCCGAGTAGGACGTTAAACATCTTTTCATTTCATTTCACTTCTCATGGGCGTGTACGCCGCGTTGTGGCAAAATATCCTACATATGGCGTATGCCATTTTCCATTGTCCTGGTTGGTGCAAAAAAATATCACGTTAAGCCATATTTCGTTTCATTTCTTGTCGGATAAAGGTGTGTATTTTTGTTTATCGATCATTAAAATGTAGCTAGGAATAGACAGACACACTTAAATTTAGTTATAATTTATTAATTACCATTGATAAACAATATGCGTTAGGATTAAAATCTGAGCCAAGGGCAACAGGCACGCCCGTGTCGATCATCTGTCTTACAGGAGGTGGTTTTAACCGTAGGATATATGCTGTAGTAGGAAGTATTACTGCTATTGTTTTGGAACGTGCCATAGCCAGTATTCCATTGTCGGATATTTCTTCTAAATGGCTGATAGCTGTAGCGCCAATCTCTGCTCCCATCTGAAAATTCAGCAATTATAATCCTTTAATAGATATAGCTTCTGGTAAAAAAGGATTACGACCACAAAATTTAGGGACTGTTCATTGCGAATGAGACACTTTTTTTGATCAAAGACATTTGGTATTCCTGCTACGTTAGTTGGGCTAGTTAGTCCATTTTTAATTTACAGAATTTTCGAGATAAATGTTGCCCAATGCTCATCCCTACCTCTGCAGAACCAAGTGGATTGAGTTCATCACCATGGAAATTTATATTAAGTCCAATTTGTTTCCCGGCATTTAGAATATCTCGTGACTGTTGAACGTCAAATACCCCCTTTTCACAAAACACATCAATGTTGTCTACACTCAGATTTTGGTCATCAATCTGACTTTTAATAGCAGGTATTTGATTTTCTAGAACATCTTTAGTGGCTTCGGAGGCAGTTTTGTTTCTGGATAAAATAAGACATTAAGTGAACAGTTTTTAAAAGATTAGTGACAGGCCCAGAACGGGTGGAAGGGTGGGATGGGGTATCTGGCTATTGGGCGTACTTTAAAAAATTCAAAAAAATACTTTTCATTAGAAGCCAGCCATATCCAAGCTTTCCTATTTTTATCGATGCTAAGATGCAATCACTTCTGTTGATTGTATTCCGTGGGACATACTCTGTATCGCGTATTTCTGCCGGTTGTGTTTTCTAAATTCTCTGAAGAAATAATACCGACTCCGACACTGATATATTATGATTCATACTCCATTGTATCGTAAAATATGGTTTTTAATAATTGTAAGAATTTTCTGCTTTCACTTACTTGGGAATTGCATGAGCCCCACAGTATGTGCTGGAGATATCAATCCCTCCAAGTTTCTTTCCACGATCTATTACCCGCAACATTTTCATCTCATTTTCCGTATCCAGACCATATCCACTTTTACACTCCACCAAAGTGGTCCCGGCTCTGGCCATCGCTTTCAGTCGGCTTTGAAAGAGTGTATGTAACTTGTCTTCTGTAGCCTCACATGTATGATTTACTGTAAAGTGTATTCCCCCACCAGCATCATGTACTTCCATATACGTTGCTCCAGCTAACTACAAAAAATTAATTACTTAGCCGAAAGAGCGCCAGAAGAATCAGTGGTGGACGCATGATATTTGGTTCGGCTTGTAGGTGAGAGTCCTCCTCCTCCTCCAAGAAATGAAATGGAATGGAGTTAAGTCCTATTTTACGGCTACTTAACCTCCTTTGAGAAACTTTGAGATATTGGGGTCTTAATGGTGATTTGTCCCGCACAAATGATGGACTCGAACATTAAGGCAATTTTTATACCCCACTTGGATCCGCCACTGGGCTGAACAGATTACTAGTCGACAGCTAACATTGGACAAACTGTATTAGAACTGTTTACTGGCGAAAGTTGTATACTCCTCATACAATCCATAACTGTCATTTTGCAAAATTATCGCCACGGTAGTGTTTTGCACAGTTTACTTACCTTCATCTCAAACTCATGAACACGATCTCCTGCCCACACTGGGTGAGTGTGGCCATCAACCAGACCTAAAGAATTAAATTTACCAATTAAGCAAACTATTTGTGGAGATTAAAGTAGTAAAAAATAATTTTTAAAAGCTACTAAAGTGCTAACCTGGTATAACACTCTTGCCTGTTGCTTCAATTACATTCTGAAATGTTTCTTCACGATATTTTTTCATAATGACGTCATCCGTATCTATGTCCACTATAATTCCATCACTGAATAAACAATGTTTAATATAAAGTATGAAACTCATTTAGTAAGTGCCATTTGTAGAATTATTCAGTGAGTATGCACCCACTAACAGATGTTATCAGAAAAGGAGAGACAACGGGAGACAACTCTTCGGGAATTAAATAGTTGCGGACTTTGGAGATGTACTATACTGCTCTGCTCAGAGACTAACTACTATTTCCACTCAATTACATCCCCTAAATAAATCAGTAGGTGTTTTCCATTAGTATGCATATCCGTAACTAGCTCAGAGCAACGGGGGTGGGGGGAAGTGTTCTCAGGGATGCTGTTAGATTGACAGACAATGTATATCTATCGTTTTTATGGTCGACATTTTTTTCACAGGGGGTGGGGGTGGGGAGCGAAACTTTTTGCAGGGGTAGGGAGGGTGCAAGTGCCCCCCAGTTAGTAATTGTTATAGTTTATTAATTACAAACTTGTTTTGATGTTAATTTGTAATTGTAATTGATTTCAAGAACAGGGACTTGTCTTTGTGATTAATTTACAATAAAGGTCACCTTTAATTGAAATTTTATTTTAATAAAAAGCCAAGAGACAAAACAATATCCCGGGTTAATTTCATATATTAATGGCTATATTTGTTGAATGTTTCAAGTTTTGGAATATTTCTAATATAAAAACGGAAAAATATATGTTGGTTCAAAGAGTTTGTGTTGGCATGGATAGATACGCGCAAAAAGAGCTATTGGTGGTGCATCGCTATGATTTTTTTCTTTCGGTAATATTCCAATATAGTTTATTTTAGGAGAATACCGTTATTAATTACCGGATTCAAATCAGGTAAAACATACGTCACAATTATATGTAAATAAACTGACAATGGTATTGATTGAACGTACTTATCAACAACAATACTAAATCCTTGACTAGTAGAAGATTCGAGAACAGCAACACGACTCATATCTATTCCATACAGCATCCGGGAGCCATTGTTTGTTACTTGTACTACTTGTTTTGCTGACTTTATTAGAAGTCTGTAAGCTGGCATTCTGGTGCTCATTTACATCTAATTGAAAACAGATAAATATTTGGTTTAATTTCTCATCAGTGACATTCAACGTAAACAAGTTAAGTTTGGGATGTATAGGTTGTTTTCATTTTGTATAGTTCGCTTTTAAAATTCTAACACATAGAACAAAACAGTTTATTTACAACTCAGGTCATATGCATGAAATGTGGATGACACATTATTCACGGCATCCCTCATTAGACACAGTGGCAGTAGGGCTAATGTAATCACAGATTGCATGATACCGAAGTTATCGTATAGACGTAACCTCTGGGAAATAGCAAAAAAAGAAGCCACCGGGCAAGTAATAAAGTAGAATTAAATTGTAACGTAAGTGAAAAGAAGAAGTGTCGGACACTCTAAAGAAACACATATCCTACATTGTGCATGACAACCATACTTGTAGTCGGCATGACCTTCGGCCAAGTCATGAATTAGCTTAGATTTTATAAGTCTCGTGTTCAACCATGCTGTTGGTCGAGAAAGTTCATGAGGATTTTCCGACGTTGTCAGTCGTTTAGGACAAAGGGCCTGACAAAAGACAACATAAAGTCATTGGGATGGGACAAAAAAAACCCCCGAGGTCCCATGTACACATTGGTGTGCACGTATAAGAACCCTACATAGTTAGAATTCGAAATAAGAGTAGGCTGTACCGCCGCTGTCAGGACACAATTTCCATCTGTACGCTGCATGTCATATGCCCTATTTCATTCCATTACATATGGTGCAACGTAACCTCAGATACGAACTAAACACTGCGACGTGTATCAGATTACAAGTACAGGGCCGTATCTAGCGGGGGTGCAGGGAGTACATTGCACCCCCCAAAAAATAAGGCGCCCCGAGAAATGGCGCCCCCTCAAAAAAATTGACAACCTTTCAATTATAAAATAATACACTTCATTATGACCACACAGTGATTCTCTTAAGGCACTGATGAGTCGGTCGGTTTTAATGGCAACCACACGCCAATAGGTACCTAATTCGTTTGCCCTGATCAAAACTTTCTTATATCACTTATGTGGAGGCTATTGGGCGCCACGCGTTTGGAAAACGCGTTTGTGGCAGCCTAATTTTCAAAATTTTCGGTGGGACACACACACACACACACACACCCACACACACACACACCCACTCACCGCTGCGCGAGCGTGGCACTCGCGGGCTCCCTGCCTTCGCCGGTCGCCGCTCCGCGCTCAGTAACTCGGGCATCATATTGCCCCCACCCCCACCACTCTGCTGCACCCCCACTTTTAAAATCCTACATACGGCCCTGTACAAGTATAATACGTTCACGTTCACCTGTATATAGTTTAAATTATGTGGAACTTACCAACGTGTATCCCAAATTATTCCAAATCTGTTTTACTTGGGACAATCACTCCAGTCCAGAGTAAGGTCTGTATACTTTATTATACAGTTCGTGTTGACAATCTAGTACACAAGCTTACCTCTATCTTGATGAACCGCTAAACTAATTTTACTATAGATATAGATAACTAATCTTTGTGATAAGACATACAGTTAGCGATATACGTAACCCATTTCCTGGTTACAACAGGGGTCGTGAGGAGGTGCATAGATTATTTATCATGAGAATGTTCCTTAAGAAAAGATTTATTTTATTTATTGCGAAAAACTAAGAACTATTTGTTTGCTTTTTTAATCCATTGAAAGTAAGTTCGACTTCGTCTAGAAACACCTCGCGGCTTATAACGGTCACCAACGAACTGTCCACAGGTAGAAGTGAAAAGAGAAGAGAACGCGAGCGACGATTAGACCTGGCATGATGCTACCTAACATTGCGTTTAATTGGCTTGCTTAACAAGTCATGGTGCAAGGGTTGACTTTCATATGACTAAGCTCCCACTGGTAACACTTAGAGGTAATTTCAATGGCCAACTGTTTTTGCGTTTTTCGTTGTTGATTTTTCTGCGTTAGGTGGTTGTTGCTGCAATACCTTGTCTAGCTACAATATTATCCACAGCTACAATTAATACACTAATTGCGGTTTCGCGCAAGTAAAATTAGGTTGTCTGGTTTTGCGTCTACTCGGGGTAGTTTAGGAATAGATGGGATACCTTTCGGAACATATAAATAGATAGCATATCTAGCTATATTCAAATTGGGGTTTTGCGATAGCTGTTTCTCTGTGTCGATAAGGTATATATATTTCAAAACGAGTTTTGGGGGCATTAAAATGACTCCAAAATTTCTTAACACAATTTCATAACAAAGTGGCATACCTCCAGAAGTGAACACTGATGAAAATATTTTGGTAAATACGGTGCTAACAAGATTTCGTAACAGATGGCCATAATTCTACAAGTGATCTTCAAATGTAAAATAAATAGCATTCTTTGAAAAGGACGCTGACGCTGAATTGCAGCTCTTAGTGTGCCAGATGATTCTGAATGACAGAGAAACTTGGCCCAGGAGCGTATGGCAAAATAAAACCTTATAAAAAAATCGTAAACCATAAAGAGAAAACGAACTCTAAAGATATACTTTTATTGTACACATACATACGGATCAAATAATTATTGCTAACGCTTGAAGCATTTATTTTAAAATTTAATGTTTAATGTAGTAGATTTTAGCAAATTCAAACTGAACTGACAATAAAACAAAATCACAATGAATTTTGCGCAAATCATCGTTCAGGCCAATAAAAATACCATTATGTGTCCCTTCAATTTAATACAAAAAAACACAATAACATGTTGTTATACAGAAGTTTAACCAGAGATAATTAGACCATTATTAAGCGCCAACACTATAAATTTATACAATTTTAATTTTATCATAATAAAACCCCTTACAGCAGTTTCCGTGTTACAGCTAGGTTTATTGATAGCAACAATTGTATTATTTGTATCGGATGTCTTCCCGTTTCTAAGGCATATCTTAGTCGTTCCCAGGGCTACAGAGAAGAGTATTTTTGGACCTATTTGGATGCTTTCAGAAATATTTGTATAAAACGTAGCGATTTTTCGTATTATTTCGTTACCGCTGTCAGGCAAATAATTTGATGAGGGGTATATTCCTTTACACGACAATTCGTAAGAATTATTCCAATATTCGCTTTGTAGGCTGAAGCGATCAACAACAAGAATTTTGATATTTTTTTCGCGATTTATGTGAGAACTAGCCAATACATTATCCTTTTCTCAAGTGCCACAAAAACTATTCGTCATGGCATTTTACAAAATGAATTTTCAAATATAGAAAATCTTTAAATTGGAGACGAGGAAAGGACTCTGACTCGTGATAAGTATATCACAGAATTAACATGCTTATTGACAATATATTAAACAATAGCATCACTTGTTTCCAAGCATATATTTTAAATGTTAGAATCTCTTGAACGGACAATCATATAGTTTACTCTTTGGCTGGTAGCAAAAATAATACAGTAAATAAACCATTCCATTAGTGCTTGGGACATACATGTTTTTAAAATGTGTAGTATTCAATTCTATAACAATCATATTCAATCAGAAAGGTGAATGACAGTCTGTTTTACATACATAGACGAGAAGAGACATTTTGTTTTATACGCCACCTCACTCGGTCTTAGTTAACAAAAATACAAAACAAAAAACCACCCCCAAACAAATAAGTTTTCCCAATCCACAAGAGTTTGGTCCACGAATAGCAAATTTTGCGATATTTGGGGGCGTGTGGCCTAATGCTTTGAGAGTTTGCGCCTTTTTGTCACGGGGCCATTAGATTTGGCAGATACTGATGCTGTTGGTGAGAAGACTCTCGTCTCAATTGATTGAGTGGAATGATAGTTATCCATTAAAGGTTTCACTACTCTCCAAATCTGAAATAAATTGATAAAATATGTGATGCTAAATAAAAGCGTTTCGTCATGATGCAGGTCGAAAAATGTTATTAATATATTGTAGGTCACCTTTCAATTTTCCTATAAAATTAACAAATATAAATTCACTCGTATTTAGAATTGACCCACGTCAATTTTTAGTAATGAAATAGGATTATAGTTTTATATCAACTGGACATACGAATTATGAATTCTTATTGAGGGATTCCACACAATTTTGTCTTACCCTCTCTTCCTGCAACAGCTTAGTTGCGGCATCAATATCTGGTGACATATATCTATCCTTTTTCCAAGGTCTATCAAGTAAAAAACGACATGTCTTTATATAAAAACAAATTGGCATCAGTTTCTTACTGAACACAGAAATACGATATGAGACAACTATGCTACCCATTTCATCTTACGTTAATTTTCTAATTATTCATATGCAAAATAAAGTACCCTTAGCTTTTGCTGTTGAAATGTAAACCCTCCGTTATAATGACCAATATCTAGAGCAGCAATATGTCGTTACATGTGACTTCTCCGGTGGGTTTTACTTCATCCAGCAGCATAACATTTGAGTCGTGCTTTAATCTCTGTCTTACAAAATATATGACCAAAATATGACCAATATCTAGAGCATCAATGTGTGAATTAAACCCCGAGTTTTATTTGGGTCGTGCTTTAATCTCTGACTTACAAAATATATGTTTTTAATTTGAAAAACAAAATGCCATACCCTACTACTTGTCTGACTTGTTTATACACCTCTTCCAGTGGAATAGTTGTTTTAAGGGGACGAAGAAATTCAACGGCTTGACAAGCTGCCAATAGTTCTATTGCCAATACTGAAACCATCATTAGAGACATTAGCTACCTTTTAAAACACATTTTCACAAAATGAAATGAATCAAAATTTCAATCTAACTCGCAGCAAAAAAGCAAACTCCGAAGTTGTACAAATGAACTATGGAAGACTATCCCGTTAACAGACTTCAAAAATAGGTATTCTGCCTTTAATTTGGATTTCAATTTTTTAACTTCACTTGACTTTCAATAATAAAACTAGGAAACCCGTATGGTTCTAAATCCGTCTTTATATTATGACAATTTAGTGAAATGTGGTTTGTCAGATAAAATTCCAGAATATACGAAAGAGTTATTCGATGAAGTAGAAAAATGGCAATAAAGCGAGATGAAATTATTTAAAGATATATTTGTATATAAATAAATTGATTTAAGGAACACTACACAAAGAGAATCCATTATAATCGCATTGTACAGTAATATAAGCATATATTTGTATAATAAATTACTTAAGGTACACAGAGAATCTATTATATACGCATGCGACAACATAGAACCCACCTTGTCGTTTATAACAACAAGTCGTAATGGAAACAAAAAGTAATTCTGAATTATAAATGATCGGAAATAAGTGGTATTTTTACGTAGGTGTACACTACCTTGTTCAACGTGTTCCACAACTCGTAGGGCCTTTCTGGCGGCAAAACCACCCATAGACACGTGGTCTTCGGTCCCTGCACTAGTTGTTAAAGAATCAACTGAAGCTGGATGACAGAGAACTTTGTTTTCAGAAACTGAAATGTACATGTAGGGAATGATGCCATCAAGCTGAACAGTGAAATACGTAATTGCTATACATTATTGGTATAATAGCTGTTTTAGATATCAAAATAATCCCTTTCTTGATAGTAATACCGGCAGACGGAATAACTAGAGAATATGTAGGGTTCTTACCAAGAGCAGCAGCCGTACAATGGGCAATCATAAAACCTGAATTAACCCCTCCATCTGGAGTCAGAAAAGCTGGGAGTTCACTAAGAGCTGTAAAAATCAATCGTCAAAACAATAAAAACAAATAACTGTATTCAAAGATACTCTTTACATAATGCATTAGTTAACGTGAATCAACATTAAATGATAAAAATAATTTAAAAAGACATTTACCCGGATTGACCAGTCGTTCTATTCTTCTTTCACTCATATTGGCCAATTCATGTACACCTATAGCTAAGAAATCCAACGCCTAGAATGTAACATGGTATAAGTGCAATCATCGGTGTACTTTGTCTGGAAATGCTTTATCGTTCAATTTAAGGATACAGTGTGCAATATTTAGAGAAAGGGGTAGCTGTCTTGTTATGATTCACAAATAGATAATAAAAATTCATATAGTGAAAGTTTCAATCAAATTACTTTATATAGGGCGAAGTATTGACAAGAAAAAGCTATAATTTTGTTAACATAGATATGTTGGGCATTGTCTATTGTCTAATCCACTCAATATCTAAGTCAACCTATTGTTTAGATAGTTAACTGTGGGCTTGCCATGTGTACATGTCTCTAAAACAATCTATACAGTTTAGATGTAGCATAATTCCTCCTTAAAACAAGACAATACACTAACTAATACAAAATGAAATGGCTACCCTTTTATTGGTAGCAGGAACAAAATACGCCAACCACCAGATTTGCGTGGACGCCAAAGGAGCAGTAACTCAACCCATGTTGAAAACATTAAGATTTTAGAATTTGCACAGTATTTTAAGTCGAAACATTAACTGAATACAGTTTTATCTAAAACTAGCCAAACAAGCCGCAAAAGTTTTAAAGAATGTTTAACAATCTGAAATAAAAACATCATTTTTGGTGACATGGACAATAACTAGGATTCCGCCAGATTTAAAGAAAGGAAATTATATATTTCTGATCTATAGAGCGTTCACAAGGTTTTGGTGACAGGAGCAATAACTTGAATTTCGATTGAGTTCCCCATTAGGACTATTCGAACAACCCACAAGTTTCAAACAAGAAATCTCAAATACCTACATAGCATTTAGAGCAATTGTGGACAGAAGTCGACACTATACAAAAAATGTAGTAAAAATACCTTAGCTGGATATTCCCCATGAAAATTACCACCGGATATTACCTCGCCAGTGTCAGCAAATACCATCTATTGAAGTTAAGTAATTTTAAATAGAGCATTGGTAACGTAAACATAAAAATATACAACACTTATTTATGCTGGTCATATATATAACAAATTACATTGAATTATAATAAAACGTGTAATACATGCATGTAATGTATATGTATTTACAGGGATACAGGATTATCTGTAGCGCTGTTCATCTCCGTGGTCAAAATTCCTCGAACAAATTCTATTGTATCATTTACAATCCCATGTACCTTGAAATATAAATGGTATTGAATACTTAATTATTCATATTCAATTTCCTGGTCACGGCAGCAAAGGTGTGATATGTGACATATATCACGGTGGCATACGCCATGGTTACTATATCATTATATTTGATTAGCTCAGTCGCTTCATTTCAACTATGACATCTTTAGATACCAACCCAGGACCAGATAGATCATCTTCTGACTTGACTAATGCACGATGTGCACCTTATACCCTCTCGTATTTGAGGAGTTCACTTTGTTAACATATTATGTGTGAATTACTATGGAATAAGTGGGCGAAGCATGATACCGATAATCAATATAAGAATAAAAGTAAAAAAACATGTTTACCTGGGGACAACATCGAAGGGTATAGGCATCTTGAACCCTCGTACAGAATCTATGACTTTCTATTAAAGATAAATAAATGAAATATATAAAGATGCCATGTTATGATCTAAAACTGGGCAGTGTAAATCAGGAAACGTTTTACCCAGAGAACACATTACAGAGAATTGATATTTAACATTATAAAATGGATGAATTACCTGCTATCTGGGATGGGTGGGTTTCAGAATGCAAAAGAGAACGCAAATTACGAGCCACTTTTATTTGTCCTTTGTGAGGCCGGACACGTTGAATATCTGAAGAAAAAGTTTTATCACAACGCTGGTTTATATTTAGTAAATCAAAAGCTTTGTTATTATCGGATCATCTGTTAATTTACCACAAAAGCTAGTTTTGTAAAATATATGGATAGAGGTTTCAATTATTCCAATGAAATATTTATGTTATATGGTCATTAAATTGAAGAATATGAATACTTACTGCTATCAAATGCTCTAGTTGTACCCTTCATCACCTCCAATGTCAGTGCTGCAATAACATCAGCTTGGCGAGCAATTGAATCTGCTCTCTCCACGGCTTTATTAAAAAGCAATGTGTTTAAAAGTAACTTCGGATGGAAAATATGACGTTTGTTTGTGCCTAGATATTAGTTATAGTAATGACGGTTTGGCTTTATTTTTCAAGAAATTATTTTGAAGATTCTAAATTATTTTAAATGTGTGAACTACTGTACAAATGATTTGATTAAATGTTTTAATTTACAACCGTACAATCTGGTAATCAAGTAGCTTTCTTAAAGAGTGATAATACGTTATTTAATTAGTTTGTCTACCTTCGGCACCAAGTGACGCAATCATTTGTGTTCCATTAATCAAAGCTAGTCCCTAAAATTATAGAATGCACGAGTGTTAACATTATAGTTCATTCGAAAATATAAATGTCTGCACGAAGGTGGCCATTAACTTGAACATGACTCCTTTTGACGAACAAAAAAGAATTACGGTAAACAATAGAAGGTGGGGCTTCAAAAGGAACTAATTGCACTTACATGTATGCATTAATTGAAAAAAAATATGAGAATGTAATTACTTAATTCCTCTTAGAAGCATTCCCATAATTTTGGCCAGTGTGCATTTGACTTAATCTATATTACTTCATTTTAAATTATTTAAAGTATATCACAGTTGATGTAAAATGTATTATATTAATTATACATTAAGTGTACAATATACCCTAATTTATTACTATGATGTCAATATTAATATTAAACGTACTTCTTTTGGTTTCAGTTTAATCGGTGATAGTTGATGTGATTCCAGAACCTATAAAATATAAAGTGTCCAGGTATTTCGTAAACCAGAAATTTAATTATTAAGGAAGAATTAATTGATAACATGAATGATATTTACATTCCCATATCCGAATATAATTTGTATTATTATGAATGCATAGTGAGTCTATGAACTAGACAAAAGTTGCATATTTTTCAGAAACTTTAATAATGCGACCCTCTACTGTAGCTTTGGGTTTCTTTGGTTTTCTTGAGACATTTAGGTGTGCAATATCTGGCAGGGGTTAATACGGTTGTATTCTACATACGAATCTATTTATTGTTGTTGTTCGATGGCGGTTTTGTACCACGTGGGAGTTAATATGGTTCTTTAAAATAATGTGCAACCAATACGTACATATTTAGCATCTGCCCACCCACTCTTTGGACTCCACATTTTTCCTTCCCCCAGCATGCCAAGCGCTAAATGGGACAACGGCGCTAAATCTCCACTGGCACCAACTGTTCCTTTTTCGGGAACCCAAGGCAGACAGGAAGCTGTAGATAAAATTACAAAGTTCGAACCAAGAAAGTGGATAATCAAATGAATAAATGTGGCATTACAATTATAAATTTGACGTCTTACTTCCGTGGTCTGAAAAGTTATTTTTTGACTAACATTCCAATCGGACGGCATGTAAATCTACAGAACGTACTGTGTTAAGCGTTTCCTTCTTGGAGAGGTCATTGCTATCTTATTATCGAGCATTCAACACAAAGTAAGGCATCAATATTTATAATTAAGATAAAGTCTTTTATTTTAATTCTTGGATTGTGTTAAAACAGCGAGCGATTACTTGAAGCCTTTCCATTATTGCCGTAAGACAATATCTGTTTTTATTTATGACTGGAATCAGATGATATTTTTTATATAAATACAGATTAATCTATAAATTGAGAACAAACACTTATTTTTTCTGTTTGATTATATGTTAATACAATACCACCAGATTTATTTTTTACCATTTAAAGCTGCTATAAGCTGATTTAATGTTTCGACTGATATTCCACTATATCCTTTCGCCAATACATTAATACGAAGAGCCAACAACATCCTTGTTCTTTCTGGGGATAATGGTGGACCAACTCCTGTAGGATTAAAACAAAAGAAACGTTTGTTTGCATCACATGTATTAAAACAAAGAGTAATCCAATATCGATATGTAGTATACTGAGTGCATAAACTGACATTTGAAATTACGATTAGGCTTTGCAAAAACGTCTACATAAAAGTATGAAAAATACTTTAAAAGATTTTCCCAATATTTGTAAAATACTAATTACCTGCAGAATGAGATCTGATAAGATTTTCTTGTAGTTCTCTGTAACACACAAATCAGTTTTTAATTTCTTAAACTGGTTAATAGGCATCCATTTGAAATAATAGTTATATTATAAATACTGATTCTGTTTTTACAACTATTCAGATAGACTCAATAAGTAATGGCTAATTTACACTAAACGACAAAAGACAGAAGAATATTAGAAAATAACAATATTTAATATACTCCGAATAATTCTTCCGATTTTGTTTCTACAGCCATTAAAATAAACTTACACTAACTGATCATCGGGGATGGTAACATTAGCAAATTTACCAAATCCAGTTGTGATACCATAAACAACTACATTATAAATAAACAATAAAATTAAAATGATTATTATTTGTGTTCTTTACAATCAATTTATAAATATAAATATTAAATAAATATCAGAATATAATTAAAAGCTATATAAAAAGTGGCTGTTTAAAATCAATTTATAGTTGTAAATTTCATACTAATATATATTTAATAGAAAATGAGTTATCAACATCATAGACTAATTAAAAACGACTAGAATATAGTTCCTTTTGTTTTTAAGATAGGATACAAGCCTTTTTTAGTTGCAAGTATATCCTCTACAAGCAATCTTGATTTCTTGACATTTTCTTCTGCTTCACTAGTTAGCTAAAAGCAGTTGAGAAAAGTTTTTATTTACTATTCAATGGACATATTTGTTATAATTATTTAATAAAACAAATATCTGAAAACCCTTAAAGTATATACATATACAATTTAATTAAGGTTTATTGCCAATGTTTTTTTTTTATAATTCATCCTATCCCGCGTGCTTTTTCTTGTGACGCACTACCTCATATCTGCAAGGAAGATTTCTAGAGTCAAGTTCAAGTATCAAACAATTTTATTATCTGTTTGATCCAATTGTGGCACTAGTGACAAAGTGCATAACAGATTTAGGTCATTTTCTTTGCATTGCTCTGGCAATTAGTGCTACACTGTCTGTTTGATCTATGTCATCACTGTCCCCATGATAAGAAAGGCCGTTGTTGTATTTTACTTTTAAAATGTAATGTTGTATTTTCCTTTAACAGGGATCACGTGGCTACGTGGGTAAGACGCTGGCTCGCTAGTTTGGAGGTCGGGTGTTCGGTCCCTGCATTGGCAGAGAAAGTTCATCCAGATTTTCCGGCGTGGTTCCCCCTTGTCAGTGATGCAGGACGGAGGGCCAGACAAGGACAGCTGTCTAGTCCTTCGGATGAGACGAAAAACCGAGGTCCCGTGTATACATTGGAATGCACGTAAAAGATCCCTTAGCACATTGTATGGCGTATGCCCGTCTTCATTAGCTCAGCATAGGAGCAGAACGGTAGGACGTTAAACCCCATTTCATTTCATTTAATTTCCTTTAACAAGCGGTTGCCATACAAGATACGCCCACATTTTGGAAGAGATGGACAGAGAAAAAGTTTCCATAAGCTAAAAAAAAAACCCAAAAACGATTTCGGTACAGTCAAGGGCAATAATTTTTCCTACAATCATGTGTCATAATCAAGGAAGTTATGCGCGAATATCGAGAGGAAACGAGATCGTTGGGCTATAAACATATGGTTTAGGTTTCATTAAAATCGGATAAAAATTGTGACCTCTATAGGGTCAATAACCTTGGTATTACATACTTTTACACTATTTGCGTACGAGGATCGGCTATTTTGTCGGGCAGTTTCGGTCCGATTTCACAAAGTTCCACCCCCAACCGCCATTTGGGAGTGACAGGGATATAATGTGAACGGTTTTTAAAATCTGATAATTTTTTTTAGATCTATAGTGGGTCCACGAGCTAAATAATCAGGGGTCATTATCCAGGAGATTACGGATATTATGATATTGAGCCCCAATATCGACCAGGAACTGAGATCTTTGGATTATAAACATACATTGTAACTTTCATCAAAATTGGATAAAAATTGTGACCAATGGATGCCAATATCGACAGGATCTTTGAGTGTCCAGAAACAAAATGTGAACAGACAGACTGACGGACGAACGGACGGTCAGGAGCGACGACATTATACGTCCACATGACAATGTTGGCGTATAAAAATATAATACTTACCTTGACTAAGTATTCAGTTTTACCAATTCTAACGAGATCATCAGTAGTCAGGCTGTTACCATCCAGTGATAGATACTGAAAAATTTAATCATAAATTTATTCTCCATAAACTGGAGATTTGCACTATATCACAACTTATTAACAGTTAAATAATGATTGGAAAACTGGAATTATCTCTTTGATAACGAAGCTAAGGTGGACAAGTATAAAAAAAAACACTTATTTTAGTGTTATATTATAAAATAAGTTTACAGGTTTAACTGTAAATGAGATTGGATGTTTTGGACATTTTCAAAACATATTTTGGCGCAATATTCTGCATAAAATGGCGTTTGAAGGATAATCAAAATACATGAGACGAATTCATTCGATATAGCAATTATCGCTAAAACTTGTCTGATTTCTTTTTTAACGTTCATGGTTTAACACCCTTCATTGAATATTTTAACTTTTCCTTGGAAGAATGTTATTAAATAGAAAACATGTTACCTCTACAGTCTTTGAATATTCTGGCTGGTGTCTTAGAGAGAGTTAAGTTTTGTTCACAACAATTTGACTTCAGGTGACAATAATTATTAACTGTGCTTGTTAAATTTAAACTTTAGAATAACCCTAATTGATTAAAAGCATACATCTTGTTTTTTTTTGTAAATTTGGGAATAAATATATATGGACGGGGGAATAAGGTCATATGATTGTGATAGTTGAATCCTTGTTTATATTTTTTGTACTCAAGCTTTGATTTATTGAAGTCTACAACAATCTTATTACTGTCACTATTATTACGAAAATGGGCAATTCAAGCTATGGAAGGATACACCTTTTCTTCAACATAAACGATTTCTGCTGGTCCTGTCACGGGACTTGACATATCACTCTCCAAAACTAGGGAAGAAAAATGATCAAAAGGTCACGGAATAAATATTGCATCTCAAATTTCTGTTTTACTCGCTTCAGTATTGTTTCGCACAATCGTGTGCTAATTTTGATTCGAATTAATTAACGTGCGACGGAATTAATCATATATTAAGAATTCATATCTTTAATAAATGACCCAATCTTACCGACTGTTAAGAAATCATTATCATCCAGTACGTCTTTAATAAGGTCATCTCGATCCAAAATAGCACCTCCTTTAGCCTTCCGTATTTCAAACACCCTTTCTTTAGCATGACCAACGTTGTTCTTGGCTTTGTAAAATCTTCTCAAGCATTCTTCTCCAAACCAAAATATTTTTTCTGTACCCTTACAAGGAACAGCAAACCAATCACCCCGAATTCTCACCGAAAGTTTCATCATGAAAACTATAATCGAACCCAATGTCTTGTACCTCTTATAAGCTATTTGAGAATCTAGCAGCTGTCCTATTTACGTTTATTTCAAACGCTGATAACGGTGTTTGACCCAAGATTAAGAAGAAGATTCGGTTAACATGTGAAGGAAAAAACGCCAACACGCAGTAGCGGAAGAGATTCGATTATAAAATTACTGGACTTGCCTGAATGTTGTGAATATGGGTATGCCCGTTTTCATTAGCCCAGTTAGTGCAGATCAGTAGAACGCCAAACCCCATTTCATTTCATTTTATTGCTTGAATATTTAATGAAATTCCTTCTGCAATCTCGTGAGAATTGAATTTTGTACGTTTTTCTGGTCAAACTTATCAATTTTCCTCGTCAGATCATTCTATTATTCACTACGGGCGGGTATCTTATCATAAACACAAAAATGGTAAATATTGATTTTAAGCTGTGTTAAACAATTTGGTAACTCGAGTGAGTTCTTCGCAATTGGACTCGGCTGTGGACAGGGAGGTCCGTTATCTCCTTATATATGTTTGCTATGTGTTGAAATTCTGGCTAGTTTAATAAGAAACGATGAAGACATTAAAGGAATTAATTTAGGGAGTAAAAAACAAAAACTCTTACAAAAAGTAGATGCAGATAACAGTGAGTTATTCACAATAGGATGCTGCTGTTATCTGCGTATATATTTTTGCGATGTTTTAAAATTCTGAGCAGTTTATTTTATTCATTAATTAAACATTTGGAACATGACGTGACTTTTAATTTTTTTAATAACCAGAAGCCTTTTATAAAGGTGTCCTCTTGCCAAGATAAATCTAGAAATATCAGATATGCATCCAGTAATGCATAGACGTACGAGCTCGATAAATGTTTGAAAATTTAACTGGCGCAAACGCATTTTCTTGCTATTCCAGCCCGTGAATACAGCAACTCCAATGTGGTCCAATATAGCCTTACCTGAATCCCAAATTCCAAACAACCAATCAGAGAGGAATGGATATTTTCGCCACGATATTTTGAGAAACAGACTGCCGGAAATGCAGCCTGGCAGTATTTCAGACACTGGTCGTCAAGATAAATAAAGCTGACCAGATATTGGCATTACCTTTGCCGAACAGAGAGGGAGGTGCCAAACGAACGGAATGAGTCAGACGTGCTGCCTTTATGTGACAAGTACTATGTCCGTACTATTTTCAAAACTTTAACCCGGTTTCCTGCGGCCAATCTGCGAGTTACCAAACCTTACGACTCGTGTGTGTCCAAAACACGTACAGAAAAAAAGTTAATTCAAAACATTTTCTTGAATTCTACACCAAAGAGTCAACAAAAATCGTCGCCCGAAATGTGGGAAAGATTGCCAGACAGTTAGGGGGCGGCTGTGTTCATGATGTACAAGTATTATGGCAAGAATTAGGAGCCTGGCGACATGATGACATGTTTATTTGGCACTGATACTGATGGCAACAAAATTCCAAATTTATTATATGTATTTAAGTAAGAATCGTTATACAAAGTTAAATAAGAAAAAAAATGTACTCGGTGAAGTTCAAGATTGATAGAAACAATCTAATGGTCTTTTTATCTAAGTTTTTCCCAGTCAACCGTCCTAGTTTAGTTAGGTTTGTGATATCCATGTAGTTTGTCGGTGTGTTTTTGCTTTGTATATATGTTACTAACTTTAATAATCTATCAATTTAAAAAGAAAAAAGGAAACAAAAATTATTGTCAATATTATAACTGTCTATTGCTTCAACAAAATAGGTTTCTTTTTGCTGAATGTATAAAGGTTATTTTTGTTCACAACAGACTAAAAAAAGAAACAGACACGAAAGACAGAGGTGGACTTCCCATATAGGATTTAAATAAAAACAACCATACCCTTTTGTTGAACCGTCGTTCTTGATAGACTAAACACACTCTGACCCTAAGGTCATAGAAAGATTACCAGAAAATAGAAACCGATCTGTATGGAAGGGGTTTTTAATGCTGGACCGTCCGAGACTAATATTGCCGTTATTCTATTGTATGACCATGCATGCAATACTTAGGAGGGGAATTCTGCTCGCACAGCGACGTTTTCGCCGTATCTTTATCGAGTTCCAAATGGCAAGGGTTATGTAATACATTTAATGACTTGTATTTTATAACTTTAAATACGAACAAACATGATATGGATATGGTTATAGGTAGTTTTATTACTGCGTCCATTGTCAATATGTGACTATAGGATTACAGATGATTTATATTTCAGTGACTTGAAGTAATTGTGGATGAACCGCTGTGTTGTGCTATTTGATATTGACTCTACAATTGTCTCTAATTCCTGATCGATGCATAAAGATCGAATTACCCACGGTCTGATCATTTGAGATGCCTATGAATTAGTCATTATAGAATATGCTTGTAAAAAAAGAAACAAATAAGGAAAAACGTTTCACGGAAGTCATTTTGCTGTGTTTTATGCTAATGGGTAATACTTGGCATATCATGCTAGTGATGTCTAGCTTCGTACATGAATCCCAAATAACAAATTGAATCATGACTAACGGGGTAACATGTTCCTTGTTATTCGCCAATTCAATTTTAAAGTCATAACTAAAACAGAAAACTGGGACTTTTCGGAAAATTCAGTTACAACCCGAAACTCGGAATAACGAGCATGTTCTCCTTATTCGTTATTCATTATTGGTGAATAGCGAATAAAGAAAAACTTTTTAACTTCAAACCCTTTTAACATCTAACAAAAACTGAAATCTTGGATTTTTCATAAAATTCAGATAAAACCTAAAACCCTGATCTGCTAAAGCTAATAAAAATATCCAAAAATCCCAACCGAAGAGAGCGAAAAAACGAAACGGACATCATGCAAAGCTATATAAATAAAGTATCTCCACTGACAAGCGAATTCACTTGATTCTTCCCGAACAAGAAAATTCCGGGCGCCAGAAACTAGCTGTGAACACCCATTCAAAAGGATGTGACATCACAATCTATTTGTTTATTCCCATTGAACCTGGTTATTTCTTGTCAAATTTTGAATGGATATTAAGATCTTATTAATTCATTTCTTGTTTTTATATTTGGGGGATAAACCGCTTACTTAGTAGCAGGATCAGAATTGACTTATCTATGAATAGTTCATTATTCAGTAAAACAGGATACACATAAGTTTTATATCAGGAGCATAACTTAAAGATACAGAATAATATACATTGTTGTTATACAGATGTCTAGCCACCTAGCCAGACATGGGATGTCTAGTCCTTAGCTGAAGTCCCCCCCCCCCCCCTGACCTTGTCTCTATTCTGGATCTGCTATGATATTAAGGGTCGTGTAATATACAGAATCAATTTGTCCTTTTTAGTCCAAGTTGCTATATACATACATGGTGTAGTATATCGTAACCTGTACCTGATCTCCATTATGTAACATTTACATTTGGCCAAGAGAGTTTATCTCTCGTAATTAACAAGCCCAATCCCACCCCGTCCAATTCAATTTTAATATTAATTATGATATTTAATATTGTCAGTAAATGTACATCAATTCAAAAACCCTAAAATGACAATATATTAGAATATTGAAACAACATGGTGCTATTATATTGTACAAAGACTCATATACATAACCCGTGCATTATTGTTACAATGGTATATTAAATAACTGGATTTTCAATTTAAAACATAGGGATTTCACATACGAAATATTGATCATGGTCGCATACGATATCATTCATGGCCCACAAGACAAATCTTATCCCACCACAATGTTCTCCAGATAAGTTGTTTGGTTCGCCATCTTTCCAGAATTGAATATCTGAGCCATCTAACCAAGTATAGGGATCAATATAAAGATTTGTTGAACCAACAAACACGGACTGATCTGTACCTGTATATAAAGATTAACAGAGTTTTTACAATTGGTAAATTAAAAAATGTCAAAACCGATGGTCAGGCCAACGTTTCAAAATTCATATTTTGCATGTGGATTAATTGACCAAGATTGTTGTCTACCCATTTTCTACATGTCTCACACTAAAATCAATTCTCAAATATTTCATACAGATTAGGTCGGGTGGTTGATTCTGGAATAACTAATATTATCTATCTTATAGGAGCCTCGACAAAACAGTGCGAACAATTTCTCGTACTTAATTCTGATTTTAGTAGAATAATAACTTATATACACCCACTTGTTAATGTTCCAGTATATTGTCGTTCGGCCACTCTTTTTATACCCACTTAAAGGTACATTGTGGGAGATTAGATAAAGAGCTGGCAGTTCTCACTAGACTAGTTAATAACTAGATAATGTAAAGGGAATTTGCTGAAAATTTCAGTTAAATTGATCTACTCTGAACCGAGATTTTAGCGCTTGAATTTTGGGTCTAGCCTACTAAAGTCTTTACGATAAAAAACATAGTCTCGATTATACATTTTGTTTATTTAATTATCAATAAGCATTAAGCAGCAGATAGGATTCTAATCCAGAAAATATCGCAGGCTAGCGATGCCATCGAGAGTTGATTAAGTTAATTAATGTCTAATTAATAATTAAGATATCATTTCAGACCCAAAGAAAGACCTGAAATGGGCAGATTTATCTCTTGCATAATGTATGTTTAACCAATTTTACTCATTTTCAAGAATTATGTAGAATTAGGGGGTAAAGACCTTAATAATTTTGTTAGCATTTCACAAGATTAGTTCCGGAGTTGTTAAACCCACATTGCCGTACTGCCACCCATTCTACATCAAAATTACAGAACAAATTACTATTTTGGTAAAGGTACATGACTGATATGATTGCTATTAATTGTACTCATACTCAATTTGCAATGTTAGATTCTTGATAGGTTTTCAGAAATAGTTCTTACCGTATGATTTTTGATTTAAAAACATTACCCCGAACTCAATTCTTTCTTGATCACTTTTCAAAATTTGGATCTGTTTTATTGATATTTAGGGATCGTACCTCTTTGTTACATAATGTAACGTGTAGGTTCGAGATCTCTAAAACCTTGTATACGCTGGATAAACCTGCAAGGGCTTTGTGTGAAAAAAAATAAGTTAAATACACACCGTTTATTAAATCAAAAAACATATCCTTCTTTTCATTCGAGTTCATTACTCCCAAGTAGCCACCGTCAACTTCACAGGAATATAGTGCATTTGTCCAAGTCGTACGGTATGTTGACATCTTTGCACATATATTTGATGATGTATTATATGCATAACCTTTATCTATAGGACATACATCTGAAAAGTATTTATTATAATTTAATAATATATTCGCGGCTATAATTATGCTATTTTTTCGGAGTGTTAAACTACCTAAACAAAGGGTGGCCATGCATTATGCGCCCACAATTTGCAAGAGAAGGGCGGAGAACTGGGAAACATACGGTTTCGGCGAAGTTGCAGAAACATACGGTTTCGGCGAAGTTGCAGAAACACGGTTGTTTGATAAGGTTCGTCCTCTCAAACCAAATTTGATGTCTAAAGAGAGAGAGAGAGAGAGAGAGAGAGAGAGAGAGAGAAGTGGGGTTTAACGTCCACTCGACCCAAACTAGGTCATTTCGGGACAAACATATGGTTTAATTTTATTTCAATAATCCGCTTGCGCGTAGGGCTCTTTAGCAGTGGGAGGAAGCCGGAGGACCCGGAGAAAACCCACGAGGTTGAAAAAGCGACCCTACTCCTTGTCACGTACAACCGGGGATTCGAAACCACGCCAGTTGACTCAATGACAGACTTTATGATACAGCGCGCGCGCACGCTAACCATTCAGCCATCCAACCCCCCATAATTTCATCTAAATAGGACAAAACGTTCCACAAACTTGGTACAGATTTCATATTTTGAGTAAAAGTTAAGGGATATAACCTAAGAAATCGATGTCTGATGAACACAAAAAATCGAACTCATCCAAGAGCTGAATCGGACAAGAATTTTCTCCTCTGTCTGGTCCACAAACTTCACACATATTTCACATTTTGTGTAAAAGGTAGGGTTGCCGATGAGAACCAAAAGTGCAGCCTCCAGAAGGTCAATAACCTTGATATCTGTATGACTTGCGTTGGCACTATTTGCGTAAAGGATAGGGGTCATTTTACATTATATACTCTTCAAAAAAAGAAACGCGTAGTGATATTTCGTCGTTGGTATACACTCGCTTTACAATCGCCTCGTTGTAACAGAAACCGCGACTCGTCGCTGAACCAAACTGCTGTGGCCATACCCTATGTGTCTGAACCCATTGAAGTCGGATTTGACGGTGTCGGCCTATTTCAAAACAACAGCTCTAACGGGATGTCTGGCTCGTAATACGGTTTCACGTAGGCGTCTATGACTGTCTGGTCTAAGATCCTCCGCCGTCCAGGAATATACTTTTTGAAGAGTATATTATATTGTCCCACCACATTAATATATATTATCATTACCTGATAAAGACTAACAAAACTTAGTTGAAACGTCTCTCAATAATAAACAGTAATTATATTGCATATAATTGAGACCTATGTATTTATAAGTTGTAATACTGGTAATATTCCATTCAATACATGATCAACAATCTAAGATCTACCATTTTAATATAGTATATATACTAATGGGAAATTCAATTACATAATTTAACATTAAGCAAAGTTTGATCAAGCGTCATAGTGTTGTTACCAGGAAAGAGTGATGGCGGGGGATTGGTTGCCTTTTGTATACAGAAAAATATGTTAATATTACGTTCTGGTAAAACGTATTTTATAGTACAAATAGTGTTTTGGGTAGTTCCTGCTCTTTTTAGAGCTCTAAAGAGCGATGTATGTTATGCCCCCGTCAGACCGGGGTGGCGCCCTTACTGCGCTGCTGCGACCGTACGGCGACCAGAAAATGCACAAGGTCGCCGGCAAACGTGAACACAACACGCGAAAAGGTCCCAAAAAATTAAAAACTTGAAAAAGTCGTGTTCTCATAGCTTTCCAGTTCAGATCGCAGAACCTTGGCGTTTGTTTTGAACATGCTCTGTTTGTAACGAGACAATTATCAAAAGCAATACTACACAAACAAATATCAGTATATATAAATAGTCTCTGAAAATCTTGATAATTATTTATAACCAGATAAGAAATAAACGTAATGTTCTAGTAATAAGTATATAACTCTGTAAACTGTGTGAATTCTTTTAAGTGAAGTTATTGTCCATTATTTCTCATAATCTGATAATATTTATCCTTTGTAATGTAATACCTTAACTATTGCAATATACACATGTACAAGCATGCGACTCCCGTGGTGGCTTAGTAAGTAAAGTCCATTTTCCATGCGCTCGTTTTCGCGCGTTTTCTTTTCGCCGGTTACATAGACACTGTCCCATAACAATTGCAAAACGCGTATATGGAAAACAGGCCTAAGGCGTAGACTCGCTAACCAGAAGATCCCGATTTCCATCTCGATGTTGGCAGAGAAAGTTTCTCTGGAATTTCCAGCGTGGTATCAGTGGCGTATGCCCTTCTTCATTAGCCCGTCTGGGTGGACCGACGAACACGGGGTAATATGTTCGCGTATAAAAACATGGTCAATTTGATGAAATCTTACGCGTTGATGTCTTTTGCGATATTCCTCTACCTATATTTAAACATTTTATGACCGAATCTGAACATATAACCTATGCTAAAAATATCGAATTGGATGGATAAAGTTATCTACCTTCTAGAAGCCAATAATAGCCTAAACCAGTGCTATTTGAAAGCACTTGTCTGGTCCACACTCTGTTTTTGTATAAGAAACAATCCATTGATGTGGTAAATATACTTGATATCCCAAACGATTTACACCAAGGTTTAGCAGCACATAATTCAGCACATTTTTCAGCAGACATCACGTGGATAGATTCCACAAAGTCAAAAATTAGTACATCTTTCAGTTCAATTTTTTTCCATTTAGTATCTTTACATATATCAGCAAAACATAGAATTTTAGCGCATAATAGTATCAAAACCGTTTTTGTTACACCTTTCATGGCGCCAGTCGCGAGATCTTATAGCAAATGAGAATGAACAGCGACTTTCTGCGACTAAGGAAAAGATAACGGTCAATAACTTCTCTTGCCGTCTTCTCAATGCAGCGTGGCATTAAGCTATCAGAATAATTTTACTGACTGAACAGTCCGAGCTATGGGCGGGCGCCAATACAGAGAAATGCGGGATGGACTAGGTGCTAGTGCGCACACCTTATTTTTGAAATCGGAATATTGATTCGTCTTCCTAACAATAGGAACCCCCCTCGAGATTAACACAAATAATTATACAGGCATCATATATAAAAGCATAAAATGTAATACATAATATGGAATTTCAAAGAGCTAGCGATCACGTTATTGGTGCGAAGCACAGGACCTAGAATCGACAATTGAAGGAGATGTTTCCAGTGTGTGCCTATTTTAATCTGATTAAAACACAGATCCTATTTCGTTTCGTTTTTTATAGTTCAAAATTTCGTTTTACTTGTCTTTACTACACTAGGATCTGAAAGAGTTGTTATCACTGACGTGTTCGAAATGTTGTGAGGGATTAGCCAATGAAACGGTGTGTTACGGCGAGCTTTTGGCGTGAGGTGCACGGAACGGGGGGTAATTCTGTAGTAATCCACTAGAAACATCAATGCTGATTGGTTAATCAAATGTCTGACGTCATAGGTCAAAAGCCGCAGGTATGACCTCTGACGCGATCTCCATGTACATGGTTAAATTTTGACACATTTTCGTCATGTGTTAGCGTTTCCGATCCATAAATTAATATTTTCGAAGCTCCTTTTTTAGGCAAGAATAGTATACTAGTAGTATTTCCTTTTGCTTTTAAAGGTTTCTCAAAACAATCATTGAGTTGCCTAACGTGCTAGTTTCTAAATTAGATTTATTGATCTAGCTTTCTGTAATGATTCGTAGAAAAAATTCTTGATTATCCAGGCCTGTCAACCATCCGGAGAACGATCGGTAGACTGGTTAAGAGGGGCTAATTTCAAATCATGGACAGATAAACATATTCTGCACTGAAAAATGCCCGGATGTAACACCTAGAAAAAATCCCTTAGGGTGTCATACCAGACTTCACATAGTCGGGTAATCTTGAGAATTGAGCCTTCGACTTTCGAAAGTAATTCAAGAAAGTACGTACTTGTATGATTTAAAAACTTATAAAATTACACAAGAAAACAAGAATAAAACAATAGTGAAAAAGGCGTCCATGTTTATCAAATCTATACTAATATTTGTGACTGTCGTCTGTCTGTCTGTCTGTCTGTCTGTTCGGGGTTGGCGGCTACATCTGCCCCGAGTCTGAAATTTGGGGTATAGGGGTAGCTCGGACCGGGGAGTAACATAGGCCAGGCGGCGTTAGTCTACCACTTCTGGTTTCGGAGTTATGACCCCCGAGCGAAGCCGGTCTGTTCGGGGTTGGCAGCTACACTAGGTCTGCCCCGAGTCTGAAATTTGGGGTATAGGGGTATCTCGGACCGGGGAGTAACATAGGCCAGGTGGCGTTAGTCTACCACTTCCGGTTTCGGAGTTATGACCCCCGAGCGAAGTCTGTCTGTTCAGGGTTGGCAGCTACACTAGGTCTGCCCCGAGTCTGAAATTTGGGGTATAGGGGTATCTCGGACCGGGGAGTAACATAGGCCAGGTGGCGTTAGTCTACTACTTCCGGTTTCGGAGTTATGACCCCCGAGCGAAGCCGGGTATCCTGCTAGTTACTCTTAATTTGGAGATAAAAAGTTGGAAATAAATATAATACGTATAGTTTAGTTAGAGATTAACTAAATAAAATAATAAATGTTATACGTATGGTAGGCATTACCCTCGATATTGGACGGTCCTTATTTCGTCATCTATATTATGATGTTTATCATGTTCAGAAATTCTGATTGGTTAGCGTAACGGAAAACCCAGAGACAAGCCCCTTTCGTTGAAAAGGTAATATAAGCGGATACAACCTTGCTTTATATCTACTTCTTTAGACAATTATTTAACCTAGATAAGTGACCCACGATGAACACGATAAAAACATGTATACATCACTCTGTCGTGTTTATGTCGATATATAAATAAATATACAGTATGTAAAAGGTATATTTTTGCAATTAACTTTTGATAACCCCGTAATATGTCTCGAGTGTTTCAATTTTGATAAAGTAGCATACATAGATAAACACCCATAGATAAACAAACACAATACTTGATATTTTTATTTTAATCCAATTCGTTCTTTAGTGATTTGTTGCAGTGTTTGGTTCGATCATTAATTAAAGTGACCGAATCAAAATAAACATACGTAAATTATGTACAAAATACGTATTTATTCGTTTCCTTATCCTATAAATATGTATTTGACACATCTTTCGCCGAAATTATTGAAGCAAAACGAAAACACATTTTATAGACATATTTGTTCCGGTTCGTCCAAATGGTGATAATATTACGATCTAGCGGGATATACTGTGTCAATACTATATTAACACAAAAGATATGACACCGACATAGATGTATGTCAAGGTACAAGAAGGTACGTGCTGCACAAAGAGCGTTACATTTCAGTTAGAGTGGAACGTTTATAGTATAACTTGAAATACACATTTTGATGTAAGGTTTGGGATGTTATTCATTGGATTAACTGTGTACCTAATTTACTGTTAAACAGATCGTTCTAGAAAATATGTGGATCTCGCTGACTGGCTTTACTACCACTACTTTTACTAGGGATTTACGTCCGCTTCCACATGGGGTGTTACCGTCTAACAGTACAATTCCTTTGTTGTGTTGAAGAAAATACATTACGACGTAGGAGGATTACAGGTCAGGAAGGTCAAAGGTTATACGTACAGTTAAAGATCCTACATATCAACTGTCTTTCGATTTGAAGCAGGCAGTCAAATGTGTGTTAATAGAAATGTCGTCAACACGACCCATGTTTGATACAAAAAGTAACGACACCAAAAGATACAACAAAAACAGTAAGACTTGTTCAATAATCCATTGAATGGATATACAGTACATATTTGTTAAACATAACTATATTTGGGACACCATGGACCTCTATATGTTTTACGGATATGTATAAATAGCAAGGACATTTGATCTACAAAATAATCTACTAGCTAAAATAACCTGAAATAATATGTTTAACTGTTAGCCTAACTATGTGGTGCGTTTTCTTACGTAACTTTGTAACATGTACTTGTAACTTGATAAATATATAAAGATGACAGCCCAAGTTTTTAGGACTCTATTAAGTATTTATTATTTTATTTGTATTGTACTATACGTGAAATGTCAAATGGAAATATTACAATATTGCAAACCTCGTGTTCTGGCTGAAGAGGGGGACGTAAACATAGCCGCCATCATTGCCATTCATGAAACAGGAAGTAATAACTGTGGAAAGGTTTCAGAAACTGATTTCCAAATCGCAGCAGCCATTCGATGGACAATAAACACACTAAATGGAAATAACAATTCACGGGCATCTTTTATCCCTGGTGTCAAAATAGGTAAGAAAACATCTTTCTTTTTATGATCACACTTTACGTTGTCTTTAAGATCTATACTTTTCATTTAATGTCCCTTGACACATTCTATTCCTTTCCGTATTTTGCTATGAGCTATCATTCGAAGGGACTGATAGCCTAAATGTGTAAGGTTCTTGTTCGTATTTTTATAGTTTTATCCCTTACACATACTTGTGTCATAAATATGGCTGTTGTTTCGCGGCGCTCATAGTTTCGATATACACCGTAATATATCTTCTCAACCGTAACAAACCTCATCATTACAATCAAATAAATCATACGTAATCGCACAATCTTATAATTGTATATTGGAGGATCCCACACAAGGATATCATATAGAAAAGTGTGGTACGGCCAGTCACAAATAGGGGAGTGTACAATCCCTCAAAATAAAACATAAAATTGTCACTTAACGAAAAGCACAACCTATTGGGGAAGGTCGAGGTCGCTCCTTATTAAAAGAATGTCAGCTATTTTATCAAATCACTGTGTGTCGCAAACATGAATCTTGTATGTTAAGGAAAACCAATACACAAATACAATACTTCCTTATATTCCTCTTCCTTATCGGGCAACGCAAGACAACTGCACTTCGAAACTTCCTTTGGCAAACGATCGATTTGTTTTAACAATATCTTTAAATAAACATCATACCTTTCTTGTCTTTACGATACATTTATATATTAAATATTGAAACGTTGAATTTATACTAAAGGGTATCAAATCTACGATGATTGTGGACTTGAAATGTTGTCAAATAAACATCTGACTGATATAATACATGTTAATGAAGCAGAAGATTGTATACAACCACCTACTCCAGCAGTGTCCTCCACCCCTCTTCTAGGTGAGTAGAATATTTCGAATTTTTAAGACACGAGTATAGTATATAAAAAATTACAATATATCTCCATCAACCTACTGGGATGGTAAGAATGTTTGATTCTGAAAAGGATAGATCAATTGGTTTGGAACAATTAACTTTTGCTACCAACAAGTACAATCATTGAATGAATCATAGACATAAGAACTACAACTGTGGTGTTATTATTCGTATCAGACCATCTTGTGAACCTACCCATTGAAATCACCAGGAATGGACAAAACTGGCTATAGGGCAGTCAACAATTACCTGCAGCTTAAAGGACTAACCCCAACACATATACATATATATACCGGCATGGTCTCCACTTTAGGAGCTGGCAGAGAGAGCCTTGACGACAACCCGCGTACTGGAAGGCCATCAACAGCAACCATTCAATCATTACCCGGGTGCATAACATGACGATGGCTGCTTGAAGATTGATCACTGGACAGTTTGTTGTGGGCATCTTTCATGGGAGAGTAAAGCACATTATCGCCAACGAGTAAGAAATGACAAACATTTCTGCAAGATGGGTGCTAAAAGCTTTGACTGCAGATCAGAAACGCGTCAGATTCCTGACTCCCGTGACAATCTGCGCCGTTTTGAAGCAGATCCTTCAAAAATGAAAAAGGCACTAGCCGGTCGTCAGGGTGGCTGAATAAATTTCTCCCTGACCGGCATCCAGGCCTTCCCGAATCGTTGGCAAAAGTGTGTACACCTCGAAGGAGACTATGTATAGAAAAATAAATGGAAACCATCGACTTTGTATAGGTGTTTATAAAACAAAAATCCATACTTAAATTTATAATTAGATATTCCGGCCCAAATGATTTACCGGATGGGGAACGTATGTTGATGAATAGTAATTTTTGTCAGAACAATCCATGATTATTGCAAAAGTATATTATAGCTGTCTGCAAATGCCAGTTTTGACCAAAGGTCTATCTATCGACACTTTCAAATCAAGGCCCCGATCTAAGCCCCCGTCTTCTCGAATCATGGCCAACGTTTATATTTTAGCAGTCTGAACCCTGGAATACCCATGTAACGATACCACCACATTTTAGAAAAATGATGAATATCCTGCTTTGTGTTTATTTTATCGCCACTCAAATATCGTAAAATTTTCATAAAATCCTCATTTTTAATCCTCATATGACATCGATTTGGTTATGATATCGCTGTTCTGAACTTTCAGGGATTATTGGTACATCAATAAGTCAAACTACATCATCAATATCACGGTTATTAGAACATACCAAAATACCAGTAGTCGGAATAGCAGCCACGTTACCAGAACTAAGCAATAAAACGCTTTATCCAAATTTTGTCCGAGCAATACCATCGGATACAATTCAGAGCAAGGTAAGCTTTATAAAATAATAAACACACGAGGAAAACTGGTGTTGTTATCGTTCTTTGCATAGGAATGAAAGTCCACTGTCTGACTATTAGACGTCTTTATATCCCATATAAATAATCTTTCACCAATAGAAGATTAAAGGCTGTTTATTCCATTGGCTTACTCTGTTGAGAAGATTATTGGTGGTGCTGGCTTTCAATCTGGTTAAAACACAGATCCTATTTCGTTCCGTTTTTATAGTTCAAAATTTCGTTTTACTTGTCTTTACTACACTTGGATCTGGAAGAGTTGTTATTTAACTCGTGTTCTGAATGGTGTCAGGGATAAGCCAATGAAACGGTCTGTTACGGCGAGCTGTGGGCAATCCACTAGTAACATCGATGCTGATTGGTTAATCAAATGTCTGACATCATAGGGTCATAAGTCGGTCTTTTGACCCCTGACGTGACCTATCGCTATAACTTGTCAGATCTTCATGTAGTGTAGGCCATCGAAAGTATAAAAAAACGAAACGAAATATAGATCTGTATTTTAATCAGATTGTGCTGGTTTTTGTCTACAGGGGATGTCGAATTTGACAAATTTCAATTTGTCATATCTTGTAAATACTGAACAGAATTGAACCATTTTCGGGCTGATATTCCTTTTAGAGATTCCGCTTTCGCTATATTGTATTTTGCAACGAATTCCCCAATCTTTAAAATGACGTTCACAGACTTTAATGTAAGCCCAAATCTCCGTGATGACTCACGTCCATGGAAGAGTCAGAATGATGTGATCTGTTCTTGGTCAGTTTTTCCCAAAAGTCAAACACTCAAAGTTTTATGGGAATTTTCACACAGATTTGGAATTACGAACATTTACACCTTTCGCCAATTTCTGTTAGAAGCTAACACCAAACACTTCTAAGAAATCTGGCGTGCTCGTGGTTTACTTCTTTCTTTTACTACTACTACTACTACTACTATTCTACTACTACTATTAGTATATAATAACAATAAAAATAATAAAATAATAATAGCCATTTAGTATCGGTTGTACTAAATTTTTCTTGTTTGCATGGTATTAGTTTAAACGTACTGCGCAAGAAGACCCGACAGTTACTGCGTATATGATTGTCAGTGACACTAACTTTCTTTTATCGTTTGTCTTGCAATAATTCAAACGGACAAACTTTCCAAAATTGCGAAAAATTATCCGACAAATCAATAAAAATGTTATTGACTATATGAAGTCCTCAAATGTGAGGTGACATCGGGTGTTCCAGTAACCGTAGGCATTTCAAACAAGTATGATGCCAAGGCAGCACATCATAAATAAAACTAAATATGGCATTTATTTATTATACTTATAGGTGATACTTGATATGGTAAAGAAATTGGACTGGTCATATATAGTTGGAATCCGCACAGATGACAACTATGGCAGGGAAGGTTTCCGGGAATTTAGTAAAATGGCAAAGCAGGCTGGAATATGCATAAGTGACATCCTGATATTACGTAGAGGCGATTCCAACATGATTAATGTTATTGAAACGTTTATCAGAGGTTTAATATCTCAAATAAATGTCACTGTTGGGAATAATTTTGGTGTCGTGTATTTCGGGCATGCATCTGAAGCTAACTCTATTTTCAACACAGTGAGATTGCGGAGTTCTAGGTGGCATAATCCTGGTCGATTCAACAGCATACAGTGGATTATGAGTGATGGAGTAGGTACCAGTCTTTCAGTGGCAGCTGCCCATAAAATACATAGGAATTTACTTTTAAGTGTAGCAAGAACTAATCTGGAGCTTTCAGAAATACGAGATGGATTTTTGGACCTTGTGTCCGTAACTAAATTTCCAAACTTAACAACAGAATGGAAAACTACCATTGAAGAATACGTAAGATCTGTATACAAGTGTGAATTTAGTCCATCAACAACATTAGCCTTATGTACGGATGAACACATAAGTAAAAACTACCACCCATACAGCTACATTTCATCGGCTCTTGACGCAATTTACATTTTAGCAACAGCATTAAAAGCTGCACAAAAACAGTTGTGTCCGAATCAAATTGGCATATGCGTAGCTCTGCGTTCTGCGCTTGATAATAATATCTTGGAAAATTATAAACCATCTATTATAAATTACAGTACAATCGGTAAAAACTTTGTTCCTTCACTATTTTTCACAAGTAGGTCGCTAATTAAGGATTTGAATGGGGATTTCAAAATTAGTGGAGAACCTTTATATGATATCAACATTGCTGAGACAGGACAGGAAGTATTCTCAAAGGTGAGTAAAGTTGGGGGGGAGGGTAACGTCCTAACGTCCACCCGACACAAACTATGTGATTTCGGAACTAACACATGGTTCAGTTTTATTTCAATAATTCGCTTGCGCGTAGGGGCCTTTAGCAGTGGGAGAAAACCGGAGGACCCGGAGAAAACCCACGAGGTTGGACATGCGACCCTACTCCTTGTCACGTACAACCGGAAAATCGAAAACCCGCCAGTTGACTCAATGACAGACCGTATGATACAGCGCGCATGTGCTAACCATTCGGCCTTCCCCAACAAATATAGAAAAAAGGGTGCATCTCGCCACCAGAGAACATCATCATACTTATTTATCTATTGCGCATTTGTCTTTATTTAAGGTTGGTTATTATGAAGATGGCGTATTAAACATGTCTGCTTTGACAAATAAATGGACCTTACCCACACAGTCCAGGTGCAAGACGATCTGTGATAAATGTCTATATAACGAAGATCTATCATATGTTTATATTCCTGGTGATGTACTAATACTTGGATTATTTCCTGTTCATGATCCAGGGAATGGATATGGGTGTGGTGGATACAGAAGTACTGGAACATCATTTGTATCTTTGTTGGCCTTTCTAAGCACCTTGGCAGATTTAAAAACAAAAACTGGCATAAATTTTGGAGGAATCGTACTTGACGACTGTTACAACCCACTGCGAGCTACGAATTTGCTCAATATGGTATTCAGTAGAAAAAAGGTATTGGTCGATAAAATCAGCGGTACTCCCATAGACATAAGCAAGATTATTGCTGTAGTGGGGGCCCAATCGAGCAATCTGGCCGTTAGTATTCTTCCCACATTAAGCAATCTTGCTATCCCATTAATATCTTACAGCGCAACTTCTCCAGACCTAGATGATAGAATAAATTATCCGTATTTTTTGCGGACAGTCCCAAGCGACGCCTTGCAGGTGGAGGCCATTCTTAATGTGGTAAAAAAACTAAACGTATCTCATGTGAGTGTTATTAATGTGAATAACAATTACGGACGAAAGGCTGTCGCACTATTTAAACGTTTAGCTGAGAATAGTGGAATATGTGTAGAAAATTCATTAGAATTGGCGGAGAATGAACTGTCGTGGGAATTGACCAAAACAGTAAATAGTCTGGAAAGCAACCAAGCACGTTACGTAGTTTTCTTTGGACTTAACTCTATTGCCATAAATCTACTAAATGCCATCGGTAACACCCCCGCGCCTGTGATATTTATCGCCAGTGAAACATGGGGAAGAAATGTTAATGTTATTGAAGGAGGGCGAGGGATGCCATCTCGAGGATCTCTTACCCTCAGTGTCCAAACTTCAGCAGTTGCAGACAACACTTTTCGCGAATATTTGGGTAGTTTAAGACAAGAAAACCAATCTTATATCCCATGGATAAATTCATTTTGGCAATCAACATTCCAGTGTAACATTCCTAGTGGTTTTGACAACAGGTACGGGTCGGATTGTTCTTCAAACTTAAAATTGAATGATGCTACAATTACACAGTTTGTGCAGGATCAACGAGTTGTTCAGACTATCAATGCAGTGACGGCTGCTGGAATAGGATACAGGAATGCTATTCAGGATTCTTGCAGTGTTATAGATATTACAAAATGCGCCACCTACATTGACAGTATTAAGTCCGCGTCAGTTTTGTCCACAACTGGGAGATCCTTCGGTATATTTGACCAAGACAGCAATGGTAATTTTGGATTCATTGTGAATAATATACAGAGGCACTCTGACGGGTCTTACGCCTATGTAAAGGTAAGGTTACTCCCCATTTCAATCTAAGTTGATGAATTCCACTTCAAATAATTATAGTAACAAGCCCACCTACATAAAATTTAAAAGCAATTTTTTCCTATATTTGGAATAATTGTGAAGATTATTTAAACAATTGTGGGAGGTGGAGGGGGGGTATCATGTTTTTATGGTATGTCAATGCGATCATATTCCTAAGCTAATGCCACTAAGCTTATGTCACTGAGCTTTATATGTCCCTTAAGCTCAAGACACCATTCACTACATGTATGTAGATAAACATGGAATATTTACCACTGCTTTAATTAAATGTCGAATACACGGCAACACCCTTTATTTTCACGACAGATATTTGTGGCCTTGCCTGACAAAAGGTTTGGGTCTGCATAATTATTTGGAATGAATAGAAATATTAGTTTACTGGGTGATATAATACTGCGGTATTCAAGTGACAATGTCCATACACGTGGAACGGCGTGCGCAGTATATAATTAACATGACATACCTATTATAAATAAATTATTCAGGTCCACGGCTATATGTAATGTATTGGGAGGTACGGAAATTCAGTAAGCATTCAGTATCTACATTCATAAAAATCATCGGTAAATCATCACCCAGGACTAAAATTGAGAAATAATATTTCATTATCATATCACCTATTGCTTTGGATTTATATTTATTGTGTTAAAAACACAAAGCAATTAGTTATTTTATTTTAATATTCAATTTTTGATTTGGTGAAGTTACTAGTCGTCAAAAGGTCCATAGAATCACTTGAAAAATATTGAACAATCTAAATATCTAACTTGAAGCAGGATAGTCCATTCAGACAAATCCAAAATATCAGTTTGAGTCTGTTGTTCTCTACTGCACATGCTATAATTTTATTTTAGGTTGGAAGTTTTGGTACTCCGGGATTGGAATTAGACGTGTCAAATCTCCTGTTTTACGGAGAAATTGGCACTTTTATCCCTGTTCCGGAATCGTCATGTAGGTTTATACCTCATTGTACTGTTTGTTTATGGAAAGATCCTACACGGTCAGTGGTTAACACAATTCCCCCAGATACCACTAAGGAAACCCCTAACAACAACTCTGATAATTCATTGACGCCAGTGGTCGCTGTTCTCGCGGTTTTAGTGACAATACTTATGATTTTTCTTGGTGTCGTCATCTTTCTTATTCTCAGAAACAATGTTTTAAAGAAGGGTGAGTACATCATATTCTTGATTCCCGTTTTACATAGAAGCACTATAAACAATAATAGTTAACTGTATTAAACACAGTATAGAGTATAATGTATATAGAACACTTCGACTCAGCTTTTGTCAGTGATGCAGAACGGAGGGCCTGACAAGGACAGCTGTCTAGTCCTTCAGATGAGACGAAAAACCGAGGTCCCGTGTATACATTGGAATGCACGTAAAAGATCCCTTGGCAGTTGGAATTCGATATAAGAGTAGGCGATAGTGCCGCTGCCTGGGCAAAATTTCCCTCATAGCACACTGTATGGCGTATGCCCGTCTTCATTAGCCCAGCATAGGAGCAGAACAGTAGGACGTTAAACCCCCATTTCATTTCATTTTGACTCGGCTTCTAGTAAAATTAGAAGAATTTCGTAATTTTGCAAGCTTAGTTTCCTGGTAGAGTCCGAGGGACTAAAAAATCAGTAAAAGTTGAAATTCGAAATTTGATGAAACGGAGCACTGCTTGCTTCTCCAACAAAACATATCACTATTCTTTGCGAGCTTCTTCAATATAGTTTGCATGTACTTTTTATTTTCAGGCAAATCTGAATCGACAGCTAGAGAACCCCCTTCCCATATCTATGACACAGCAACAGAATCACTCCAGAGACGACCGAGTCAAGGTATTAGTTTACACGAACTTCCCAGATGTCGTTCTTCTAGCCAAGTTTTACAGGAAAGCAGTGACTCATCTGGCGTAGTTACTAGCCGGGAAAATGATTCGGATGATCAGGGCCCAGACGTTCCCACAACTTATCTCTCATTCGTAAACGGAAACCCCGAGATTATATCGGTTATATCAGGCACCAGCCATTACCAAACTTCAGCTTTCAAACCGGATAGCGACCCTAGCTACCTCCACGCTGTTCAATTGGCATCCCCAGAATACATACCGCCTCGATCAAATGGAATCACCTACCAACAGAGACCACCAATGTCACTGTCAGAGTCGAATTCAAGTCTCAAACCGTCGAGCTCACCTTTCATATCATCATCATCATCAAATGCTCTGTTATTTCAAAATCCAAATATACAATCACATCGTCGATCCTCGCCTAATGCTACATCACCAAATGCTCTGTTGTTTCAAAGTTCTAATATACAATCAAATGTTCGCTCATTGGCCTCGCCAACAATGAACTTGCCATTATCAAATGCTCTGATCGTTAATAATTTAAATTCACAGCCGGAAAGTCACCCTTCGTCCAAAGAGGTAAATAACACCCAATCATTAAGGCCATTGGTCTTTATGGATCCAAACACGAATCAACAGCAGCGTGTACCATACACCAGAACGTTATCATATGTAACTGGAGAACAAATAAACCCCCATCCACAAGCTTGCAGACAAGAAGATTGGGAAAATTATGTTTAGCAAATTCCGTGACTGTATGCGCTTCTTCTGTAATGGAATGTATACGATTTTCGTGAGGTCGCTATGAATTATTTATATAAGTGTCTGGTTTTATGACCTTAAAATATAGAACTGTGTATGGGGAGAATAATTGTTGCGAGTTTGATGTGGCACTGGTTTTGTGACACTTTAAATATAGAACTGAATCCTGGGTGAACAATTGTTGCGCGTTTGATGTGGCACGTACGGGTTTTGTAGAACTGTGTATTGTGTGATGTGGCAAATATTTTACATGGTTCTACACTTTTTTATATACTGAAATTGTTGTTATAGTTGTAATTGCATAAAATTGCAACACATATACCGCTATGGACAAACAATATTGGGATCTTGTTAACAATATCATTATATATTTTGTATATCATAATTTATCTTTGTACAAATGATTAGTTTAAGGAACCATCTTTCAGTGTCAGTTAAGAAATGTTTACAGTTTAATATATTTTTATGAAATATATTTTGCTTCTACGCGCACTTGTCTAAGAGAAAGGCATCCATCGTTTTGTCTGACATAAACAGAAACGCATTAATTAAGCTGTAATACAATGCAGGGGGCATAACTGTTTTTAAGAATATCAGGATGAAGACCAGTGATCCTCTTGCCATTGACGCCACTGTTAATTCGCATGATATTTGATCGAGGCTTAGCCTAGCTTCGCCATTTTTTTAAGTTAAATGATTAAACGGCCGAACCGTTATAATCTATTGAAAATTGGACCCAGACCCAAAGAAAAACCAGCAATAGGCAGGTTTGGCTCTTGCATAATATCTGTTTAACGTATAAAGAAATAAAAAATCTAATATATTATTTTGTTCCTCACAATATGTAAAACTGATGTAATTTTCAAATCAAAAATCAACAATAAAAAAATATAATAATTTATGAAAACGTATATAACATGCATTATAATGTTTCTCGATTATGCTATGTTCCCACTGTCGTGGATGCGTTACGATAGGATTGTCCCAATACAGATCTATATTTCGTTTCTTTTTTATACTTTCGATGGCCTCTACTACATGAAGATCTGACCAGTTGTAGTGTGACCCTATGACGACAAACACTTGATTAACCGACCAGTGTTGATGTTTCTAGTGCAACTCACGCCAAAACCTCGCCGTAACAGACCGTTTCATTGGCTAATCCCTCACATCGTCCAGAACGCGGGTTATATAACAACTCTTCCAGGTCCTAGTGTAGTAAAGACAAGAAACCAAAAATTTTGAACTATAAAAAACGAAACGAAACAAGATCTGTGTTTTAATCAGATTGGAATTGTCCTATTGATTCCAGGACCTGGTACGTGCATATACGTTTGGATACTTTTGGATACGATCAGCACGATTGCTACGACTGACCACGATATATGACAAGACCTGATAGGATCACCACGTAGCGCCATTCGTGATAGTGGGAACCTAGCATTATCAATTAACTATGTTAAATTCGTTATTAAGATTATCAAAAAAGTGCAAATATCTATCATTTGTAACAGAATTTAAGTTGCTCGGCAGCAGGACGGCATTAATGACGTGAACAGCTCCGTTTGTTACCGTGATATCGGGCATCGTAACCATGGCATCATTTACTTCTACACCCTCTGTTACAAAATACATAAATAAACAGGGTTAACTTAACATAGCTCACGAGTAAAGAAGGGCATACAAAAATAGAATTAACAAGAATACGATATTATTATTTTCTTGTGCATCTATATAAAGCTTGAGGGAGCCACGGTGGCTAAGTGAGTAAGACGCTGGCTCCCTAGCCTGGAGTTCCACGGGTTCAATCCCGGTGTTCGCCGAGGGAGTTCATCGGAATTTTCCGGCGTGGTTGCCCCTTGTCAGTGATGCATGGCTGAAAGCCTGACAAAGAAATCTGTGCAGTCGTTTGGATGGGAAGAAAAGCCGAGGTCCCGTGTACACATATAAGAGTTGGCGCCACTGTCCGGGCAAAATTTCCCTCATAGCACGCTGTATTAACCAAGACGGAGCAGAACACAGTAGGACGCTAAACCCCATTTCATTTCTATATAAAGCCGGTAGTATTTACATACAGCTTTTGCATGATAATAAGTTCACATACAGTACAGGTAAAATGAAAATAATTAAAAGTCTGCAAGAAGACGAATTAATTGTTTATATTGCAAAGAAAGCATGTCTCTAAATTTGGGATTAACATCTTACATGTTTTCCTTGCTACATTCCGTACGTTGTACAAACTCTCTTGGCACCCTTACCCGACAAAAACAAAATAAAAAAAAAACCCACTGAAGTTAGAATAATGTATTGTGTTTTTGTAATTACATAATCGAATGTTATTATAGAAAAATCATTTATTATTTTGTTTATAAAATACTCACGACTTGTTATTGTTATATTTATACTCATGTTGCTTATAGTTTGTACTGTTTCACCATTCGTTAAACCAGCACTATAAACAGTACCCTTTAAAGTGTGGTACAATAAAATATCTAAAATACAAAAATAAAACATTTGTTTTCAGTATATAATCGGCCCTTGTCTCATAATATCCAAATGAGTTACGAGATATCCAAACTTGTGTACCGGTATATTATTTGACTTGATTTGAAGTCGGGATTAACATCCGCTTCCACCTAGGGTGATATCGCAGACATGGTATAATTGCTTAACGTCACGTAAACCAATTCCAAACGACGTAATAGCCGCATATTCCTGAAGCAACGGCCCTTCGTTTAATCGGGGGTCTTCCCTAACACTTTGGACAGTGATCTAAGGTATTAAAAACGGTGAAAGTATTGTTCGTCTTCAAACAGTATTGTTTATATTGTAGCCGTTTTTGATAGCCTCACTTATCACGCAATTAGTTTTTCTGCAATATTCTGCTATGCACTGGTTAATTGAGCGTAAAAATTTTCGTGAGTCATGACTTAACGTTATGTAAACATATTTGGAGCTCTCTTTAAACCCGAATGATATTGTTACGCAGTTAGGTATTGGTTGTTAATCAGACTGTTGACCAGTCATAATTTGGAACAAAAATTTGCTTTTATTACGACAGTGTTGAATCGAATTAGTCTAATCAAACGAATTGAGTATGTAATAGTCGTGGTGGTAAGAATCGTAACTTGCGAACTATAATTGTTTCAGGTAACATAAGGATAGCCTTGATTCGCCCCACCTTCCTTCGCATCAAACTCAAAGTATAAATCAACACTAACTTTTGATTAATTTTGGATCATTTAATAATTTATCTAATTCTGCTGATGGCAATTTAAAGAATGCTTCGTCGCTCGGTGCAAATAAGGTGAATGGTCCAGCGCCTGAAATATTTATAAGAAAGACACACATGTATTAGCAGACGTATTCCTAATCATTCTAAAATAGTTTAAATGATAAACCACTTTAATATTCAGCTCAAAGTTGAAAATCAGTTTTAAGGCGGGTTTTTTTTTCTATTTGAAAGTGGCTAAAACTCACTATCAAAAATATTGTTTTACATATAGCATTAATCTGGTGTGTTATTTTGATTAGCGATGGGTCAAATTATATCGGATTTATTTTCAGTTTCGGAATAACAGGCGGGTTTCATAAATTGAGTTCCCTTTCTTGATTAAATTTTCGGCATTGGTTTCATCTGTTAAACCTAATATTTTAAATTTTAAACAGATACCAACTTCATATAACAAATCACCACATTAAATTAAATTAAATCGATTCGTTTATCTAGCCCCTTTAATTTCTGTTTTTGTAAAAAAAAATCAATATCTCGAAAAGGCTCAATCGAATAACATTACGTGTAACTTACCATTTAGGATGTCAGCGAGTCCAGCAACTGAAACAGCTTTAAGTAAAATAGAGAAAGCTGACATAGTTTTAACGAAGTAGGTGATAGTTCCTGCCGGGGGTATCATTACAGATGTTAAAGACTGAATGATGCCATTTGTAGCTATCTGATCTTGAAGATAAAGCGGAGCCCCTGAAGCGGTCGTCACCTGAAAAATATCAATGTAGACAAAAATTGGCATATACAGTGCATAGCAAATTCCTAGGCCATATTATGAGTGTAAAACAACTTGCTGAAATGGACTGATTCCGGGTGTTACTTCGATTAGTGATTGAACAAATTCATGTATAAATGATGTTAAGTTTTACTTCCGGTAGACGACATAGAAACCAGTTTGCGCACTCATTTTAGTCGGAATTGTGACGTTGAACACAAAACTATAAAATATATAACAACCACTTGTGTAGGGTGACCCACCATAAATAAATATCTCCATATATCTCGACAATTACGCCACAATATGTATATATATGCCAAGCCTCAAATCAGTTTCACACAATTATAGTCACTAAATAAACGATCATGTTGTACTTAATAAGCTATGACCATTAATCATGTATAAATAATAGACTGAAAACTGGTTCCAAGAGTCGTCCATAACATCCAGACACTTTTGAGTAAAAGATAGGTTACGTGCCCTTGTTTTGAAATAAGTCTCGCTTAACCAGTCTATCGACCATTCTACGTCTGATTGACAGGTCGGGATAATCAAGACTACTTTTTTACGAAACATAACAGAAAGCTAGAACAAGAAATTGAATTTAGAAATAAGCACGTTAGGTAGCTCAACAATCGTTTTAAGAAGCTTGTAAAAGTTAAATGAAACTACTGCTAGTATCATGTTCCTGTCTAACCCGAGTGATTCAGAGATATTATTTGTACTAAACCAAAAGATGCCGCTCTTAACGGTACAGTTAATGATAAAGCGATTTAAAAAATGAAACGAACGTAATTTCTAAATCTGCTGTAATAACCAAGAAGCTTAATTTTACTGCTATTCAAAATCGTCAACAATAAATTTTTTACGGCTGTAATAGTTAATAGATTTGTAGAGAATTGCACGTGCCATGGCTATTTATAGTATCACACTGTCAGTAAGTTGGTCTCGGCACGGCGAATGTGCACGCTTCAGTGGTAGTCTCGAACTATCAGCGGTGGACTGTATTTCTGTGAGTACATGGGTCATCCTACAACTTGTAGGCAGAAGTTTGAAATAAGACATAGCCTACATTCAACAACGTACTGAAATTAAATAATATCGATACTTTTCATTTTCAAGCAACTCAAAGACATGTCTTTAAAAACTCTTCTAGAAACCGAAACTGCATGTAAGTAATAGTTTTAAAAAGAATAAAATCTTCAAACTTACGGTGTTTTTTTTGTATTTATTAATCCTGATTTTATAGCCAGGTAAAAGAGAGTCTAACAGTTCTTCGTTCTTAAACTGACTTTGAAAATAAGACCCTTTCACAACATGGTATTCTAACAACTCTTTCAGCAATGTATTGTTCGTGAATAGTACCTTTCTTGATTCAGGTGGAAGTTGAAAAAATGCCAAGTCACTAGGACCAAATACCGTGAATGGGCCTAAAAATAACAAGAATAGAACAAAGGGAATATTTCAAAGTAGCAGTAGCCTATAGCTTGATCGTTATAAGATTGAAGTATTGATAATGGTGCATACATTATCTTCAAAAAAAAAAAAAAAAAAAAAAAAAAATTCAATTGACAATCGGACCAAAATAATAAAGAGTTAAAACATGAATGAAAAAAAGTAAGATACATATTAACAGTATACGACTTGACCTACATGGTATAAATTTATTTATATAAGTCATATATTGATATGCGAGTGTCGTTTTGGATATGTACATTTCATTTCGTTTTTCCAGTTTCCTCCCACTGCTAAGGAGTACTACGCGCAAGTGAATGATTGAAATAAAATTGAACCATGTGTTAGTCCCGAAATGCCCTAGTTTGTGTCGAGTGGGCGTTAAACCCCATTTCTCTCTCTCTCTGTTCTCATTTCGTTTTGGTAATGGGTAATACCGAGAGACTAGATAGAACGAGACTATTGTTAGCCTCCATATCGCCATCTTTAATTATGGTTGGCAGTCAACACGAGATGTCACCTTTCTTACAAACGGATAACTTATCTCATTGATTGTTTATGTCCAGTTTACCAGTTCAGGATATGAAACGGCGTGTTAGAAAACGGGAAAGGGAGGGAGGGGGGATTTAAGTGCTACAAACCTTTAGATGATAGAGTATCAGTCAAACCGGCTCTGTAAATAAAACTGGCTAAATCCGATAAACCAATATGTACAGCGAGGTGGGGAATGTCTTGAGTTGCTCTCAGCCTTATTCTAGATCGTTTAACGTGTTGAATGTTTTGGGGTTCTAAAACTATTCTCCAAATATCTACAGGCGAGCTGTGACATAGACAGCTGGATATTATAAGAAAAACAAACAATATGAATGCCACCTTATCTTCATGCATCTTGGCTTTTATGTCAATAAAACATTTGTAGATTAGTTAATATTATAAAAATTGCAAGTTGGCTGTCGATACATAAAAGTTCACGCACGTAAACAAAAGTGAATCACCTGACGTTTTCGTCACATGGAGTAGACTCCATTAACCAGACGCTTTTTTATTTTATTGTGAAAACTTGAAACAGTGTGTGAGAGAGAAATGGGGTTTAACGTCCACTCGACACAAACTAGGTCATTTCGGGACTAACATATGGTTTAATTTTTTTATTTCAATAATTCGCTTGGCGTAGGGAGGACCCGGAGAAAACCCACGAGGTTGGACAGGCGACCCTTCTCCTTGTCACGTACAACCGGGGAATCGAAACCCCGCCAGTTGACTCAATGACAGACCGTATGATAAAGCGCGCGCGTGCTAACCATTCGGCCACCACCCCCCCACTCCCACCTGGAAACAGCTATCACCTCTTGGGAATCTATTCTAGAAGTAGAAGTATTAAGTAGATTGATCTCTGTATGCGTGCAGTGTGTTTGGGCACATACCCTGTAGAGCCCAAACATAGAATGGTCACGGGAAAAAAAATATTACATGGTGGGTTTTAAGACCGGGGATATCAACTAAATACCTTATACATAATTTTTTGATGGGCCACTATTTTTAACCATATTTGGCAATGTTGCATATTTGCAACAGCGGTTTATTGAGGGTACAATTCAGACGAGGTATAACATGGGGAACCCCCAAATCAAGAAAACAGAATTGATGTGAAATAATATTCTTTAATAGAAAGTTGAAAATTGAATGATAGAGATAGAGATAAATGGGGTTTAACGTCCACTCGACACAAAATAGGTCATTTCGGGACTAACATATGGTTTTTAATTCTATTTCAATAATTCGCTTGTGCGTAGGGGTCTTTAGCACAAACTAGGTCATTTCGGGACTAACATATGGTTTTTAATTCTATTTCAATAATTCGCTTGCGCGTAGGGGTCTTTAGCAGTGGGAGGAAACCGAAGGACCCGGAGAAAACCCACGAGGTTAGACAGGCGACCCTACTCCTGTCACGTACAATCGGGGATTCAAAACCACGCCAGTTGACTCAATGACAGGCTGTATGATACAGCACACACATGCTAACCATTCGGCCATCCAACCCCCCTGTGAAATAAACAAAATATGTCAATAACTAAATTCAATCATTCCATTTTGGATATCCCATAAAAGAGTTATTTCTCCTTATTTTGCCTTCACTAAACCCCAATGTTGCATATTTGCAACAACCTTAAAAACGAGTCTAAAGTAAAAATAATTCTATGAAATACGGAACAATTTAGTATTGTAGGTACGCCCTAATATGTACCCATAAAAATAAGATATATGACAAGTTCAGCACTCTCCTGGTATTTGTACAGTAAGGGTCCAAAGATGAGGCAGTGACACAGCGTGACTTAACGTGGGGGCCGCCATATTGAGAGGCCTAGTTCACATAGTGGCTGATAGATGGAAACACTGTATGTTGCAGCTATGCAACACTGGGTTATAAGGGTTGCAATGGATATTACGGAAAAATGTGTTTTCAATTTGAGTTTCTGCACTTACCAACCAGATACATGTTGTATATATGCAACAAGGGGCGCTACAGGGGTAAAATGAAATAAAATGAGGTTTAACGTCACACTATTCTTCTGTATCACCCGGGCTGTTGAAATTGAGCATACACCCCGCCGTGGCAAGGGGAAATCGCGTTTAAAAATATATCGCTTTTAGTGTAAATGGGTACATAAAATATTACGTAGGGATTTTGAAACAGTTTTGGTTAGATATAAAGATCGCTCCTGACTGTAAATTTTTCACGAGAAAGTGTGCATTTGGCCCGTCCTGAGACCAGAAAATGCACAGGGTCGCCGGCAAAAGTGAACACAACGCGAGAAAATGTCACCAAAAATTACAAACTTGAAAAATGTCTCGTTCTTACAGCTTTGCGGGTCAGATCGTAGAACCCTGGCGTTTGTTTTGAAGAGGCTCAAAACAAACACCGTGACACGGCGACCATGGAGACCATAGCACGATATCTGGCGTTTCCACCACGCCAGTTTACCACGCTTATGGCGATTCGATCTTGACGCGCTCTGAAATCATTTTCCGTCGCCGTAGCAGCGCAGTAAGGACGCCATCCCGGTCTGCCAGGGGTGTTAGACAATGCGATATCCCCCAATAATTAATTATCAGCTGGTCTTTGTTCCATCCCGACACCTCTGTGCTTCTCGGCCCCCAAACCACTAATGCTAGGTTCTCACTGTCGTGCGATGCATTACAATAAGATTGTCCTTATTGAGTCCACGATCTGGTATGTGCAGATACGTTTCAATACGATCTACACGATTGGTACGACAGACCGCAATACATGATAAGATCTGATAGAATCATCACGATTACCCCACGATTAAAACCACCATTTCAAACCCAGCGCGAATCGTGATAGTGGGAAGCTAGCATAAACATTTTCTTTAGTAATCGGTGAATGAATCTTGTGATTTTGTAAATGGACCCCATAATGGGTATGTTACATGGAAGAGGAGGGGGGGGGGGAGGGGTCGTCCATTCGACGCAAACTAGGTCATTTCGGGACTAACATTTTTATTTCAATAATTAGTTGCGCGTAGGGTACATTAGTAGTGTCGGGGGGGGGGGGGGGGTCGGTTGTGTTAAAGGCGTTTTTTATTTATGCTAGGTTCGCACTGTCGCGCGATTCGTTACGACAGGATTGTGCCTATTGAATCCACAATCTGATACGTGCAGATACATTCGATGCGGTCAATACGATTGCTACGACTGACCTTAGAATACAACATGATAGGATCACCATGATCCCTATGTTTGAAATTTGCGTTCTGTTGTTATATCTGTGGACATCAAATAATAACAATCATTTGTGATTTAATATTTCGTATATACATCAGGACACCGAACGGCATTTAAATAAATGTTATTATTTGATGGCTACAGAGATAACAATAAAACGCAAATTTCAAACGCATTATATACTTAAATATACTATTCAAAAAAAGTAGGGGATATTTGATTTTGGGGGCATAATACTAAAATATGCAAATGACTACGAAAAAAGTCACTATAGAACCTAACAGAAGAAACATTTCCAGTTACATGTGACGCCCAAACGCACCAATAGCTACCGCATGGAATGCAGGTGATGCTTGGGATCATCATGGGGGTCCAACCCAAGATTTGCACGACTCTGACTTTGAATGTTACAGTCATTGTGGCATTGAATTCCAGGGTGGAAACATCAGTTTAATTGTTTTAGTGACCAGAAAACAAATTTTGATATGCGTCGGCATACCCAAAATGAAAGGTTACGTGTCCTTGGCATGCTACAGATCGGCACAACACAGGCGGTTGTGGCGCGGACGATGAATGTTTCTCAGTCTGTCATAAGCAGGCTATGGTCCAGATACCGTGATACACAATCTGTACAGGACAGACCACGCTCAGGTCGACCAAGGGCGACAACTCAAGCCCAGGATCGATTTATCCGTCCCTTGGCCTTGAGAAATCGTGTCATCACAGCAAATCAGATCAGCGCTCGTCTTCAAACAGACACTGGTGTGAGAGTGAGTGGCCAGACGATTCGGAATCGACTGCATAGGGGCCACCTTCGCGCCCGACGTCCTCGCGTGATCCCTTGTTTGAGAGATCATCACATTCAGGCAAGACGTCGTTGGTGTAGGGATCGTCAACACTGGGATAATCGACGCTGGAGCAATGTGATGTTTTCAGTTGAGTCAAGGTTCACTGTTGATTTTTTGGACAGACGTAGGAGGGTGTGGCGTCGTCGAAACGAGCGCTTCCAAGACGTTAACGTCATCAGACATGATCGATTTGGGGGTGGTTCTGTTATGGTGTGGGAAGGCATCACTGTTGCTGGAAGAACGGCTTTACATGTTGTTGCAGGGAGTGTTACAGGCCAGTACTACCGGGACAACATCTTGGCAGTCCATGTTGTGCCGTTCGCACGACGTCATGGCCGCCGTTTCATCTTCCAGGATGACAACGCAAGATGTCACAGGGCCAGGATCGTTACAGGTTACCTCCAACAACAGAACATCACCACATTACCTTGGCCAGCACTGAGTCCCGACCTCTCCCCCATCGAGCATGTCTGGGACATGCTTGGACAGAGGTTACGTCAACGTCAACAACGTCCTGCCAATGTCCAAGAACTTGCTGCTGCGTTGCAACAGGAATGGGACAATCTGGACCAAAATGACCTTAGACGTCTCATTAGGAGTATGCCACGTCGGATCAATGCTTGTTTGGCAAACAGAGGAGGATTTACCCGTTACTGACTTGGTTGTGATGCTGTGGTAACTTTGCTGTTTGACCCCGGGTATCATTTTACCCTTATAATGGTCAGTCTGTGCCTTACTTAGTCTAACGATCATTTGGAATAAATCGATGAATGTGAACTTCATTTCATTTTGTCATTTGTTTCTTCGTCAGTTTCATTAGGTGACTTTAATAACACTTAAAAATCAAATATCCCCTACTTTTTTTGAATAGTATATATCAGATTCGTCGGTTCACCAGAAACGCGACGGATTACTCCAGCATTGCGAACACGGGAGTGGTAAATAAGAAGGAGGGCCTGTCACGTGTATTTATGTGTTTTTTAAAATTTGGTTATATGTAAATTTTATTTTTTTAATTTCGTTTATCTCATGACATGGTTTTGTCCTTTGGCGTTTTGGCTTGTGGACCTTTTACATAAAAAAGGAATTACATATGTAGACAACGTATTGTGAACATGAGAACATGTATATACAGTACTTATAAAGTCAAGAACCAGACAAAAGTTTTAGCTCGTGACAAAGACGTGGAGTGCCATCTAAAGTGGAAATATGTCATTGTCTCCCTTTGACTCTCTAACCCAATGGTTCTCAACCTTTTTTTGCCAAGGGCACACCTTGGAACACATGAAAAAATAGAGGCACACCTAGCTAAATATATATGAAAGATATTTAAATTTTGCAAAATAAAAACATAGCAAGTCAGACGACAGACAACCGTAGACAGAGACTAGTCATAGACACATAGGATGACTCAAACTAAATCAAGAAAAACACTTAGTGTGCCGTTCAAAATTTCGCGGCACACTTAGGAAGATCCCGCGACACACTGGTTGGAAATCACTGCTCTATAACACAACGACGGATCGGATAATATATTTGGCTAATGAAGACGGGCATATGCTATACAATGTGCCATGAGAGAAATTTTGACCGGACAGCGGTACTGTATATCAGGGTTTTTTTTTTACGGGCACTCCAATGTGTACGCGGAATCTGGGTTTTTCGTCCAAACCGAACGACTAGATGCTGATTTTTGCTAGGCCCTCCGTCCTACACACTGACAATGGAAAAACCTTTCTGCACCACTGACAAGGGAATCCCAGACTGGATAATCTCGAGTAACTTTTTTGGCCAACATCGGGGGCGAACCCGAGAGCTACTGGTTACATACTGAGCTACCGCGGCTTCAATAAAAAATCAAACTATTTTCTGGTTTGAACAACTTTGAAGAATAGGTACAATTTGATTGTTAGGTATGGTTCCTGTCTAGTCGATGGGGCAATGTAGTCAGGGTATTTTTTAAAAGCAAGCCAATGCACTGGGACGTTAAATTATCCATCACAAAATGTATTCAAATCCACTAATTATCGCAAGCTAAAGATGGCATCGAGCTTTGATTATGGTCTAGATAAGTTAATTAATTAATTCAAAAAATTAGATAGCATTTCAGGCCTAAAGACCTGGAAAAGGCAGATTTAGCTCTTACATAATGCATGTTTAATTTTCCTTTATTTCCAATAATAGGTGCAGGCTCACTAACCAGGAGGTCCAGGGTTCGATATCAGTATTGAACGAGAAAATTCCTCGGTATTTTCCGGCGAGGTTTCCCATTGTCAGTGACGTATAACAGATCGCTTGGCAAAGAGCAGCATCTAGTCGCTGGGATGGGACGAAAAACAGAGGTCCCGTGTACACATTGGAATTCGAAACAAGCGTAAGCTGTAGCGCCGCTGTCTGGGCACATGTTCACTCGATGCAAACTGCATGCCGTATGCCTATTAATCCGGATGGGGCAGAAAAGTAGGACGTTAAACCCCATTTCAATATATTTCAAAGATTTTAGCTATATATTTATATTTATCCAAAACAAATCACGTATATTAAATATTTTTGTTTTATTGAATATAAAAAAATGATTTAAGCAAAAAAGATGAATAAACAAAAGCACATATTATAATATAAATTCTTTAGAGCAAACTTTGTTTGTATTTCGTAAGCTTTGTAATAATTATAACAATATGGGATATGTTTTTCTATTGAGACAAATGTGAATATTTGCAGTTTAAAAATGAAATTATGAAAAAATGATTAATAAATTATTTACAATCGAGTACTGCTTTTAAGGTTTTGGATGAAGTACATTTTGTTTTCATAATCTGATGGTGGAATTAAAACTGTGTCGATGACGTGGATGGCTCCATTGGTTACAGAAACATCGGGCATGATAACGTTAGCATTGTTGACTTTAACGCCTCCTGTAATACACAATTTAACAGATTACAAAGAAGAAACGACAATCATGGCAGTATTCATTGTAAACCAAGTCATGACTTTTTCAGAAGTAAGCTAAAGCATATATAACACCTGAGCGAACACCTAATTTTCATATACTGTAGCTGCAAATTTCTCCCATATGAATGTACAAAGCAACCAGATTCGACAAAGCTATGTAATTTTAGAGGTTAGAAACAAACCTTGTGAGATTGAAATTTTAACATCATTTTTGTTAAGTGTTGGAACAGATTCACCATCCATAAGACCAGCACTGTAGACAGTTCCATTTACAACATGATATAACAAGACATCTGAAATAATAAAAACAAAATCTTTAGTAAAATGTATAAATACTAGATGGTATACAAAACCATCTTAACGAATTGTTCTTACAGCCCAGGTACCAGTACTTGCAATGTTATTTTGGTAACCAATCAATTTCGGAATTGAGAGTTTTCAAATGTTGCATTTGAGAAACGGCAGGTTTGTAATTGATGGCCATATAGTGCGTTTAACTCTATGCAAAAACCGAACAGTTTTTTTTTAAGCATTGAGTATACCTTTAGCCGCCAGATCGTCCACAAGATTTCTTAAGTGATCCAGGTCATAAATTTGATAATAATTATCAATAAGGTGTGTATGGATTACAAGTCAGGCTAACGTATGCTTCTACATTGATAGTCAGAAAATGTTAAAAAAAAAAAAAAAAAAAAAAAAAAAAAATATGTACGTGCTAGAAGTTTTTAATGTTCATTCGTAGCAAACTTATTCTGTGTAAACAAGGTGTGTATGGATTACAAGTCAGGCTAACGTATGCTTCTACATTGATAGTCAGAAAATGTTAAAAAAAAAAAAAAAAAAAAAAAAATATGTACGTGCTAGAAGTTTTTAATGTTCATTCGTAGCAAACTTATTCTGTGTAAACAGGTCGATGGCCCCTGTGGCTGTGAATTATTATTTTAACAATAATAGTTAAATTAGCATATAGTTTAAAGAATTTAATGGACTTTTTGTAATTTTGACCAATGATAATCGAAGTACCGGTACTTTAAGAAGACAATAATGTAACTATCTATGACCATGACACTAGAGATCAAACATTCAACCTTTGGCTGCTGAAGGATTCCTATCAGATTTCTTATGATAATCAAGTCAATAGAAGATAACTAATTGCCGATAAGATCAAATCTTCTTCGGGTAAATATACTAAATAAACATGAATATACTACAGATACACGTTATTGATTGTTATTGAAATATAGAGGTCATTGATAGCTTTCAAAATTGATAAATGAAGCCCAGTTCAAATTTTCTATCATATAATGAAAACGCTAAAGTAACATTTTTAAAGATGTTTTTTTTAATAGATATCTAACTCGTAGTATTAAGTGTATATCATTTCTGTAGCTAAGTATAGTTGTTGATCAGCTAGATGAAAAATACAGCTTAATGAGTTCATTAAGATGTTTAAAAGAATTTTAACTTTTATAACTTGTCCTGCTCAAGCCATCTTCAGTATCCGCAGTGATATCGTTCTGTTCCACAGAACTTTGAACTGAACACTTTGTCGTTGAAACAAACGTCAGGTTTGCCGTAGAATAATTTTTACCCTGGTATACTGCCAAATATGAATATTTATGCTGTAGAATGTTGCGCAAAAATTGTTTAACTTACTAGCTAATGCTTTGGGGTCGCTCAATAGCTTCTGAAGAGTTCCCGGTGGAAGTTTACTGAAAGCTTCGTTTGTTGGAGCAAATACTGTAAATGGTCCTGGGCCTAAAATAGAATATATCATGAAAGCAGCCTTATTTCAAAATATGGTAATGAATGAATGCAATGATGTTTACCATTTTTCTGCACCAGCCGGACTAATGAAGACGGACATGTGCCATACGGTGAGCTATGGGGAAAATTTGCCCCGAAAGCAAATGAATTCCAAATGTCAAGGGTTCTTCTTTTACATCCACGCCTACGTGTAGACGTAAAATCACGCTAGACCAACCCCGGGGCTTATTCAATGAGCCTCTCAAAATTTGGGTACCGACTAGATATTAAACAATAGCAATTTTTATTGGAATACTGATTTTAAGAGTTAACAATAACATTACTGAGAAGCTATCACTTACCATTCAGAGTATCAGCCAAACCAGCGACTGAAACGGCCTTCAACAAAGTAGAGAATGCAGCCATTGCCTGTACAAGACCGGTGACGGTTCCTACAGGAGGAAGCATCACGGAATCTAAGGTATGGATGACACCATTTGTAGCATTTTGATCAACAGCGACGATTCGCCTTCCTGAAGCAGTGGCAATCTACAAAAGGAGGCAAGAAGGGGGTTTAAAAACTGAAAACTAAAGCAGTACCCTAATCTAACAAATCGAAATTCAGAAAGTTAAAAGAAATATGACTGTTTTTCTAGTTGTTTGCGTTTGGTGGATTATTGTGAGATCACCCATTACATGCATCATTGGTCAGGCCTTCCTTCTTCTTTATAAATAATGCTGACGAAGAAATTATGTGAAGCTTGTGGAACTTACTTGGTTATTGTTGTATAAATTAATTCGGATTTTTTCATTGGGAAGAAGTGTAGCAGCCAAAAGTTCATTTGAGAGAGCAGAAGAATAGACAGCACCACCAAGAACATGGTATTCCAAGACTTCAGCTAAGAGTGTGTTGTTCTTTAGGAGTTCCTGGACGAGTGCTGGGGGTAACTTGGCAAAGGCGGCGTTGTTTGGGCCGAAGACGGTAAATGGACCTACAAAATAATGATAAACATGTCTAAATACGTAAACTTAAACCAGGTCACTTAAATAATCTACCACTAATTTGTGTTTATTTCTATTGCATTGAGAAGACTTATTTCAAAATCTGTCATTGAATTGTTAATTACAATTTCTATTCCAGCCGTTTTCTAATATAAGCCTTGCCATAATCGATCAAAAATAGAGTAGGTCATTTGAGTGTAAAAGCGTTTTATTTTATGATCAGTAGTGGAATACCGCGTTTTATCAGTGAAATAAAAGTGTTATTCCACTGGCTAGCAGTAGTCCATGTTGTTTTTACCTAAAATGATTGTAAAATCATAAAATAAATAGAACATTTGTCGTTTTGTCGTGAATAACATATTTTATTTCATCTCTAAGCAAGAAAAAGTTTATATTTTCACCCATGCTACGCATTCGTGAAAATATAAGTTTTCTTGCTTCTCGATGAAATAAAATATGTTATTCACTCTAAAACGACAAATATCCTCTATATATAAGTATGAATAAATGTACAGTAAGAAAACAACACCGTTCTGCCTTAATGGTTATAGGTCATATAACAGTATACAACAGTGTTATATAGCAATGTACATGATGTAGGTAACCATATAGAATACAAATAAAATATTAATATTTCTTTGCAGCGAATGTTTTATAATTTTCTCTGCTGATAGGTTTACGATGACAATGACTGGTAGATGTATACTCCATACATGTATATTCTGATTCTAAAAATAGTTTAACCCATCAACGTCTTTAGTCAAGCATTAAGTAGTGTAAAAAAAAATACTTAAGCTACGCCCCCCACCCCCCAAAAGAAAAAACCCTCTGAAAAACATCACACTATTCCGAGACAGTCAAGCGTTGTTTCGAAAAGTGTATTATTACATGAACACTAATGAAGAATGGATATATGTATTTTTTACTGTATTGTCAATAAATTGAACAAACAAATGATAATTGTTACATTGTGTTATTACCGAGGGGCGTTCGTGTATAGGGAGGCAAAACCCCAAAAGTGCCAATAGAAAAGGGTATGCGCACGCCCACGACTCCCACCCTCGATCTGTATATCCGCCTCGGCATTATGTTATATAACCGTCATTAGAAAGACTGGACAGCCATATCTACATGCATTATAAAATACATGTCATGTAGTTATTATATTTGATTATCATGATTCAAGAATAACTCACCTGCTCCTGATAAAGCGTCGGCTAAACCGGCTCTCTTGACAAATGTTACCAATGTTGACAGACCAAGCGATTCGGCCAAAGCTGGAATTTTTTCTGTAGGTGCCTGCAGATTTGAAGGATCAAGCATCAACTTCCACAAAGCTTCTGGCGATGCATTACAGCATGCAACGATTGCCAAACACGCAATAATCTGAACCTTCATAATGTTAACGCTGGTGTTTCTGTAGTGAATGATAGAATACTACACGGAGATTCTATTTATACTAAAATCCCATAATAATGTTTCATAAACGGGAAAGACTCGTGATCAACATGTGACCCCGCCGGTATGTTATACAACCAAAATAAACACGTGTCATTATGGAGGACGCTTAAGATGGAAAAAACTGCAAAAGTTAGCATGAAAATAATAATGCGTTGTACTATTAAGATGCAATTTATTTATCAGAAAAAATGGAAATATCACATTTCCATTGAATAGATAGGCCTTACAGTGACTCGCTTCATTGAACAAGTCAAGGTTATACGTACATAATATGTACCCTCATCGTGCGACTAAATTAGTTATATAGGCTTCACAGGTCATTTTTGGTAGATTGATTTGAAATTTACATGTAACAATAATGTGCAGGCCAACTTGTTTAGATTTGTTTATTCTGCGCTGTGGGGAGAGGGAGGAGTTTGAATAGTCTGTACGCGTGTGCCTTAGATCAGAAGGTCTATGGTTTCGACGCCCAGCTTGTACGTGACAAGCGTAAGGTCGCCTGTTCATCCTGCTGGGTTTTCTCCGGGTCCTCTAGTTTCCTTCCATTGCAAAAGACCCTTGTGAAATAAAAATATAACGTATATTAGTCCCTAAATGGCATGGTTTCTGTCGGGAGCAGTGGCGGCGTCAGGGGGGGGGGCATTTGCCCCCCCCCCCCATTAATCTGGTCTGCCCTCTTTTTGCCCCCCCCCCCCCAATAATTTTAGAAAATAAAAAAAAGTATTTGTGATACGTTTCGGTAATCAATACCTTCTACGGTGAATAATCCCACATCCCAACTCAGTCATAAACTTGCATGTTGTAGAGCATTTCCGACAGTCTATTTTTCAAAATTTTCTTGGCGAGGTCCCCAATGGACTCGCTACTTTGGCGCTCATAAAGGGAATTCGTTGAGGTTCGCAAGTCCGTTCGTTTGACATTTTGTTCTCTAGTCGGATAAACTAGTGATCAGCATTTCCGGCAGTAGGAATCCCTACTTTGACCCTCGTAAGTGGGCTTCGTCGTGATTCGCAAATCCGTTCGTTTGACAATTTACCTCATCGATCAGTGCCTGAAATACTGCCAGTCTGCATTTCCGGCAAACTGTTTTTCAAAATTTTCTGAGGGAGGCCCCCTACCCCTAGTTGAAGCTTGTGCCTTTGCCCCCTTAACCTTGGACTTTGCCCCAGCTTTGCCTCTCCAATCACCGACGGCTGGCGCCGCCACTGGTCGGGAGATCTTTTAGGTACACGTCTGTATATGTACACAGTTCTGGGTTTAGACTTTCTGATCGCAAATTCCAAGACTTTTTCATTGTTATTTGCAACATTATTGTAAACCCGACCCTGGAAAAACTCTTCTGTTTCGCCCCATTCCCTTGCGTAGTACTTTGTTGAATGGTTAATCCAGGGTTGTGTGCACTGATGAATCTTGGTTTTGGTACTATCCGAAAGACTGTGTAAACTTTCTTTTAAGGTGTATTACCTCTTAACTACCACTGCTCTCAGAAATGAAACATATTCACCTATTTTAGATCCCCTTTTCCTTGTGAAGGTGCTCGCAGTCATAGGCGTTGAGAGTGCAAACACAGATATATTTAACTACTTAAAGTATTTCAATAAAATGTTAAAATTGTTGGTTTTGTAGTTGTATATGAATGTTGATAAGTTCATTGTTTATTAATTCGATGTGACTGTCATTGAGTCAACTGGCGTGGTTTCGATCCCCCTGTTGTACGTGACAAGGAGTAGGGTCGCCTGTCCAACCTCGTGGCTTTTCTCCAGGTCCTCTGGTTTCCTCCAACTGCTAAAGAACTCCTATGCGCAAGCGAAATACTGAAATAAAATTGAACCATATGTTAGTCCCGAAATGATCTAGTTTGTCCACCTCTCTCTCTCTCTCTCTCTCATCTTTAGAACCATAATGAATTATTTCAACGTAAAAAATATTGATAACATTTATGACGACGTTGCAATTGGGCTATGAAGATGTACTTTATGACGACTTTATGCACACAGATTGGCAGTGAATATTTGCTAGGTGAAATCACTAAGAGGAACATGTGAGAGGGATGACATGGTGCGGCTTAATGAGCTCGCGATATTAACTTTTTTCCATCTGCAAATTTAATTCTAAAAGATTTTTAAGTATTTGAAAAATAAATAAAGGTGTTTGAAGTATATCTAGATAAAAAATATTTCCTATTTTAGTGTAAATGGGTAAATGAAATGAGTAAAAGGCAACATTCTTCCTGGACCAGTTAATGCAACAACGTCTTATGTATAAATAATACACGCGCCATAGAGCCAATGATGGAGGCCCGTGATGTGACGTCACCTGCAGAAGACATACTTGGACTTATAAAGGTCAGTCATCTAATACAGAGGTAAAAGAAGGCTCTCACAATACCCCTGTAAAACAGATTGAACTTTATCCTGCCAACATCATTATTAATGTTTTGCAATTCACGTCCAGGTTCAAATCTTTATTATTAATATTCTTAACCTCGTCGTTATACCTTTGTTATTATCCTCGTCCTGATTATAACAAATTCGGAGATTTAAATTCAGAATGGCATCGGGGTAAATACGGCTCGTTAATACTTCAATTCGGTAATTTAAAAACAACGCAAGTTCCATTCCATTTCCATTTTGACTTGAGAAGTCCGTGTGCAACTTTAACTTGAGTTGTGTAATTATGTAAATTAGCTAGGCCCATTGTTTTATAACACGTCTTTATCTATCAGTAAACAAATTTATATAAGTATTGATTTGACATTGATTCCATGTTATCAACATATTTATACATGCATAAGCATATTTATAATCTATAAGCGGGGGTTAATTAAGATATATAAGTAGCGGTTTTGTTTATTTGGTTTTCAAATCATGACTTCATATTACTGGACATCTATTTAGCTTATCAGTAAACTTATGAGTGCATAAAGCCAATAATGTACTGTTATAGCTGTTAGTAAATTTATAAGTGCATAAAGCCAATAATGTTATGTACTGTTAAAGCTATTAGTAAATTTATGAGTGCTAAAGCCAATACTGAAGAACTGTTATAGCATAAATCATGTCGCTGAACTACTTATCCATTATAAAATGCAGAAACCCGTACCCGTCTCCTATTTTATTTAGTCGCCTGTTAAAGGTCCCTACGTGCATAAGAGTTACTATGCTAAAATTGTACCGTATGATAACCCTAGTTTGTGTCAAGTGGCCTTAGAAATACCCCCCCCCCCCCCGCCCCTTAAAAACTCGAAATATCCATACAGGTTATTCAAAAGTTTCCCAAAATTAGTTTAAATTGAAGGCTTAAAGGGGCTGAATCCCCATTCTTTGGCACCTAGAAATGGACACAAATGGGCCGCTATACATATAATAATGTAATATAAATGTATTATATAAACTGATTTACATTCAATCGTTTCTGTTTTTACTGTAATTTCTAATCGGGCATGTTGGCGAAATACGAGAAGAGTCCAAATTGAATGGCAATCTTTGGCACCTGGTTATTCTAGTCTACACCGGTGGTGTTTTGCGAAATATGTTTAGCCTCATTCATCGAGTCGCTTCATTAGAAATGGCACTCGAAAGCATTCTGGCACGCATATTTTTTATTTGGTCTTAACTGTTGGATATCAGAAGCCCATCTTTTCAAGGGAAGATAACAACATCAGTGTCGAATTTTAGTTGGGCGAGTCCCATCTATTGTTACCATTACCTCATTTGATACCGATCGCTCCCAGTTCTATTTTGGGTTAGTATACTGAGTTTGGCTGCAGTTATGTCTTCAGAATTCATGGACCACTTTCCACAGTAAGATCTTAGTCTCCCAACTTGATTCACGTGAAAGCCAACAGATTTCCCCACACGAACACTATTATATTTATCCAGGTTCACTACAAGTGACGTGATAATACATGTATGTAGGAATGCTTCTCGAAATGAGCTAAAGCGAAAACTGCTATGTAACATCCACTCGACACAACTAGGCTATTTTATAACTACAGTATGATTCTATTTTATTTCATGAATTCCCTTGCGAATAAGGGCCTTCAGTAGTGGAAGGGAACCGGGCGACCTAGAGAAAACCCACAATGTTGGGCTGGCTACCCTACTCCCTGTCACTTTATAAGGTCCAAATCTAAGGATGTGAGGTACAGCGTGCTATTGTGCCGTTAAAGAGCATTCCTATTTCATTCTAAAGGATAGCTCCTGGGTACAGATAAGCGAAATAAAGATTTATCTGATTTCAGAAAAAATATATATATATAAATAATTATAAGTGAAATGTTGAGCGAGTCAGTAAAATTACCATTCAATTTAATTTAGCAAGAGAATTTGAATCCCCACCAATATCATAGTCTATCATAGTGAGAATGTTGTACGTAGGTACAACGTCGTCTTCCTAAACAACAGTCCTGCTTTCACTGCTTAAGAAGTCTGTCTTGCAGTGGAGTGTTTGATTTTGACTTAAAGTCTTACAATATTTTGGTCCGATATTTTCCCTCTATGCATATATTATTTTCTGGATTGATTTAAAAAAATTACAAGTTACCGGTACATGACTTTGAAAATGTTTTGTTTTTTTTAAAAAATGGGATTTTGACCTACACAATAAATATGAAACAGGAAATGGTCTCAACCAACCACACAAATTACTGATTGGTGTTGAATAATGTGCTTCTACAGTAGTGACATCACAGATAAATCACACACGAATCACGGTAGTGTAAATAGTCCTAAAACACTATATACCAGCCCATAAATCTGACATACATAAAATTAAAGAGCGTTAGGTACTGGGGGGGGGGGTCCACGGAATCAGATAAGCGCCCCCGTGAGACAAAGTTCCCTCAGGCCCAGTCCCAACAAATTAAAATCTCAGTTACGTATCTGTCAACTCTCACAAAACAGGCGGAATTGACAGGCATGCCTAGAGATTCTGTTCCAAACAACTAAATGCTCAGCTACATATTGTACGTTGCTATCTGAAATTTTTTCGCACCTATACAGCGTTCGATTCCATTCTGGCATCATTCTTCCACTCCTCTGTGGTCTAATACTATCTCAGCACTATCAAATTCATTCAAAGTTATAGAGAATTACCACCCAGTTAGTAGTACCACTTCGTGCATGGGTCGATTAATGTTCTATCAACTCTTACAAAACTCTTACAAAACAGGCAGAATTGACAGGCAGATTTCGAGATTCTGTCCCATTGACTCCCATTTTTAGTTCTCTGGTTCACAAGAATTTGCTCCCAGCAATGACCTCAAATGCCAAGGTATTGACCTAAATTTTTCAAAATTTTAGAGCTATCACAGCAGACACGGCCAGCTCTTTCTCTAAATCTTAGGCATCTTTAAGTTTGAAAATGCAAAATAATGCCATACACAAAGGGACTAGTTAGTAGATAATGATTGTTACATGTTACACACACTAATATTGTTCATACCAACAACGATAATAAAAAACACAAAAAAAATGTTAAAAAGTTAATAGCTTTATAACACAAAAAATTCATTAATATTAAGCTTTCTATTATAAGTTAGATTACATTATGCTAAGTATGTAAATTAATGATAAAAGTATTATTTACATCTGTTAAACAGTATATTATAAAATATAACACAGTATGAGAATTTATTTCATATGCCAAAAAATGTACAATGTACAAATGTTAATGACCAATTAACAAAACACTACAGTGAGACAAATTCTTTAAATCTAATATAAATAAAAACACAAAATATACATCAATATATTTCACATACAAAATATTATAGATATTACACTGGTTACAGTATTATTAATAATGAATACTAACCCTATATATATACAAATTATAAAATATTAATCTAATATGGCAAGTGCTATTTTATTGCAGTCTTTGTTGTAATTTTCATAAAATGTAGTGGAATCTATGGCATCTCTCCACTAAACTGAAATATCTCTAGAATTTCCACTTTTGTGGATGCTATTTTACTAGACCTGTTGAAATGATTTATAGTTAATATGGCGGGTGTTGCATGTGTGGCAGCGTATGCTTACTCCCTCTGCCACACCTGATACTACTTCCTACTTCACGATTGAGTATTCTTAATTTGATCATTCCCCATTTAAGAAGTCTATTTATTTCCATTTCTCTCGATTTTGTCTTTCATTTTATGGTAGTTTTCTCTCTGACTGCCTCTTATAATTTATTAAAAAATTAAGGCCACTTGTGGTCTAGTGGATTAAATAAATAGTTATGATCATAATATTGCACCTGATATTAATTTACCTTTATTGGAATGATTTATATATAACAAAACTCTGTGAAAAGGCAAATACCATAAATGAGATTACAAGTTAAAAAATAACACATACTTTCAACAGAGTCAATGACACTATTGTGATATTCAACCTAAAACATGTTATCTTAAAATAAAGAAAAGTTAAAAAAAATGAAACATTAATCCTAAGTAAGAAATTGGGTAAATATTCAGAATTCCAATTCTACAACCAATAACAGGGTTTAGTTTTGTTATTTTTTTCAACAAAAAAATCTACCTCATACTGATCTTTAATTCATTAAATTTGTGAGTTTAAATGTCCAAGCCCATTTACATGGCATTTCATTAAAACCAATTTTAGGAATTAGGATGTCGATGCCACCAGTGCTCCGTTTTTGCCATTTAAATGGTACAGGATATCCTAAAAGTGTGACCTCTGTACTTGTTGTTGGCATTGGTACGCCAAGACTAAGAGTCATACCAGTTGGCCAGTTTAAGTTAATGGCGTACACATTAAGTCCTCCTGTGCTGTCTCTTTTCTCAGTATACCTAAAGCATATAAATTATAAAATACCTGTAAAGACTTTAAGAAATGCTTTTTTATTATGTAAAATTAAACAAAAGAGATCATTATTATAATTATAGCAGTTATAAGATCATTATTCTTAACTTAAGTGTGATATAGAGTCATTATCTATATATATATATATATTTGTGACTGTCGTTTGTCTGTCTGTCTGTTCGGGGTTGGCGGCTACACTAGGTCTGGCCCGAGTCTGAAATTTGGGGTATAGGGGTAGCTCGGACCAGGGAGTAACATAGGCCAGGTGGCGTTAGTCTACCACTTCCGGTTTCAGAGTTATGACCCCCGAGCGAAGCCGGGTATCTGTCTGTTCGGGGTTGGCGGCTACACTAGGTCTGCCCCGAGTCTGAAATTTGGGGTATAGGGGTATAGCTCGGACCGGGGAGTAACATAGGGCAGGTGGCGTTAGTCTACCACTTCCAGTTTCAGAGTTATGACCCCCGAGCGAAGCCGGGTATCTGTCTGTCTGTTTGGGGTTGGCGGCTACACTAGGTCTGCCCCGAGTCTGAAATTTGGGGTAAAGGGGTAGCTCGGACCGGAGAGTAACATAGGCCAGGTGGCGTTAGTCTACCACTTCCGGTTTCGGAGTTATGACCCCCGAGCGAAGCCAGTCTGTTCGGGGTTTGCGGCTACACTAGGTCTGCCCTGAGTCTTAAATTTGGGGTATAGGGGTAGCTCGGACCGGGGAGTAACATAGGCCAGGTGGCGTTAGTCTACCAATTCCGGTTTCGGGGTTATGACCCCCGAGCGAAGCCGGGTATCCTGCTAGTATGATATAAATATAGTAAGTGGTCATTATTCCTACAGACGTTCCCCCACTCCTCCCCCCCCCCAAACTTCCACCAGATAGTGTCAGAATTGATTATTGTCATAAAAGAATACATTATGTAACCTCTAAGAATTAAGTGTCACAGACATACATGTATATGGAAGCTAGCAGACACTTACATGTATATGGAAGCTTATTTACACAGTCACAGCATACATTTATTATTAGAGATTCTCATGTGTTCATAATGTCCAATAAAACAAATTGTCTCAAATCATTTTTAAAACAGACATCTCTCAACAAATTAGTTTTAAAAACTGTTAATGATTTCCCCTATTTAAACCAGCCAAGCATACTCCTTGGTTTAATCAAAGAAAACTTAATATTTATTTATATTTCCCTTTTACAAAACCCCCTTTGAGAAACTGAATATGGAAATATTAGTTACAACATGGTACAGTACTAAAACCGTACTAATTAAAATTTTTGTCTGTCTTGCGAGTCCTTATCTGGACGATAAATCCCACCAATGCACAAAATGTATGGTCTTACCATTATATCGAAACAAAAATAAAACGAAACAGCGACTGCCAGGCAGGATACGCCCACATTTTCGAGAGATGGATAGAGAACAAGCTAAAAATCTGTAGGTTATAAACTTATATTTCAAGTTTCAACAAAATCGGATAAAAATTGTGACCTCTATAGGGTCCACAACCTTGATATACCATATTTTTACGCTATTTTAGAACAAACGGCGGCCATTTTGGTCTGTCAATTTTGGGCCGATTTTCACGAAATTTGAACTCGGCCGTCCTTAGGTATAACAGTGATATAATAATACGGTTTTTTAAATCGGATAAAAATTATGACCTCTATAGGGTCCACTAGCTAAAAACGCGATTTTTCTTACAATCAGGGATCATAATACAGGAAGTTACGGTCCGACATGCACAAATATCGGAAGGAAGCAAGATCTTTGGGTTATAAATTTACATTTCAAGTTTCAACAAAATCGGATAAAAATTGTGACCTCTATAGGGTCCACAACCTTGATATACCATATTTTTACGCTATTTGAGAACGAACGGCGGCCATTTTGTCTGTCAATTTTGGGCCGATTTTCACGAAATTTGAACTCAGTCGTCCTTAGGGTGTAACGGTGATATAATAATACGTTTTTTTAAATCGTATAAAAATTATGACCTCTATAGGGTCCACAAGCTAAAAACGCAATTTTTCGTACAATCAGGGGCCATAATTCAGGAAGTTACGGTCCGATATGTGCGAATATCGAAAGGTCCCGAGATCTTTGGGTTATAAACATACATTTCAAGTTTCAACAAAATCAGATAAAAATTGTGACCTCTATAGGGCCCACAACCTTGATATACCATATTTTTACGCTATTTGAGAACGAACGGTGGCCATTTTGTCTGTCAGTTTTGGGCCGATTTTCACGAAATTCGAACTCAACCGTCCTTAGGGTTTAACGGTGATATAATAATACGTTTTTTTAAATCGGATAAAAATTATGACCTCTATAGGGTCCACAAGTTAAAAACACGATTTTTCGTACAATCAGGGGCCATAATTCAGGAAGTTATGTTCAGATATGTGCGAATATCGAAAGGAACCGAGATCTTTGGGTTATAATCATACATTTCAAGTTTAAAATAAATCGAATAAAAATTGTGACCTCTACAGTGTTCACAAACTTAAAATGTGATTTTTTGTACAATCAGGGGCCATAATCCATGAAGTTACAGTCCGATACATGCCAATATCGAAAGGAACCGAGATCTGAGGGTGATAAACCTATATTTTAAGTTTCATTGAAATCGGATAAAAATTGTGACCTGTAGACTGTTCACAAACAATTGTGGACGGACGTCCGGACGGACGGACAGGGGCGACGACAATATACATGTACGTCCACATGAAAATGTGGGCGTATAAAAATAACGAATTAGATAGACAAGGACAGCATACCAGTCTCCTCAGGTACTCAGAATAATAAAATAGATTGATGCAAAACACATACCACACTCCTTTTGTTAGAGTATCATTTTGGTGTTTCCAAGGATGGGTAGCTCTGATACCCTCTCCATTAACAGTCATCCAGCTACCCATCTGTAATAATCGCTCTTGAAATATTGGTGCTATAGTTCCTTCTTTGGTTGGTCCAATATTCATTAGCATGTTTCCACCACAGCTAACAAGGAAAATCAAAATCGAAATGGTCATGGAATATTCAAATAAAAGTTTCCTTTCAGAAAAAAAAAGGGATTGTTGGAAACAACTCTGCTAATGATAATGTTATTTTGAACAAGGGCCTATGTCATATGATGTACTTGTACATTTAATGCGTTTTGTAAATTGTTAAATGGCGCCATGCACATACATGTATAGGTTCGATGTAAAGTCAAATCTTAATTGGCTTTGATCTATGGTTTCAAGAAGTATTTGAACACATGATAAAACTCCAAATTGTAATTTTGAGATCTTAACATTAGCTAGATGCAAAAAAATATCACTGTTTGAATATCACAGTTTTACGGAATAGTATTTACTTGACTTTTGGTGTTGAAAGCTAAATTCAGTAATTCAATTTTAAACCCTGTATTTGGAAATTATGCAGTTTTGTACAGTAGCCTAAGGTATAGAGTGGACATGATTTATTCTTTGAATTATTAACAACATTGCTACTTTAACCAGACCTTTATGACCTACCTGATTGTACAGAATATACAAGGCAAAAGTTTCTTAATAATAATAATAATAATAATAACATACCTGACAGTTTCAACAAAGGTTTTCAACAATTCTTCTATAGTCAAATAATCAGATAATCTAGCATCTCTACGGTAACCCCATGAATATTTATCAATCGTCATGGCATTTTCAAATTTTCTTTTCTGTACAACACCTAGAAAAACATCAATAAACATATGTAGGCGGGATGGACATACTTGTGAACGAAAAAAATGCTATTATGTCCCATCATATTTCTGTGACGAGAAAATAATTTGATGTGTTTGGCCGAACGGTTTTGGCCAACATAAAATAAGGCTCTTGCTGACAAATAAGTCTTTGGCAACCAAGTAATACTTTGCTGTTAACATTACAAGAACACTGACATTATTATGCTCAATAAAAGAGATTAATATTTGTAACTCAAACTCTGTATCAACAGTAATGGCTAAAACTTTCAAGCTTAAATTTATGAACAATTAATAATGATGTAGATTTAAATATTTACCTGGGTTAAATCTATCTTGACAGGTGAAATATCCACCATGTTTGCAAGTTGCGTCCTTGCCCCATCTGTCGTTTGTAACAACAGTGTCTTTAACAGGACTAGAAAGACAAAATGAATGGTGTAAAATATGGACTATTTAATTACAGACTCTTTTCTTTTACAAAATCAACAGACTGCTATTGTCACAATATAAATATCTAGGATCTTTTCTGTAATTATAAACTATGTTATATATTACTTTTATATTACCTATCAGTGTACAGCCAAGCTAGAAATTCTGTTGAGTTCCAATAAGTGCTGTTGGCTTCCCAGTCACCATCAGACCATATAACTTCAGGCTTATAGGCATTCACAATCTCATACAACTCGGGTAATGTTTTACTCTATAAAGTACAAAATTGATTAGAATCTTGTTGAATCAGAAAAGAAATGATTTTTGTTTAGAACATATAAACAATATATAGATTTGTTTGTAAAGAATCATACAGACTGAAATATTATAAATAAATGAAACAGTTACCATATATCATTATGTATGCATCAGTTGATTAACTTAGATTGTTTTCTAATATTTCTATAAGAAGATTTAACTAAATACTTACTGCTACAAAATCTTGTGTTTTAAATTTAGCAGCTTTGTCTTTCAGATATAAAGGATGAAACCATTCAAACAAAGAATGATACAGTCCAAAATGAATATTGGTATTCTGTCTTATAGCATCAGCCAATTCACCTAGATAGAGAAATATTACTCCATACATGCTGACATAAAGAAATAAATGAAATGGGGTTTAACATCCTACTGTTCTGCTCCGGCTGGGCAAATGAACATGGGCATACGCCATCCAGTGTGCTATGAGGGAAATTTTGCATGGACAGCGGTGCTATGACCTACTTATATATCCAATTCCAACTGCCAACATTCCTTTACGTGCCCACCAATTTGTACAAGTGGGAACTACGCCAGAAAATCCTGATGAACTTTCTTGGCTAATGCAGGAATCGAACATGGGACCTCCAGGTTAGCGAGCCAACGTCTAACTCAGGGAGCTACAAAGGCCCACCAAACATAAAGAAATAACACCAATGTTGCGATGTCCCCACTTTAATTTTTTAATCTTAAGGGGGAAAAAATGATAAGGTGGGTTTTATAGTGTCCAAAATTTATAAGTACCCTAAAATAAATTTGATATGATGATTATCTGATCTGGTAACTTTATACCCTATTGTCGTATGGACTAATACAGGTCATTGGTCTTTACCATAGAACTGTTAAGTAGCAGGTGCTACTTATTGATTTCCATGTTTATTTTTACTTTTAACAAGATGTTTTTTTTTTTTTTAGGGCAATTTATTTATAATAGATACAATCAACGTTTATTGAATTTATATCACATGAAAATTACAAATAGAAATCACGTGCTTGAACTTGTCACAGCTGATCTAATTATTTACAAACAAATTCAGTGGCTGTCTTATAAACAACTGTATACATCAATAAATGTAACATATTTCTTAATATTCTGAATATATATTTATGAAATCATGACGCAGTAATTTTTTTTTCATCAAAAGATAGATTTTCTTCTCTTCGTCAAATGTCTCGTAAACTGAATGTACATGTAAATAGAGCTGGATTAGAGCTCTGCAACCCTTCCTTAGTAGTATTATAGCAATTCAAAGAGCAATTACCAGACACAAATGAAGTTCTATACAGTAATAACAAGAACATAATTACCAACTAAATCTCTTTTTGGGCCAACTTCCATGGAATTCCAATTAAAAGAATGTTTGGATGGCCAGTTGGTAAAACCCTCATGATGTTTGCTGGTTAAAACCACATACCTAAAATAAATAAAAACACTTTAAAAATGATCTTTTAGAGGCATTTAGTAACTGGATAGAGCAATAGACTACAACACATACTTGAAAACATTGAGAGAATACTCTTCGAAACATCGCCTAAATAAATCAGTAATTGTTCTTCCATTATAAGTATGTGTTATAGTTTATAACACTTTTATAAGTAATAATGCTAGTAAGTAGCTCTACATTCTATTTTTATTTAAGATATAAATTTAATACACCATTTCAAAACTAATTTAAAGAGCATGACTGCACAACATGGGAACATTTATATACTGTATTATTTTATTGCCGTAAACATAAAGTTCATGAGCATTGACTGAGACACACTGAAAACATTTATAAATGAATGATTGTTAATCTTGTTTGAGACATAAGCTTACACTTAATCTTGCAAATCTAAATGTAACATCAGATCACTATAATAAATCATGAGGATTATATTGAAAATACATCACTTCAATTCACGCACATGACCATTATACATGTAATTCCCAAAATATTAAGCTATGGGGATGCTTGATTGAACATAATGGAATTGAATTCTGTCAAACCCAAAAATAATGACAATTGAATCACCACAAAGTAGGCCTACAAAGGGGATTTTGGGCTAGAATGCATGTGCTGACTGCATGAGAAAATATCTCAACCAAGCATGACTGCTGAAACATATACGTTGTGCTTAAAGTAGCTAAGTCTCTAACTCAATATCATCCAAAATCTTCAACATTGAAAACACGATTTATTTGTCAAATTAAATCAACATTCATGTTGTGATCTTACCGGAAAAAGATGGGCTTTTGATATCCAATATTTAAGACAAAATAAACATTTTACCATTGGTACACGAATCGTGTACCATAATGCGCTTCAGCCCCAGTTGTAATAGACTCAAGGGACGAGACTAGACACATTTCACCAAATCAAACGGCGTATGTAGACAGGAATAACGAGACGCTAGAAATTTGCACTCGCTTGAGACTGCTGGCTTATTTCGCCAAACATAACTGATTTGAAATTGGAGTAAAAACGGAAACCATTGAATGTAAATCAGTTTATATACATTCATACTACATTATTATATGCGTTGCGACCCACTTTTGTCAATTTCTAGGTCCCAAATGTTAGCGATTTAGCTCCTTTAATTACGTCACGATTATACTCACACCATCTCAGTTGTCAGGACTGACAGAACTGTGACAGGACTAAATTCCATGTCACACGATTGCAAATTTGGAACGTTCGATCTGGACTGAATTGGACTGATAATCGAGCATCCCCTATATCCTCCATTTACTGGCAGTTCGAGATTAAACTGTCAACCATTAATATATATAACTCATTGTAAAATTATAGGAAACACAAATACTCTACTCTAATGTAAATAATATAATTTATTACATAACTTACTCAGCCCCTGAGGCATTGAACAAAGCCGCCCATTGTGCAGGAGAAAAGAACTCAGTAGTGAACATTGGAGCAAAGTCTGCATATGTAAAGTCTGGTCTGTAATTCTCATCCATAAAGAACTGTAATGCCGGTATATGCTGTCCTTTCCAGCTCCACCAAAACCATTCTGAAGAATAACTCGGTACGGAAAATACCCCCCAATGAATGAAAATACCTAGTTTTGCTTCATCATACCATTGCGGTAATGGTCTATTATCTAGAGATTCCCAGTTTGGTGCATAAGCAGTAGTAGAAGCTAACAATCCTAATAACGCTGACAGCAATAAAATCTTCTCCATATCGGACCTAGTTTGTCACCACTGTACCAATGTTTCGCAGTTTCTTTTGAAATGTGTAAGCTAATGTTGTTAATCTGCAGCCAACAACGCTCTAAAAACAAAAATCGAAGTCATGTGATTACAGGAAGCTTGAAATCATGATCACGTGACTAGCATGTGATACCATAGTGAACAACGGAAAAAAACAGTAGTCTCGTATATCAAGGCACACACGAAGGATAACCGGATAACCCAACCCTAAAGGTTCCAGGCCACCATCATATTCATTGATCAGCAGTGAATATTCACATGGCCGCTATATAATCAACGAGGCCCCGTGTTCGATCCCTGCGTTGGCCGAGAAAGTTCATTTGGATCTTGATCCAGCGTGGTCCCCCACTTGTAGGACAGAGGGCCTGGCAAGGTGCAACGTATCATATAGTCGTTTGATTTACTCCCGTTCGTTTGACACTTTCTTCTCTGGTCGGATAAACTGGCGATTTTGCGACAGGCTGTATCTGGTAAGCTCTATTTATCTCGACAATCAGTTTCTGAATTTCAAATGTTAGGGGGCTTCGTTGAGGTTGGCAAGTCCGTTCGTTCGACAATATTTCCTCTCTTGTCGGATAAAATAGTGACCAGGCGACAGGCGGTATCTCATGGTTAGCTCTATTTTTCTCAACAGTCTATTTTTCAAAATTTTCTGGGGAGGTCCCCCATACCCTCCGTCGGGATTCGTTTAACGCTTTCCGTTCTGGTCGGATAAACTAGTGGTCGGATAAACCGGCGGTATCTCGTCAGATCTATTTATCTCGATGGTCAGTGCCAGAAATACTGCTAGACTTCATTTTGCCCTAGCTTTGCCCCCCCCCCCCAACAACAGGCGGCTGGCACCGCCGGTGGAAGGAGGGTTCAAATCGACTGCTCCTCAAGAGAGGGAACAGACAGATGAGCAAACAGAAGCATCAGCCACATGCATGCAGATTTGCCTCACACATACGGAGAAAGTTACCCATATCCTGGAGCTAGCCCCAATGATTACTCTAACCCTAACCTACAATCTTGCCAACAATGACGTGCCCCAACATTATTTACGTCTCAGCTACATTGGGATGGCCTTAACAAATAGATTTAGCCATCTCTGACGGTGTCCCAGAATGTCAAATGCATTCTGAACAACACGGCGTATACGGGATGTGCGGTAGGTGAAATGTTCTTCTGACATGCGGGCCACTATGATAGTAAGTCTGGAGTACTTGTGTAGTAGTATGTGTTTGATAACGACAAGAGGATACCCCCACGCCCCGTAGAAATTCTACTGTTTCTTTTCTTTAATCAGCGGCCTTTCACTATTTTACTTTATAGAACAAAATATATAAAACTAGGATACATATTCTATATAAGGAACTTGCGGCCACTCACTGTTTTACTTATAGAACAAAATATATAAAACTATAGGATACATATTCTATATAAGGAACTTGCACTGGGAAAAAAGGGAACTACAGATCCCATGCGTTGCTATATTTATGCTGGTATGGTACTATTTGACGATTTTCGCATTGAAACACCGGCAATTGGATTCTGGGTACATTTTATGTGATATAGCCCATTGATATTGAAGTACTTTATCTCTAATTATGCCGAATCCGATCTTTGCAAAAATAATTGTACCTTTTCTAATGTCTTGTAGATGTTTCCTTTTTATTCAATCCTTTCCAATTATATTAATATATTATTTAGTGTTATATTTATTGTAATTTTTGCATACATATTTTAAATACTCTTGTTATTCACATCAGCCTTATTATAGTCTGTCAGTCAATAGGGTTGTTTCGGTCAGCCATTATTCTTATTGTGGTTGGATAAAAGAAGCTGAATTCCATTTCCTATTTGGTCTCTGTGTGTGAAAATGTTCTGTGCACACAAGCGCTGATGATGGTTTGTAGAAATATGGGGTGGTGGATGTCCTTGTGTGGTCCGTCAATCTGATTAAAACACAGATCCTATTTCGTTTCGTTTTTTATAGTTTAAAATTTCGTTTTACTTGTCTATACTGCACTAGAATCTGGAAGAGTTGTTATCATTGACGTGTTATGGTGTTATGGATGATGTGAGGGATTAGCCATGGTCTATTACGACGAGCAATCGGCGTGAGGTGCACGGAATTGTCGGTAATCCATAGAAACATCAATGCTGATTGGTTAATCTAAGTCTAACGTCATAGGGTCAAAAGTCGCCCGTATGACCTCTGACGCACCCTCCAAAAACAACTGGTCAGATCTTCATTTAGTGTAGGCCATCGAAAGTATAAAAAAAACAGAACGAAATATAGATCTGTATTTTAATCAGATTGGTGGTCCGTTGGTACGTGGACAGGGGAAAATTGATCATTTGGGTTGAAACAAACTTTTGCCCTCAACAAGTACAATCATTGAATGAATCATAGACATAAGAACTGCATCTGTAGTGTTATTATTGTCTTTGTATCAGACCATCTTATGAACCTACCCATTAAAATCACTAGAAATGGAAAAAACTAGTTATAAGGCAGCCATCAAGTACCTTCAACTGAAAGCACCCATACACAGATACAATCCTCCGGCATGGTCTTCACTTTAGTGGATGACGCCCCTTCCTTTTCTACAGTAAAGAAGTGGGCTGCGGAATTGAAGTAGGGCAGAGAGAGCCTTGACGTTGACCAGCGTTCTCGAAGGCCACCAAAAGCAATCACATGATAAATGGGATGGCTGATGCACCATTGACATATTACCAGTGTTGTGGGCATCTTCCATTCGAGGATTGAGAACATTATCGCCAACAAGTTAGGAATGACAAAAGTGTCTGTAAGACTGGTACCAAAGATCTTGACTACGGATCAGAAAGGCGTTACATTCCATGCGTGTCACTTTCCTAGACTAATTAATTAATGGGACTTTATTATCATTGATTAAAAAAGATGGGGTGGACGTGGCGTATAAATAACGTTTCCGACAAGATAAAAAAAATTATCAATCTCCTTTGTCAAGACTTCCACTATAATGGGTTGTTTTCCTCTTACTAATGATATTGGTAGTTGCATCTCTACATTTAAAACAAGCAATTAAACTGTAAAATATCAACTGACTAATATGTTTACAAAAGCATTTAATAATTTTAAAGTGGATATCAAACAAATAGGCAACCCCGTAAACACGATACAATGGTTCAATTAAATGCATTATTCAATATTTGAAAAGTGTGTTATACATAAAATACATTATACTTGTTAAATTCACCCTATTTTAATCTGTCAATATGTTTTCGGTAAATGGCAAAAGATTGATTTACAAACATGCTTTTAGAGTTTATTTGATTGATAAATTCCTCTTTTGTTAAATGGTATATTAATTTTGTCAGACTGATTGCACGTATATGATTACATTGGACGCCTGTGGTGTTTGACTGGTTAAAACATTGTAGCTTTCTCGATAGGTAATATGAATAGATTAATTTAATCCCCGGTTTCATATAATAAATAATATCATTAATTATGAAACCTTGCGTATTATAATTCTATTTTATTAAAGGGATTATATAATATACATACTACAGCAACCACTTTATTGGGACCATTAGATTTATACACTTTTAAACATACAATTGTGCACCAAAATAAAACAAAAACAAAAACAAATATCGGACAAATACAAGCCACTATTTAGTATTTCAATGAAAAGAAGAGGTGGTTATAGATCTCCAAAAAAAGGTATTCCAATGAAATTCCGGAATTACTTCATATCCCATATTCTAGTTTCTTTTTACCAACTGTATAGGCTTTAAGGATTTTGGACACAAGAATTCCAAACAATTTAATATCATGTTGTAGCTCATCATAATCACATGACTGTATTGGTAGAATACTACTACATAATCGCTGTACTTTCTAAAATAATTAAAATAAAACATTAATCAGTTAACATAGACAAATTTTAATAAATAGCGCTGATCAAATTCTTTTAAAATATTCAAGCCAATTTTCAAAAACTATCCGACAGGAACAGCCATCCTCCGAATGTCCAAAACTAGACGGACCAAGTTCAATCTGATTAAAACACAGATCCAATTTCGTTTCGTTTTTATAGTTCAAAATTTCGATTTTACTTGTCTTTACAGTAGGCCATCGAAAGTATCAAAATCGAAACGAAATATAGATCTATATTTTAATTAGATTGGACCAAGTTACGACAATATACACCAACCTTAGATGTAGGTATATAAAAATAGAAAAGAGAAAGAAAATTGGTTTGACAGTCTCATATATAAAGCATAGCAGTTACTTAAGCCCACGTGAACAATAATAATAATATTGTCAGTTCAACCTAACCACACCCATGACCGTCTTGAGAATATTAGCGCCCCCTGGCAAAGCAATGAACTGGGGCCTCTAAGTCTCATCTTCCAACACATGAAAATATAGGGTCTATTATGAAAAAATTTTCCATGACAACTGGGGTTCAATCTAAAGATCAATTAAATACCAGATGGCCCAGATTTAACATTAATTATGCACAACACGGGAGCCCAGATTTCACATTAATAACATGCACTGTAATTTTAGTTTTCATAATACATATTACCAACAATTAACTTGAATTCATACTGGGATATTCAAATGTATGACCTACCCCTTCATGTGCATACACAAACAGTTGACTTTCACTGAGTTCCGCAAGCACGAAACCATTCTTATGAAGTGTGTTCATTGACGTTGCAATCCTGATTGTAATCTCTAAGAACATCGACAAATCAGTGTTGGAATGTAGGTAATCAGTCAAGCGAACAGCATCTTGGGGTGGATCTATTTTGAATAATTCTGAAGATCGGATATCGTGTACTCCTTTTTGTATCTCTGTTGCTGAAAATAAGTTGGAAACAAATTTTGAATTGCTTTTCCCACTACCGTTTGTATATATATATATATATATATATATATATATATATATATATATAGTTAGACCCATGTTCCTGAAGAAATGACTGCGAGTTTTTACAACATCTGGACGTTGTTAGATTGCTTTACAATTCCGAAACTTACAGCTAAGTTATTTCTATTTACTGCAGGCACCATCCTCGGTATCCCCAGTGGTCTCATTCCGTTCTACTCCACTAACCCCTGGGTTAATCTATGGGGGAGGGGGGGCACGTTTTCAAGTTATCTGCCCTTGATGATTGTGCTATTTTTATCGACCAATCCCATAAATCGTTAATTGCAAAGGAAGTTGGCAAAGGAAGTAACTCTCATCGGGTAAAGTAAGCAAAACCCAAAGAGACAAGGTTAGGAATTAGCCAGAAGGTAGCCTAAATCAGAAAAGTCCAAATTATACTAAATGCGTATATATTAGCAACAAATTATACCGGACAGGTGTTTATATTATAATATATGTAGGTTCAAGAGTTATGTTGAGAATCAAATTGCGAAGTATGAGTTCAATAATAATAAACATAACAGAATGAAATATCATTCAGACAAAGAACGACTAGTAAAAATAATAACAAAAGTCAAACATATAGATGTTATATATATTTGAAATATAAATGAATTAGAAATATATACATTATTTACATAAATCATTCAGTAAATGGACATGGATAGGGTTATCAAACCTTATAAAAACGAATGGGAAACAAAAGCCGTTTCATTAGTAACTGTAAACTGTTTTTGATTGGTTCGTAGACTTTAGCTACAATCAAGGCTAGGGCCGATAATTTGAAATCGTGGAAATCCTATGGATTAACCCCAGATCACTGTGGAAACCGAGGATGTTCGGACACGTGAACAGTAGCGTTCAATAAGAAGTTGTGGCACAAACATGCTCAAATCAAATATAGCGACCTCCAAGGAAATCTTGACATTGAACGAACCCCGAACTCTGCAACTCGATTATCACAGGTAGACATTTTAACTGGAAAGTCCGAGACTTGATATTCTCGATGATCGAGGAATCTGAGTTAAACCAAATTAACAGTACATGTAAAGTTAATATTCACATCAGACCTCTAGAAAAATGATGCCTACAAGTTGCTAAATATTTGTGAATTGATTAGCGTCAGTATTGAATAATAACGATAGCATGACTATAATATTATCTACAGGGTTACACAACCTGACCCAGATCGATGATGCGCATGCTCAGTTCATACTCTTGTGCCGGAGAATTCATTAAGGTTTTTATAAAACGACGGAACAGAGTTACTTACTTTCAGTGCTATCCCTCATACTCTTAGATCGTGTATTGGCACGATTGGTAAGCTGAAATAATTTGTAACTTTATTTTAAAGACAAAATCTAATAATCTATCAATTTTGACAATATATCATTTTCCTATTGGAATAAAACGTCGGTTGTCTTTTCGATTATAATATCAATTAAGGCCATATGTTTAAAAACAAAAACAGCTTGCCTCTGCAACCAGGAGGAAATACAAACAAGAGCTCTTTCCTGATGCGATAAAGACTTTCCCGTGGGCTGTTTGATCTTAGTTGACATACAATGACAATATAAAATGTGTTGTACTCATATGATATTCACATTCTTTCTGCTGCTGGTGCCGTGGTGTTCAAGTGGTTAGGCCAATGGCCCTGGACTATAATAACCCAGGTTCAAAATCGAGCAAAGGCAGAGAAGAACTTTAGGAATCGTTTAAGGCTATTCGTTTGGATGTTACGGTTTGTTTGGTACATAAGGGTTAGGGTAAGAACAAAATCTAAAGACCTGCAGATGCCGATGAAGCAGTCTACATGTAAGGAATAAACTAGATTCAAATTATGTAGTAAGGAAGGGTGGGTGACAATATATTCAAGATGATATTTAAAAAAAAATACCTTTCTTACGACCTGTTTCATCTGTATTGACGATGCAGTATAAATTATCGGATTTAAAGCGGAGTTGATAGGAAGTATAAACACAGCTGTCCAAGCATAGACCTCCCCTGGTATTACGTAACCTCTTAAAGCCATTAGTCCTACAAATATAAAGAAAATGCATTTGCATACTCTACATGTTTAGACATTCTATTGACATACACACATTGTCTATAGTCAAATTGTCTGTCGTTAGATAGTACACAGGTTGGGCTAACTAACAGAACGCATGTATACCCATGTGTTAATCAATTCTTGGTATAATTTAGGAACAATGAGGGGAAGATAACAAATAATATGACATTTAATAATTTATACATACCTAAAACACAAATGGGAAACCAGCAAATGAAGTCGGACATCACGATGAAGGACAGCTTCCTGGCAACGGTCATATCCGATTTTCGTTGGAACTGGAGACGCTGACTGCTTTGTCTGATTTCGTGATAAATTAAACCTTGGCCCAATGCAATTACAACAAAACAAATAAAGTTCCATACAATAAAGATGCCCACTCCGTATTCCCAGCCTGGAGATCTATCTCGTGTTAGAGGCAGGCCAAGACAAACACCAGTTCTTGAGAAAAACTGATCCTTGAAGTATGAAGTCGCAATAAGGGGAAAGAATGCAAAGCATAGACTAAGAATCCAAATTGCTGATACATATAAGGCTGCCGATTTCTTTGTAATCTTCAATTTACTGAATGGAAATTTGATAGCGATCACTCGATCAATTGTTATAAGGCAAAGAAACATTACCGACGCCTCAGATGAAAATGTAGCTATGAATCCTGCTAATTTACAAACATAACTGTTTCTCCACCAAACATCATTCCAGCTGTATGTTCCTCGATACAATACATCGGCACTGGCAATAATTAACATGTATATTCCCATGAAGAAATCAGCAAGACTTAGATTAGCAACTATGATCCCATTGCTTTTCTTGAAGCCTGTAGAGTCAAATATTGCTCTATAGAGTAAAACAAAGAGATTTCCTATCAGAGCAATTAGACCAAGAAACCACATAGAAATCCTTAAAGTTTCATTCTTCATCAGGTCCGAACAAGACGAAAATTCATCCGGTTCTGGCAAACAGTTTTCAGCCAGAACTGATGTTGGTTTCAGACAGCAAAATGTATATCTATCGGTATGGAGATATGACAGATTTGAAAGACCATCGAATATTAAACCACTGAACTGACCAATGTCATTTCTCTGAAGATCTAACATACTTAATCCACCCAATGAGTCAAAAGCCTTATCTTTGATGGAGTAGATACCATTTCCAGAGAGATTCAAAGTTGCAACAGCAGATAAACCACTAAATGTTTCAAACACTATTGTTTCTAAACTCATTCCAGATAGGTCTAAATGTTTCAAATTACTTAATCCTTCAAAAGCCAAGGGCTCTATGGCAGCTAGACCTTTATTACCCAGTAAGTTTAGGAACCGTAAATTTTTAAGATCATAAAATGTATGCTTCCCCAATTTAGTTATAGAATTATAACCGAGATTTAAATGAATAAGATTATACAGATTTTTAAACATTTCTTTTGATATGTACTTGATATTTGTGAACGACAAATCTAAATAACCCAGATTTTCTAGGGATTGAAAATTCGGATCTTGAAAGAAATGTGCATTCTTTAAATCTAAGTATGTGGTATTCGTGTTCAAAACGCTTAAAGTATCGTTGTAGAATTCGGTACATTTTACAATAAGACCATCACAAGTGCATCGAGGAGGACAAGTATTATCACAAAGCAGCTCGTCGTCACCCTCAGGACAATGCTTTATACCATCACACACTTCCTTCCATGGTAGACATATCTTTGTTTCTCTACATTTAAAGTAACCCTCACAAGACCAATCATCTGCAAGAAAACAATAAGTGTTCATTTTTATTTAAACTGAGTTATGCAAGAGCTATATCTGCCTATTGCAGGTTTTTCTTTAGGCATTACATTTTACATAAACTATTAATGAGATATTTATTCACATTACAATACCATAATCAATTCTCGATGCCATCAGGTATCCGCGATATTAAGTAGATCAGAATGGTTCGATCATTTAATGAGAAGCGGGCTAAGCTTCAGAGGCTATAATATCTTCACTCAGAATAATGTAATTTGAATGGAATTTTCAATATATCCATTTTGCATTATCTATTTTTGAACTATTATGGCAAGAATGTCTAGCTCTTTATTTACATTTTAGATAATGTATTTTTAATCAAAGTTTAATTACACGTCGATGAATATATCTTTGATATAGTTTCTAGAAAAAAACAAGTTATGGTTTAAGAGTAATTCCGTTGAATTCTTACCACAGTTTTGTTCATCCTCTTTGTTTGGACAATCTGCTTTATCATTACACACATTCCGTACAGGTAAACAGTAACTCTCTGGACATTTAACATGGTCAAGGGGGCACCCGAAATTAGCTGTAACAAACAAACCAATGAACATAATTCCAAGTAAATCAATAATTTTGTTAACAGATATAACCTTATAACCATGATTACGTTTCTGCCTTTACATTTTCTTCCTCTTAAAATTGATACTCACCACATCCATTAAGATGTGACAGATCTCTGCACCCTGTTTCAACACCAAATACATCATAATCTAAAATACACCTTGTGGTTGCTGGTACAACTATACCACTGTCACATAATAAAAAATTGTTTTTCATGTGGGTGTCTGAAATTTTAAAAGAAAACGGCGATTAGTTTAATTTAAGGATATATGACTTTTTTTTCAATATTGAGATCCTAAATACAATAAGCGCAATACGAGGCGTCATTGTAGGGAATTAAGAACCCCCTGTAAACTACAAAATTGTGAAAGACGAATCTGTTAATAGAAATGTCGATACAAAATGGTTTAGTATTTTACAAAGACATGTTGAAATGAATTCTCGTCGGTCGATGCTGCTCGCTATGTAATACGCCCGTCACAATTTAGTTGTGGCAAACGGAAATTATGGGCCTGTCTTAGATCCGATGTAGCGCTGGTATTTTAGTTTTGTTTCTTTCTTAAAGGCTCAATACCACTCTTGTAGTAACTGAATAATATGTCCCAATCTTTATTCTGGTCAACAAATTGTACTATTTTAGAATATTTCAATTAATTGATGATACAAAGTTCATCTAAACACACCTTATTTAAAAATTTTGAAAAATTCAACATAATGGTTTGAAACGTCTAACGTAAACCTTTTCAAATGAAACTTCGATTTAAAAATATTTTCGAACCCTCTGGACAAGTAAAATAGGATGTAATGGATAATTTACACAACAGGTAGGACACTTAAACATCTAGTACTTAGATAGAGATATTATTTATTTTTTGGAGCTTTTAAGACAGCAAGAGTGTTATTGTCCCTTTAATTAAAGTTGCAAAGTCTATAACCCAATATCATCGACAGTCCTCGACATTGCAAACACAGCATATTGGTCAATTTAAATTTACATTGATGTTGTTATCTTACCATGAAAAGTTGGGCTTCTGATATCTAATATTTAAGACAAAATGAATATTTCAAAATTGGCACACGAATCGTGTGTCAGAATGCTTTCGTGTGCCAGTTGCATGAAGCGACTCGATGAATGATTAGAAATTACTTGAATGTAAATCAGTTTATATACATTCATATTACATTATTATATGCATTGCGAACCATTAGTATCCATTTCTAGGTGCCAAAGAACAGCGATTTATTTCCTTTAAATGCTAAATAATCAATCTGATTACATATTAGGGTGAATTAACTACATGTATTGAGAAATTTGATATTTTGGCACCCCCCCCCCCCCCCACCAAAAAAAAAAAAAAAACCCGCACATACTTCGTTTTAACTTTAACCTCGGGCTTTCTGTGAATCCCCATTTCTTCCCAAGAGCATGGCATAGAAACAACAAATTCCCAACCATGATCAATAATGAAATAACTAGTATTGAGTAGATTTATTTTGTTTGGACATGAAGTGTCTGGAGATTTATAAGTACCTTCTTCGCATTCCAGAGGTCCGATGTAAATTTTTAGGCCTTGCAATACCCGTACTGATTCCATTCTTATAAGTGTCACTGGAAGTAAACCCTTGTCATCTATATAACCATGGTCTTTCATCCATGCATTGTCATCCATTGAAAACCAGGCTGATAATTCCGAGTCACAGTTACACCTCGAAAATAAAACGTTGAAATTGTATTATAATAGTCATGGACACAATATACGGCGTGAGCTTTCATAGTTTAGATCTCATGTTTGTACGTGACCAGGAAAGGGACATCGACCTAACCTCGTGGGTTTATTACGAGTACCCCGATTTCCATTTATTCTGAAGAGCCCCGCGAGCAAGTGAATTATTGAAATAAAAATATACACGGTATGCCTAATTAATGAAATGCAATTTGTCTTTTGGCTTCGCATTCGCATGAAAGCTTAGTGGACATAGTTTATCTAGGGTTTGGAAACTTTTCACGTTGTGTTATTTTAAGAGAAATATAAATATCTATTTACTTGGTTATGTTCTGTGTACACGAATCTTTCAAAATACAAGAACAGGCATCTTTGTCTTTACTGTCACTTGAGAACAGCTGTGTTTGTCCATTAATATCATGCCAATAATTTTCACTGTCATATGCCCATACTAATTGGTGGCAGCCAATATCTAAATACTGGCGACATTGTAAAACCGTATCTTTAAAAACAGCTATAGTCGCTAACGATGCACTGTATTGTATATTTTGATCGAGATCGGTGTATCCAACGTAGTTCAAATCTTCCATGTCATGATGAAATACTGTATTTACTTTATCATCATTAAAAGTACACTCAACTTCAAATGTTTCTGAAATAATGAGTTACAGATCTTCATCTGATGCAGTCAATGGAAATTAAGCGAGGGCCACATAAAATCAAGTAGTCAAACTAGAAATATTAAAGATAACTTGTGCGCGTTTTAGACAGAGAGTTGGTCTTTCTTACTAATATTGTTCAAATAGATAATGAAAACGAATACATCAAAAGTTTCAGTCAAATTACCTTTGCAGTTATGGAAAGAATAACCATAAATTGTCTCCAGAGTCTCAGTGAGTGTGGAACATATTGGCGTTTAACGCATATATGGCGGACATTGTCTAATAAACGCAATATCTAAGCCATCCGATGCTCTAGTGAGCTGATTGTGGGCTAATTTACATAACATCTGAAGGCAGAAAAACGCCTGAAAATAGACAAGTTTGGCCCTTGAAGAAGTAATTTTATTGCCTCACCATTATTGATATACAGTTGATATTTCCCATTTTCAGTAACTCCTAAAGCATTCCAGGATCCACAAGATGTTTGTGATTTACGGGTACATGTTGGTCCTTCATCCTCGCCATAAAGACCCATACAATCAACATAGCCATCACAAACCCTTGTTTTAGATATACATCTACCATCATAACACTGAAATGTCGAATCCTTGCACACATCTGTGAAGTAAAATACAAGGATGGTTACACTTTCTGGAATACTTAACACTACATTGTTATCAAAATCTTTAAGTGGCATTTAGCGATTGGGAAACACATTAACAGAACACAGTTTTTATGGGAAACAATCACTGGTTTATTCTAAAAGCACGACGTTTCAATAAGTATCCTCTTATCGTTATCAAACACAATGATTGTTATCGATAGTTCATCACTATGTCTCGTTAAAGTACTTTTACACTGATGTGTTTATTTATGTATAAAAATCTTCTAATGAACTGCTGAACTAAATATTTCAACGATAAACTTGAAGAAAATGTAGTTTGAAATGTTGCTCTATATAATATATACATACAAGAATTATTTATTATTATCATTACATTCATACATACCACAATTTCTTTCATCAGAACCATCCTTACAGTCTGATTTTAAATTACATCTTTGTTGAAATGGTATACATTCACCAGATGAACACTTCCATTCTATGTCTTCGTAACATGGTCGACGAACTTACAGAAAAAAAATAATCATGTAAATAAAATAGGGTTTAACGTCCTACTTTTCTGCACCAATAGCAACTGAACTGTCATTTATTCTTTTACGTGCACACCAACAACTTCAAGCGGTTCCGTGGCATGCCCCGCCCGTCACCAAGGAATAAACAATAAACATGTAGTTTAATCGATATTCTAAAATAGAAGTGCCTAAAAATATCGAGTCTGTACCCAATCCCTATTTAGTAAACGAGAGAGAGAGAGAGAGAGAGAGAGAGAGAGAGAAATTGGGTTATTCGACCACTCGACACAAACTAGGTCATTTCGGGACTAACATATGGTTTAATTTTATTTCAATAATTCGCTTGCGCGTAGGGGTCTTTAGCAGTGGGAGGAAACCGGAGTACCCGGAGTAAACCCACGAGGTTGGACAGGCAACCCTACTCCTTGTCACGTACAGCAGGGGAATCGAAACCACGCCAGTTGACTCAGTGACAGACCTTATGATACAGAGCGCACGGGCTAACCATTCGGCCATCCAACGCCCTTATTTAGTAAACGTCTTTCTGAATAACATTTTTTATAACTAAAAAATTACAATATTATTATTATAGGTTATGTATTGCTTATGTTTAAAAATATCGACTTAGATTGTGGCGACATGTGGGTTTTCAATGTATGTATCTTCTGAGAACCCCAAAAGAAACCAATCCAAAAACGGATGGATACATTACATGTATGATATTGTTTGTATGGATACATTGCATTCGGTAAAACTATTTAGCCACAGTTCCAAATTATAAATGGATTTAAAGCAGTGTCTTTGGTACAGTTTCCTTTGTACCCCAATATTAATAAAATAATTTGAAAGACATAATTAATTTATATTTACCACAATGTTTTTCATCAGACATATCACGACAATGGAATTTAAAATCACAATAAAATGCCATATTGATGCATTGACCATTATCACATCTATACATGGTACTATCACAATCATCACCTGTTAATATAATACCGTGGTAATTAATAAACAGTCAACTAGAACAATCACCTCATATTATTCATATAGAGTATATATTTTATTTTCATTTAATAATTTTGAAAAGGTTTCATTAGCCTTTTTGTGTATAACAGATGTGAATCAGTGTAGGACGGCATTACAAGACAGTATACTACGTTTTGGGTATGGTGGACACCAGAGGTCCACTCTGAAAGTAAAGTACAATTTCGCTTAATTTCTTTTTCTGCCCCCCCCCTCCGCCCTCCCACAGACTGTACCAACACCCCACCCCACCCCCACCCCACACACCCAGACTTGCAGTGGTCCATTTATAAAAATCTTACCACAGCTGGCTTCATCACTACCATCAACACAATCCCTGTGTTCATCACATTTATAAACTGATGGTATAAATTCACCAGATGATGAACACTGATGATAAACATCTGATGGTCGTAACGCCATGTCATCTCTCTTCAGGGTAAGATTATCTAAACGATGGGAAAAAGAAAATACACAACTATCAATTACTATTAGCCTCTATGCGTCATTTGCAGTTTTTGGAAAATGTTAACTTCTCCACAGCTGAATCCACGCCAATGTACGGCAGATAGTCTCCCATGAAGCGAAAAAGAAATGAAACGTGGGTTTACGCTCTACTGTGCTGTTCCGACTGGGCTAACGAAAAAGAACAGAATACAAGATGGCAATTGGCTGTCACCTAGGGAGCAGAATTTTCAGTCTATCAAATTTATCTTTTGAAATACTGAACAGAATTTAACCATATTTGGACTGAAAAGAGCAAATGGTTGTCATGCAAGATGCACCCACGTTTTGCAACAAGATAAAGGGAAAATCAATAGGGCTCACCTTTTCAGTGTCCTGATGCTTAACATAGAAACTGATTAAAACATCTTAATTAATAATATTCCCCAGTCTACTGTGTATGAACAAAATAACTCACAGTGGATATACATGATAACACCCTCATAATGTAAGAAACATTGAAATCATCCTTGATACTTGACATGCATTTTAAGCATCATCTATATGTGGTTTCTTGGGGGTCCACAACCTTGCGATTACATGCTTTTACACTATTTTCGTAAAGGGGGTGGCCAATTTGACGGGATGCGATTTTCCCAAAATTAAACCTAACTGTTCGGCTACGACTCAACGGTCCTTGAAACTCCGACGGCTAAACATTTCATGTGACCTCTAGAGGTTCTATGGACTACACAACGATTTTTCGTAGAATTAGGGTCAATAATCGAACGGACTCAAGACCTTTAATTAAATAGTTTTATCAGAATTGAATAAAATAGTGACCTCTGGGGTGTACTAACACAAATTAAAAACTCGATTTGCGAACAAACTAAGGTCATATAACCCATGAAGTTATAGTCCAATGCATGCCAACACCAATAGGAGTCGAGATCCTATCTTTTAAGTTTCCTAAAAATCCGATAAAAATTGTGACCACAAACAATTATGTGAAAGGACATAATCTGCAACGGTTCTTGTCTTTTAGACCTAACCTGGTCGACGGGACAGATTGATTTATAATAAAGACTGTTCAATTCTAATGAAGATAAAAACTCACATTCATGAATTGCTTTGTTTTTTTCACATATAAACTGATCGAGTTGGTTATAAGCACAAGCTACATCGTGCCAAGATTTTAGAGATCTGATACTTGCTATAGTCATGAATGAACATAATTCCTGATCAAAACCATCTGGTTGTCTTCTCCCACTTGTTTCATCTTCGTACCTAAAATGATGGGTACAATTATGACAGATTAGGACAATTATTTTAGTTTTATGGTTTTTTTTATAACCCTTTTAAAATACAACAATTTTTGACTTTAAATGAAAAGTTAATTAATGGAGTTAAACGTCCTACTGTTCTGCTCCGACTGGACTAATGAAGACGGACATCCGCCATACAGTGTGCTATGAGGGAAATAAAACAGAACCATAATCAAACAGCTTATTAAGCTGATCCTGAAAACCATGTGATGATTTGGTTAATAATGTAGTGTCGTCTGCAAACATGAAACACGAGGTGATTAAATTCCCTATGATCAACGGGTAAACAGAGAAAGGATTCATAAAATCAACAAAATCGTTGAGTTAGAATAGGAAACTCCCTGTTTAACACCACATTTGGAATATATTTGACTGAAAACTAAATTGAAATACAGACATATTTCTGGTCTCCTTCACCGACTCGTAAATTCGTCAGTGTAAAACAATCGAGAAGAGTTTTCCTAAAGTACACATCAGTGTTATTCCTTGGTAATTATTAGGTTCTTTAAGAATTTAAAAACTTGGTGTTTACTTTGAGGTATTTATCTACTACATACAATTTACGCCGAGAAGTTGGCTGTTGTCATTTCAGAGTTGAGAAGTTGCATACGTATCTTTCGCCAAAACTGTTCTTCTAATTCCGGCCATTTAAAAGACCGAATCCACGGAGTGACGACATAATAAGCCCACACCGAAATGTAGCGGACCCTGATTAACTTACCAGGCAGAATAAGATAAAGGTTTTCCGTCAACCCACAGGAAGGTTCCATTTTGTATTTTCTCTAAACCTGGAGAACAAACAACACAGACATAAATATTAATATCATTTGAGAGCTGTATGTCCAATGAAGCGTCTGCGGAGCCAAATGCCAAGAAAGAAAACAAAAGGTAAGAACCAATAACCAGTCGTAAGTCAAAACAAAACATTATTTACGGCAAATCCAGATCTACTGACCTATATAAGCACTCCGTGTAGAAAATGGGCTGTGCAGCAAAATGGTAGAGTGTAGAAATTCCATTTCTCTGATTCCGTTGATACTGACAAGATGGCCGCCTTGTTTCGCACATAGAGACCTTGCACTTGTCCATGTGATTGGTTTGTTACTGATATCAAATTTATAACAACTGTTTTCAAAGCCACGCCACCCCACGTCACATCCTGTAAGATAAGTGGTTCATTGTAGGCACCCACAGTTAATTCGACGGTATATTGTCGTCTTTCGTCAGTCCCGACTATCCTATAAAAGTTGTACAGGGCGAAGACGGATTTGTTTTCAAATGGCGTAATAAGAAATACCGTATCGAAATTGGTGAACACGATAGAGAACAGAGTTCTTGATATAAGGTTTTAAAACTGCTGTTTAAGGTTTAAGAAAGCGATATATATATGGAAGGGGATCGACGCCACATTAAAAGACATGTAAACACGAGTAGAAGTTTCTATGTCAGCATATGAAAGTGTTGTTTTGATGATTTTTCCATGTTCGATTTTACAAAATAGAAAAGTATTGTCCACTAACGAAAAAACACATGTACAAATGCGCCTTGTAACGTTTGTATTTTCTACATCTGATCTTTCAACTGTTGTAATTTCTACTAGTGCATAATCGACATATGTAACTTCGACATTGGTATTTTCTTCCAATGTAATTTCTCCACATGTCACATCCATCAAGGCGTGGTTCCGATTTTAGCCGAAGCTTGCGTCATAAAAACAAAACCTCCCTTCAAGTAGTCTCGGTCATCCAGACAATATGGCTCCTCCGCGATAGCTCCCTCGACTAACGGGCTTGGATGACCGAGGCTACCCTTCGAGGAAAGTCATTCCTACTACCAGAAAGTTGCATAAAACAATATGTTAGTGTTAACTTCCGTTAAAAATTATTGATGCTCCCCATGCAACTTTCTGGTAGTAGGGATGACCGAGACTACTTGAAGGGAGGTTTTGTTTTTATGACGCAAGCTTCGGCTAAAATCGGAACCACGCCTTGATGGATGTGACATGTGGAGAAATTACATTGGAAGAAAATACCAATGTCGAAGTTACATATGTCGATTATGCACTAGTAGAAATTACAATATGTTAGTGTTAACTTCCGTTAAAAATTATTGATGCTCCCCATGCAACTTTCTGGTAGTAGGAATGACTTTCCTCGAAGGGTAGCCTCGGTCATCCAAGCCCGTTAGTCGAGGGAGCTATCGCGGAGGAGCCATATTGTCTGGATGACCGAGACTACTTGAAGAGAGGTTTTGTTTTTATGACGCAAGCTTCGGCTAAAATCGGAACCACGCCTTGATGGATGTGACATGTGGAGAAATTACATTGGAAGAAAATACCGATGTCGAAGTTACATATGTCGATTATGCACTAGTAGAAATTACAACAGTTGAAAGATCAGATGTAGAAAATACAAACGTTACAAGGCGCATTTGTACATGTGTTTTTTCGTTAGTGGACAATACTTTTCTATTTTGTAAAATCGAACATGGAAAAATCATCAAAACAACACTTTCATATGCTGACATAGTAACTTCTACTCGTGTTTACATGTCTTTTAATGTGGCGTCGATCCCCTTCCATATATATAGGGCAAAGCTCCCGTTGATTTTATTTTACTTGGTGAGAATGTTTAGTGTGTGGTGAACAATGACAAAATCTGAACCATAATGTTTATTTTCAATTTGACAATTTTCGTGGATTTTCAAAGCAATTTCTTCACCCTCGGTGATATTGTTCTTTTGGGCACTAAATGTCCAAAATTTCAGATTGTAAGTTTCCAATGCGTTGATATTGTGACGTTTACGGCTCATGAATCCGATATTTTTCTAAATACAGTATTACTATTTATCGTCATTAATGTATACGGCAGATTACATATTAATTTAGCATAACCTAGGATTTTTTTAACGAATGGTGCTTTCAAGTGCCTTATCCAACCGCATTAAACTATCGCTCGAAAACTATATATTACTTCCCCGTAGGTAGAATGATTATGTGTTCACCCAACTTTGTAGCATCCGTATCGTAACAATTTCAAATGTTAACTTAATATATAATCTGCCAAATCATAAACACATAAACTGGTAATTCTATGAATAAATACAGCATTGATAAACTGGAATCAGAGTTTAATTGGACTTTCGGAGGCTAAGCTGACTCAATATATTGTGGGTTTTAAAATGACAGAATAGGCTACATCAGTAAACTGTTGCTCGTACTTATAACCGTTGGTGAGATACTGAAAATAGTTCATGTTATGTATTTGATATCTGACACATGTAGGATTGTTTTAGTGGATATGGATTTCGTATGGTTTTCTTGTGACAAATGAACAGGAAAAGGAATTCAAATATTTGTGTTCAAAACCTCGATTATCATACTGTAGTAAGCATTGATTTAACCCAAATGCCACTGGGTATAAGAAAATACGGCCAGCAGAATACTATTGAATTAAAATAGCACATGTCTTTCCAATACTTTGAATTGTTAGTTTGTACAGTATTAATTATTCGGGTGGCTTACCTGTGGAATTCTGTGTTGTTGTCTGTAGGGTTATCGTTCTGAGTTCATACTTCAACATGAAGCCAGAACCCACAACACTGAAGTCCGAGTACAACTCCACCTCCATTTTATGCCCGTTAGAATTAATGCTGTACACAGGACGATGGTGTTTACAATATTTTCCCAAAAAAAATCGATTATCATTCAGACCCAGATCATACAGATTTACAAAATCTCCTTCACACTTCTCGTTTCCGATGACGTCAAGTTGAAGGAACGTAGCAACTACATATTGCCCCACCACGCCTTGAATTTTCCAAGAGCAAGAGGAAGAAACATCGTAGAAATCTGGGAAGTTACGACTTGATATGTAACCACAACTTGTCAGACATTTTGCTCCAGTTGAACAGCTGATCTCACCCACGCCACAACCAGCACAATCTGACGAAGTAATACGGAAAATGAAAAGTTAACACACTTAATGGTACAAAGATAGACAAGTATCTGCGCCATATAGGGTTCCCTCCTCCCAAACCTATATGTGTACCTACTTTCATTCGAGGTTAGCCATATCAAAGCTCCATAACTTACCCCCCATATGATTGGTTCTAAAATGAAATTATTTCTGATGATCATGTTCCTCATTCTTGTTGCGTATTTGGGCCCAACCACAAAAACATTAATTTATATTACATTTCAAGCCAGCAATAAGAGCTGCAATATACAAATTTAGCTCTGACACGGTGGACCTTTAAACAGTGTCGAGAAAGCACTTATATTTTTTCATGTGCCAAGAACCATTTATAACTGAGAATATATACTACAGGATAAGAATGGGAAATGTCTTACCCGATTTGCTGATGTTTATTGCGAATCCTCTGGCCCCTGTCTCTGAAAATCGGTAGCTGGATTTCAAATTGATTTCTAGAGTGTTAGACGTAGAAATCAGTCTTGTTATAGGATTTATTTTGAGGGTACCGCCACTTGTCTCGAATATTTTTGGTTCCCGGACATTTCTGTCATACACAGTGAATGAATCAGCAAGATTAGATTTATAACCCCCTACCTATAAGAAGAAATAGTATTTGGTAATTGGGTTAACCCAATGCAACATCATATTCATACACCCGAGAGTATATATCATTCCTGGTATAAACTATAAACCTATCTCACGACCGTGACAAGGAGAAAAATATTCCATTGGTAAAGTGCCCCCAGGCCAATAGATCTTATAGACCTGCGGGCCTAATTCACTCATAGGTCAGGTGTCCATAAAGAGAGAATAAATATTATCATTTATCTTTAAATAAAACTATAGGCGTAGTTTTTCGGTTGTCGGAGGTTTAACGAACACATATTGGTGGACTATGTAGGGCTGCCTTCTTAGCGCTCATCTTTCACCTACATTTGAGGAGTCACGGTAGCTCTGTGAGTAGGACGTTGGTTCGGTAACCTGGAGGTCCCGTGTTCGATCCCTGCTTTGGCCGATAAAGTTCATTGGGATTTTCGACGTGGTTTCCCCTTGTCAGTGGTGTAGGACGGAGGGCTTGGCAAGGGACAACGTATAGTTATTCGGATGGGACGAAAAACCGATATCCCGTGTACATATTGACGTGCACGTAAAAGAATCTTTGGCAGTGGGAATTCGAAATAAGAGTAGGCCATAGCGCCGCTGTTCAGGGAAAATTTCTCTCATAGGACATTGCATGGCGTATGCCCGTCTTCATTCGTCTATATCACCTACTTTTGAACGTAAAATACAATCATGTTAATTTCTTAGCGCAGTATGAACTAAGGTGGATTATTGTTGGGGGTTTTTCCCATTTGCATTTATATATTTTAGGGACAAAGGAATTTTGATCTAAAAGTATTAGGTGTCCAGGTGCATGTAGAAACTGTAATAATATTTGAATGAAGAGTAACGCTTATATTATTTGAATCAAACCCTAAGATGTGCATTATAATTACCTGGGTATTTATCTCTGATACCGCTAGATCAACATCTAATAGATCTATTTGTACATATTGACCTTCAGGGAGGTGAATGATCCAAGTACAGTCAATAGATTCTCCATAGTAAAAAGGATAGCTTGGAGAATATAACTCTCCTAATGATGTAATATTTCCGCCACATTCAGTCATTGGTTTTACATCTAAATACCAAATGAACACAAATGACATAACAAGGCGGGACGATTTACCCAATACTACCCAATACCACCCAATACCACCCTAATACAACCTCAATATCACCACATACTACCCAATATTACAACATAATGATGTAAAATGTGCATATCAATTGAATTTATTCAAAAATAATTAGTTATAGCTCGGGAATTGTACTTTAAAAGCGATTACCGATCTCTGGCTGTTCCATTTGCCTCCCTATATCAACCAAAACAAGCAAAAACTAACCCAATACTACCAAATACTACCACATACTACCCAATATTATCAATTAACAACCTAATATTTTCAAATAGCAGCATATAAGTATAATTACTGCAACGAATATTCTATAATTTGCAGAAAAATGAAATGTTTGCGCAGTTATCTCCCTTTACAACCGATAAAGGGATTTTAGATTATTCAGATTAATCATCTTCTTTTGCATTGCAGTTGGTTTCCAAGTCGACGAAACTAAAATAAGAAAACCAAGTATTATATTGTGTATATTTTTATCTATTATATATAATTATATACTGTATTATTATATAAGATGGCCAGCGGTCTATAAATAACAATTTCAACCCCTCCATGGGTATCGTCAGAAGGCACGTCCTTTAATAAAAAAAATGCATATGTTTATATTTTTTCATGTCAACTATTAATGACCTAGTTTGTGTCGTGTGAAGGGTAAGCGCTTGTTATTATTTTGATTCGCATATGTTTATATTTATTTTTTTCATGTCAACTATTACGTTATTGCATATTTACGTAATGGATGATGGTTATTTAAAAATTAAGGAAATTGCACATGTTTATTACAAATGTGTAATGCTCTACTCGTATATACATTCCACCTGACTTGTCACTTAATCAACGGAAATAAGATTGTTGATTGGCTAATCAAGTTTTGTTGTGCTTAATCATCAAAAAAAAAACCGACAAAGCTGTAAGTGTTTAAGCAGATTAGTGAAAGTAAGGCTTTGTATTTTATTTTCAGGCCGCAAATCACAATGTTGACAAACTGAGAAGTGTCGCAGAAAGAGAGATGCTAATTCACAAATAGAGGCGTGTCGATTTATCCCCTACAATAGTACCAATAAAATTCCCTGTTGACGAAGTAGCTGACAAATTATTGAGGCAGTATACCAAATAAACCAATGTCAATGCAGTAAAATCTACGGGCGATGGGGATTGTCTCTTCAATGCAGTCTCAGGGTGCGAATCTCTTTCAGTAGAGTTGAGATATCGCACTTGTTTGGAGATGGTTCTGAACCAAGCAAACATGGGTACCGCCTGACGATACCCATGGCCATCTTATATAATAATACAGTAGTTAACTATATATAATGATTAAAATATACACAACAAAATACTTGTTTTTCTTATTCTTACTTCGTCCTCCTGGAAACCCACTGCAAAGCAAAAGAGGATGATTAATCTGGAAAGCAATTTATCGGTTGTAAAGGGAGATAACTGCGCAAACATTTCATTTTTCTGCAAATTATCGAACATTCGTTATAGTAATTATACTAATGTGCTGCTATTTGAAAACATTAGGTTGCTAACTGATAAAATTGGGTAGTATGTGGTAGTATTTGGTAGAATTGGGTTAGTTTTTACTTGTTTTGGTTGATATAGGGAGGCAAATGGAACAGCCAGAGATCGGTAATCGCATTTAAAGTACAATTCCCGCGCTATAACTAATTATTTTTTTAAAAAATCAATTGATATGCACATTTTACATCATTACGTTGGAGTCTTAGGTAGTATGTGGTTATATTGTAGTGGTATTGGGGTGGTATTGGGTAGTATTGTGTAAATCGTCCCACCCGCATTGTATAATACTATTTGTAAAATAAAGACCTTCTTTCGGGCCTGGGCAAATACATTGCTAACAGAACACAGTTTTTATGGGATACAATCACTAGTTTATTCTAAAAGCACGACGTTTCGACAAGTATCCTCTTATCGTTATCAAGCACAAATGACAAATGAAGATAAATATATAAGAGTGTGTAATAACTTAACCTTTCTCATGAGATGTAGAGACAGTGAAATTGTGTCACATGGATTAAAACTTAAGGGTCCAGTTAACTCCAATGCTGCAAATAAGATCTTACTTCAAGCTAGTAAATCCCTAGTACGTGAACGCATTCAACATCACCGGAATACTAAGCACCGACTTCTGCAAGATATTGGAGCATCACATCTGAAACTTAATCATCTAGTTACTACAGAGGATTTTAATTCCATCCGCAAGGCTCAGACTTCCACCAACCAAGCCAGCGAAGAAAGAATTAAACACCGACACCTCAAAAAGTATGAACAACTAAAGAAAGATAATGTAACAACCAAGAAAACAGATACAACTATGCTAAAGACTGACTTCCTTACTAAAACAGTTGTCAACCTCAGCAGTAAAGATCTAACCAATGACCAAATCAGTTTACTTTCTAAGGGCCTGAAGTTTGCCCCATCCTGGACACCAAGAAATCATGATGTTTTTATCGCCAACATTGAGAAAGGTCTATGCCAACTAGCACCAGGGGGAAAAGTTGATTTCCTTTTTATTTTTTCGTCATTTGTGCTTGATAACGATAAGAGGATACTTGTCGAAACGTCGTGCTTTTAGAATAAACTAGTGATTGTATCCCATAAAAACTGTGTTCTGTTAATTTGTTCCCCGATCGCTAAATGCCACTTAAAGAATACAATACATTGCTAATGTAATTAATTACTTTTCCATTATTTTGAAATATATTCATTACAGCCCCTTTCTTATTGTTTAGCAATGTAATTAATTGCGATTACCCTATCCACTGATACTAATGATTATTACCTATAACTGCACAATAATCAAAATCCAGTTATTGTGTCATTTGTATAACATATAACGAAGCAAACGTGCTATGCCACAATATGGCACAATCTTTACATAAAAACACAGAAATCAGTGATCTGTCTGAAATCTATTAGAATCTGTCAATAATAAAGCAACCAGCGACATGGAGTATTTTATAAATTATGACAAATCAGGTATCATTTGTGAAAGCTTACTTTCCTCCGTGACGGATACGACGTGAATTAAAAAGGCCATTTATTAAAATCGTAGGTGTAAAATAATAATTATATAAACAGCATTCATATAATACTCAATGATTAAAACATTTGGAAGCAAAGTGTAATTATTGTCTACAGGAAAAAGGAAGGGTGTCAGAAAAGTGTTTGGAAAATAATTGCCAGGAGGCATGAGGAAGTTACGCACTGATATGTAAATTTTCATATGTATTTACTGTCTATTTTCATGTACTGTGGGATAAATAAACAACGAAACCTTGCTTGACTCACCTCTAAGGCACATCCTCTGTAAGTAGGACACACTTCCAACTTTTCTTATCCACCACTGTACGTAGTGTCGGCTGTATCTGTCGCCCAGTAAAAGCTTACATCGTTTATATTTGTATGTATATACAGCAGACCTGCAGGGTAGATACCATTTGGTGCATGCATCTTTGCAATCACCAACCCCTGGCAGTATTTGTGTGCTATTATCCCCGACATTGTCCATGTAGAAATTATGACCATAAAGTTCCTGCCAGCCGATGAATTCACTTGAGGGGTGACATTTGAGATCAAACTCCACTACAAAATACAACAAACAGGGTAAAGTATTGGGCTCAACCAAAAAATACAGTAAAGGTTATTTTTTTTATAGCAAACTGGGTAAAGTATTGGACTATTAAATACAGCAAACTTTATAAAGTATTGGACTCAACTACAAAATACAGCAAACGGGTTAATGATATTGGACTATTAAATACAGCAAACTTGGTAAAGTATTGGACTCAACTACAAAATACAGCAAACGGGATAATGTCATTGGACTACAAAATATAGCAAAATGGGTAAAGTATTGAACACAACTACAAAATACATTGTACAGCAAACGGGATAACGTTTTTGGACTACAAAATATAGCAAACTGAGTAAAGCTTTGAACACAACTACAAAATACAGTAAACGGGATAACATTATTGGACTACAAATTATAGCAAACAAAGTAAAACATTGAACACAAGTACAAACTACAATAAACGGGAAAACGTTATTGAACTACAAAATATAGCAAATTGGGTAAAGTATTGGACTCAACTACAAAATACAGCACTCGGGACAACGTTATTGGATAAAGTATTGATCAACTAAATCCAACAAACTGGGTAAAGTATTGGACTGAACTACGAAATACTGCAGACTGGGTAAAGTAATGAACTGTAACGCTATTTAATACGGTTTCTGTTTCTTATAAATGACGCACATTGCCTCTTTTAGGGCATGCAAAATAGTTGATGCTGCAAAGGTAGAACATAGAATAAACCATTTTTGCAATAACTTCTTCTTTTTGAATGTTGATTATCATCATGATCATGTCTTTTTACACAGAATCGTTCATCATGCTGAAGAATATTCATAAGCAACACCATTTTATACCCATTTTCATTATTGCAGTTTTATTACTAAACTGGTTGATATTGTAAAAGTTGAACGTCGATTGAACCATTTTTGCAATAAACATTTTTGTAATAATGTTTTCTTTTGTCATTATTTTATCATCACCATGATCTTTCTTTTGGTGTGAATCAGTGTTCCGCAACGTTCGGTACCAGAGCTATGCCCATTTTCCGAAAACCTTGGAGAACGCGATAAAGGCTAAAGTATTTAATGGATGTGTATCTCTCCCTCTGCCAAAAACCTTGTAAACGCGATAGAGGATACATTTTTCAACTGATTTATTTTACTTCTGCGGGGAATCATTGAAGTCCTGGAGGATAAACTCTATCGATATTCATAATTCCGCGACTTTCCCTTCCAGAAAACCTTGTGAACGCGACGGGGGCTACAGTTTTTAACTTTGGTGGGAAGCATTGGGTCATAAAAGGAAGAACTCTATCGCTATTCAGCGTTCCGAAACTTTACAGTACAAAGTAACGCCCCACCCCACTCTCTTTATGCCGAAAACCCTGTGAACATTTATAAACATAACATTTTCAAAATTTAGTGAGAAGCATTGGGGTCATGAGAGGATGAATCCTGTCGATATTTAGAGTTTGTGACTTTTCGTTCCGGCGTTATGCCCCTTCTCCGACAGATTTTTTAAAAAAGTATTTTTGAAATAATAAAATTTCAATAGTGAAAGACGGTTGTAACTTTTATAAAATGGGTATGAAAATGATGTTGCTTGTGAACACGTGCATGGTGAATATATCAATAATGATTCTGAGAACCAGCAGGGTGGTGATGAAAATAATGACAAAAGAAGAAATAATTGCAGAAATGCATTTTTATGCGAAAATGGTTATTATTGCAAAAATGGTTCAATAGACGTTGTGCTTTTGCAAAATCGATCATTTTTGCAATAATTTAATTTAATTGCAAAAATAGTTACTACAAAGCAAATTTACCTCGTTTAGGACATCCGATTAATTCAAACTTTAGACATGGTTTCACCCCATAATCTATGATGGAAATTCTGACGAATCTTGCTACAGCAGGGTAAGAAAATCTGAATGTCTGAGGTATTTCTGGAGCCAATAACGTATTAACTTCAAAAACCTACATAACAAAATAAAAAATGAAAAGTAATTTAGAAACTGATATTTTTGTGTGTATTGTATTGTTTGAAGACTGTGATCGGTTAAAATTATATAATTATTATGGTCGGTAGAGTGTCATAAGGACAATATTATGAAAATTTCATACCGTTTTATTATTGTCTTTGTACAACACCAAGGTATCCTCCGTTACGCCATACGATACACTAAACAATTTAAGAATGATGTCATCTCTGTTTTCAACCCATCCTTGTATCACTACACCTTGAATTTCCATTGCAGTGATTAGGTCAACCTTAGTAAATAGAAAGCCAATATTTAGTAATACTGGAGATTATTAAGGCGTAAAGCTGTAACTCTGTATTTTCCAGAGTCTTCGACATGACAAAAACGTATATGAAGTGTAATATGGGCTTCTGGTATTCAATATTCAAGACACTGCATGTGAACAATTTTAAAACCATGGCTATTTGTAATGCAGCCTAGTTCTTGTGACAATAATAATATCTATATTGAAGTCATGTACGTGGCTAAACATAAGTGCAGTGTTAAACCGTACCTCCTATGTAGATTGAACTAATCAGGCGCAAGTGACTGCCATTTAATTTGGACTGTTCGTGTTTTTCGACGAACAAAACTGTCTAGAAATCACAATAAAAGTTTCAACTGCAACTTATCCGAAAAGAAAACTAATCTCTATAGATCATCCTCTTATGACACCATTGCTTCCAAATAATTTGAAAAAAAAATCTGTTAAAACCTATAGCCTATATCGCGTTCACAAGCTTTTCGTGGAAGGAAGATAACTCGGGAACGGAAGATTGACCCAAATGCTTAGCACCAAATCAGAAAAGAATCCGTCAAAAACTATAGCCTATATCGCGTTAACACGGCTTTCGGCAAATCCCATCAATTTGAAAACATAAAGTTGAATATTGATAGAGCTCGTCATCTCATGACCACGATGCTTCATAACCAAATTTGAAAACATTCCGACGAAAACTGTAGCCTCTGTCGCGTTAACAACCCAATTGTTAACGGACGGACTGGCGGACACGGTTACGGACAAGGTGGGGGGGGGGGGGTGTCTATGAAAAAGATTCATACCCATGAATTCGTACTTTCGAAATGATATATTCAAGTTGAGATGTTTCCTATCGATCATTATAACGAAATAAAGAACATAGTTCCAGTGTTCTTTACCGAATTGTCTCAGTTTGAAAGACTACATAGTGAAACGTGTAGGCGACACAGCGAAACGCTATTCTTTTTAAAGGTGCTAAATTTCTAAACTGGATGCAAATCGATCAAAAAGCACATATAATTGTAACATTGGTGTATAAGTCATAGACCGTATACTATACGGTCCATGGTTAAACTATGCCACCTAATTGATTGGTGAGCTTCGACTGCAGCCCTAATAATCTCAAACACGATCATTGAACACTAATCGATACATGTAATTTTAATTAGATGCATCGATTAGTGCTCATATTGGTATATAAAACATTATACAGAGTGATGTAATTTGAGTGAAATTTTCAACATGTTTCCTTTTCATTATCTATTTTTTAACTATTATATCAACAACAGAAAGCTCTTTATCTAAATCTTACATCTTTAAGCCCTGTCTCTCGCTTTTAGGTTTAACACAGCCCAAAACGCCTGAATCAGTATAATTCTATATATTTACTTGGATATATGGTTGCTTATCGCTATGCCATGCGCACCATCCAGTTTCTCTATTTAGACGTCCATGATAAGCATACTCAGTATCAACTATTGAAGAAGCTGTTATCTGAAAATCTTGAACAGTTCCTGATGCTATTCCTAAAGGTCGACCACAACCAGTATCTGTAAAGGCAAAATTTACACGGGTTTTAAATTTGTCTTTTTCGTCCTTCTTTGAGTGGAATAAAGGTTATTTTCACTGACTTAACGTTTGAATTTATACTAAAAGTTTCACTAATGGATGCCTCCCTTGATTAGCATATTCATGTACTAAACAATGTCTTACCTTTGGCGCGTACAACTACCTCGGCTAATTCTAGCATATAGTGGTTTGGTGCAGATCTGGACGGATGGAACATCACTGTATTAACAATGGTAATATAGCGACTGATAATCGGTTGGTGACATTGAAAACGAAATATATCGACTCTATATAGATTATGTGGCCCGTCACAAATATGGGCTCCATTAGAGAAATGGTCCCACTTTCTTAAACCTGTGAAAGCTACTATAGCCCGGGCGTTGTACGGGAGGTATGCTACAAGAGAAAGAATATGTCAGAATAGTAAGTGTTGAAAAAAGTTTGAGTTGTGCTTTGGAAAGAAAAACTGACCATTTGCATTTGTTTAGTCAGTGTTGGTTCGTTGTACGTTTTGTTTAAAACAACTGCACAGATGACACTGAGATATCGTTTACCCAGTCGTTTTCGGCTTCCAAAATTCAGGTCGAAACCAATGTAGTGGCGGGTTTCTTACATTTTCTGCAGGGTAACACTTGACCTGTCTCTGTTTTTGTATACGCCGTACAATCACTATGATTGTTCTACAACTTGAAAACAAGTATGGCGATTATTTAGGGCGTTAATTTTTTTTATTTAATTATTTCTGTAGTTTTTTTAATCGAAGTTCAGCTTTAAGCCTCTTCTCGTGCGACAATTTCCTCTAGCTAAAGCATTGTTGTTGTATATACCTTTGGTATTTAACCTAGTCTGGATGGACTGGTGATTATGACGAGAGACTGACTAACAATCGGGAAATCACTAATCAATTATGTGCTGATATCACTTCACATCAAATGACGAACATTTTGTTGTATTTAACACGTTTATTGCGAATAAACAATTTACTTACGATTCTCTTTATAAATCGTCACAGAATGGACTTCAAAATCGCTTTGTAGATCAACCTGTAACCAAGCTTCTGTTCTTGGTCTTTGTAAAATGGCATTCGGTTTACCTTGATGCGAATAATAAATTTTTAAGGTGTGAATAATACATTTTTAAGAAACTAGAAAAATCTGTCTTAATTTAAAACGCATGTTATACAATTATATATTAATGCCAGAAACCACACTAATATAACTTTTCACTAACATTTAAAAAAATAATTAGTTACCTAGATTTCCATCCACAGCATAATACGCATAAAAGTCATCTCGTTCTGGGGCTGAATCCACCGGTCTGTGCATAGCAACATTATCTGGTTCTCCACTAGTATCTGACATACATGTATAAACACAAGCTCAAATACTTTCTTAAAGATGCATTATGCAAGATTTAGATAAAGAAATGAAAAATATATAATGAAAAATAAATGTATTGAAATGATTCAAATTACTTTATTCTGGGCGAAGTTGTGACTGTTTGAAGATGTGACATAGATTGCTTATATCTTTTAAACCTCGCGGATGTTCAAATCCATTTAAATCTCGATTATCAAATGGTCTGAAAAGTTGATTATAGGTTTGTCACGTAAATAAATATCTAAAACATAATTTATATAAGATTTGGAGCCAGAAACTAGACTGCAATAAGCACATTTAGCTCTTACATACTGCATCTTTAAGTGATTAATAATATAAATCGACAGGGTTAATTATCCACCACATTAACATGGCGATAGAATGTTAATTATTTAATCTGTAAACATGTAAGGTTATGTGGCGTAATATTTATGGAATAGCGTCAACTCACCACAGGTGTCAAGTGGACAAAACCTCCAACCAACAGGTGATAAACACCGTGGTCCTGCTTGAAAGTCCATGAATCTCCTACAATGATTATCTGTAAAAGCTCCTTTGTAAATCGTACTAGTTGCATAAGAATTATTCTCCCATGAATTACAAGTCTCTCCCGTAGTTGTATAATCCACTGTACCTCTGTAGGAGCTCCCCTTGTCTTCTTTAAATATGCATTCTCTTATTTCTGAAATTTTATATTAAAGTACTGTACTTAATGTTTGTACAATAATTCATGTTCAACGTTATTGTATTGAATTTTTTTTAAAGGCATATTGACAATATGTGGAAATATAAAATAATAAAGTACGACCAAAATTGACAGCTTTTGAATTTATCAGCTAAGGGGGAAAACAGCATCAGTTATTTGAAAATGCTATAACAGATGCACCGTTCAGTGTGCAACATAATTCTGATCGATATTATAGTCCGATCCTAATGTAAATCCGTCGATTTTTCGGATAGAAATCATGAAACAAGTTTTATTTTGTAGGTTTTGTTATTTGATGACAAAAAAAAAAACAATGTTGATTTTTTTTTTGAGTAGGTCTTCATAGTAGCCTATGGGACGGCATTATTTGAAAGGCAGACATTTTGCGATAATATTCCATCTTATATTGTGTTTTCAACTTATTTATAATCTTATCGACATATCAACTGTGATTTGGCACTGTATTAGTATTGACAGGGGTCATGACCTATGACTATTTTCAGATTTTTTTTCATCACTTCATGAAGATATTTCCAAGATGGCGACCATTTTTGGCGTGATAATCAGACGATGTGCTGATTTTCATTAAGTAGTAGTGTTTGGCGTCAATATATATGTTTTCGGGGTCGCAGATTCCATTCCTGGCATTTACATCCTTGTAAGATGACCACATGTTCACATACTTAGCATATTTCCATGATGGCGGCCATTTTTGTTTGGAAAATGAGAAGATATGCAGATTTTGATTTAGTTGTAGTGTTTGGTGCCAATATATAGGCCTATGGTTACGGGGGCGCAAAATCCATTTTCTGACATTTACAACCTTGTAAAATGATCATGTTTACATACTTAGCATATTTCCAAGATGACGTCCATTTTAAGCGGGAAAATGAGACGATGTGCAGATTTTGATTAAGTAGTAGTGTTTGGTGTCAATATATATGTTTACGGGGGCGCAAAATCTATTTCTGACATTTCAACCATTAAAAATGATCACATGTTCACATATTTAGCATGTTTCTAATATTGCTGCCACTTGTGGCGGGAAAAATCGGACGGTGTGCTGATTTGGATTAAGTAGTTGTCTTTGGTGTCAATATATATGTTTTCGGGGTCGCAAATTCGATTTCTGCCATATACAACTACGTAAAACGATCGCATGTTCACCAATTTAGCATATTTCCAAGATGGCGGAACGTTTTCTAAACACATTATTATCAGATTTGGTCATAGGTCACGAGATACAAACATGGCTAGCCTTAACCCTAACCAAGAATCTAGTCAACAATCACCTATGACTAGTATGACGAAATCTGCAATCAGTCGTAACTTATAGACTTGACATTGTCACTGGCATTAAAAATAATAAAAGAATCGAAACGGTAATCTACAGGTAATTTGGAAGGAGTTAACCAAAAAGATGATTACCAATAATCAATAATTTAAGGGTATGAATTTTAAATCGTTATAGAATGCAAAAATGATATAGTCCGCCTGCTAGTCTGTAATTGTTATTCATGTATGTATTTTATTGATCTGGACTTAAAGTAGCTTAGTCTCTAACTCAATATCATCCAAAGTCTTCGACATTGAAAACACGAATTATTTGTCAATTTAAATCAACATTGACATTGTGATCTTACCGGGAAAAGATGGGCTTCTGATATCCAACATTTAAGACAAAATAAACATTTTACCATTGGTACACGAATCGTGTACCATATACGCTTCAGCGCCATTTGTAAAAACGAGGCTAGACATTTTCCACAAGTCATGTTAAACACTGACACCATATTCTTATCTGGAGAGCATGCGCAATAAATACTATCGATGTAGACTGGAATAACTAGACGCTAGAGATTAGCATTGGATTGAAACTTCTGGCTTATTTTGCCGAACATAAATGATTTGAAATTAGAGTAAAAACAGAAACGATTGAACGTAAATCAGTTTATATACATTCATATTACATTATTATATGCGTTGTGACTCATTTATGTCAATTTCTAGGTCCCAAATATTAGAGATTTAGCTCCTTTAACTAACAAATTTTGAAGCGATAGATAAATAATTATCAGTATCTGTTGCGTAAAAAAGTATTAATAAGAATAACGGCTGGTAATAATTGCGTAGATAACAAAGTTGTTATCTTCTTTGTTTCCATTGCTTTATAGTGGGTAATGAATAGTAAAATAAATGTTTTTGATTTATTTTAATCGACAAACCTGTGGACTTATAATGACAAAATGTCAGATTATAAAAACTGCCAGTCTCTGGAACAATCAAATCGGTTTCATTCAAAGTCCATAGGTTAGGTGTCAACTTGATAAAATCATATCGTTCAGCTATCTGTTCCATACCTTCTATTTCAGAACATCTCGTTCTATTGTCAGGCTGAAAGATAATATTTAAGATCGATATTTTCAGCCGCGCTTATATGAAAACCAATGAGACTATTATATTAACTTATTCTATTTCCAACCCCACATTTTATCTATGTAAGAACTGGATTAAATTGAATTTAACGCCTTCTCGGCACAATAAGCTACATATAATATACCGTATTGTTTATCTTATTTTCTGTTGCACGCTTCTTTTCCTCTAGCTTGTTGAATTCCAATGGATCGATCTACACGCTACATGGAAACGACAGACATGTAATATAATTCTGAATAGACATGCGTTTCCCCATGCAAATAAAAGATAACTGGGGTTATATGAAAATTGCATATTCAATAATGACTTTCTTGAAATAAAGACGCGATATCTTCGCATTAAGTGAGAATATCGTACACATCAAATCCACCAATTGAAGGGTTATGGGATATTGACATTTCATTAAGTTGAAGGTTGGTAACGTTACGAAGGAATCATGTACCTGCAGTAAATAAAACTGCATCCTTGTTGGTAAAACCATGGAATGGTTTGACAGGTTGCTATTCTTACAACATAAGTGAAACGTAACACCCGTTTCATATTCGCCATACGAAGGGATCCATCCACCTGTGTCGTTGTTATTAATGACGTAGTTACGCAGCGGGAGATTTTTCTCATCGAATGCTGAAACAGTTAAACAGAATTAATTATATGGACGACTGTGGATAACAATGTGCGTGGAAACAGTGGAATCTGACCAGAGAGTTTTTTTTATTTTAAAACATCAGGGAAAATAACTAACACAATGAGTTA